CCCTAAACCCTAAACCCTAAACCCTAAACCCTAAACCCTAAACCCTAAACCCTAAACCCTAAACCCTAAACCCTAAACCCTAAACCCTAAACCCTAAACCCTAAACCCTAAACCCTAAACCCTAAACCCTAAACCCTAAACCCTAAACCCTAAACCCTAAACCCTAAAAAAAGGGACGACGACGGTAATGGCGTGGGCGAATGGCTTTGCGGTTGCGGTTGGAAAAGGGTGTTACATCGACTTTAACAAGAAATTTTGTGCTATGAGGACGATGTTCGCCACGACGATGACGAGCAAAGCGAATGATGAGAGCGCGCTCAAGACGCGTTCGATCGCACCAGACGATCTGCGCGACGCCACGAGCGCGCCTGCTGTGAGCGCGAGCGCGAGTGCGAGAACGGTGTCCCGCTTCGCGACAGTCGTGCGATACGCGTCCAACTCAGACACGGCTGCGGCGACGAGCTTTTCGGAGCTATCGTTGACGCGCGCGACGGCGTCATCGCACGCTTTCGAGCTCGCTCGCGCTTGGCGACTGGCTTCGTCGAGCTTGCCAGTGGAATTCGACACTGATTCTTCAATCTCGTCAATCTCTTTCCCGAAGTCTTCCAACGTTTCGCCGTATCGCACGTTGAGCGACTCCACGTACCGCGACAAAAGCGATTGGTTGAGCTCTAAATCCTTGATCTTCTGCGCCAGCAACCGAAACACGTTCGCATCGCCGCCACCCTTGGCGAGTTCATTCGTCGATGTCGCCATCTTGGGTTTAGCCGTCGCGACGCCCGTAGCGTTCGAGTTCGTCGCGTTCACGGCGGTCGCGCCCGCGGCGGTCGCATTTGGACGAGACGTTGTCGACGCATCAATCTTCGTCGCTCTCTCCTGTGCGGCGTTGTCATCCTCATCAGAGTTCGACGTCGTTTCGCTCGGTGCACCCTCCGCGATCGATGTGTTGACATTTGCCGAGTGATCTGTTTCGCTCGAAGTAGAGACATCTCTGTCGTCACCAGTCGACGCGCGCTCGTTTTCTTCGCCCACCACAGCGCTCGCGTTTGTTTCCTCACGATTTTGCTCCTCAACGTCTAGCACAACTTCTGCAGAACTTTCGCGAACATCCACGTCTTCGTCCTCGTCCTCGTCCTCGTCCTCGTCTGACAATAACGACTCTACCTCTTGCACCTCCGCTTGCAAACGCTCCATCTCTTCTTTCAACGTCTCCTTGGCGTCTTTACCGTGGATGCGCAGCAGGCTCAACGTGCAAAAGTGTTGCTGATCGTGATGACCAGTCATGCGAATTTGTACGTAACGCACCCACGCTGGCGAAGGCACGGCAAACTTTTGATAGTTTTGCGTGTTATCCGCACGTCCAATCATCAGTCTCTTCCAACCTTCCTCAATAGCGTGGTGCCCGTCCGTGCCCCAAACTTCGAAATCTTTGACGCGAGACGAATGAAACTCGAAGTTTCCTAAAACCAAGCTCGTCACCGTCACCTCCTCGCTCAGCTCAACAGTGACAAACTTTTCCGAAGCGCATGGAGAAATGTAATAAACATCTTTATCTTCCTTCAAAGCGGCGCTCGCGTGTTTTGAATCCTTATCGCTCGCCACCACCTTTGCTCCGTTGAAGCTCGCGGCGTAATTGTACATCTCCGCGTCTGCTTCCGTGAGGCGTTCAGGTTTGATCACGAGCTCAGCGAAAGTTGCTTCACCGTCGGTATCTTCTTCTTCCATCACGGGCGGTTCGACCGGCGCGGGCGCCGCCTGCGACGTTTCGCTCACGGCGTCGCGAGCGAGCTCGCCAGTCTCCGCCGTCGACGCTCCGTCCATCGTCTCCGCCTGCTGCTGCCCGCCTTCTACTTCGATCGAAACCTCGCTTGGCGCGGGTTCTTCGTCCACCGTCGTCGTCTCCGTGCTATTCGGTTCCAACGTCTCGCCTTTTGTCTCTGCGTCTTCGTTTTCGGAAACGGCGCCGTGCGTCACATTCACCTCTACTAAACGTCGCAATGCCTCATCTTCCTCCTTCTTGCGCTTGCGCTCCTTCTCTTCTTTCTCGCGCTGTTTTGCCTCCTTCTCGCGCTGCTTCTGCGCCATCTTCTCTTCCATGTTCTCTTTGTATTCTTTCAAAGACAACAAGGGCGCGCGCGGCTCTTTCTTCGTCTTTTTCACGTCAGACTCTCCTCTTCGCGCCTCTTCCGCGGCACCGACGCCGCGACTCCACGTGGGAAAGCACCTACACATGTCCTCGTTCGCCGAAGTTCGCGCCAGTAAGACGTATCTAAATTCCTCTAACGTCGACAGCGCAGCCACGCCTTCGGCGATGCACGCGGGCGCGTCGTGCGACGTCGTAGACGCCACCTCGTCGGCTGCAGCGACGTCACCGGCTCTGATGACGGCGTCGTCGACATCACTAACGTCACTGATGCCCGCACTTTCGCGCGCGAACGCGAGCGCGAGCGCGCTCGCGCTCGCGACGCAAAGGCTGACGATTACCGTGAGCGACAGCGCACGAGGACGCCGACGCGCTCGATGAACGCCGACGCCCTCGCGCGAGGCGACGCGCGGTCCTCCGCGCCCGCCGCGCGTCTCCACCGTCGTCATCGCCAACGACGCGACGGGGAATGCGCGCGCGCGCGACATCGCCGCCAATCTAGCCATCGACGACGACAAGCAAGGGTTTAGGCGAGGCGCCGGGACGCCCCCAAAATTTCGCAAAATTTCGCGCGGCCACTTTCATTTCCAAAAAGACCAAAAAGCCGAGTCAACGGCGAATCGCCGATTCGCTTCCCTTTCCGCCCGACGTCATCGATCGCCGGACGACGATGTCCAGCGCGCGCGACGATGGTGACGATGTGTTCATGACGTCTTTATCGACGCTCGACGCGCCGACTCGACCGGCGGCGACGTCGGACGAACGCGCGTCCGAAGAACCGAACGGACAAGCGACCTCCGCTGATGACGAGTCTGCATCCACAGCGAACTGTTCTCACGCCATCTGCATAGAAAATCTCGAGCGAGCGATGACGTCGTATGCGCGCGCGTCTGAGTCGTGTTCGCGCGCCGAAGATGAGCTTCGTCAACGGACGATGACCAGACGCCGCGAGGACGTGAAGGGTCTTTTGCGCGACGAAGCAGAACGCGTCGAGCGCCTGTGCGACGCGAACACGCGATTCTTTCTCCCGTCATCAAAGACAAGCATGGGCGTGGATGCACACGTCGTGTTTCGTGGCGTCACTTCTCCTCGTGTAGAAGATCTTTCGTTTGGCGCGGCGGTGGACGGCGCCGTTGAACGCGCGCGAGTCGCCTATCGCAGAAAGCGATCCCTCCTCAAAGCGACAGCTATTTCGTTAGAAGACGTCGATGCGAGCCTGGAAGAAACGAATCGAGTGCTCGACGTGCTCGGTGAAGTTGATACCGACGGCGACGAGGATGAGAACGCCGCCTCGTTGCGACACGTCGATCGCGCCTTGCGAGAATGCCGCACTCGATGAAAATCACCTAGGATACCAGCTGTTACTTTTACAATCGCTGTGCGCTACATAATGCTAAAGTTCTATCTTTTCCACTTCGCTGCGTTGTTCTGCGTCGCCGCCTTTTTCGCCTTCAACGCTCTGTACGCGGCGATGGCTTGGGCTTGCAAATCGACATCGACCTTGGTTTTCGGCGTCGTCGCAGTCGGAGATTCAATCATTTTCCGTTTCTTCTTCTTAATCTTCGCCTCGCCGTCCGGAGCGACTTCAAATGGTTGTGCGCCCGCTAGTTGACGTTCTCCCGTTGCCTCTTGCCGCGTCTTTTCGCGAAGCTTTTGCTTCCACAGCATGTCTTCTTGCGCCTTTCCCATCTTCACGTACGATTTTCCGTTGAAACCATCGACGTGTTCGTCGAACAGCGCGGTGAATTCGCCCAAGAAATCATCGCACGATATGTTCACGAACGTGCTCGTCTTCGCGAACCCTTGTCCACCGTACTTCGCTCGCCGGGGTTGCAGCACCGGTTCGATGAGTTTCTCAACCTCTCGCGCGGTGAGCGCGCGGTGTCCTTTCGCGCTTACGCGCAGCGCGCGCATCAATCTCGGCTTCGCCCCGGCGCGAGATTTCCACTTCTTCCCACCACTCGTCGCGCCGCCGTGTCCAGCGCGCGACGTCGACGCGGCGTTGCCGCCACCGCGTGCAAAGGTGTCGAGTGCGCCGCCGCCGTTCTTGCGTCGTCGCTCGGCGTCGAACGTGCGCGCGGTGCGCTCGGCGTTGGCGGGTAACCCTCGCCCATTGGCGTACTTGTTCAACAGCTTCCCCATCGTCGCCGCGAATGCGCGCGCGGCGCACACTGGGGCGGACTGCGGCGCACGCGCATTCCAGCATGCGCAGGCGCGTCAGTGCGCGACGCGATCGACGCGCGGTGACGCGAAGCGTTCGACTTAAACGCGCGCAGCTCTTCACAGCTGTTCGCACGCGCGACGCGCGCGTCGACCCATCGCACGCGCGCGCAGCGGCACCGTCTCGATGTTGTCTCGAAGCTCCGCCGCCGTCGTCGTCGCGCGTTCGTCGTGGTCGTGTTCGGCGAGACACTTGATGCGAGCGTCGTCGACGACGACGACGACGGCACTCGGCGTGGTGTGTTGCTCGACGTCGTCGTCGGCGGCGAAGAACGTCGGTGCACGAGCGACGGGCGTGAGAGTCGGCGCGCGCGCGCCCGGCGAGCGGTGGACGGCGCCAGCGACGACGACGACGCGAGCGAGAGGAGCGTCAAGCTCTGGGTCTAGTGGTGGTGATAGGTTCGATGAAGACGGTAAAGACGACGAAGTGTTCGCGGGATTTCTTCCGAACTCGGAGTCTGGATCGTTGACGCCGAGTCGCGGGAAACCGAAACGCGCGGGAAAAACCGCCGAACGATTCAACGGCCAAGTTTACATGACACCCGCCGAGCGCAGGCGCGCGAGAGATGAAGGTGAACGCTTGAGCAAAGCGTTGGCGAGCTTGGGCGTGGCAAGTCGCCGTGGGGCGGATGATTTAATTTTTGGCGGTCGCGTCAAGGTGAACGGCGAGACGGTGACGGCGCCGCAGACCAAAGTCAACTTGAACGCCGACGTCGTCATGGTGGATGGCAAAATCGTCGAAGGTGGGGTAAACTTCGTGAAAGAGCACGCATACTTCATGCTGAACAAGCCTAAAGGTTTCGTATGCAGCACAAAATCGAATTCGGCGCAAGGAAAGACGGTGTACGATTTGTTCGAGCAGTGGCGAGATGAGTTCAAGGCGGCGTATCCGGGTAAGCTCCCGCCTCGTCTCTTCACCGTCGGTCGCCTCGACGTCGCCACAACCGGGTTACTTTTACTCACGACGGATGGGGACTGGTCCCAGCGCGTCGCGCACCCGAGCAGCGAAGTCGTGAAGCAATACGTCGTCACGGCGAATAACAAACCGACGCGCGCGCAAATCGCCGCCATGGCTAAAGGGACCGAAGTCGACGGAGCTCGCGTCGTGCCGGTGCGCGTCGAGTCCATGGGCGCGGATGGAGGGCCTGCGAATAGAATTTTGGTCGAAGTCGTCGACGGACGCAACCGCGAGGTGCGCGTGCTGTGCGCGGACGCGGGCGTCGACGTTAAGAACTTGAAGCGTACGCGCGTGGGCGGATTGCGCATGCCGAAAGAGCTACCTCTGGGAAAGTACGTGCGTCTGAAACCCAACCAAGTGGCGCACGTCCTCGATAAAGGCTTGGCGTTGAATGGGGGGACGTTTTAAAGAAAAGAATCGGGTGTACAACTGTAATACAATACTCATGTCTGCTGCGACTATTCGCGACCTTTTACGTACGCCCTGCGCACAGCGGTGACGCCAGTGGCAACGACGTTGAAACTCACGCCCGCGAGGAAAACAAGCGCAAATATTTCTTCGTCGATTATCGGGATGCCGCTTTCGAGTTGCACTTGCTCGAGAGGCCCCAACCCACCCGTCTCGACGTCTCCAACGAACGCGAACGCCGTGCCAAGCATGGCAAGGCGACCGTTGAAGAGCTCGTAAGGCTTTTGCTCGCGCACCGTCGTCTCGTACGCCTTTTCGATTTCCCCGAAAGCCGCCTCGGCGCGTTGCTTGGCTGATTTTCCCGAAACCGTCTTAATCGGGCTGCGCGCTCCTTGCCAAAATCCGAGCAATAAAGAGCCGCCGAGTAGAAACCAAATCAACACCACGGATTCAACGTAAAATCCTGCGACTTCCAGGGCGTCGCGCGCGACTTCCACCGGGTTCACGACGTGCCGCGCCACGTATGAAAACTCATCGCCGAGCTGCTCGATTGGTCCATCCCCTCGCGTCAACACGTCTCCGACCGTCGTGCCGAGGAACCCGAGCATGGCGGCTCGTCCGAGTTGCAACTCCACACCCGCCACCGTTTCTTCCGGCGGTTTCTCCGCGTCGTTGATCCCCACCGCGCGCGTGCGCGTCGTCGTCGCCTTTCGTGACGTCATGGACGCGCGTCGCGTGCGCGTCGTCGTCGTCGTCGCTCGTCGGCTCGTCGCGCGCGTCGCGGCTCGCGCGGGCAGCGCGGCGTTCGCGTTCATCGCACCGCGCATCTCGCTCGTTCGACCACGCGCGCGCGCACCGAGGCGACGGCGGTCGTCGTCGTCGTGTGCGGATAAAGCGCCACTTTTAGCGGCGCCGCTCGAAGCCGAGGCGTCGCGACGCGCGCGCCGGTCGGACATCGCGACGCACGCGTCGCGTCGCGAGCGAAGATGCGCGCGACGACGACGACGACGGCGGCGGCGGCGACGACGACGACGCGCGTCGCGAGTCGACGGCGAGGACGACACCACGCGCTGTCGTCGCCGTCGTCGTCCGCACGCTCGACCGTCAAGGCGGCGGCGGCGACGACGACGAGCGATGCGCCGTTGCCTCGAACGTCGCGATTGGGACACAGCGGCATCGCCGTGACCGACGCGTGCCTGGGGACGATGACGTGGGGCGTGCAAAACACCGAAGCCGAGGCGCACGAGCAGTTGGATTACGCCATCAAACAACGAGGCGTGAACTTCATCGACACCGCGGAGATGTACCCGGTCCCTATGAGTGATCCGAGTTGGATGCCGGGAACGACGGAGAAGTTTATTGGGTCTTGGTTGGCGAAGAATTCGAGCGCCGTGCGCGAAGATGTCGTGCTGGCGACGAAGATTGCTGGGTTCGGCGCGAGCGCGAAAATCGTCGGCAATAGGCGTCGCGAAGAGACGACGGCTACGGGGAGATTAGATCGCGCATCGATCAAGTCCGCGTGCGATGCAAGTTTGGCGCGATTACAGACGGACTATATAGATTTATACCAAATACATTGGCCCGATCGATACGTCCCCATTGGGGCTTTTTTTGGGTCGCCGGCATACAATCCCGCGCTCGAGAGAGCGGACGCGGTGCCGATTCGCGAATCCGTCGAGGCGCTCGGCGAGCTCATAAAGGCTGGGAAAATCAAGCACTACGGCCTCTCGAACGAAAGCACATTCGGAGTGTGCGAGTTCGTTCGCGCGGCGGATGAACTCGGCGTACCTCGACCGGTGTCGATTCAGAATTCGTTCTGCTTGTTACATCGCGGCTTCGAAACCGAACTCGCCGAGGCGTGCGCGCCGTCAAACTTCGACATAGGTCTTCTTCCGTGGACGCCCTTGGGTGGCGGAGCGTTGACGGGAAAGTACCTGGACGGCGCTTCGAACGCAGCTGAAGGTCGCTTGGTCAAGTACGCGAAATACGGCTTCCATCAGCGGTATTTGAACGACCCATCGAGAGTCGCGACGGCGGAGTATAAGAAGATTGCCGACGAAGCCGGCGTAACGCTCGCGACGCTCGCGTTGGCGTGGTGTAAATCGCGATTTTACGTCTCCAGTACCATCATCGGTGCCACCTCCATGACCCAGCTCAAGGAGAACATCGATGCGTTTGGGCCCGACATCGTCTTGAGCGAAGAGACGCTCGTCGAGATCGATCGCGTGCACGAGCGTTGTAGGGATCCAAGCATCATGTCAGATTTTTCCTAGTCGAGTTGGTTGCGTTGCGTTGCGTTGCGTTGCGTTTCATCGCGTTTCGTTTCGTTGGGTATTGTAGTAAATGTGTTCGGTTGAGTCATCGTCTCCTCTCTCCTCGTCGCGTCGTCGCATCTCCGCGCGAAGCCAGAGCGAAGCCAGAGTGCCGTTTCAATTCCGCGAAAACGCGTGCCGGCCGCACTCGCGACCGCGTGCGGTCGCTCGTCCCGCCGGAACCGGCGTCGTCGTCGCGGATGGTGATGATGAAGGTCACATCTCTCGCGTGCCGCGCACCAGCGCCCTCGCGTCGACGCTCTCGCGCGCACGCGACGTCGTCAAACGTCGCTCCATCGCGCAACGGCCGTGTCGGTTTAAACGCGCGAACCCATCGGGAGGAGTCGCGACGGGCGCGGTACGCGCACGACTGCGACGCGCGGTGCGCGTCGACGCATTCGTCGTCGCCGACGACTCGCCGTCCTTCGAGCGCGCTTCGAGCGTCTTCGTCGTTCACGGCGCGGCTCTTCAACGACCCGCCGACGCCCGCCGCGGGCGCGCGAGCGCTGTACGTCGCCACGCTGAGCGTGTGTTTGGCGATGCTCAGCGTGGGATGCGCGTGCGGTGCCATCGCGGGAGCGTTGGTGTACATAGAATCTGGAACCGTGCTCGGCACGCTCACGACGACGATGAAGGGCGCGGTTGTCGCGGCGCTACCACTCGGCGCGATGTTCGGGTGCGCGGCGACGCCGGGGTTGAACGAACCGTTTGGGCGAAGATTCGCGCTGGGATGCTGCGATGTGGGATTCATCGTCTCCGCCGCGCTCATGGCGAGCGCGAGTGCGGTCGAACAAGTCGTCCTCGGTCGTTTCGTCGCCGGTCTCGCGGTGGGGATCGCGACGTCGATGTGTACAATGTACATTTCCGAGTGCGCGCCGGCGAAGACTCGCGGCAAGCACAGCGGCTTGGCGCCGCTGTCCGTCACCGTCGGTCTCTTGGGCTCATTCGTTCTCTCCTTATTCGCGACGAACGTGGTCGATGGATGGCGCTACATGTTTGCCTTCGCCGCCGTCCCGGCACTCGTACAACTCGGCATCATTCTCAAGACCAACGCGCTTCCCGAGTCGCCGCGATGGCTGGCAGAAAATTGTCGCGTCGGCGAAGCCAAGGCGGTATTCAACAGCCTCGGACAGCCCGATGTGGACGTGCACGTCATCGCACTGAACGCGACGACGAAGCCAACGAGTAAGATTTTGAGTTTGTTCAAGGACGCGAAGACTCGGAACGCGCTTGGCGTCGCGAGTTTGATGAACTTTTTCCAGCAAGCTTGCGGTATCAACGTCGTGATTTATTACGCTCCGAAGATTTTGAGCGATCTTGGATTCGATCGTTCGCACGCCATCGCGCTCACAGCGTGTGTGAGTGTCGTACAAATCATCGCAGGTACTTGGCTCTCGCGAAGCATAGACGCCATCGGTCGTCGACCTTTAGCTCTGGGTGGTATCGGCGCGATTTCGTTCGCGCTCGCTCTTCTCACGTTGAGCGTGACTCCGAGCGTGTACTTGCATTTCATGAGCGCCACCGCCGCGCCGTGGCTAGCCGTTGCTGCTATTCTCGTGTTTCGCATCGCTTTCAGCGTCAGTCTCGGCCCGGTACCGTACATCGTAACGAGTGAGGTCTTTCCACAAAAGGTGCGCAACGTCGGCGTGAGCGCCGCGACGGCGGTGCAGTGGATCATGAACGCCTTGGTGACGTTCACGTTTTTACGAATCCGCGAAATCTGGAGCGCACAAGGCGTTTGGATGTTGTACTTTACCGTGAGTGTCTTCGCACTTACCGTCGTGTATAAGGTTTTGCCGGAAACGACGGGAAAAACCCTGGAAGCTTAGTGTCGTGTAAGAAAATATAGCTTCGCCTGCAGTCGCAGCCACGACTCCTAATATTACCACTACACATGCGCTGCGCTAGATCTATACGCTAGAGGATACGAACCTAGTACTAAACTAACAACGCGCCGCAGTCACCACCGTGTCGTCGTCGAGAAACGATAAGGAATCAGCCGACGCGACATCGTGAGACGTCAAATCGATCTTGGCGAGATATTCGTCGTCCCAGAATTTCGTCATGTGACGCAGTCCGCTGTCACACGCGATCGTGCAAATGCAATGTCCTGGTCCGAGCGATTGCGCCACGCGCACCGCAGAAACGAGATTGACGGCGCTTGAGCTTCCGATGAAGAGCCCGTCGTGCCTCGCGACGAAGCGGCTCATCGCGACAGCCTCGGCGTCGCTCACCTTCACGGCGCCCGTGAGCATTCCCGGACGATCGAGCAAAACTTTGAAATTCTCCGTGATGCGATTGATTCCCACACCTTCCGTCACGGTATCGAACGGGTTCTTCAAGCGCTTTCCCTCCGCCTCTTCTTTCGTATACATGACGCCGCGCGAGACGCGATTAAACAACCCGCTTCCTTGCGGATCCGCGAGAAAGAGCTTGACAGACGGCTTCCGTTCCTTCAGCGCCACCCCCACACCCGCGAGCGTGCCCCCGGTACCGCACGCGCACACAAAGGCGTCGAGTTCGGCGCCGATTTCAGAAAATATTTCCACTCCCGTGCCGTCGGCGTGCGCGCGAAAGTTCGCTAAATTCTCAAACTGATCTGCAAAGTACCCTCCGCCCACGCCGTCGCGCGCGCGTGCGCGCTCAGCCTCGCGTCTGGCCACATTGACAAAGTGTCCACGATTTGCGATCGACACCGGTCGCACGCGCTCCACCCGAGCGCCGTACGCCTCGACGAGCGCCGATTTCTCCTTCGCGGCGTCGTCCGGCATGGCGACGAAACATTCCACCCCCATCGCTTTGCACACCATGGCGAGCGATACTCCCGTGCTCCCCGCGGTACCTTCGGTGCACAACCCTCCTCGTCGCAGCGCGCCACTGGCTAAGGCGTCCTCGACGATTCGCAGAGCCACGCGGTCCTTCACCGAGCCGCCGGGATTGAGAAACTCGCACTTGACGTAGATGTCGCATCGCGTCAAGCGCGACAACGACTCCACGCGCATCACAGGCGTGTTTCCGATCGCGCTCAGCACGTTCGCGCGTCGGTTTGACTGCGCGCGCGCGTCGTCGGCGTCGTCCTTCGTCGCGCGTTCGCCACGGCGCACTTTCCTCGCGGCGCTTTCGTCGCCGCGCACCGGCGCCGACGCCCTCGCGACGACGACGACGGCGAGCGCGACGCACGCCACCATCACCGCCGCGCTCACCGCGCGCGTCGCCGCGGACGCGTCGGACATCGTCGCGCACTGCGGTCGAGCGCACTGCGGTTGCCCAGGTGGCGACATTCGTCGACGCGCGTCGCGCTCCGCCGTCGCGCTCATGTCGCCCGCGTACGCGTACCAGGACGAGGCGACGCTACTGCAACACTTTAACGCCGTCGATGGTAACGGGAACGGGGCGATCGACGGACGAGAGCTTCAACGCGCGCTCGCCACGTCTGGATTGACGTTCTCCTTGCAAACCATCGCGCTGTTGATTCGCCTGCACTCCGCACCCGGGAATAAGAGCGGGACACTCTCGTTCACGGAGTACAAGAAAGTGCACGAATTTCTCGTGAACGCGCAAAACTCCTTCACGCACTTCGACAAGTCGGGGACGAAAAAGCTCAACAAGCGAGAGGCGCTGGAGTGTTTGGCGTACGCGGGCTACGGAGACGTCGATCAAAAGGCGATCGAGCACGCGTGTCGGGCGTTCGATCCGGATCGTTCCAATGACTTAGGCATCGACCAATTCATCGGGCTGTTCCTGTTCCTGGCCGCGGCGAGAAAAGTGTTTGAAAGCTTTGACGCCGACAAGAGCGGCAAGATTACGCTAGACTTGAACCAGTTCATATACGCCTCGGCGAAGACGCGTTAGCGGGGTTCGCGCGTCATGAACAGTACGTAGTAGAAGACGAATGATGTATTTCAGCGCATATTCATTACACCCGTGCCTCTATCGTGCCAAACATTTTCTCGTGGCGACGCCGTCTCTCGTCGCGACGCGCGCTCGTTCTAATCCGACTTGGCCATCTGCGACTCTTTCGGAGGATTTCCCCCATCCACGAGCAAATTCTTGGCGTAAAAGCACAGCATGAGCATACTGGTCAACGCTAACATCCCGCTCGGAAAAATGGCGGAAGATTCCATGTACTTTTTCCCCATCGCGAACGCCAACGTCGCCGTCACCGCCGCGCTCGCCGCCGTCCACGGCAGCGACGACGCGCCCGAGCTCCACGCGCGCAGGCTCGCGAAGCCCAAGCACATTAACGTCGCACCAATGCTCCCACCGGCGACCAAACTCGCGAACGATCGTTTCGCCACGAATCCCAGGACGCCGAGCGTGGCGACCACGGCGCCAAATGGAAGCGTCATGCAAAAGTCATGCCTCGGTACGCACGCCTTCATCTCGTGTGTCCAGCGTCCGTGCGCGTCGAAGCACGCGGATTTGAATGAACCGTTATTGCTCGACGCGTTCGTTCGCGTCGAGCGAGAAGAACGCACGACTGGTGTGCGCACGCGCCGCGATGGGTGTGGGTCGTTGCACGATTGCACGTTCGCGATGAACTGGCGATGGGACGAACGACGACGACGACGACGCGATGCGCTCGCGCGATGCGCTCTCGAGAGCTCTGAGAAATTCGCGTGTCGTAAACCGAAAGCCTGCGGTTGCATTCAACGCACCGAGCGATGAAGGACGGTGCGGGGGCGAGGAGTGACGCGCGAGCGACGTCGCCGCGCTGAAATTCGAGCGTCGAGGACGTTGCGGTGGCTCTCGTTCAGTCAATGCGCTGATCGTGCGTCGTTTGATGCGGCATCATTCATATATTACAACTGTTCGGTGGAAATCAATAGGCGATCAACGCGCCGAGCTCGAGCCCGCCTCGGCGGCTTCCTTGGCGTCTTCGATGGCCAAGGATTCAAAATACTTGTCGTACCAATCCGCGGCGACTTCGATTTGATCCATTTCGGCGTAAATATCGGCTATTATGCCGCACGCGTCCGTGGCGACGCTCGTGTCGTCGTGCTCGGTGGATAACTTCAACACAGTCTTCATGTGAGAAAGGGCTTCGTCGTACTCGCCCAAGCGCGCCGACGCCGCGCCGAGACCGCGCTCAGCCTTTCGAACAGCCTTCCACGGTTCCTTCAGCGCGCTCTGGTTAGCATCGATGAGTTGACGCGCCTTAGTGAATGTTTCTTTCGCCTCTTGGGACGCTTGCGCTTTGAGTTTAGACTTGCCGCTCTTGAGCAAACTGATGATTTCGAGCACCGTCTCGCTCGAAGCTTCGTCCGAGGAATCCATCGTGGAGAACGCCACTTTGCGCCCTTGACTACTCCTGAGCTCTTTTCGCACTTCCTTGTTCACCTTCAGCAGCGTCGAGTTCAACCGTTCGATCTCCTCAGCGCGCTTACGAGCCTCCGCGCCGCCGACGGCGCTTCCGACGAATCCGATCGTCTGCCCGACGACCAGGGCGTAGATTAAATCTTTATGATCGACCGTCAACCCCGCGAACTGAACGTTGAAGTCTTCTCGGAAGATTTCATCCGGTTCCGTGAGCTCTTTCGGCAGCGTCGGCGCCGCGTTCGCCGCGCGCGTCAGCCCCGTCAGCCCCGCCGTCGCCGCCGCGAACCCGGCGCCCAACAAACCCCGCCGGTTCTTTCGCGTCGTCGCGCCGCCGCGTCGCGCATCGTCGCGCGCGTCTCCGTCCGCGCCCGCGCGTTGCGCGTCCCCGCTCGCCCGCGCCCGCGCGTCGCGTCCTCGTCCTCGTCCTCGCCCCGTCGCGCGCGCGCCGAGCGCGGCGACGCGCGTCGTCGTCCGCGTCGTCGCCGTCGTCGTCCGCATCATCGCGTGGTCGACGTTTGACCGCTCGTCTCGGGCGCGCGCGCGCGCCTTCGTGTGCCGACGCGACGCGACGCGACGCGACGCGCGATCGCTCGACATCGATCAGCCACGCGCGCGTGGTCGACGTCGCGCGCGCGGACGGGCGAAAACGCGCGGGAAACCTGACGTGGAGGGGGTGTCGTCGAATCGTGAACCTCGAATGAGAAAAATATCAGGAAATCGCGCAAACGACTCTTTTTTTTTTCGTCATTCGCGGTTTGAATCGTCGTGAATTCGGCGACGCGCGGCCGGCGCGCGACACTTCGCGACGGGCGCGCGGCGAGGACGTCGCTGGAATAATTTCCATCGATCCCGTCGACCTCGACGAGCGCGCGCGCGATGAACGGGGGCGACATGAGCGACACGACGAAGCCGAGCAAGGCGGATGACGCGCTCGATTTCAAGCAAGAAGCAAACATCAAGCGGTTCGTGCGAGCGAACCGATGGGTGTCGCTCGATATCGCGGGAATACCGGTGCGTTGAAATTTCGTGGACTCCACGCCGGCGTCGCGCGAGGCGGAAGACGCGCGCGTCTCGCGTTGCGCGCGAATCGTGGATCGTTCGATCGGTCCCGGCGACGCGACTCTAAATTAAATCATCACGACCCGAGACTGACTCGCGCCGTCCGTTCGTCCATCGCAGATGCTTCGCATGAACTGGGTGAGCTCTGGCATCGCCTCGGCCGTGCTTTGGGGGTTCATCATCTGGGCCACGACGACCGGCATCAACGCCGCGACGGAGGTGAAGGGTTGGCAAGCGTGGGTCACCGTCAACTGGACGTGGTTGTACATCCTCACCCAAGACGTGTGGTTCATCTTCATCATCGGTTTGCTTTTCACGAAGTACAAAGACGTCAAGCTCGGGCGTGACGACGAAAAGCCCGCCTTCAGCGATTACGAGTGGTTTTCCATGTTGTTCGCGTGCGGAATCGGCGTCGGTTTGTACACCTACGGCGTCGCCGAACCGATGTGGTATTACCGCATGAACTACTACAATCCGCAAAAGATTCCCATCGTGAACGATGATCAACGCGCTCAACAAGCCATCTTCATGACGCTGTTCCACTGGGGTATCCACGGTTGGATTCCTTATGTTCTGGTCGCAATCACGCTCGGGGTCATTTGCTACCGTCACGGTCGTCCCATGACCATCCGTGCGGCCTTCTACCCGCTTTTGGGTGAAAACGTCAACGGTCTCATCGGTGATTTGATCGATGCGCTTTCCATCTCGTGCACCACCTTTGGCGTTTGCACGTCTCTCGGACTCGGCGTCACGACGATCGCCACCGCGATGAATCGTCTCAACAGCGACATCAGCGCTACATCCGACACGACCAAGGGTCTCATCATTTGGGTCATCACCGGCGTCGCTTGCATTTCTGTGGTCAGTGGCTTGAAGAATGGCATCAGGAAACTGTCCAAGCTCACCTTCAGTATCGGCTTGATCTTCCTCTTCGGCGTCATCTGTGCCGACGACCCCATGTTTCTCATGAACAGCGTCGTTCAATCCATCGGCCACTACTTGCAATGGGTCACCGTCGTCGGATGGGATTGCGATGCTTGGCCTGTGTTGAATGCCGTCCTCAAGGGTGGCAAGAACGGATGGACTCACGATGACGGCACGTGGAAAAGCACGTCGAAAACGTGGACGCAATACGCCATCGGCCGCCACGCGGAAAAGAACATCATCGACGCTGTGAGCGCAACCGCGGGCAACACCGCGGACACCGCAAACATGTATGGTGCGACGACGTCACCCTATTTCATGGACGATTGGACCATCTTCTACTGGGGTTGGTGGATCTCCTGGGCGCCGTTCGTCGGCATGTTCATCGCCAGAATTTCTCGCGGCAGAACCGTCGGCCAACTCATCAAGGGTGCGTTCGTCGCGCCCGTATTGTTCGGTTTCTTCTACCTCACCGTCCTCGGCTCTCTCGGGATCAAGATGCAACGCGTCGCCGAGTTGGCCCTCGGTGACTCATCTACTGTTGACTGGTCGAAAGGCAGCGGCTCCGTGGACTGCAGCGCGTTTGGCTATGCGAAGGGCAAGCTCGACACGACGTTGGCGAAATACGCCGCCGGTTTGCAACTGCAACAGGCTGGTTACTACCCACTGTCTTGCAGAGCTGGTCCTGATCACATCCTTGACGTCGTCGAACCGTACGGTTCTTTGGCGCGCCCGTTCCAAGCTTTGATCCTCATCGCCGTCACGCTTTACTTCATCACGTCTTCGGACTCTGGTTCGTACGTCGACGATTTGATCTCTGCCATGGGCTACGAAAGCCCGCCGGTTTTGCAAAAGATTTACTGGTGCTTCACCGAAGGCGCGCTCGCTAGTGCGCTCGTCTACAGCGGTGGTTTGAAGATGGTTCAAGCCGTCTCCATCGTCGCCGGCTTCCCTTACACTATCGCGCTCAACTTTATGTGTCTGGCGCTCTGGCGCGCACTGCAAGATGAAGGTGGTGATGAAGAATACCGTCGCAAGCGCAAGGGCTTCAACACGTGCATCTTCGACTTCCTCGAGCGTTTCAACCCGGACACGGCTGGCGCCAGCGCCCCCGTGCAGATGGAACGACTTTTGTGCGTTTTGAAGAACTTCATCTACCCGTTCGACGCCATTCTCAAGTCCAAGGTCGCCATGGGAGCCGACTACCAGTTTGCTATGATTAATGCCGCCGCCATCACCGGCGTTCTCTGGACTTTCATCGGTTTGATGGCGTCCACGCACGCCGGCGCGAACACGCACGCCGTCGCGTGGCTCTTCTGTTGCATCTTCATCTTCTGCGTCGCCAACGTTCGCCGCGAATTGCGCAACGCCAGAAACATCCTCGGCTGCGCCCTTGAAGATTACACCTCTGTTGCCATCTTGTTTCCGTTTGCCCTCGCGCAAATGGAGCATGAAGCGGACGCCGACGACAAGACGGCGTAAGCCCGAAGTCTTCGTGATCTCAAGACCCTTTTGACCTTGAAAAAACCGTCCTTTACTTAATTACGGCTCGACGAGTGTCGAGTAGATCATGAGGTGATCAATCAGTGTTGATGCGGGTGCGAGCGTGGCTTTTAACGAGTCGCGTTGGCGCCCTCTTTATATATATCATCTTGGCTGTACCGCGTGTTGTGTGTTGAATGAAACGTGTTGTCTCCGTCGCCGCTCTATTTCATCGGCGGCGGCGTTGTCTATAGATTGGATCCCGTTGATCTTGAAACTAATACCTCATTAATAATTATCACAGTACTTATTTACGCGCGCACGAACGAACGAACGCCGACGACGCTCGACAAAATTCTCGAGCTTCGCGTCTCGACAGCTCGAACGAGTTTGAATTTCTTTCTTCACATCGGCCCTCGGGGTCGCGATGTCGTCGTCGCTCGCCTTCCCCGATCGCGCGCGTTCGAACTCGCACGCGGGCAGTCGTCTGGCGCAGTGTCCGCTGTGCTCGAAATTCGCGCACGTCGCCCTGATCGAGGCGCACGCGGCGCAGTGTTCGGGCGATGCGACGGTCGGCGTCGAGCGGTCGCGCGCGCTCGAAGCGGGTCGGAATGCGAGCGCGAGCGACGCCGCGGACGCGGAAGCGACGGATGCGTTGACTTCGTGCGAAGCTTCAACGACCGTGAAGTCATCCGGTGGCGTCCTCGGCGCGCTCGCGGCGGCGAAACGACGGAACGAGCACGCGCAGACGCGCGCGCAGAATGACTTTAAGCGACGGCGCCAAACGACCGGGCTTCTGAGCGACGTCACGAACGCACCGCTCGTGAAGCGAAGCGATGGCGGCGTGAAATCAAGCGTGGTGAATGCTTCGACGCAGACGGACGCCGTGGTAGAAAAAGAAGAGGAAGAGACGATGGACGTCGACGCGGCGGTGGCGGACGTCGAGGGCGTCGCGCCGTCGAGCGTTCAATTCGATTTGCGCGTCATGAGTGGAAATCACGAAGAGTGTGGGATCTGCCTCACGCAGTTCGACGACGCCGAGGGCGTGGTGCGGCACATGTTTTATCCGTGCCAGCACGTGCGGCAGTGCGGCGATTGCGCACAGCGCGTTTGGCAGGTGCCAAAAGTCAAGCGGCGATGTCCGTGGTGCAAGAGCAAGATTGAGATACGGCCGCGCGCGTTTAAACCGTTCCTGTAGTCGATAGGGTGATCACCAGTAGTATCTAGCTATACGTATTGTTTGTACATAGATTGATTCTAGAATCCTGTGTTCTACTCCCGCGGCCAGAACAAACACACGCCGACGCCCGCTAGCGCGATGCTCGCGCCAACGTAGTCGCCGGCGTCCAACTTGAAGCCTTCAACCGCCGCCCCGAACGCGTACGATGAAACGATAAACACTCCACCGTACGCCGCCATGATGCGAGCGAACGCATCCATGGGCATTAAAAGAAACACGCCTCCGTACGCGACGAGCGAGGCCGCGCCGAATGCCGCCCACAACTTGTTCTTTTCCAACCGCACGGCGCGCCAAAAGCCGTAGCACCCGCCTATTTCGAGCGCTGATGCGAGGAGGAACAACGTGACGCACTGGAACACCTTACTCGCGGTCCACTTCATGCGCGCGCGACGACTGGACGACCGCGTGCGTCGTCGAGTGAGGCGAGGCGGTTATTTCGAGTTGGTGCGCTACTACTAGTTTTCTGGACATCAAACATCGACGCTACGGCGCTTAGGACGCGCGAGTGGCTTTGAGCAGGGCATCCCCAGGCGCCTCACTCTCGGCCACGAAGACGCGCTCGAGGGCGTACGAGACGTTCCGATGCACGTCGGTGGATGGGACGACGCACGCGTCGTTTGGACACGCGAACACGCAGACGGTTTGCCAATCCCAGCCCAAGAGATCCTCTTCGCTCGCGAGGCGCGATTTATCGCCCTTGTGCATCGACAACGCATCTTCAACGTCTCGCAAAAGTGCCGGAGTGAGTTGAAGCTCGCACACGCGCGTGGTGCCGCAGCGATCGCACGAAGTTGACGGTGGCGGCGTCTTCGTCGGCCAGATGAACTTCATGCCGCCGACGTCGTATCGCATGCACTGATCAGGCGCGCGCTGCAGACGGCGGGCGAACTTTAAATACGCATCATCCGCATGTCGTGCTTCGCCACGCTCGTACGTCTCTCCCGCCCACTCGCCATCCTCGTCATCGATGGCGACGACGTCCGTCACGGAGACGCCTTCGCGTTCGGCGTATCGCGCCAGGAGCGCCTCGGCGTGCGCCGCTTCCTTCACCGTCATCCCGCTGACCGCTTTCGGCTCAATCTCGGACACGAGGTGGTATTCTACTATTTGCGTCGCGCACGCCGCGTCGTACGCCTCGCGCACGATCCGTGACAAAGAAAAACCGTCTTCTTGTCTCGCGGCGTCGTCGTCGCCATCGCCATCGTCTTCGTCCTCGTCGCCGGGCGTCATCGCGGCCTCCGCGCGCCCTTCCGCGCGTCCTTCCGCGCGCCCTACCCCGCACACCAACATGGCATCTAATTCCGCGCTCAGCGCCGCCGCGTCCGCGCCGTCGTCGCACCACGCGCTCGATTCCGGATCGTCCCACGCGTCCTCCATCGCCGGCGCGCGTTCCGCCGTCCCGTACGTCTCGACGCCGTTCGTCGCGCGCGCGCGCGAGCCACCGCCGTCGCGCGTCGTGGTTTCGCCATCGCGCCCGCGCTCTTCGCTCGCGTCCGCGCGCGCCGCGATCGACGTCGCGCTGACGCACGCCCACGCGTCGTCTCCTCGACACGCCGCGCCGCCGCCGACGCACGCGTACGCGTACAGCGCCCGTCCGCGACCTCCTCTCGGCGCGTACGTCTGCACGACGAGCGTCATCGCGCGCGCGCACGACGCGCACCGCGGCGCGTACCACCGCGTCGCCGCGTCGCCGTCGTCGTCGCCGTCGTCGCCGTCGTCGTCGCCGTCCGCCGTCAGCGCCACCGGCGCGCCGCCAACCTTGTGCGCGCCGCGCGCGCCGGCGTCGGCGAACGCGCGCGACTCTCGGCGCGACGTCAGCCGACCCGGGTAACACAGCGTCGGACGCGCGCTCGCGAGCGCTCGCGCGCCGTCGTCGTCGCTGTCGTCGTCGTCGACGTCCATGCCGCGCGTCACTCTCTGACGCGCGCGCGGCGGCGAGTGGAACGATGCGCGCGGCGTGCGGCGCGCGGACGTGGCTCGAGCGCATCGGCGCGAGCGCGACGAAACGCTGGACCGCGTGCGGGGCGCCGCGACGACGACGACGCGCGACGACGACGACGCGCGTCGATGCGAATGCGAATGCGAGTGCGAGTGCGAATGCCGACGCGAACGGCGCGCGCGACGTTGATCCAGGGCGCGAGGGAGACGACGGAATCGCGCGCGCGACGCGGCGCGCTAAGGTGCTCGTCGTCACGGGACCGACGGCGATCGGGAAGAGCGCGGTCGCGATCGCCATGGCGCGCGCGCGACGAGAGCGACGAGACGCGCGCGAGGTTGAAATCGTGTCGTGCGATTCGGTGCAAATATATCGCGGATTAGACGTCGGGTCGGGGAAAGTGGGCGCGCGGGAGCTCGAAGCGTGCGCGCATCACATGCTGAGCGCGCTGGATCCGCGCGCGAGAGATGGGAGTGGAGAGTACGACGCGAACGCGTATTACGACGAAGCCGTAAACGTGATCGACGATATACATCGACGAGGGCGCGATGCGGTCGTCGTGGGCGGTGCGGGGATGTATTTGAAGTGGTTGACGGATGGGAAACCTAGCGCGCCGGGGTCGACGCCAGAGACGCGAGAGGCGGCGGAACGCGCCGTGGGCGAGGCGAGAGCGCGGGGGGGGTGGCGCGAAGCCGTGGAGTTGTTGACGCGCGCGGGAGATGCGGAGACGGGGAAGACGCTGAGCGAAAACGATTGGTATCGATTGACGCGAGCGTACGAAATCGTGCGCACGAGCGGGCAAAGCGTCAAGGCGTTCGCGCGCGAGAATCCTGAGGCGCGGTTTGATTTTAGATGTTTCTTTTTATCTTCGCCGCGCGTCGAGCTGTATCGAAAAATTGACGCTCGCGTGGAGGGTATGTTTGTAGATGGAATCATGGATGAAGCCGCGTGGTTATTGAATGCTGGAATCGCGCCGGGAGAAAACGTCCCGGCGCGGTCCATCGGTTACCGGCAGGCGATGGAGTACTTGGCAAAGGCTCGGGCGAAGGAGATCAAAGTCGACGACGCGTCGTTATTGGAGCTGGTGAATGAGATTCAGATGCTCAATCGCGCGTACGCGAAACGTCAATTCACGTGGTTTCGCGGCGAATCGCGCTACGCATGGATCAACGTCGACGACGATCGCGACGCAGTCGCTCGACGAATTTTGAGTGAGTTTGATCGCGATGAACATCGAGCCGGGGGCGAGGAAATCGGCGACTTGAGCAAGGACGAGTTGAACTTATTAAAACGGTACAGACCCGCGTTGACGGTCTTGAGCGACAAACGCGCGGTGAAACGCGTTTTAGATAGCATTAGCGCTTTAGTTTAGTTTGGTGCATCCTCCACGTTCTCCGCATTCGTAATCGATTCGACAGCTTCCTCACTCGCGGGCGTCACGACGGGTGGTTCTTCTTTTTGCTCTTCCTCACCTGCGTCCGCGTCGACGGGCTCTTCGGCGACACTTTCGCACTCCTCGACGCGCTCATCGGGCTTATCGACGACGACGTCGACGTGTGCGCCCTCCTCTGGCGCCATGAGATGTTGTGCTTCGTCCGGTAATATCTCGCCCTCAACGGCCACGTCCTCGATCGCCTCCGCGACGACGTCGGTCGCCTTCGCGGGGACGTCCTTGGGTGACGTCAGCGGCGCCTCGACGATCTCATGTTTTTCATCGATATCTTCAACGACAACATCGTGCGCGCCGTCTTCGTCTTCGTCCACCGCCACGTTCGCGCTCGTGATCCCATCCTTCAAGTCTACGAACGCGCGCGCGTGCGTCAAACTCTCCTCTGGGTACTCGCTCGCGAGGTACTCCAAGATGTACGTCACCGGCGCGCTCGGTCGTTTCTTGAAACACCCAGTCATCATATCCCGGAATAAATCATCCACTTTGCTCTCCTTCGCGTACGCTTCCAATTCTTCAATCATCTTCCGCGCGCCGCACGTCGCTGAATGCAGTGCGTGTTTTATTTTTAGCCGAATCGTCTTTTTTCTCAGTCAAAGCAAAGTCCAAGGTCTTTGCGTGCGTCGTCGCGCATTCTTCGACGCGGAATGACGTGCGCAGACGACGGCGAGGATGGCGCCGAGGAACCAGATGCGCGCGTCGCCTTTATACTTCGTCTCGCATCGTCGTGCGTCGACGCCGACATCGACGAACACGTCGTGGGGTTCGGTGACGGTTCGCGCGCAAAGACCTTGGACTTTCTCGATTGCGGACGCGAGGACGTGCTCGTGCTGCGGCTTCGCGCGACTTCGACGGTGAAAGCGAGGGCGAAGACGATGAATGGACTCACGTTGTCCTCCATCACTTCGCACGCGCTCGCGGACTCGACGAACGCCGGCGTCGTCAAGAGTGATGGAGGCGCGCGGGAAGACTCGCCTCGGCGACCTCGGCTCGAGCTCGTCGCGGACGGCGAGTGCGATCCAAAACAGCCTGTGTTGTTCATCGTGCGTCCGGACTGCGTGAACGACGAAAATTCGATCGGACTCGATGATTTGCGGAGTGCGATGTACGGCTTCCTTCCGCACGGGGCGTCGATGGACGAGCTTCACGCGACTTTACAGTGCTCATTCGTATCCGCGTTCGAGTCGAGTGCGTCGACGGAGAGTCAATCCTTTGCGAAGCATGTGCGGGAGTTTTTGGATGGGATTCAAGGCGTAAACGCCCCAGTTCAGAGTCCAGAGGCGTCACTGAAAAGCGTCGTCAAGGCGGGCGGGGCGTCGGGTCGTGCACTCTGCGACATCGATCCCGCCAAGGCGTGTGAAGACGAGGCTTTCGTGCGTCAGCTCGAAGCTGCGGCGGTTGAGTGGTGCGCGGTGATGTCGGCGGCGAAGACGAGGAACGAAAGCGAAAGCGTGATCACGGAAGAATGTGCAGGGGCAAACGAAGGACCGCTAGTGGAGATTCGTCTGTGGCGCGCGCGACATAACGACTTGTCAGGTTTGGTGACGCAGCTCTCCGATCCGAGCATGGACATTGTGTTGGACGTGCTGGAACGATTTGCGGCGAAGCACACTGCTTCTGTCGATGAATTTTCGTCTCGCGTGCGCAACGTCGCGTCGGCGTTTAAAACGCTCTTGGGAGAAATCACACACTTACACAGCGTGAGTGCTGACAACATCAAGTTTTTGTCCACGCTCGAGAGTCATTTCAAAGTGTTGAGTGAGGCGCTGTTGCCGGACGTGCTCCGCGCCATCGCGCCGACGCTTCGCGCACTTCGAATGGTTTGGGTAATTTCGCACCACTACAGTGACGACTCTCGAATGGGTTCCCTATTAGAACGCCTGTCAGATGCGCTCATTCATCGTGTTCGCGAATCGGTAAACTACCAGGAACTGTTTGCCCAAGCGTCGAGCGGACTTGGGGCGCACGCCACGTTGCGCGACGTACAACTCTCAAAGTCGATTATGGAATCTTGGAAGAGCGAATATTTGAACGCGCGAGAAGAAATCGAACGTTCAAATAGGGATTCAAGGTGGGAGTTTGATCGCGAACGCTTGTTCATGAAGTCGGATTACGTTGCGGACGTTTGTGCGGAATTCAGCGAAATGGTTATCGTAGTGAGTGATTTCCGCACGTTTCTCAGTCCGCGTCTCAAAGCAGTGACTCTCGATGCCGACGGCGTGGACGAAATCTCTGCGCGAGTGGATGCGCTTTGCCTTACAATTGAAATGTCGCAGCTAGACATCTTCGACTCGGCGAACGCAGCGAGTTGGAAGGCGATGCACAAGTCTTTCGTGATGGAAAAGACGCGCATCGAACGCGCGCTGTGTAACTTCATCGACGCATGCTTCAAGAGGTTGCGCAGTAGTGCGGGAGCGTTCGCGCTCGTTCAAGAGCTGAAAAGTACAATGCACGCGGACGACGACGAAGTACTGTCTGGATCGACGCGTATGACACTAAACAGTCAAATTCTTGGCAAGATGCAAGACGTCCTTGAGCAATTTTCTCGCGAGATCGATTCGACCCGGCACATCTTCAACAGTCACCGCCGCTCACCACCGCTCAATCGCGACCAACCAACCGTAAGTGGATCGATTCATTGGGTAAGATCACTGTTTTACAAGCTGCGAGTTACCATGAAATCGTTCAACGCGTGCGTCGAGGATCAACGAGGTATTCGCGACACGCCGGCGGCGCAAGAGGTGAACGCAAAGTTTTTAGCCTTGGCAAAACTTATCATGAACTACGAGAAGCAGCGCGTGTTAACTTGGAAAGAAGAAATAGACTCTACTTTGACATCATGCCTTATGCAACCTATATTATCGAAGAATGAGAGTGGGGACGACGTGATTATGAATTTCCACCCAGCGCTCACAAGCCTAATCAAGGAGACTCGAAATCTGGAACGACTTGGCTTCGACATCCCAGCAGAGGCGCGTGGCGTGGCATTGCAAAGCGAAAAATACAGCGCTTATAGATGCACGCTTAGTAAAATGCTCGCTCATCGTCGCGACGTACTCGATTCACTGTCACCACTGGAGCGTCAACTCTTCCGCACGCGCGTGGCGGTACTGAATAGCGCGTCTCTTCATCGAGGACTGAAGACGTATAATTGGAACTCTTTGGGTATTCCTGACTTTGTCGCGGCGTACACAACGGAACTTAAGGACTTTACAACTGTTATAGATGGCGTGCGAACGCACGCTGGCGATCTAGAGCGGTCAGTGAAAAAGATCTCGGTCTCATCATTCGTCGATTGTGAAGCACTGTCAAAATCCGGCGTTGAGCGCGAAAGCGGCGAACTGTTCGCTCAACTCGCCGCGCAATGCAGCAAAACGGCTTCGGTAGTGCGAGAGGAATACGTCAACATCATGAATCTTTTGCTTTGTGTCGAAGAAATCGTTTTCGGCACACGCACCGGGAAGGTTGTGCATTTGAGGGAATACTATGCCTATTGGGAGAGCGAGATTTACGACGCTCTCGTTCTCGCTGCGGAGCGGAACATTCTTCGATTAAGGGAGTATTTTGACAAGTCGCTCCCTTCGAACATCACTCTGTTTAAACTAAATATAACTCTGCGAGCGGGAGAAATCGTGTGCGAACCGCCGTTGAAAGAGCTCATTCGATCCATTGCATACGCGGCGAAATCCATTGCAAATGCCGCCTCAGTGCTCGGCCGATGGATGGACGGCACTTGTGTGGGGATGCCCACGCGGCGAGCAACTTCGAGCTCAGATTTGAGCCTCTCCACTTTACTTGCCATAGAACTCGACGATGACGCATCAAACACGGTGACTCATGCGTTCAACTTTGGGAATGAGGTTTCAGCGAACGAACGCGTGTGCGACGCGATGAGCTCTTTGAGCAACGTCTCACATCTCTTTGCGGGTGAAATCCGCCGCCAGATGGAAGTGTGGAAGCGATACCAAGCCGTGTGGAAAGACGACAAAGATCTCGTGATCGAAAAACATACGGAAAATATGAACGCATTGAGTCTTCAACGCGCTTTACTTAGATACGAGGACGTCATGAAAGCCATGGATGAGGACGCGAGCGTGGACATCGGCGCTGTGCGGGTGCGAGCCGACAAATTGACCACCCTCATTAAGAACAAGAGCGCTCAGTGGATCAAAGACATCGGTGCCGCGACGTATCATGCTGACGTCAAACTCCTGAATGACCTTTACGAGCACATGGCGGCATGCGAGAATACATTTTCAGTCGACGCACGTGATTTCCTCACCATGAAGAATCTGGTAAAGACGGTCAGAGATGTGCGCGAAAACACCGCGACCGAAGTGACGGCAAGTGGAGTGAACGATCGATTTGCCGTGAGAATGAAATACAGGATAGAACACGATCCCTCTGATCTTGAGCGCGCATCGGCGACGATTCCATCTTTTGAAAAGCTCCGCGCGCGCGCCGAACGTGTTTACGAAGGCATGACGTTGAAGATTTCAGACTTCAAGACGGAACTGAAAAGAACGGCGCGCCTATTTCAGGAGGAATGTGATGGCTTCGCGAACAGGCTCAAGGCTGAAGGCCCGACATGCGCCGATCTTTTGCTAAATTTAGACGCCGGCTTCGAAAGTTTTGAGACGTTTAAAGAAGAAATTCTCGGTAGATTGGATGCATTGGCCGATATTAGAGACAGTGAGCGCGTCTTTGGCGTCGATCAATGCTCGTTTGAATCGCTTGAGCAAGCAAAAACTGATTTGGATTCCATGGCAAAGATATACGAATGTCAACGAGCGTATCGAGGTCAGTTGCGACAATTTTACGAAACGCTCGTTCCAGAGTTGGTCGTCGCGAACGTGTACGCCTCTGTCGTGGCTTTTGGTCGAACGCAGCTCTCGACGCTTCCGAAGAGTCTTCATTCGCATCGCCTCTTTGCGGCTGTCCGGGAAGAAATTGACGACATCGAAACTGATTTGAACCTCATCGAAAGCTTGAAAGTTGATGCAATTCGACCTCGTCACTGGAAGTCTGTGTTTCAGACTGTTGATTTTGACGACGAAACCGTAAAGAGCGCGCAACTCTCGATGCGACACTTGAGTGAGATGAAACTTCACGCGCACGCGCAAAAAATCATGGACATTACAGCGGCGGCAGAGAAGGAGCTAAAAATTGAAAACGACTTAATCGCGATCGATCGATCATGGCGAGAAATGCGCTTTGATCTTAGACCTTACTCCAAAGGCAAAAGCAAGAAGCACGCGCAGCCCACGTACGTGCTTTGCGCCGTGGAAGAAATTACGCTCGCGCTCGAAGACACGGGATTAACTTTGCAGAGTATGTCGGCAAGTCGGTATGCTGATCCGCTCATCGAAAGCGTGCGCGAGTGGGAAGGAACGCTCGCATTAGTGGCCAATGTTCTACAGGTGTGGATCGACACGCAGCAACGTTGGATGTACTTACTCAGCATTTTTGGTGGCTCAGACGACATACGCACGCAGCTTCCTGAGGAAGCTGATCGTTTTGACAACATCGATACTGAAATACGCAAACTCATGGCGGAAACTGTGAAGACTAAATTCGTTTTAGACATGTGCAAATCCGAAGGGCGCTTAGAAACGCTGAAGAACCTTCGCGAGGAGCTGGAGATATGTCAAAAGAGTTTGAGTCAATATTTAGACACAAAGCGGGACGCGTTTCCGCGCTTCTTCTTCATCTCCGACGAGGAGCTGCTTTCAATTTTAGGTGCTGCCGATCCGACACTAATTCAGGAGCACATGTTGAAGCTGTTTGACAACTGTGCAAAGCTGACGTTTACGTCTGATAAAGCGTGCGTAGTCGGGATTACGTCCGCAGAGGGGGAATCGTTCAAGTTCAAGTCGCCCGTAAAAATTCAAGGCCCTGTTGAGGATTGGATGTCTGCCGTCGAAGAAGAGATGCGGGCAACCTTACGCGCGTTGTGCAAGTATGGAGTCGCGCGATACATGACGTGCGATCGTGAAGAATGGATAAAAGAACAGCTTGGAATGATCACCCTTGTGGGGTCGCAAATTTGGTGGACCTGGGAAGTGCAAAACGTATTCAAATCGATTCGCTCGGGCGATAAACTCGCCATGCGGAATTACAGCGACAAGCTCTCGTCGCAACTCGAGGTTCTCACGAAAATGGTTCGAGGCGAGCTTAGCTCGTGCGAACGAAAAAAAGTGAATACGTTGATCATCATTGACGTCCACGCGCGAGACATCATCGACTCTTTCGTTAGAGATTCTGTTTTAGATGAGTCAGATTTTGCGTGGGAGTCGCAACTTCGTTTCAAGTGGGACAAGGCACGCGACGACATCGTCATCAATCAGTGCAGTGGTGAATTCAGATATGGTTACGAGTACATGGGTTTGAATGGGCGTCTCGTAATCACTGGTCTAACTGACCGCTGCTATATCACGCTCACTACGGCGCTGACGTATAGACTCGGCGGTGCCCCGAGCGGGCCCGCGGGCACAGGAAAGACGGAGACCACAAAGGATTTGGCAAAGTCCATGGCTTTGCTTTGCGTCGTGTTCAATTGTGGTGAAGGATTAGACTACAAAGCTATGGGGGCCATTTTTAGTGGTCTTGTGCAGTGCGGCGCGTGGGGATGCTTCGATGAGTTCAATCGCATTGAGGCTGAGGTGCTGTCCGTCGTCTCATCGCAAATTAAGCAGATTCAAGAAGCGTTGAAGCACAATTTGTCACGATTCCAGTTTGAAGGAAAAGAAATCAATTGCGACGCACGCACCGGTATTTTCATCACTATGAATCCTGGGTATGCGGGTAGAACCGAACTTCCGGATAACTTGAAGGCTCTGTTCCGCCCCGTTACTATGATTGTGCCGGATTTGGAGCAAATTTGTGAAATTATGCTCTTTAGCGAAGGTTTCAACGCGGCGAAAGCTCTCGCGAAGAAGATGACGATACTGTACCGCCTGGCTAAAGAGCAACTTAGCAAAAGATCGCATTATGATTTCGGTTTACGCGCGCTTAAATCGGTGCTCGTCATGGCTGGCGCGCTGAAGCGCGATGCGCCCGAGCTCGCCGAAGAGGTAGTTCTCATGCGAGCGTTGAGGGATATGAATCTGCCAAAGTTTGTATTCGACGATGTCCCACTCTTTTTGGGTCTGATCGCCGATTTATTCCCTGGACTAGACTGCCCGCGTGTTCGATATCCTACTCTCAACGATGTCATTGAACAAGACTTGGCCAAGCATGGCTATCAAGTGTTGACGCGCCCGGGCGAGCAAGTGGACAAAATTATTCAGTTGTATGAGACTATGTTGACGAGGCATACGACGATGTTAGTCGGCGAGACTGGTGGAGGTAAGTCTGTCATGCTTGAAACAATCGCTCGCGCGCAAACTACGATGGGTCGAAATACGAAGTTGTACACTCTAAATCCAAAAGCGCAAACGGTGGCCGAACTCTATGGCGAATTGGATCCGGATACGCGAGATTGGACTGATGGTCTTCTTTCGAATATTTTTCGCGAGTGCAACAAACCGATGGCTATTGGACGTGAGAACGACTTCAAGTATATAGTATTTGATGGCGATGTCGACGCAGTTTGGGTCGAAAATATGAATAGCGTAATGGACGATAATCGCCTACTGACGTTGCCAAACGGTGAGCGGATTCGTCTTCAAGACCATTGCAAGCTTTTGTTTGAGGTGGCCGACTTAAAGTATGCTTCTCCAGCCACTGTAAGTCGTTGCGGAATGGTGTACGTAGACCCCAAGAATCTCGGCTTCAAACCGTTCCTCAAGACTTGGTCCGAAGGTGTCGGCGCCAAGCACCGCGAAACGTTATTGCGTATGTTTGACAAGTACATGGATAGAATGACGGCATTTTGCTACGACGGCACAGAACTTGACGGGCGAATGATTTCAATCGTGCGAACGTCGATCGATCGACCGGTGATATCTGTGGTAAAACAGTTCACCATTTTGATGCAAAGCTTTTTGGAAGCTCTCGATGACTCCACCAGCGACGTGGAGACGAGCCAGGATGATGACTACGTTCGGGCGATCGAATCGGCTTTTATCTTCTGCTTAGTGTGGTCATTCGGTGCGACTATCGTTGAAACGTCTGGAAACTCTGATCGTGCGAGATTCGATGACTTCGTTAGGCGACTCGCCAATTTCGGCAACGTTTTGCCGGCGGGCGCGACGTTGTATGATTATGGCTTTGATATCACTCGTAACACGTGGTACGAATGGAAAAGTCTCACCACTCCACTCGAGGTGCCACCAAACACTCCATTTTCGTCGCTCTTGGTTTCAACCGCGCACACGGTTCGCACAAACTGGTTAATCGACCTCATGTGCTCTTGTGACGCGCATACGCTTCTCACCGGCGATAGCGGAACAAGTAAAACTGTTGTCGTGAAGAACTATTTACAAAAGAGATTGCAAGATGGAAAGACGAACACGGTGACGATGAATTTCAGTTCTCGTACGACCGCAAATGATGTGCATAGCTCGCTCATGGATGTGCTGGACAAGCGCACGAAGGACACGGTGGGTCCACCCGTCGGCAAGCGTTTATTGTGCTTCGTGGACGATTTGAACATGCCTGCCGTCGATAAGTACGGTACGCAACAACCAATCGCGTTGCTAAAACTCATGATTGGCCGTGGAGGCACGTACGACCGCGGACGTGATTTGAATTGGCTGCAGATGAAGGATATTCAGTACATCGCAGCCATGGGGCATCCCGGCGGCGCACGAAGCGTTGTGGACCCACGCTTTGTTTCAATGTTCCAAGTATTCGAAATGCAGACCCCGGATGAGACCAATCTTAAGGTAATTTATGGTTCAATCATAACGAATACGTCAAAAACGCTGGCTCTCAAGCCCGGGACGCACGAACTCGTCGTAGATATGACTTTGGATTTATATAAGAGCGTCGTCTCCAAACTTTTGCCGACGCCGAGCCGATTTCATTACATCTTTAACCTTCGCGACTTAAGTCGCTTGTTCGAGGGCATGTCGAAAGCGACGTCAGCAAAAGTTCGAAACACCCCAGATTTCTTGCGCCTGTGGCGAAACGAATCGATTCGCGTGTTTCACGATAGGTTGATTGCGGACAAAGATCGCGACTTCGTACTGGGAAAAGTATCGTCACTTATTCGCCATGGGTGTACTGATGACACTTCGCCGATCACATCCAACCCGATTTTATTCGCCGACTACAGTCCACTAAAACAAATCGATGGAAGTGGATCGTCAGATGAAGTCGATCCTTCTAGTCGACTACGCTCGTACGCTGACGTTGGCGATTACGCCACCATCAAACCTTGGTTCGAGGACCTCATCAATCGTCGTAACGCCAAACTCAGCGATGGCTCAGCACCGACTAAACTAGTCTTGTTTGATCATGCGCTAGAGCATATCACGCGTATTCATCGCGTACTTCGAACAGAAAATGGACATGCGCTTCTCGTCGGCGTCGGCGGAAGCGGCAAACAATCGCTCGCGCATCTCGCCGCTGATATGGCGGGTTGTGAAGTGTTTGAGATCACGCTGACGCGTGGCTACAACGATGAGTCGTTCAGGGAGGACTTGAAAAAGCTATACAACGTACTTGGGGTGCAAAATCATCCCACGATGTTTCTTTTCACCGACAACCACGTCGTTGAGGAAGGATTTTTGGAGTTAATCAACAACATGCTCACCACGGGTACGGTTCCCGCGTTGTTCGCCGATGAAGAGAAGGACGCTTTGGTGAATGCGATTCGTGACGATTTGCACGCGAATAAAATTTCTGTCACGCGCGATGAAGGTTGGCGATACTTTATTTCGCGTTGCCGAAAGAACTTGCACATCGTCCTCGCCATGTCTCCCGTCGGCGATACGTTGCGTCACCGTTGCAGAAACTTCCCCGGATTGGTGAACAACACTGTTATCGACTGGTTCACAGAATGGCCGAAAGAAGCATTGCTCGAAGTAAGCACTTCATTACTCATAAACGTAGATTTGCCAGAACAGTTCGCGGAGAAGATTAACGTGCACGTCGTGCACACGCACTGCTCGGCGATTGCTCTCAACGAAAAGTTCAAATCACAGCTGAAGAGACACAACTACGTCACTCCGAAGCATTATTTGGACTTTATCGCCGCCTATGAAGCAATGCTTAAGACGCAGCGCGCGTCAATTGAAACTTCAATCAAACGTTTGCGTGGTGGTCTCGACAAATTAATACAGGCGAGCACCGAAGTGGACGCAATGCGGACGAAGCTCAACGACGCGCAAATCGTCGTCACGCAGCAAGCGAAGGAGTGTGATGCTTTACTAGATCGCATCACGAAGCGCACGGCGGAAGTCGAAACTAAAGCAGCTAACGCAACGAGTAAAGAAGAAGATCTCATCAATGATTCAGCGCGTATCGCGAAGGAAAAGACGGAAGCTGAGGCAGACTTAGAGGCGGCAATCCCTGCTCTCGAAGAAGCCGCCGCGGCGTTGAATAATCTGAAAAAGGACGAGATTACCGAAATCCGATCGTTTTCTAAGCCAAACATCGCGGTTCAGCGAGTATGTGAATGTGTGATGATTCTCAAAGGACTGCCGAACGTCTCGTGGTCTGGAGCGAAAGGCATGATGGCAGATACAAATTTCTTAAGATCTCTCGTCGAGTTTGACAAGGATGGCATCAAAGAAAAACAGATGAAAGCCATTCGCGAGTACACAAAAGACTCAAAATTCAAGCCCGATGAAGTGATGAAGATTTCGACTGCTGGTGCCGGTCTGCTGAAATGGGTGTTTGCTATGATTAATTACAACAAAGTTGCTCGCATGGTGAATCCAAAGCGCGCCGCCGTCGCAAACGCGGAGAAGACGTTGAAGATTAAAGAACGCGAATTGGTTGAAACGAAGTCTGAGTTAAAGAGCTTACAGATCGAGCTAAAGCAACTCAGCACGCAGTTCGAAGAGAAGAGCGCGCGTCAGCAAGACTTGAAGGAAAGTGCCGAGCTAATGGCGAACCGTCTCGCCGCCGCCGAACGACTCATCTCGGGACTGTCGAGCGAAAAGGTCAGATGGACGAATGAGATGCAAGAACTGAATTCCCGTAAAGAGCGACTTGTTGGCGATTGTTTGATCACTTCCGCGTTCTTGTCGTACGCTGGAACGTTTACGTACGAGTTTCGTAAACAATTCGTTCACGATCATCTTGAGAAGAATTTGCTGGAGCTCGGCATACCGTTGAGTCAACCATTCAGACTCCAAGCGTTACTCACAGATGACAACGAAATGAATTCTTGGCTCGCCGAAGGGTTGCCAGGTGATGAGCTTAGCGTACAAAACGGTATACTCACCATGCGCGCCGAGCGATTCCCGCTGTGTATCGATCCGCAGATGCAAGCGGTAAAGTGGATCAAATCTCGCGAGGGCGCGCAGCTCGAAGGTAAGATTAAACGTCAGACCGACGCAGACTTTTTGAAACAACTCGAGCTCGCCATTGAATATGGTTTACCATTCTTGATAGAAAACGTGGGCGAGTACATTGATCCCGTTTTGGACCCGGTGCTGAAGAAGAGTTTCTACTACGCTCCAAACGGAGCGAAGATGATCAAGCTTGGCGATTCTGAAGTTGAGTGGGACGACAACTTCCGCCTGTACATGACGACGAAACTTCCAAATCCCCATTACGATCCAGATGTGACGGGTAAAACGATTATAATCAACTACTCTGTCACTGAGCTCGGGCTCCAAGAGCAACTTTTGAATGTCACGGTGAAGCAAGAGCGCCCAGATCTTGAAACAGAGCGAGAAAAACTCGTCAAGGAAACCGTCGCGAATCGAGCACTGTTGAAGAAACTCGAAGACACGTTGCTTTATGAGTTGTCCACCGCACAGGGTGAAATCGTTGATAACGTGGAGCTCATCGAAACACTCGAGAGCGCGAAGACAAAGTCTACAGAGATTTCTGAAAAGCTCGTGGCGGCGGCGCGTTCGGCGAAAGAGTTAAACAAGGCACAGTCGTGCTACTCTCCCGTAGCAAAGCGCGGCGCGATACTCTTCTTCGTCATTTCAGCGCTCTCTAATCTCAACGCGATGTACGAGTACTCACTTTCGAGCTTTTTGGATGTGTTCTGCAACACGCTTCATGTCACGCCCGTGCGCGATCAACTGGACGAGCGCTTGAGTGATCTTGTGGATAGGTTGACGTACGACGTGTACAAATTTGCATGTCTCGGTTTGTTCAAGCGCGATAAACTCGCGCTTTCGTTTCAAATGACTACGAGAATCGAAGACGGTGATGGACGATTGAATGGCAACCTCCTACGATTCTTCCTCAAGGGCAACGTCACGCTTGACGCCGCCTCCGGGGATTCGCAACCGCTTCCATGGTGGTCCGAACGTGGTTGGCAAGATTTAATGCATTTAGACGAGCACATCGCGGCTAATGACGACAAGTGCGCAACACTAAACGGAATCGTCGATCGAATCACGTCCAACGCCGATGCGTGGCGCGCATGGTACGACTGCGAACAACCCGAATCCGTAGCGCTTCCAGATGGTTACTCGGCGTCGCTGTCCAGTTTTGAGCGCCTATGCTTGTTGCGTTGCGCTCGATTAGATCGAGTCACGGTGGCGGTGTCGAACTACATCACTGAAACCATGGGTTCAAGATACGTAACGCCTCCGATTTCAGACTACGAAAGCATATTTAAATTGTCTTCCGCGCAGACACCTGTGGTGTTCATTCTCTCCCCTGGCGCAGATCCGGCGTTTGATATTTTTGCGTTGGGAGAAACGATGGGATTCAAGGCAGGAGGCAAACTGAAGTTCATGGCCCTTGGGCAAGGCATGGGACCTAAAGCCGAGGAACTTATTCTTACGTGCGCCTCGCGAGGTTTGTGGCTCATGTTGCAAAACTGTCATCTTCTCCCCAAATGGCTGCCGGCGCTCGAAAAAGTCGTCGACGGATTGGCGAACCCGCACAAAGACTTCCGTTTGTGGCTCACCACCGACCCGATCAAAACGTTCCCGATCGGTATTCTGCAAAAAAGTCTCAAAGTTGTCACAGAACCCCCCGACGGGCTCAAGATGAACATGAAGGCGTCGTACGCGAGATTGTCCGAAGACGTCTTGGGGAGTTGCGCGAACCCTTTCTTTAGATCTTTAGCGTACGTGCTGGCCTTCTTCCACGCTGCCGTGCAAGAGCGACGAAAGTACGGTAAGCTCGGATGGAACGTTGCGTATGATTTCAACGAAACCGATTTTCGAATTTCGTTCAGTTTGATCAAGACTTATTGTAACAAAGTTGCCGCCGTGAACACCGGCGGCGGCGGCTCGAGAATGATTCCGTGGGCGGCGTTGAAATATCTCATAGGTGAGGCCATGTACGGTGGACGCGTGAGCGATCATTACGATCGACGTATCTTGAGCGCGTATCTGGACGAGTACTTTGGCGATTTCTTATTTGATGGCTTTCACAAGTTCATGTTTTACGCCGACGAAGAAGCTCGAGTTCGTTATGAGTTGCCGCCGCCGGAATCTTCGTACGACGAGCAATCGCGCGTCATCGATGAACTTCCAGACGCGCAGACACCTGAAGTACTCGGGCTTCACGCCAACGCAGACGTCGCACACTCTACACGAGCAGCGAAAGCGTTATGGTCTAACGTCTTATCGCTCCAGAGTAAACTCTCCATTTCGGCTTCGTCGAACGACGAGAGCGCTGGCTCGAGCGATGGAAACGGCGCCTTGCTCGCCATCGTCAACGAAATCTTAAACGTCGTCACGAACGAAGATTTCGAGTTTGACTTGATAAAACTCCAGCGTCAGCGCGGAGATGAAGTTCCATCGCCGACGACCGTGGTACTCTTCCAGGAGATTGAGCGTCACAACGCGTTAAAGCTGGTGCTTCGACACTCGTTGCGAGAGCTCGTCAAGGCGCTGAGTGGGGAAATCGGCATGTCGCGAGAACTCGACGCCGTCGCGGATTCACTCTCGCGCGGGCGCTTACCGGAGGAGTGGAAAAGTGTCGCGCCACCGACAGACAAAGACGTACAATCTTGGATGACGTGGTACAAGACGCGGGAGAAGCAGTACAAGTCGTGGGCCGTCGACGGCGAACCAAAAGTCATCTGGCTCAGCGGTTTACACTGCCCGGAAACGTACATCGCGGCACTCATTCAAACCGCGTGTCGCTCTCGTGGTTGGCCTTTAGACGCGAGCACGATGTATACGGAAGTCACCCCGTACGTTTCCGCGGATGAAATCGACGCCAAACCCGAGATAGGCTGTTACATCTCGGGTTTATTTCTCGAAGGCGCGATTTGGGACGCCGAACGCCGCGTCCTGGCGCATCCAAGCGACCGCGGCTTGGCGCGCGAGCTCCCCATCCTGCGTCTCGTCCCGATAGAACGCACCACGATGCCCTCTTCTTCCTCCTCCTCATCGACAACGAACGCTTTCAAAGCGCCCGTGTACTTCACTCAAAGTCGTCGCGACGCCATGGGTCGCGGTCTCGTCTTCCAAGCCGACTTGGCCTCGAGCGAGCACGCGAGCGCGTGGATCTTACGCGGCGTCGCGTGCGTCTTAAACATCGACGCGTGATCCGACGTCGATCTCACTCGTGTTTAAATAATCACACCATCGGTATTTCACGCGCCACGTTCGAACGCGCCGGGTTCGCGCGTCGTCGTCGTCGTCGTCGTCCCCGCGCGTCCGACCCGTCCCGTCGGCACTCTCGCCCTCGCGCGATCGAAATTTCGTCATCCTGATCATGAGCGTCGATGCCGCGAACCGTCGCGTGAAATCCATCGCCGCCCACGTCGGCGCGAACGCGTCCGCGACGAACTCGTTCGGGTCGTATCGCGGCGCCGCATCGGTGCGTCGCGTCGTCGCGTCGTCGCGAAAGATGTCGCGAAAAGTCGTTACGGCGGCGAACGCGTGAATGAATGAATGAATGAATGAATGAATGCGCGCGACGGCCGCGGGACGCTCGACTGACGACGCGCATCGACGCACAGGGATTCGCCAAATCGCCGGATGACGTCGTCATCGTGAGCGCGTGCAGAACGCCCATCACGCGAGCGAAGCGAGGCGGATTGGCGGCGACGCCGGCGGATGACTTGATCGCCGCGGTGCTGCAAGCGAGCGTGGCGCGAGGGAAAATTGATGTGAACGATGTCGGGGACATCGTCGTCGGATCGGTGCTGGGAGCGTCGAGTCAAAGGGCTAACGAGTGCAGGATAGGAATGTTTCTCGCGGGGTTTCCGAAGGAGGTGCCGGTGCGAACGACGAATCGACAGTGCTCGTCGGGGTTGCAGGCGTGCGCGGACATCGCGGCGGGAATCAAGGCTGGGTACTACGATATGGGAATCGGTGCGGGAGTGGAGACGATGACGGCAAATCCGATGAAGTGGGAAGGCGGGATTAATCCGCGAATCGCGTCGTCGAGCGACGCGCAAAACTGCTTGATTCCCATGGGCATCACGAGCGAAAACGTGGCGGAGAAGTGGGGGATCACGCGCGAGGCGCAGGATACGATGGCGGCGCGATCCCACGCGCGCGCGGCAAACGCGCGCGCGAGCGGCAGATTCAAGGCTGAAATCGTGCCCATTCACACGAAAACCGCTCCGGATCCCAAAACCGGCGCCGGCGGCGGCGCAAACGTCATCGTGTCGGAGGACGACGGTATCAGAGAGGGCACAACGGTTCAATCGCTCGCAAAACTCCCGGCTGTGTTCAAGAAAGGCGGCAGCACGACGCCGGGCAACGCATCGCAAGTTTCCGATGGTGCCGCCGCCGTCGTTCTGGCGCGAAGATCGTACGCAGAGGCGCGCGGCTTGCCGATTTTGGCGACTTGGCGCTCGTGGGCCGCCGTCGGCTGTGACCCAGCCCTCATGGGCATCGGTCCCGCGATCGCGATTCCCGCGACGCTGAGTGCGGCGAACATGACTGTCGATGACGTCGACCTGTACGAGATAAATGAAGCCTTCGCGTCGCAGGCGACGTATTGCGTCGAAAAGTTAGGGCTCGATTCTGAAAAAGTCAACGTTAACGGAGGCGCCATCGCGTTAGGCCATCCGCTCGGCGCTACAGGCGCGAGATGTCTCGCGACACTGATTCACGAGATGCACCGACGTGGCGCGAAGACCGGTGTCGTCAGCATGTGCATCGGCAGCGGTATGGGGATGGCTTCGGCCGTGTCAATCGATTAGACCTGAGCTCATGCAACGAGTTTCATTAGTTCTGCCTCGTCTCTCGAGGACAATTTTGCTATAACAATTCTACATCTACATCTACGCGCTGAACGCGCGCGTGAAGGATTCTGAAAACACAGACGATACATCTATTCTACGTGCGTCGCGAACTTGCGCTTGAGATCCCAGAACGAGCTCTGCACTTTCGTCTCCAAAACCGCCAACGCGCGAACGTTCGGCGCGTACGCCTCCAAGTGCGCGTTCAACTCTTCGTTTGGTTTCTCATCGCGAGCCTTTCCGTACGCGTCTTTGCCACCGTGCATCCCAAATGCTTCCGGTAGCGCGTAATTCGGCCCTAGTGGCGTCACGGTCGCACCGATACGCTTTTCGATGTCCTTCAAAAGTTTGGGTTCGTCGTACCAAATCGTGTGTCCGCCGTCAGACGTGAGCTTGACGTCTTCAGGTTTCGGCTCAAACCACGGCTTGTAGCCTTTCTTCGTGCAATACCACACTCGCTCGTTCCTTGAGGCGACAATGGAAATCGCCAGACCCATCGTGTCCGCCCGACCTACTCTGCCGATGCGATGGATGTAGTCCTCGCTGCGATCCGGCAACGTCAGGTTGATGACGTAGGGCAGGTTCTTAATGTCGAGCCCTCGAGCGGCGACATCGGTGCATATCAGAAATCTCACGTCACCATTTTTAAACGCTTGTAAGTTTCGACGCCGCTCATCCATGTGGCGCGAACCTCCGAGGACACAGCACGAATACTTTCCTTCGACGCCGCCGACCAACGGCCCCCGGAATCTCTTCCCTCCGCCGCATTCGTTGAGAAACTTTTCCAAGTTGTCGCAATCGAAATTCGTTCGACAAAAGATCAAGCACTGATCCATATCGTGCGCATCTATGATTCTACGCACGATGTGCGGTTTCAAGCGCTTGATAGACTCGCTCATGGCGTCGTCGCCCTCGAGCTTTGTCGCGAGCGAGTGCAGACGATCCGTCGGCGCCGCGGGTGAGAGCGATTCGACGTCCTCTGTTGCTGGGTCCACGAGCACCAGGGCGTGATGCACCGTCTCGGGCACCGCCTCCTTACCTTTCAAATCTACCCACGTGGCGTTGACGGTGAGAAAATCGGCGAGTTTGCGAATCTCGGGCGAGTGCAACGTGGCGGAAAAGAGCATCACCTGTAATCGCTGCGCCGAGGACTCGGCGTGCTTGGGCATGCGCTCGAAGAGCTTCAAAATCGGCGCCTGATTGCCGGTGTCGAGCAAGCGGTCGGCCTCGTCCAAGACGAAGATACGACACGCGCTGAGATCGAGCTTACCGTTCATGGCGAGCTCCAGGATGCGAATCGGCGTTCCGGTGACGATGTCCACGCCGTCGCGCAATTGCTGATGCTGCGGTCCCTCCTTCACGCCGCCGATGAACAACCCGGGCACGAGCGTGGGATCGCGAAACTCCGACGCAAAGTTCACGAAAAACTCGTGCGTTTGTTCGGCTAAATCGCGCGCGGGTTCGAGAATCAGCGCGCGCGGCTTACGCGCGCCCGCTTCGAGCGTGTCCCCGGCGGAGGCGTCGTCGCCGTCCACGGCGTCGCAGCCTCGCAGCGATCCGAACGCGACGTATCCTTCGGGCATCGGGTACTTGAACTCACTTTCCACCAAGCGCACGACGCACTCCGCGTTTTTCACGCACACCGCCGGGAACAACCCGTCGCATTTCGCGCTCTGTTCGCTCAATCGAAACGCCTCGCCGAGCGCTTTGCCGTTTTTCGTAAACGTCACGACGCCGTTTTCTAAATCTAGCAAGCATCCCACGCAATCGCCCTTACCAAACTTCTCCCCGTAATCCTCAAACGATTTGTTGTGCGATTTCTTCCCCGTCCCCCCGTACCCGTACGAGTGCGCGTCCGCGCCGAGACCGTCCAGCGCGCCGAACCGACTCGAGTACCCGCATCGCGCCAACCCTTCGTCGCGCGCCTCGACTTCAAAGCACACCTTTAAAGCGCGTTCCGCCCCCGTTCGCGGGTCCGCGCCGAATCTTCCCCGCACGCCCCCCCAACTCTGCGTCGCTCGGCTCTGCACGACGTTCGCATCGTAATCCACCGCGCACGTCGCGCTTCGAGCGTTCGCGCTCAAACCGCGCCGTCGCGCCGAGTTGGCCAAAATTTCCACGTCTCGCGCCTTTTCCGTCGTTTTCCTGCGCGCATCCGCGCGCTCGCGATCGATCGCTTCGTGCACGAGCTGCAGCGTCGGCGCACCGAACGCGAACGTCTTCCCGCTCCCGGTTTCCGCGCTCGCGAGAACGTCCCCACCGGTCAGGGCCAGAGGAATGGCTTCGCTTTGAATGGGCGTCGGTAGCGCGTACCCCGCGCGATCGGCGGCGACGATGAGCTCCGGGCACAGCCCGACCTCTTCGAAAGCCGCGCTAGACATGACGCGCGCGCGATTCTCGACGACGCGACTCGCGAGCGCGCTGAGAAGTGCGGCGAGCGCGCGAGGCGAGCCGCCGCGAACGCGCGCGAGTCACCGAAAACGCGCGCGCGCTGGACGTTCGATCGCGGTTACAACGCCAATCTCGCGAACTATCGTTTCGTTCCCTTCTTCTTCGATTTCTGTCCCGCGCCCGCGCCCATGCGCTCGACGCGCGTTCGCAGCGTCTCGACGTCGCCGTCGCCGTCCACCTTCGCCCTCGCCTCGCCCTCCCGAAACGTCTTTCGCATGTTATACGCGTCCTCGCCGTCCGCGTAGTACTTCTCCTCCACTCCCACGCGCTCGTATCGCAGCACGTCCCGATACAGATGCAGCGCCGCCTCGTTGCTCACCCGCACGTGCAGACTCACGTCCTTGGCGTCGTACACCTCCTCCAGCGCCGCGTGCGCCGCGCGCATGAGCGTCGCCGCCAATCCTAATTTCCGATGCGTCCGCAGCACGCTCAGCGACGTGATGTGTCCTCGTATCTCATCCGCGCACTCCTCGTCCAGCTTCGCCAGGACGTACCCGACGATCGCGCCGTCGCAGTCGGCGACTTGCAGCAGCGCCGGCCACGCCAGGGCGTGGTACAGGTAGTACTTGAGCTGATAGTTTTCGGGCAGGCACAGCAGGTTGCATCGCTGCATCGCGTGCAGGTCATCGATCGTCGCCGCGCGCACGCACACGCCCATCGCGTCTCGCGTCGCGGTCTGCGGAGGCGGGGCGACCGGGACGACGCGATGCGACGCGATGTGACGCGATGTGACGCCGGCGCGCCGCACTCCGCGACGCGAGACGCGAGACGCGAGACGCGACGCGCGCGAGACGCGAGACGGACGTCCGCGACGCGCGATATGACGACGCGCGCGAATCGCGGCGCGACGGCGACGGCGACGACGACGAGGATGAAGACGAAGATGAAGATGAAGATGAAGATGAAGACGGCGTCGACGCGCGCGACGTCGTCGTCGGACGCGTCGTCGTCGGCGGCGGCGGCGAAGGACGAGGAGGACGACTGCGTGCTCGCGACGAAGTGCGCGCGCATGGCGAACTTCGTGTACAAGGGCGGCGGCGTCGAGTCGTGGATGGCGGACGACGGTTTACAGACCAAGGCGAGAGGCGTCACCGGAGCGACCGGTTGGTGCGTTTGCGACGACGTCGAAAGGAACGCGCGATTCATCGTCGTCAGGGGCGCGGCGTGGAGCCAGCCGGATACGGATAGGAATAAGTTGTCGTGGCAAATCGCGAAGATATGGCCGCAAGCGTTGCGAAAGGATCGAAAAACGCCGGTGGTGTGTCATCAAGGGGTGTACGAGATGGTGGAGGAGTTTTGGAGGGACCTGGTGCCCTGGTTGAGCGATGAGACGTTCGATGGGACGTATTATTTCACCGGGCACTCGCTCGGCGGGTCGATGGGACTCGTCGTCGCCGCGAGGGCGAGAGAGTTGGGATTGGAAGAGGCGAGAGTGGGAGGGGTGTACACGTTCGGTGCGCCGCCGGTGTTGGCGTACGATCGATTGGCCGGAAACGGTCCCGGTTCGTCGATCGACGACGAGCCAGAGGTTGGCATGGATGAGATTTTGCGGCTCGTCGGATTCACGCGCGGCGCGTCCTTGGTGAAGCAGTACGTGTTGGCGAAAGACGTCATTCCAAGGATGTGGCTCTCTGCCGATCCCGTGTTCGTCGCGGCGACGAAAACCGATTTTATAGGCGGTTTACTCGATTGGCGCCGCGAGACGTTCGGGGAAGGGATGTTCACAAAGAATAGATTCTTGTACGAATCCATCGGCGATTTGTATTGGCTCGAGTACGCCGACGGCGAGCAAGGAAAACCGACGTTGAGTCGGTACGGCGGCGACGACGTCTTGACGAAGCTTCGGATGAATTTAGACGACATCACACAGTCGCCGCTCACGGCGTGGCAAACGATCGGTGATCACAACTCGCAAGCTTACGTCGACGCGTTGCAATTCCTCACCATTCGTCGCGTCATCAACCCGTCCAAACGCTAGCTCCGCACTTCTAGGGATCTATTGTCTATTATTCAATATCTATGCTCAGCTACAGTATTTTTAGGAGATTGCGCCGAGGTGCCACAAGCGATGCTTCATGAGATACACGTGGTCGTACATGTCGAGTCCGCCGTTTACGAATAATCGCAGCTGAGGTATCGCCGCGCTCGCCGAGCGCATCGTCTCGCGGAACGATTCACCACTGGGAAGGTTTTGGCGCTCAAGCGCTTTTGCAAACACGCTCGCACCGAGAATCGCGTTGCTGATTGGTAAGAAACAGGCCTCGTGCCCCGCGATGCCGCCCACCCACACGTCTTCGGGAGACGCTCGCAGCGCGCGCAACATGCATTCGATTCGCTCGGTGACGTCTCTGAGACCCTCCCTCGCGCGTTCAACATCGAGCGTCTGCGAAGCGTGAGTCGCAGCGATCTGCGCCAACAACAGAGGTTCGGCGTGTATATTATCTGCTTCCTTATCGAAGAGCCGACGAACACTCGTGGCGTTGGAAATGACACTCGCAAAGCTAGCCTCGTCGTGCGCCAAACCGCGAGCGAGTTGGACGCAGTAATCATCGAATTCTCTGAGGCCGGCAAAGTTGGAGTGCATGTGTGCGAAAGCGTCGCAAAGACTTTCTTCACTATGAGCGCTAGGTACCGTCGGGGCCACTGCGCGAGAGATGGCGATGGATGCCTTCGCGCGGATTTCAACATCCTCGTCTTCGACGAGCGTCAACGCGCATTTCCATGTCGACAACGCCACTTGTGCCGGAAAGTCGTGACTCGACTCCTGTCGTTTAACGTTCTCAAGATTGAGGTATAGCAACAGATCCCCTCGAGCGAGTGCGTCGACAGCGGCGCGACGAGTCTCCGCGGACTGCGCAGGTGCAGATCCAATGGACAAAGCACGCGTAAACTTGTCCAACGACTTGAAATCGTCAATATTCAACGAACCGTTTTGTTGGGCAATGCGACGCTTGTACAGCACCGCAAGACATCGCATGCCTTCCGATCGCACGCGCTCGTTTATGCTCGAAAATGTAATGCTTTCGACGGCGGTAAAAACGGTCGACGAGACATTCGCATCGCTGCTTGCCGTCCACAAATCGATGCACTGAAGCGCGCGACGTGCGCACGTGTGTCGCGACTCTGTCGCGAGATTTTCCGCGGCGAAATGACGCAACTTATCGCTCAAAACTTTCGTATCTTTCGTAATGGGTGTTTTGAACATGGTTTTGTACGCCTCAGCGCGGTATTCATACGGCAAGTCTTGACTGATAGTATCGAGCAACGCCGTCAAGGCGTCGCCCGTGTCCAAATTCGCGCAAAGGCCATCATTCAGCGGCACGAGCCAAGAATCGAATCCTAATGTGAGTCGTACTCGCGCTCCTGCCGCTGTTCTATGCCACTCAGATGCCCCTGGATGACCTTCCGCGTTTGCCGATAGTACTGGTGCGGCACACTGCCAAATCATTCGCAACATTTCACCGATCGCGTTTTCATCCCCCGTTGTTCGGCACGCGCAATTTGAGCGCGCGCACTTGCGCTTTGAGTTTTCAATCGCGACAATGGCTTCAGCACATCTCAGCCATGTCGCAGAAATCATCGGACACGGCGCTCCGACGGCACACTCGGCGAATGCGACTAAGCGCCGGGACGCGTCGGCGGAGAATGCCGCCCAGCACACGTCATCAGAGAACGCTGACCGTCGGACTTCGTTGATGACTTCGAGGAAACACAGCAACGCTCCGTGAATGGCGTTGAGGTTTACTTTATCGACGAGCTCGAAGGTGAATATCTTGTCGATGTACTCGCACAAACGCGTGGACGGTAGAATGGGCACCATAGCGCGCGCCGCGGCGGTGCGCACGGCGAGATATCTACCCGACATGCATCGCACGAGCGGAACGAAGAAGTCGTCGCCACATTTACCATCGGTGTACGCGCTCTTGTCTTTGTCCAAGCTCGGTCTCAATCGAGAGAGTAGAGCTAGTATTGGATACAAGCTCGGATGGACGTCGAGTGACGTCTCCAAACACGACAGGCTCGTTGCCTTTTCGAGTTCGGCGCCCAAATACGTCATGAGTGTTGGGAACCTTTGGAAAAACTCGACGAATTTCACCTCGTGACGACCGTCAGCGGTGAAATGGCGCGCGCGCGTCACGGTGTTCATGTAACCACACACTTTGGTCAAGAGCGACGCAAAAGCCAGTGTCGCGGCGTTTTGAATCTATAGCATCGTCGAGGCAAAAGTCAGTCGAAAAGTTTGATCAGCAAACATCGATAAGCGAATGTTGAGTTCGAGTTTCCAAACGCCCGCTGGAGCACGCGGGCGCTCTTTGTTCGAACTCCTTGAATGTTGCTGGGGAACAAGCCATGCGCCCAATCGCAAGGCTAAAGCACAGGCAACGATACCTCCAGCGTGGCGCGGCGAGAAAGCGAGAACGAATGCGCGTGACAATAGAGGACGTACCTCCCAAGTTGGCGAAGAGAAAGCGTCGATGCACACCTGCACACCTCGCGCGGCGTACGGTGTGGTGTCCATCGTCAAATCTCGATCGGCGAAAATGACACGAATAACGTTGAAGGCATGCACTCGGGGAATGTCCGAGCTCACAACACCAGATGCAATATCGAGCAAGCGAGGGAGCGCGCCGTCAAGCGCCAGTCTCGGTTGTCCTTTTGGTTCGGCGAGAAGGATGGACATGAACGCGTACGGTAAGCCCGCCGAACGTCGAACGCGATCACGAATGCCTTGACCAGGGCGATTGAGTTGATCAAGAAGGTCTTCAAGCCAACGCTGCGGTAACGCTTTCATAGCAGCGTCGTCCGATCGCATCAAGCGTGAACAAACTGCAGTCATACCGATGCGTGTTTTCTCGAGAGCACCGGTGTGTTTTACGGCGAACAACACTTTCATCAAGCGCTCGCCCGTCGATTTGATCGCATCGAACGAAAATACATCCGTGGACGAAGCTATGATTTCACCCGTGAGTAGGCTCGTTTCCTTCACCGTCAGCCAGCACGCTGTCGTGATGATTTGAGCCTTGGGCGCGAGATCGAGTGATGCGTCGTCGTCAACATCCTCGGCGTCGTCCATGAGATCGTCGTGTTGTAGAGTTTTGACCTCCTCCGCCGTCGCACCCAAGGCATCAGGCTGACTAATGAAGTCCAAAGCCAAATCTGTGGCGCGTCCCGCGAGCGCCATTAAACGACTCGCGGAGTCCTGCGAATAGAAGTAGAAATGTGAGTTCAGTCAACGTCGCAACGAACCGCGTGACGGGATGAAGAAAAAAAAAGAAAACATCGAAAGAGCTCGGTCCTGGCCAGGGTTGTTTATTGTTCGATTCAGCCGACGGTTATCCGACATGGCAATTCGGTAGAGGGAGCCTGGTTTTCTTCATCGCCTTTCGAAAGAAGTGTCGAAAACACGTAGCGCGCGAGGCACGACTGAACTCACCTGTATTCGCTTCTGAGTCGACTCGTCGAATTTGCCATTCAAATCAATCTCACAAAGTGCAAATCTCGTCAAAAGAACGGCACCATGTGCAAGTGAGCGTTGACTCGCTTTCATGACGTCTCGTTCCGCGAGCGCAATATCTTGTTCGAGTAAGTCGCACAGCGATTCCATGACCTGGATAGTAGCTCCTGATTTCGCCACGTCTGCGGCGTCTCTCGCGTGTTCGACGACCTGAGTAACTGGACCAAGGTGGATACGCCAGTTCAAGTCGAAACCGTATTTACGAATGAGTAAACGAATCAACAGCGCCGCCGCACCACTTTCACGAACGCGAGGCGATCGTAAAAGCTGCAAAGCCCACTCGAGCCGTTTTGCAAGTATTTCTGGAGTCTCGATACCCGCCAGCGGTGCCGGATGCCTTCGCAATAAATCAAACGCAGTCATTCGCAATTTCTCCCAGCTGTCCACGAGAGCTCCGAGCAATAGATTCGTAAACGCTTCATCCCTCATGTATGCGTCGTACGGCGAAGTCAGCAACCGTCGCGCGATGATGACGTCGTGGCCATGTTCGACCGTTCCGTGTTTCTCAGTAAGTTCAAAATCATCAGCAGTCTTCCACGTATCCGCAATCACGTTTAATAGCTCCAGTGCGGTGCAACGTCGCTCGAATGGCGCGCCTGGATACACGTTTGCAATCAACACGCATACGATCTCCGCGACGAACGCATGCACCTCTGTCGCGCGCTCGATATCCGACTTCAAAGGATCATCCTTTGCTCGGTTTGTGACGATGCCCTTCTTAATCGCAGCTTCTCCGCGACGTCGGACTTTTTGTCCGATTTGATTGACACCAGTCCACATACGCACGAAGACTTTAGACACAAGCGTCACGATGGCGCTCCGAAAGGAAACCGATTCTCTGTGTGCGGACGAATGAAAAATCGAAGGTTAGTCGAGAAGCGATCAGCAAGTCATCGCGCGGTACGCCGCGTGAAACGGTCGAGCTCTCCGAATGAGTAGGAGGTTAAGGATGCCTCATAGTCGTCAGCGCCTTAAAGGATTGTATCGTCATAGAGCTCGAGTAAATTGTGACGAGCGATAAGGAAACGCACCCTCTGAGATTGGCGGAAACCATGCGCTTCAATAACTTGAGTTCGTATGACCCTGGAAGTGTGGCCGAGCCGCGTCGCCCTTCCAGGCAAAGCCATTCGAGCACATCGAGACGCGCGGTTTTGTCCACGCTCGCCATGGCGTGGTCGATAACGATTTGGTCAACCTCATATGAAGGCGTCGAGGCGTCTCCGTTAGCCGCCGCCCGAACGACGGTGATGCGACTGGGATCAACCATTTGTAAATTACGAGCCACTTTGAGCACGGAAACGACGGCGGCGATGAGATTGTCGTTCCGATAGTCTCGTTTAGCTTCATTCGAGAGATGCTTCGTAAACTCGATGACGGATTCGCCGTCCTGTTTAAAAAAGAGCGGCAGGACATAAGTCACGATCGGCGCGCGTGCCTTGGATTCCGCGGACACGCAACGTGTCACACACGGAAGCCACCACTCGCGCCACTTTGAAATGGATTTGAGTTCGCTCATGTACGCACTCGACAAGTCGGCGAGCATACTGGATGCCGCGGGTGCAATCGACGCCTCTCGCATGGCGTCGAGCGTTTTTGAGAGTAAATCCAAATCCGCCGTAAGAATGCGTGTAGCGCCAAACTTGGTAATGAGTACGCGCAGGGCGAGGTACTTGCTCTTCTGCTCTGCTGGCCGTCGCAACGCTCGCGAGATAACGCGATCGACATAATCATCGTACTGCGCCTCAAATGAATCGACGATGATATCGAGCAACAACCCAAAGCACGTCTGGATTTCTCGCACGGTGTGCCCGAAAGTGTCTTCCCATCGCGACGCGATGACAAACGCGATGCGATCAAACGCGTCTCTTGGAAACGTTTTCAACGCACCCATCGACGCGGCCGACTTCATCTTTTCTAAAGCTACTTTCAAACACGTAACAGCGTGAAATCTATGATGAACATCATCGCCGTGCTCGATAAACTCGCAAATGGCCGGCAGCACGTCGTGAAATATCGCGTCACCGTCTCGCCGACGTGCGAGGGCTGCGTCGTCAGCCGTGATGATAAATCCACGAAGCACAGCAAGCGCACCGAAAGATGACGCTCGCATCGTTTCGTCTGCACTAGCCACTCGGGTCGCGGCGCGCAAGAGCGCGCTGCCATCGCAAGCACCGCGCGCTCCGGCAAAAAACGTCGCCTCCAATGCCTCGAGCGACGTCTCAGGACGATTGTCGTCGCAACACGCCCTCGCGAGCGTCACACCCGCCGTGAACGTCGCGTCTCTCGACGGTGCACTGTCAAGCGTCAAAAACGCGTACAGCGCCCGCAACACGGGCTCCAGCGTCGTCGCATCTTCTCGCCCCTGCGACGTCGTCATCGCGTACGCCAACGCCGCGCTCTCCGCTAACACTTCCACATCGTTCGGCGACGCTCGCACACCCGCCCGAGCCTCGACGACCGCTAATTCAAATCCACGTGCGAGTGCTACAGCGAGTGCACGCCTCGGAATCGCGTCTACGACGGCGCGCTCGAACGCGCCGCTCGGCTTAGTCGCGAAACAACTCGCGAGCGCGCCGAGCGCGCCGAGCGCCTCGCTCGACGTCTTGCTCCGCCCGGCCGCGACCATCGCCTCGTCGTTGACGATCCCCATGAAAATGTCCAACGCGAGCGCGAGATGTTCCGACGACCACTTTCCCAGTTCGCTTTGCATCAATCGGCGCGCGCGTCGAAGCGTCGGCTCGAAGAGCGCGCCGACGGCTTCGCCCGCGATCGCTCGCGCATCCGCGTCCGCGCCTGCTTCCCGCATCGCCGCGCTCGTCGACGCGCACAACGCTCGCATGCGCCGTTCGTGATCCCTTCGATCGTCGGTGCCTTTAGTCCCGTCGGTGCCCTGCGGCGTCGTTGATTTCGTCGAGACGTCGGCGCCGCCACCCGACATGGCTGGTGCTGTTTTCGAGCGTTTGCTCTCGCGCGCGGCGATTCGGGGCGCGCGATCGCGCGGCATGCGATGGCCGCGACGCGATGCGCCCGCCGCGCGCTCGACGCGGCGTCGGAGGACGCGCGCGTCGCGCTCTGCGGCGTCGCGCTCCGCGGCGGTTAGGCGAGCGCGAGACGGTTTCGCTATGGTACGGCCTGTGATACATCCTAGCGCAGTGCGAATAGTTTAAGCGTCGGACTCGTGTCGGCGACGCAAATCGCGCGAGAGTCCGCGGCGAAGGCGAGGTCGTTGATCTTGCGATCGCGCTCGATCGACGCGACGGGCAGGCCTCTCGCGGCGTGGCTCGCCTCGTCGACCCAATTCCAAACCAATAAGCGACGATCCGCGCCACCGGACACGATGACGTCGCCCGTTCTGTTCCAAGGCACGAAATCAGCGCACGTCGCCGCGTTGGTGTGACCCCTGACGCCGTCAGCGCCGAGGCGGACGCATTCGACTCTGCCGTCGGCAAACGGTCCGGCGCTCGCGAGCGACGATTTCTTCTTACCTTTCGATGCGCGCGATCCACCGCTCACGCCGGGGTGATCGATATCGAAGACGATCACCGATCCATCACCACACGCGGAGACGGCGACGCGGCGAAGGCCCGGTGCGTTTTCTTCGCTCGTCTCGCCTCGATAAAACGCCAACGAGTGCAGCATCGGCGGATTGAACGCCTTTGCGCTCGCGCCCGCGTCGATCGACGCTGACTCGTCTTCCGCGCGCGCGGTAATCTTTCCACAATCATAATCCTCTGCGCTCAGCACGTTCCTCGCGTCCCACGTCCGCACGGGCACGCTCTTCGCCTTGACGTCCCACTTCATCGCGCGACAATCCGTCGACGCCGTCGCGCACTCGCTCGCGCCGCGTTTCCTTCGAAACGCCACCGCCGTGACGCACCCATCGTGTCCGCGAAGCTTTCGCAAAATTTCCCCGTTGGACAAATCGTACGCGATCACCTCGCCCGCGTCGTCGCACGCCGCGAGCATCGCGTCGTCTTGATCGACGTCGACGCCGTTGACGACGTCTCCGGCGCCCTCGAACCGCCGAATCACCGCCGCGTCGCCCGCGGCGCTCATCTTACGCGCATCCAACTCGACGACGACCGCATCGGACGCGTGAAACAGCGCGTGTTCGTTTCGCCACGTCAGCGCGTTGACTTCGCGCCTGCGCGCGCCTCGAACGACGAACGCGCGCGCGTCGTTCGGTTCGCGCAAGTCAAAGTTGACGATCGTTCCTCGCCCCGTGGCGCACGTGCACTCGTTCCCGGACCGCGCGCGATGCGCCAGCGCCACCAGCGCATCGGTGTCCGCGACGGCGGGCGCGCGTCGCGGCTCGAGCGGCTCGAGCGTCATGCGCGCGTCGCGCGGTGACGTTTCGGTGGTTGTGAAATACGAACAGTCACCGCGTGGCGTCGCCGAGACTGTCGTCACACCGCGACGCCGGGACGCGCGACGCCGAGACGCGCTCGAAACGATGCGCCGAGACTGGTGGAAATTCTATCGAGTCGCGTTCTTCGTTCGGTTCTCCGCGTGGCGCGCGCTGACGCTCGCGTTCGCGGTGGTTTCCTTGTGTAGTGAACAGTGGCTGGAGCCGAAGCGGCCCGCGCGCGCGCTGCCGGGAATCTCTCGAGCCGGGCTCTGGCGCGTGTGCTATCACTTCTCGAACATCGATGCGCGTCGACTCGATCGATCGAGCATCACTCGTTGGTGGCGCGAGATGGAGACGTCGTTTCGGGGACTCGGGCGCGATTCTCGTCAGTGCTCGACGGAGATCGGCGAGTTTTACGGCGACGTCTTCGGTGGTAATCACATGAGTCTCGTAGAGCTGACGCGCGCCTGCGCGGTGGGATTCATCTTTTACGGCGCGATGGAATTGGTTTGTGAGGTTTTTTACTTCATTCGACGGCGTCGGGCGAAGGCGGGATTCGCGTCGACGTCGGCGGCGGTGTACGGCGGCTTTGCGGAAATCGCGTGCATCATCGCGTGCGTCTCGTACGCCGTTCTCGTCGCTCGCGTGCGCGCCGACATGCCGAGCTATATCGCGAAGGATGCGTTCGTCGACTATCTCGGGTGGGGGTACTGGATGTGGCTGACGTGCGCGTGCGCGCACAGCTTGTCGTGGACGTTCGTCATCGTCGATTGGGATTCAGCGAGCAAGGCACGAGCGGCGCGGCGTTCCCACCGCGCCTTCCGCGCGCAAGAAGAAGAGGCGCTCGCGGCGAGCGTGCCTTAAAAACTGCATGAATGAATGACAAATTTCTGCTAGAACCGCACCCGCGACTCGACTCGAGCGTCGCGAATCACATCGAACCAAACGTCTTCCAGAGCGCTTCGACGGCGGGCCCACCGCCGTTGATGACGTTCGAGTACCCCTGCGATATTAAATACTCTTTCGCCTTCTGCCCACGTCCGCCACCGCCGCAGTGCGTGATGATCGGCGTCGACTTATTCCCGCCCGTCTTCGCTTCGAGGACTTGCAAATCGCGCAGCGCGTTCGCCGAGCGATCAAAAGCGCAGTTCACCGCGTTCGGACGCGCGCTGGTGCCGCAATCCGCGATCGGAGCGCTCCCCTGAGGTCCACCAAACTGCTCGTCCGACGGTTCGACGCTAAAATCGCTGTTGCGCGCGTCAAGGACGACGACCGTTTTGCCTTGATTTGCGCTAAAAAATCGTTCAAACTCGTCGTCCGACGCGACGCCGGGCTTACGCGCGTGCGCCATCGCGCGACGAGGTCGATCGTTGTTCGCTCGACGCGACGGCGCGGCGCGGACGACGCGATACGCTCGTGCGATCGCGTTCAACGAGCGCATGCGCGGGCGAGTGTGGGGGCAGTTGTGCGAGCTGAGGAGGGCGTCGCGGTTGCGTGAGCGCGCGATACAGAGTCGCGAATGAGTACTATTAAAACATGATCGCGCAGTTACGCGCCGAGCAAGTCCTTGGCGTCGAGCGTGCGATCGCCGTTGACGTCGAGCTCGTTGAATCGAGCGGCGACGGTGTCGAAATCGCTCTGTTCGCACTTGCCCATGGCTAATAACATCGCCTTTGCGAAATCAAACTCGTCCACGTAACCCTTATCGCCTCCTTGCGCGGCGAGCCACTCGGGGGTGAGTTTAAACGCCTTCAGTTGGGCGTGTTTCTCGACTTGGGACTCGACGCTCGAGCTCGCTATTTGTCCGATGGCCCACGCCATGACGCCGACGGTGATGAAGCAGTAAAACGAGGCGAAAATCCTCCCGCTCTGCGTCTTCGGCGTCACGTCACCGTATCCGACGGTCGTGCTGGTGACGATGGACCAATAACACCCGTCTAAAAAGCTAATATTCTCGAGTCGATGCATCACGACGGCGCCCAGAATGACGACGACGGCGATGGCGACCAACGCTCGCGCGAGCGGAGACAGCTGCTTCGCCCTGAACGTGCGTTCCTCTTTGTTCGCCAGCGCTCGCTTCAACTCTTCGTCCTGATCCGCGCCCGCGTCCGCACCGACCTGCGCGCGCAACTTTGCCATATCAACCGCCATGCGCGCCTTTGAACGTTCCATCACCGCGTTCATCGCGCGCTCCTGCGCCTTTAAAATCCAATCCGTAACCTTCGTCATCGCCACCCCCGCGATGGCGACGCCCGTGACGAGCAGCACCATCACGAACACCTTTCCCTCGTCCGTCTTCGGCGACATGTCCCCGTACCCCACCGTCGTCGCGCTGATCGCCACGAAATACGCCGCGTCCGCCGGCTTCGCGAAATCGCGCTCCCCCGGAATCTTTTGCAGAATACACATCGCCCCCAGCGCGTACGCCACGAACGCGATCCACAGATTGTCGTAAAAGAACCCCACGATCCGTTTCGCCAGTTTTTTCGGCGGTTCCGCTTTCGGCGGTCCCGGTCGCGCGCCCTTTCGCTTCGACCGCGTTCGCATCCTTCGTCCCGCGTCGTCGTCGTTCGCGTCGTCCGCGGACGTCCACGCCGCGCGCACGCCGCTCTCTTCATCGCGCGCCATCGCGCCGTACTTCCCGGGCGCCTCGCGCGGCGCGTTCGGTCGACGCGGCATGGTGTGGCGACGCGACCCGCGCATTCGTCCATTAGTTAGTGTTGGCGCATCCATCCGATCATCGAATCGTCGCCGGCTCGACGCGCGTCCGACCGCGACGCGTTTACGCGCGCGCGTTCGTTCGATGGGTGAAAATACCGCGCGCGCGCTCGCGTCGAGCCCGTGGACGATCTTGGTCGCCTTCGTCGTCGTCGACTGCGCCAAGCACGCGCTGACGCGTCGCTTCGACCTCGAACCGTTGCTCGCGCTGCAGCGCGCGATCGCGCGGGCGTCGCGGTCGCTCGCGCGACGCGCGTCGCGCGCCGACGCGACGTACGAACGACGGGTGGAAAAATTACGCGCGCGACTCGCGGCGCTCGAGGCGAGGCGGACGCCGGCGACGCGCGCGGCGCTGCGATGCGCGCACGGGGCGAGCGCGATGAAGGCGGTCTGCGGACTGGCGTTCGTGGGCGCGAACGCGCGCGCGGTGATGTTCGCGCTGCCGAGCGCGTGCGCGTGGCCGATGGGGAAGTGGCTGTCGTTCGGGCTGGACGAGGACGCGCGCGAGGACGGGTGCGTGGGGGGGGTGGCGTGGACGCTTGTGAGCGCGGCGGGCGTCGACGCGGCGTGTCGAGCGTTCTGGACGCCGGCGATGCGAGCGATGCGGCGCGGAGGCGCCGACGCGTGAGAAAAGCGTGATTTCGATCGGTGCGCGCGGGCGCGCGGAGGCGGCGCGACGCGCGTCGAGGGATGATTCGAAGACGCGAGGAGACGCGCGCGCGGCACACGCCGACTCGACGTCGGCGTCGACGTCGGACGACGCACATGTCGCGCGGCGCGTCGGCGCGCGGCGCGGTGTTGACGCGGCGCGCGGCGTGCGTCGTTTCGAACGCTCGCGCGCGCGCGGCGATGGCGCGCGCGCTCTCAAACGCCGAGCGTTTACAGCCGCGCGTGGACGCGTGTAACGAAATCACCGCCGCGGACCACGCCAAATACGTGCCTTTCGTCGTCGACGGTCACGCCGTGGGCGCGCTTCAGCCGTGGTTCGCGGACGAGCTGTTGGGCGCGAGCGGGTCGGGGACGCTCGAGCGGGACGCGAGCGGGACGGTGGTTTTCGCGCGGGAGGTGGATACCCCGGATAAGCGCACGGACGCGCTGCGACCGGCGCTGGAGGCGCTGAGAGATAAGGGCGTCATCACGGGTTGGCGGGATGAGATTTTTCCCGTCACGATGGGGTACGGCGTGCCGCCGTTGTTGCGCGTCGAACGCGCGGCGGCGTCGCTCTTGGGCGTGCGAGCGTACGGCGTCCACGTGAACGGGTTCGTGACGTTACCGGACGGCACCAAAGAGCTGTGGGTAGGGAAGCGAGCGAAGAACAAACAAACGTTTCCTTCCAAGCTCGATCACCTCGTCGCCGGAGGATTGCCCGACGGCATGCCTCCGAGCGTGTGCGTCGTCAAGGAGTGCGGAGAGGAGGCGAGCGTGCCCGAGTCGTTGGCAAAGAACGCCACGGCGGTCGGCGCGGTGAGTTATTCGATGAATTACCAGGGTTGCTGCAAGCGAGACGTGCTGTTCTGCTACGATTTAGAGCTCCCGCTGGATTTCGTGCCGACTCCAGACGACGGCGAGGTGGAAAGTTTCGAGCGATACGAAATTTCCAAAGTGATCGACATCATGGCGACAACGGAGGACTTCAAGCCAAACTGCTGCCTCGTGATCATCGATTTTTGCGTGCGGCACGGTTTTATCACCCCGGACGAGCCAGGGTACGTGAAACTCGTGCAAAGCTTGCGCGTCGGTAACGATTAGGATGCGTTCCGTGTAACAACAGCACATTGAAAATGACATCCGTCTACGAGAACATGTCGCGGCTAACTTCTCGCAACCCGAACGCGCCTTCCCAAGATCGCGGCACGCGCCACGGCCCGATGTACGTCGCTCCAGGAATCGGCGCCTTCGGTTCTGTACCTACATCTATCCCACACGCGCGCGCCGCCGCAAGCGCCATCCCCGCGCCGTCGACGCTGTTGTCGCCCTCGCTGCACACCGCCACGACGCACCCCACGCGCGTGTTCGTTCCTATCGTATCCACGAGCGCCCAGTGCGGGTCCACGGACTCCGCGATCTCTTCGGAAGGTGGATACACATTTTTTTCGAGCTCGATCAATTCGTTCGCGGCGCACATGGACTTGAAGTCATCGTCGCCGCCGAACCGCCGCCACTTCGTCCCGCCGATTTGCGCCGCGCTCGCGCCGTACGTCGACGGTAAGCTCGACAGCAGCACCACGCGCTCGGGATGAGTAAATGTCGTCAAAAAGTTGACGTACTCTTCGCAAAATAATCGTCGCGCACCGATGTTGGCGTCGCTGCGGATCTGCGCGACGACGACGGTTCGCGTTTCCCGCGCCTTCGCGTCCGCCGCGAAGTCCACTTCTCCGACGTACACCTCGCACGCGCACGCCAAAGCGCCCGCGACGTCACCATCCCCGACGTCATCGTACAGCGCATCGCGGCCACACACCGGGATCAAGTGTTCGAAGTCGAGGACGCCGACGCGCGAAAGATTCAGGTTGAGCGCCAAGACATCGCACGCGAGCTGACCCACGTTCCCGCACGTCCCAGGCGCGGGGGCGATCAGGATATCGCATCGCGAGACTCTCTCCAGCGCGTCCGGGACGTCGGGCTTGGGATGAAACGACATCTCGCGCGTCGTCGCGCGCGGGAGTGTGCGGCGCGCGTCTCGACGGCGAGTGCGACGGGGCGAGACGCGGGGAATCGACGCGCGTGAAGTCGATACAAACTAAGCAAAGGTTACGCGCGGCGCATGTCACCTACATAGACTGACGTTCGTGCTTGTCGAGTAAAGTGGTGAAGGACGTGGTCGAGGCGTACTCTTTCGGGTACATCTCTCGCAACGCGTCGTCGAACATCGGTGAGCCGTACACCTTGGCTGGATTTTTGAAACTCCACGACGTCGCCGTCGGCCAAGACTGATGCTTGTTCTTGCGGAGAGCCTTGAACAGTTCCTTTCGCTCTTTGTTCACGTACGCCGACGGCGCGGCGCTGCAACAACTCTCGGGATCTGGCAACGACAAAGTCCCGCGACGATCGGCGCTGAGCGAAGAATCGGGACTGTAAATGGTTTGCTTGTACCACGTCACCAACTGCCCCCATACGTAAAGAGCACCGTACCGTTTTTGCAGCATCGCCTCCCTGTTACCACGGAATGCGTTAGGGATGTGCTTTCGCTGCGTCGTCGGTATCACGCTCGCCACATCATCGATGTTCACCGCGGGCGAAATGACGTTATCGAGCTTGGCGTGTGTGAACCAGTTGCGAGTGTTGGCGTAAAACCACAACAAATCTGACACTTGCGCGTAAAAAGTCGCGTCGATTCGCCTTAAAATCGTACAAATCTCGAGCATTGACTCACACGCACCACTAGCGGTCTTCGGTCGTTCATCAATGTCGATGCGTTCCTGAATCGCTTTCATCGCCGCGTCGACGCGAGCGTCGCCGGTTTTTGGCATCTTCGCCATGACTAATCGACTCTTGCCAACAGAATTTGACCCTTTCTTCGCCCCTGCGCCGGCTAATATTGAGCGCAAGATTCGTCGTAATATGGACTCGTCACCGCTCCAAAGGTGCTCGATCACTTCGCTCTCTGTCAAAACTCGAAAGAATGGAGCTCGTTCCTGTCCGGATCGCGTCAACACGTACCGGATTTTATCGAGCGTAACGATAAGGTTCGTGATCCTCGTTGCCGCCACCCCAGTTGCTTCGCTTTTTGCCCCGAGTTCGTTGTACCGACCGAAACGCGTCGCGGGCAAGCTCATCAACTCGTTCGGGAGTTCGTTCTCCTCTAGCTTGATGTACTCGAGAGTCAACGCCGCCCACTTGACGACCCAGTCCGGACAATGTTCGAGCGCACATTCGCGGATACCGCTGTCATGTAGCATCTTACGATCAACATTCGTCAACGCAGACGTGCTCGCCTTGAAAAGTATGGCGTTGCGATGTAAAAATGCGTGCTTTTTGTTCACCACCGCCGTGAACGCGCCCGAGCCCGAATACGTGAGGAACGAACCTCGGCACGTTGGAGACGAGCACAGACAAAATCCAGTACGGTATTCCTCGGCGCTTTCGGTGATGCAACTATAGTCCCACGTCATCTCTTCGCCGTACGCGATGTCTTGCGTGGTGAACATACCGAGGGTAAGCTTGCCTCCCTTTGCGAACGTCACCGTTTGACAATTCGGTTCGCACGAGTGCGAAAGCCGCGACGCAAAGCAGCCTTTGTGCATCGCTTCGACGAAGCTGACGTGCCGCCCACGATCATCGTGCGGCGGACGCTCCAGCGTGATGTTGAAGAACGAGGGAAGCTCCATGCCGGGGTAACACTTTTTTATGGCGTCTTGCCGTTCGTACCACTTCCACGGCGAATAAATTTCACCGATGTAGTGATTCACGAACGTACCCGCCTTCAAGCCGTTGGGATTTATGCATACCACACCCGTACCTTTGGGATGGATTCGAAATCTCTCGCGCCTAGCGCGCGGATCATGGGATTCGACGATTTCTTCTGTATGATCCTCCGCCTTGACTTCTCCCGTAGTCGTCGTAGAGTTTGCCTTCTTCTTTTTCGGCGCCGGCGCCCGGGCGTAGTCGTCGTCGCACTCCGCAATAACTCTCAGCAACGCGCGCGAAGCCATCGCCGTGTGTTTCTCACCATTCTTTATCGCATCATCGAGCACGCACTGCGCCACACGCGACGCATCCCAGCCATCAGCGCCGAGCGTGTGCAACTTCGGTAGAAATCGCTGTTGCAAATACTCCACTCGCCTGGGCCGATTCTCGTCGCCCGCGTACCACGTCACCCCAGATATGCTGGCCAAAATCGCTTCGCGCGTGAAACAATCCATCCCCCACAGCGATCTTTCCTCCACATCCACCCCCAAACGCAACGGCGTGCGCAACTTCTCCGTGGACAAATCTAATTCCAGTCCACTGTGCGCCTTCATCGACGGTTGCTGTCCCGTCGCCGCCGCCGCGGTCCCGTCGCTCACGCTCACGGGCACGTAATCCGTCCATCCATCCCTCACCGACGTGTTCAACCGATCAAACAACACTTTCGCGTCCTCATCTTCGACACCGACGCCCGCGACGTACGCACCATCCGGCAGCACATCGTACGGAGTGATGTCGTACGGCGTTCGCCGCCAGGATTCGCACGCGTAATACGGTTCCTCCGTCGCCAATTGTCTCAGCTTTTCACGCACCACCGCGATCGACCCCAACCCAGCGTGCGACGTCTTCGCCTTTCTCACCGCTTTCTTAGCGCCGAGCTTCGTCTCCGGTCGCGATCTCGCCTTCGCCGGCGGCGTCTTCTCTCCGCCAACCGCCGGCGCCCTTCGTCGTCTCGTCCCCGACGTCTTCCCCGACGCCCTCGGCGCCCTCGTCGCGCCGTCCGTCGTTCCTCGAAACACCACGCGCGGGACCGCGCCTCGCTCCTTCACCAACCGTCGGCTCTCGGCTTTACCGCACTTATCGCACAGATCCTTCCCGAACAGCGCGGACGATGGGTCGTGCCCGCGTCGCCAATGAATCGCGAGTGCGTCGCCTTTTCTGTCGCATTGCGCGCACGCTCGCACGCGGTACTTATCCGCGGGCGTCCGCGCGATGACGAGCGCGGTCTCGGTCATCGGCGCGCGCGACGGCGCGCGAGGCGCGTCGAGGAATGACGGTCAAGTGCGATGGCCCGCGCGCGCGGCTGTCCCAACTGATTTAAATCGACGCGACGCGCGAGAGACGAAGACCGGGACGCGGGGCGCCGCGCGCGCGAGCGATCGGGCGCGAGACGCGTGGGCGGATGCATGGATTAATACGCGTCGGTCGTCGGTGTCTGTGATGCGTTGCGATGGGTTGAACGTCGAGACGGCGCGGGCTAGGCGTCGACGACGGGACGGTCCGATTTCGGCGCCTCGGGCACGCCCGTGATGAAGGAAAAGAAACCACGACGAGGTTTCGACGCGTCGTCGTCGACGACGTCGCGTGGATCGTCCGTGCGCTCGTTTCCGCGCGGTGCGGGCGCGGAAAGCGCTCGGGCTAGACGGAGCTGTAACTCGTCGATTTGACGTTTCGCCGAAACCAATTCGCTCCGAGCGCGTTCTTCCGAGATTTTAACCGTCTCCATCTCGCCCTCCAGCTTGGCGAGTTTACCACGAAACGCGTCTCGATCGGCGTTAGCCTCCGCCACGCGCTGCGCCCACTTGAGCTCGAACGCCTCGTCTTGGTCGCACATCCGCCGCTCGAGTTCGGCTTCCATTTTCTTCAGCGTCTCCAAAGCTTTGCGTCCTCGATCGCCATCCCCGCGTTCGCGCTCGACCGCTTTCTCCGCCTTTTCCAATCTATCCGTCAATCTCGCCGTGGCCTCGCGCACGGCCAGCGCGCGTCCCTCCGTCTTTTCGTGTCGCGTGTCCCTCGCGCTCGCCTCGAGCGCTCTATCCTTCGCCTCGATCTCGATCGCCAACTCCCGCGCCGCCGCTCGGTACCCGTCGAGCTCGAGCTTCAAATCCTCCACGACCTCTTCTAAAATATCTATCCGCATCGACGCTTCGTCGTCGTCGACGACGACCTGCGGCCGCACCGTGACGCACAGCTTCACCGGTCCTTCGTCTTCGCCTCGGACGCGCGACGGCGACGCCCGCGCGCCGAACGCGACGCGCGAGGCGTCCACGCCGTTCGGAACGCGCGCGGGCGACGAATCCGCGTCGTCGTAATCTTCCGTTTCATCGTCGCTTTTGAGCGTCGCGCGCGACTCGACGTCGTCGCGCGCGATGACCGGACGCTTCTTTGTCTTCTTCCGCGCCATCGATCGACGCGGCGACGCGCGGCGGCGCGGTCGCGGTCGTCGTCGCGCGCTGGAGAATGAGGCGCCGGAGAGCGCGGCGAACCGAACGCCGACGAAGGAACGAATGTGGTCGGTGTTTCATTTCAAGAGATACGGAATATCGTGGCTAAAGCGCGCCAAAGAATGGATTCTCAATCGCGCCGTGAAGCTCCTCGCCCGCGGTGCGCAATAACACCGGGTCGGCGCCGTCGCGCGGTAACACGAGACGCTTTTCTCCGGCGTCGTCGACAGTTTCGACGAAACCAAATTCCAAGAGATAGATTTCGCCCCCCACGGCGGCGACGCGCTTTTGAAACGCGGCGTTGGAGAGCTTGATAGAGCGATACTTTTCTTCGCTCGGATCGCGGGCGATGTTGCCGAGGTACGTCAACAGCGTCTTAAAGCACGTCGTCACGGCGTCGGCGTCTTCGGCGAACGCCTTTTTAATGTCCACCAAGTGCTTGCGTAAATTTTCCAATTTCGAAACCGGTTTGACGTACATCCCCGCCGCAGCCTTGCGAGCTATCTCCTCTTGCGCCGCCTGCGCACGCGCCTCCTCGCGTTGACGCTCCTCCTCCATCTCCTCGGGCGATAACTCCTCCGGCAATCCGAGCTTTCGTCGACGCTCTCGTCTGTCTTCGTCGATTTTCACGCGAATCGCGGCGCGCGCTCGATCCATCTCCGCCTTCTCCGCCGCCCTCTGCTCGGCATTTCGCTTCAAACTGAGATCATCTTCCAACTTCTTCGCCTCCAACAATTCTTTCCCGCTCCGGATCCGTTCTTGCTCTCGCAGTCGTTCCATCTCCTTCTCCTCCAACAACCGCTCCGCCTTTTTAGCGGCCGCGTTTCTACGCAACTCGTCCGCCTTTGCCTTGGCTTCCTCCGGCGTCATCTTACTCACCGTCTTCACCTCTCGCGCCTTCAAGCCTTCATCTTCCACCAACAACGGTTCGTTCACGTCCGCATCGTCTTCGTGTCGCTCTATCCAATCGATCGCCCGTTCCGCGGAATCCGCCTTCGAGTAGTACAACGCGCGCACGGCTTTGTTTCTCCCGAATCCCATCAATTCCGTCAATTCTTGCAATAAATCCTCGCGCACGCTCGGTTCTTTCAGCGTCGACGCCTCATCGCGCGTCGTCGCGTCTTCTTTCACCGCGTCCGGCGCGGCGTCACCGTCGACGGGCGTCGCGTTCGTCGCGTGTGCCGTCGCGGTCGCGGTCGCATCGTCATCGTTCGCGGCTTCGAAACTGTCGTGTCCGGTCGTCGCGCCGTGCGATTTCGCGCGCGCGATGTCCGCGAACACCTCTCCGCACTGACCGCACTTGATCTTCATCGCGCGCTCGCGCGCGTGGGGGGCGCGGGCGTCGATGTGCGGATGACGATGGATCTCAAAAAGCACCGCGCCGAGGCGCCGGGCGGAGGCGCGGCGCGAGAGACGGCGCGGATGACGGATCGCGACGGGAGGGCGCGAGACGCGTGAGTCGGTGACGATGAGATTACATGAAAAAGAACGCGCGACGAAGGGCGTTTCGGCGTGTGTCGGCTCGCGCGCGCGTGCGGCGAGACGAAGTCGCGAGCGTTCGGCGCCGACGCGTCGGATGGCTCTTCGCGAGCGAGCTCTTAGGCTCGCGAGCTCTTAAGCTCACTTGCGCTCGGCCGCCGCTAGTCGGATTGCTCTTCGCGAGCGAGCTCTTCGGCTAACTCGCGCTCTGCCGCCGCGACGGCTTCGTCGGCCTCGCGCTCGGCGATGGCCTCGGCCTCGTCTTCGTCCTGCTCGTCTTGCTCTTCTTCGAGCGTCTTCCACGCGCCGGTTTCGGTGGTGGATGATTTCACGAGCGCCTCGTCGGCCGCTGCTTCGTCTTCCGCGGTCGTCCAGTGTTCGGAGAACAAACCCGCGCCTTGGAAATTCGACCACGCCGATTTGCGATGGTCCGCCATCGTCTCGACCTCCGCCTTGGGCGCTTCAACGAAGGCGTCGGTGATGGGATTCGTGGAAGCCGGCGCTTCGCGCTTCGCACGCTTGGGCGCGACGTCGGCCTCCTTCGTCGCGACAGCGCCCTCGTCGACGTACGACTGCGTGATGGCTTCGAATGAAAACGTCGTCTTCGGTCCCTCGACGACTTTCCGCTTCTTTGTCTCCGCGTCGCCGAAGGACGTCCCGAAGATGTCGTGTCCGTTTTGCTGGCTTCGCCAAATCTGTTGCGACTCGCGCAGTTCGCGCTGCGCCATCGACGGCGCCCGCACTTCGCACGCCTTACTCGTAAATCGCGCACCCGCTCCAATCGCACTTCGTTGCGTCGTCGGTCTCGAATCTAACGTCAGCGGCGGCGCGCCCGCCTTTATCGCGTCCTCCAACCGTTCGCACAGCGCATCCTTACTTCCCCCAGGATTCACCCCTCGCGCCCGGCACGCCTGTCTCAACTCTTGCAGCGTTAACGTCTTCGCGCTCACGATGTCGTACCTCGCGCCGACGTCCGCGAGTTTCCCATTCGCATCTTTGATTCTTTCCTCTCGCGCGTCTCGCTTCGCCGGCGACGCCGCGCCGAACAGATTCGCCCCCGCGTGCTGTCTCGCCCGGTTCTCGTTCCACTTCCTCTGCGCGTTCTGCGCGAACGGCGCGTTTTCATCACCGCCCAAGATCGCCTCGACGCCCGTGCTCGGGCCGAGTTTACGCACCGGGTGGTGCGTCGCGACGTTTCGTAATTTGATGGCGCGCGGCGCGTGGCTCATGAATCCATCATCGTTCGCGTTCGCGTTCGCGTCGGCGTCGCTCAGCGGCGCGCGATCGGCGAGCGGTGACGTGGGCATCGTGTGCTTCGTCTCGGGATGCGCGTTCGCCGCGCGCGCGAGGCGCGAAGTGACGCCGGGCGAGCGATTGCGCACTCGGAGAGACAAATCGTCTCTTTTTCGTGCTCGTTCCCCTTTCTGCAGTTTGACGCCGCGAGTAGTATTACAACGTTACAAGTTTGGGGTGGACCACGCGTCGATGACTTCGGTGCGGCTGCGCAAAGAAGGCGTTCCCTCGGCACCGCTCGGCGTGTAGGAGCCAATGCCGACCGTGGCGAGGAATTTCTTGGTGTTTTTGATTGGGCGGATGCGGCGAGGTTTCTTCTTCTTCCTCGAGAAGCGTCGCGACGGCGCTTTTCGACCATCGCCGCGCGGTACTTCGATATCGACGTCGACGTCGTTCCATCCGGTGCGAAAGAGTTCGGCCTGGGACGTCTGCGACTTAATTCGGTCGTCGACGGCCGTCTCCGACTCGGAATCGTGCTCGGCGCCGCTGGAAGTTTCTGGTTTGGGCTTCGGGAGCAAGTTGGCAGTTTTCTTCAACCGCTCCGCGACGCGCATGAAGATGGACTGCGTGTCATCGATCTTGCTCTCGACAAACTTTCCTCGAAAGCCGACGAGCGATTTCAACACGCTCCATACGATGTGGTTTTTAAGCTCTGACGTCAAGTCACGCCAGCGACCGGAAAAGTTTTCGTACGCAAAGGCGTCGACGCCGAGTTGCAAGTCTCTGAACCCGCGTGATTTGCCTTCGTACGTCATCTCCATGTGCAGAGGATGAATTCTGAAATAGCGCAAAAGTACGGTTTTGTGATCAATACCCTTTTCGCCCTTTTTCGCATGCACGTCTTCAAACTCTTCGAGAACTTCATCTTTTTCTTCGTTCCAACGCCATCGTCGCCGATGCTTTGACGCCGACATCTCCGACGGCAATTCAAGCGGCGTCAGATGCACACCCTTTGCGTTTATAGATTGCGCCCGAATCAAGCTCTCGCGCGGCGACATCTCCGCATTCTTGGCGAGCGCCGGACGCCTGTAAACATTCTCAAACGCGTCGTGATCGCTGGACTTCGTCATTGGAAAGAGATATTGGTAAATCATTTTGTACTGCGAGTGCTTGATGTCCACCTCGAACGGTTGCACACTCAGCTCCAAATGGTCGTATACCGGTTTCTCCGGCGCCGATCCCGCGCGGATGGAGAAAAAGTCAATCAACGGCGCGTCGTTACGCGCGCGTGATTCGTGCACGCTTCCCGGTGGAATCCAGCGAGAAAACATCTGATCGACGCAGCCTTCATCGAGCGACACCATACTTAAACCGTGCAGCTTAAATCGCAGCATCCCAGAAGAGTCAACCTGGCGTTCGCGCGAAAGCGACAGTCGCGAGAGCTGAGCGGAGATGAAAGGACTCCCACCCTGCCACAAAGTCCAAGCCGCGTGTTCGATTTCGAGACTTAATCGAATCGCGGAGTGCCGCCGATAGAGCCTATCGTTCTCTTCGGCTTGATGCACCGCAGCGAGGACGCGCAACTCAGCCTTCTGCGCAGCGGACCAAAGGACATCGATTTCACGAAGGACTTTCTGCTTTTCGCTCGGCGCCAGAGCGACCGCGCGGCGATAATTCTTCTCCATACTCTCCACCGCCCAGCGAGCGGCCATCAACTTCATCATCGGTTTCGCGACGATAGCTGAAGATTCAAGCGCAACCGTGTCACTCAACGTTCGATCACGACTCATCAAAACCTTTGAAGCCTGAAAGCTCGGTCGAGGACGCTCCAAAGCCGCTGGTGTCAAGAATAGGCTCGCCATGACGTCGATCAAAACAACGTACTGGCTCGAATTCATTTCCGCGACGATTTCGGGAGAACGCATTGAAAATTGGCTCACCGCTTCCCCTTTGGTCTCGCTCGCCGTGCGCTTACCGAAAGCCTGAACATCAGCCTCCGTCGGCTCGTTGTACGCGTACAACTCGGCGTCGGTTATGCGACTTTGCGTCGCTGTGACGGCGTTTGCGTGCTCAAAAACCATCGAACCTGGAGCGAAAATGCGTCGCAAGAGCGAACCTGATTCTTTGCGACCGTCGCCACTTTCGAATACGTCGTCACGAACCAAAGAAGTATGTATGCCATCCACCGAAGAATGATTTTCCCGCAACCACTGCACACCGGCGTTTAAGTCGACGTTCGTCGGCGCCACGTACGCTTGAACTTGTTGTAAAGATACCGTGACGAGACGACGACCCGTCGAACCGCCGTCGTCCATTCGTCTACCAACCACAAGTCCGCCTTCGGCTGCGAGTAACATTCGACCAGCGGCATCTTTGCCCTTAAAATTGATTTGCGGAGCGGTGATTTGAATGACGAAGAGCACAACAGCTTCCGTCGCACGTTTCGGTGATTCGTAATTCTTTTCGAGCGTCTCTTCCGCACTTAGCGCGTGCAAACTTGGTCCATCGCCCATGATATCGTCTAATTCACGGCGACGTCGACTCACTCCCGACAGTTTATCCGCTGACTTTAGGATGCGATTGAGCTCGGTCCAAGTCGGCTCGCGTCTTTCCGTCTGCGCCGCCGTCCAAATGGCGTTGATCCAGCCGAGGATAGCGTTCCGCTGTTCGGCTTCAATTAAGATCCGAGGAGCGTCAACTTCGATCTGAATGCCCTGGCTGGCCACTGAATCTTCATTGCGCTGAGTAATCTCGAGTCTTTTCGTGTCTAATACCAACGTTGGATCCGTGGACGTCGGGCGCGAAGCCGATCCATCATCTGCCTGTGACGGGCTCTTGGCGCTTCCTTGCAACATCTCTTTGACGACGTCGTCGAGCTCTGCAAAGTTCAGTCTGTTGGTAATAGATCCAGCGCGAAGATTAGCGAGGCGACGTGGACTCGATCCCTTACGTTCGAGACTGCCGTCACGCTCAGGCACGTGGAATTGCGACGAATCTGCTCGCAGGGTGAATTCCACCTTGGTCCGAGGCGCTTTTTTCGCGACGCAATGCACCGATTTGAGACAGAAACACGCCCCGTACGCATTAGCTGTCTCGTCGCTCGAAGCGTTCACCACATGAATGACGCTCGAGGTGATGACAGTGTCGATGCTTGCGAACAAGTCAACCAAACTTATCGATTCTGGGTGTTTTACCCGTCGCGGGGCGCCCCACGGTCGCAAGTTCCAGATCGACCGCAGCGCGACCATTGGCTTCTTCATCCCATGTTCCCATTGTTTCATGAACTCAACGTCATCTGGTGTCAGCGCTATGGTCGGATTCGAATAGTGGCCCTGGTGTTCGAACGATGGCACGTCAGTGGTAAGATTTCTCACGTATTCGACGAAGCGATCCATGGTCGCGGCGTTGACCATTTTCGTGACGAACTCTTCCATGGACGCCAGATCGACATCGAGATTCACAAAACAAGCACTTGAGCGCGTCAAATCTCTGGAGAAAAGCTCCTTTCCAGTCGTTGAGTCGTGTCTGTAGTGCGTACGATGACCATCGCCGCCATCGAGGAGGGCTTTGAATTCGTAATCTGCCTTGACGCACATGACCGGGAAGATGACCAACTTATGCTTCGGCGATGGTTCATCCGCGCGTGGCGTCGAAGCTTCGGTACACTCTTCATCATCTTGAATTCTTGATATCGTGAAGTTCGCGCTACGAATGACCACGTTGCGCGGCTTCATGTCGAACTCCCACATGTCGGCGAAAATCTCTAGCTCGCTCGCAAACGAGTCTCCCCCGTGCGCGCCGAGATGCTCAATCTGTCCTTGACTATCCACCTTCGCACCGGACTGAATCATCGTTATACGCATTAATCCGCGCCACTGACTTCTCAAAATATCCCACCAGGGCATGCTCGGCGGTCTGGGATTGTTTCGATCGTATTCCTTCGTCGGCGGACGTCCACCTCCGCCTCCTGGAATGTGCTTGTGCAGGCGTGGAAGGACGAGTCTCGTCGTGAGCTCTCGCGACACATTGAACAAATACGGCTCAATGCACGTCGCCACAAATATATCAGCTTCTTTGATGTCAAAAGTCGCATCTGTGTACCACATCGCCGTCGGTCGCGAAGGCGTGTCGGGTCCGTTTGTCTTCGCCCATCGTCTTCGTCCGACAGGGAGGGCAACTTGTCCCGTCAATATGCGCGGGGCGTATTGTCTAGCCTGCACAAATGTCCCTGCGATCGTGGCTTCACTACACATGAAAATAGGACGTGCGGTCAAATCCGCCACGCAGACGCGCATTTCGGTTACGCTTGTGTGCATCGTCAAAACGTTTTGCATCTGCAAAGACACAGAATCGCTATACGGAGCATCCACACGACGTACGTGCGCGCCTGCTTTCGCTGTGAGCTCATCACCATCGCCTTTACCACCTCCCCACACTGCCGTAGAGGTGACGCTGCCTATATCCATGTGCAACGCGGAGCCACCGCCGTTTGCTAAGAATTCCTTATGCTGGAGATACGTCGTGGTGATGCTTCGCATCGCCTCTTCAGTGGAAGACGTAAACTCCGCGGCCGCGATGCAAGATCCCAATGCAGCTTGCTTTGCACGCATAAAACGCTCCAAATCATTCGAGTCTTCGACTTCAATTTCGATACTGCTGACCTTGACATTGATTTCAGTCGCCGGTTTTGACGGAGACGATTCGGCGCAGGCGGGTAAATTGGCAGCCAACGAAATTCGCTCCTTCTTTGCGCGCTTCCCAGTCGTTTTCACGACGTCGGAGAATACCGCTTCGCCTATAATCATGGCTACCATGGCGTCGCCGAGGTCTAAGTTTGCGGGAAGCATGAGCTTTGCCTTCTCAACCACAATTTGAAACTTGCGGCGCCTGGCGATGTCTTCGGCGTCTTCGTGTGTGATCGCTGCGACATGAGGCAACGTGCGTTCGCACTCGTCTTGAGTTACGGAGATCAATTCTAACTCCGTTATCGTGTATCCGTTCATACCAAAAGTCACATCTCTCACGCAGCACGTTTTTTCGAGTGGGCGCGCGTCCATAAGTCCAAATGATACTTGCGCGCACGCGCCCGGCGTGACAAAGAACGAGCCGCTGACTTTGCGCACGTCAAACGAAAGATCCAATTTTGTTTGATCCTTCGAGGCGTTTTGCGTACCGTCAGTCGACATCTTTGCTGGCTTTGCAGCCTTTGCCAGGTTTGAAATTTCTAGTGCGAGAAAATGCGCATCCGGTTCCCAATCAAATTCGACGCCTTCCACGGATACTGCCGCGCGCTTGTTGGCGCCTTGTTTGTACTCAACATCGAGACTTCCGACTAGCATCACGCGGTTGTTCTCTACCGCGACTTCTTCGTAATTGACTCGTCCGACCCACCGCGAATCTTTCTTCGCCTCTTCGGCTTTGGCGGGTCTTTGAATGGTGTCGTACATAGAGACTGTGAAACCACCCGCCGCCATTCTCGTTAAGTTTGCCTCCGGCTGCGACATCTCTGCGAGCGGACAACTTATGTCGAGCGCGCACTCTACAGGCTCATCGCCGCGCGAGTTTTGCGGTATCTCACCGAACGTCGAGTAAGGCGTCATCGTGCATCGAGCACGCATCGCTGTGTCGACCAAGATGACGCGTGTAGATTTCTTCACCTTATTTGAAGACGTCGCCTTGTCAGACGAATCGCCTTTTGCGCTCGCCATGGTTGCCTTGGCGCGCTTCGCGACGGCATCAATCTTCTTTGCGAGTTCACCTGCTTCGTTCATGTTCAAATCGATGGTAGTTTCCGACAACTCAACCGCGTTTCCGGCAGCTTCGGATAGCGCAACGCTGATGGCTTCAATCTGCACGACGGGGTGGTAACCGGGAACCGTCACTTGTACGCGTGACATCGTGCACACGCCGCGCTTGTCTGACGCGCTCGAACTAACTAGCATACACGTCCCTTCATCGACTAAATTTCCATATCGACCACGAATCTGCTCGGTGAGAAACTGACACGATGTTGCCCCGTGCTCGTCGTACATTCTCGCGCATAGCGACGTTTTGCACATCATCTGCGCATCGACGACGTCCCACGGCGCCGAGTTCTTTTTTGTGTTCGTCGACTTAGTGGAGCCGTTTCTTGATTTCGTTTTCTGCGCCTTTAACGCAGCGACTAAATCTGCCGCATCGGCATGGTGCCTAAAATCGCACGAATCCACCGTAAACGTTGCGGTGGCGGGCAATTTGCCGCCGTCGCCGAGTGCTTTCTCTGAAAGCGACAAGAATACCGAGGCACTCGGCGCGTTGATGAGAGCTAATGTCTGATGCTTTCCATGCACTAATTTTGCATCCGCCACGGACATATTCACCTCTGCCCACGCGTCCGCCTCGAACGCCGTGGAGGCAAACGGCGAGACGACTTGCTGTTGCTTTCGAAAGAGACGAAATCCCTTTTTGGACGCGCTCACTCTCTCGACCGAGAATTGCATATGCGTCATCACGCCAGTCAACGGTGCTTCCTGGTTCTTATTCTCCATCACGACGCGTTTAAATTCTATCTTGCATTTCCTCGGCACTTTGAGTAGACCCCTCACAGCCTTGTGCGGACCTTGCTGTTGTTTGACGGTAATCGGCGCCAAATCTGTTTTCGTCTCGATCTTCTTCGCTCGCTCGCCAACACGCTTCACGAGAGACAAGGTCGAACCACTCAATCCCGCGTGCACAGGTACGATAGTTTTCGTCTCGGAATCAAACTCCGCGACGAGGTTCACGTTGGTGTCTGTCATGCTCCAACCATCCTTGCCTCGCAGCATACGTGCCGTGATGAGGAATTTCAGCGAAGCTCCGGCCTTGCCAGACGCTTCAAACGTGAGTTTATCACAAAACAACATGTCGACGTCATCATCATCTTCTTCGCGCACCGTCAGCGATACGACCGTGATGTCGACAAAGGACGCGATGCCCTTCATCAATCTCCACTTGCCGCGCGTCATCGCCTTCTTTTTAGTGTTCGTCATTTTTGCGCGACCTAAATCAGACGACTGCTTTTGCAACCCATCCTCCGTATTTATGTCGGCTTTACTCCGCGTCGTAATTTCTACGCCCGACACCACGAACGCCGCCTTGAGCGATCCGACGCCAAAGCGTATGAACCGTCTTCGTCCGCTCGCCGGCGTTCCATCCGATGACGGACTATCGTTACCACGAGGCGTCATCTCCGCGAACCCATCATCACTTTTACTTCTGGTTTTACCATTCTTTTCACCCACGCGCGGCAAATCATCCCGTAAATGCTTCCCGCTCGCCTTGCGCAACGCGAAATTCAACAACCACGTCACGATGGTCGACGCGTTCCCCACGTACGCAATCTCCGCAATCTGCACCCTACGCAGCGCCGTGCCGGGCTTGTTAAAGCTCACGCTCACTCCACGCACGCTCGTGATCCCGAAACTATCGATACTCAATCGCAACCCGCTTCGATTGACGAAGCTCGCCTGTCGTCGCCATTCGCGTCGTCAGTCGACTGTCCCACGTCGAGTAATCATTCATCGATCTTCCGCCGCCATCGTGCGCCGTCCGTCCTTTCGCGCGTCGCATCGACGTAAAGGAAATCGCGCGACCGTTTCGAGGCGTCGAAGCCGCGCAATGACGCACCGCGAGTCCTATAAACCAGGGCAACACCGTTCGAAGCACCCAGTGAAGCGTCAGCGCGATCGACGTCGCACCGACGATGAACAACGCGATGATGACGCGAACGTCATTCAACTGCGTCGCCGCTACGATGGCGTCCCCCATCGCGGCCCGTCGGCGCGCGCGCGAGGCGTGTCGGGGACGCGCGTCGCACGATGGGGGACGACGGTTGGTAAGGCGTCGGGTTGAAGCGCGAAGACGAAGACGAGCGTACAAATCATTTCGTTATGTTACAATCGTGAGCGAGCGCAGGGTGGAAGACGGTGCTACGTAGCGAAATATAACGAGGCGTTCGCGTGTTCGCGGCACTTGGCGGCGGCAGCGACGGTATCCATGTCGAATCGCGCGCGCGCCTTGGCGAGACGAGCGTACGTCATCGCCGCGTCGCGATGGGCGCCGAGCTTGGCGTAACGCTCCGCAGCGCGCTCGAGGGCATCGATGACGCGAGATGCGATCGATGCATGACCAGAATCGACGGTCGTGGCGATGAGCGCGCGCGCGCACGCGACGTACGCTCTGGCTTGCAAGCGCAAATCGTCGCTCGATAGGAGCTCAAGCGCGCGCGCGTCCAACGCGTCGCGCGCGAGTTGCGCGTGCGAGTTTCCGAGCTCGAGCCAAGACTCGCACATTATGCACAAGGCACGCGTTTGAATCGGCTCGACACCACTTTCGGACGCTTCGAGCTCGAGCGGTAGAGCGCGCATCAACGCCAACGTTGGCGCGCCGGCGCTCAGATGCGTCTCGGCGAGTGAGATTTTGGCCCACATCGCCGCGTGCTCGTCCTTCACTTTCTCGGCGTCAGCGATGAGTGCGTTCAACTCTTTTTGGGCATCATCGAAGTTCTTCATCAGCCTGTCCAGGTTTGCGTTCATCCGCCTCGCTTCAAAGTACGCCGCGTTGTCTGCTCCCGACTTCGCGTCGATGACGGCGAGCATGCGCTGAGCGGCGCGTCTCGCGGTCGCGTACGAACCAACGCCTACGGCGCGGTCGTAGTGTAGCCTTAAAAACGCCAGGGCAGAAAACTTGTTTTCGCATCCATCTTTGCCGAATATTTCTTCGACGTGTCGACACACTTCGTCGGCGGCTTCAACGCCTTCGCACTCGCTCGCCGCAGCGATGAGCGTCGCGCAACTCGTCGCGGTTTCATCCGCCGAGGCTTCGCGATCGAGGTAAAGCTGACGAACAGCGTACAGTCGACCGATATATTTGCACCCATACGTGCTCCAACCCTCCGCAGCGAGCGTAGACGCAGTACCCGTCAAGCTCCTGAGCGCCGTCGCCGTGGCGCTCAGCGTGTACCCACACGTCGGCGTCGACGCGAAACCTTTGGGCGGTGGGTACAAATCGTTCCCAGCGCCGAGCACGCCGTCACCCGATGACTCACGCGCTAATGCTAACGACGCCGCGGATGCGGGCGTGGCGGAGACGAGTTGAGTGAAGTGTCGCGTTAACTCGATGTCGACGAGGTTTCGCGTCGCGAGCGCCGGCGTCGTCACGATGTCTACGCCACCTCGAGCCGCGCGAGACAAGGCACCACCGCCGGGCGCGTGCGAATGTGACCCAAGTGCCCGAGACGGGTTGTCGATCGCGTACTTTGTGAGTGCGAGCGAGGCGTAGGCGATGAGATGCGGCGACGCCAGCTCCGCCGCTTGCGCCGTCAATCGTCGGAGCAGCGTCGGCAGTTGCTCGTCTTGGTGCGACGCTCGATGACTCGACGCGTCCAAAGGTGCTCGCGACAACAATGCCGTTGTGAGCGCGAGAGCGTGCGCCAACGACGCCTCGTCACCATTCTGCTGCGCCGTGCGCACGGCTTCGGAAATCGCAAACGTCGCCTCGTCCGCGTGCGAAAACGCCAGCTGCGTGGACGCGAGCGCCAATAACGCCGTCTGCAACCGCTCGCGCCCGGCGTTGGCGCTTTCAAACCCGCCCACTAAAACGTTATCGCCTCCTAAATCCGCTCTCAACTCGTTGTGCTCGCCGCTGATGTCAAAGTGTCGATGTAAATGCTCCACCGCCGCTGGGTAATCTTTCCGTCGCAACGCCGCTGCGTGACGCAAGTAGTGCAGCGTCGGCACTTCGGGCGCCAAATCCCGCAGATCCTCGAGCGCTTCCGGCGGTAAAACTCGATCGGCATCTACGGCGTGCGTATCGTACGCCTCGACGGCGCGCGTGACGAGCGTCGTCAGCACATCCGGCGCCGCGCACGTTCTCCCGCTCGGCGGCTCGTTTTCGTCGCCTTGGATTGCCCGCGCGACCTCCTCCGCGTACGCCCGCACCTCATCCAGCAACGTCAGCGTCGCCTCAAACGGCAATAAATTAAACCCCAGATAACACCGCTTCAAAAACATTCCGATCGGCGTCCACCCCTCGACGTCCCGCGTCTCGAATCCGTATTCCGCCTCGTAATCCTCCGCGCGCGCGTTCGCCGCCACGCATCGCGCGTCCTCAAAAAACGCCTCCAAATCGTCCAAACTCTCCGACACCTCCATCAATTCGTCCAAAAACCTCTCCAATCCCCATCGCACGATCGCATCGCGCGCCGCGCGTTCCGTCGCGTCTTCGTTCGTCTCGCTCGCCGTCGCGTCTTCCAGCGCCGCTCGCAGCGCCCGCGTCGTCTCCGTCGCGCTCCGTTCGCGCGTCCCTCCGCCCGCGAGCGCGTCGACCGCGCACTTCGCGTGCGCCGCGCGCACGTCGCGCACGCATCGCGCCGGGTCTTCGTCCACGCGCGTCGGCGCGCGCGCGAGGGCGTCCTCCCAGACGCCGGCGCGGCGACCGCCGAATCCGAGCGGGTCGAACGCGACGCGCGCGGCGATCACGGCGACGGCGACGCGGTGCGCGGTGGGCGCGCTTCGCGTGATTCGCTGGCGCTCGTCCACGGCGTCGGTCGCGGACATGACGGCTCGCGCGCGCGTGTGCGGGGACAGAGGATCGACGACAGCTGGAGACGGGTTTAAATCGCTAAATCGCGGCGCCGCCGGTGCGAGGGCGACTCGCCGTCGCGACGACTGCGGATGCGCTAAAAAGGTCGGTCACTCGCGCACCTTGAGTAAAATGCGGCCGAGCCAATCGGCCATGCGAGATTCGCGACCGCCGCCGCTGGCGGAACTCAGGTGGGCGAGACGGGCGATGACGCGCTGACTCTTGCGAGCGCCCAAGAGGCGAGGAAGATGGGCGTCGTAGTGCTCGTCGAGCAGGGCGTGGACGAGCCTGGTGGCTTGGTGAAGGGCTGTTGATGATTTGGAGTGCGCCACGGGGAGCGGGGAGACGTACTCTTCGACGGCGACGGCGGCGAGGACGTCGAGGGCGTTGACGGCGACGGCGGCGGCGCCGTACTCGGACCAGCCGATGAAGGCGAGCGTTCTTAACACGCGGAGCGCCGCCTCTTGAAGCGTGCCGCTCTGCTCAGGCGTGGCGTGCGCCACGTATGAGGACTTAATGACGAAGATCAAGCCGTTTTCCTCCACGCAATCTGCTCGGAGGCAACTCAGAATCGCGGCGAACAACGTCGCTCGCTTGCGCCGTTCAGGCGTCGGCGGCTTTTCAATCCCTCGCTCGACGTCGAGTGGTTCACAGAGGAACGACTGAAATTCGGGCGTGGGCGCCAACATTCGAATGAGCATGAGCGCCAAGAACCGTGTGCTGTTCGGGGCGATCGATTTCAGGCACGATCCAAAGCCGCTGTGCTTTTGCGCCACGGCGCCAAACGCGCCCCGGCCATTCTCCACGCCCACACCGCTCGCGAATCGAATGAGCGCCACGATCACGGCGTCGACGACGCGCCACTGACCATCACACTTCGCATCGGTGAGTAACTGTATCAATGTCTCCAAAAACGGCGCCACCTCCGGTGCCTCTCCCCCTTGGCTCCCCGACAACCTGCTCTTCGTCGTCTTCGTCGGTTTTGGCGTCGGCGCGGACGCGTGATTCGTCGAACTCATGGACGCCGGAACGAAGATACGACCGCTGTGTGCGCGCGGATGCGCGACGAGCGTACCCATGCCCGCTCCGCCTAAACCGGGAATCCCCGCCAAAGACGCTGGCGGCGACCCGTGCGCTGTGACCGTCGCGACGGTTTGATTTCTCTGCGCCCCGCACGCGCCGAGCACGATGCTCAGGCTTCGCCCATCAATCATCGCGAGCGCGGAAAGAATTCGCAATATCGACGTCACGTGCGCGTAGTGCGCCGAAGACGTGATGGAATTCGATGTTTCTACGATGGACTCGACGAGCGCGCGCGTGAGCGCCACCGTCGAATCCGGATTCGTCGCCAAATTCATGAGCGCCGCGCGCACGGGGTTCACCAACTCCGCACTCACGACCGATGATTCGTTTGGTTTCGCTAAAAAAGAACTCACATCGAGCGGAACGTCGTTCATCAACCGCGCGAAGACGTTATCGCTCGAGTAATACCCGCTGACGCCGCGTTGGTACAGCGTCGCCGCGACGTCGGGCGGCGCCATCGGAAGCGCCAACGCGAGCGTTTCGGGCGGCGACGCCACGCTCAAACCTTCGCGCGCGCGTCGATGACTGCCACCAGCGCTCATTCCAGTCGTACGTTCACCAACTCGCGCTTCGCTTCCTAACACATCCCCACCGCTTGCGCCGCCCGTTCTCTGTCGCTTGTTCGCCGCCGTCTCTTGGCTCTCGTCTCGCGACGGTCGCTTTTGTCCCGCCGACGCCCTCGCCCGGCGTTCGGCGCGAACTTCCGCGGCGAGTTTCGTGCGCTCGTCATTCGCCGCGCGCAACTTCGCTCGCGCGTCGTCCTCCAGCCTGCGCGCCTCGGTGATCTCTTCCTCTTTAAACGCCAACTTCGATCGAAGCGTCGCCAACTGCTGCTTTAAATCCTGCACCTCCGCCTTCGCCACGACGCTCGCCGCGTTCGTCGACGTCGGCGCCGCGCGAGCGTTCGCCCCATTCGCCCCCCCCACCGCGCCGTAATTCACCTCCCCCGCCCCCCCCCGCGCCCCTCCGCCGCCGTCGCCGCTCGCGCTCGCGCCGTTTCGCTTCAAATTTTCATTCTCGCGCTCCACCATATCCAACTTCGACCGCAGCATCCCCAACCGCGCGTCGCGCTCGATCAGCATCTGTCGCAACTCCTCGCTCGCGGTCGTCCCATCGTCTCCGCGCGTCGTTCCGCGCGCGTTCGTCGTCGCCTTCGTCGTCGTCGCCGTCTCGTCGCCGCGTCGCCGCTGCGTCAGGCTCTCCTCCACCGCGTCCAACACGCTGTCGTCGTCGTCGTCGTCGTCGCGATTTCGTCAGTCACGTTCGCGCGCGCATCGTCGTCGTCGTCGCGACGCGTTCGTCGCGCCATCGCGCGCGTCGTCGTCGTCGTCGTCGTCGGCGCGTCATCTTGATGACGAATCGACGCGTCCGCTCGCGGTCGCGCGTCGCGTCGCGCGTCGCGCGCACCTCCCCGCGCGCGCCCAGAACCCATCGTCCGCGTCGTCGTCGTCGTCGTCGAACCCGACGGACGCCATGCGCGCCGCGGTGTGGCGCGTCGTCGCGCCGTTCGCGTCGCGGACGACGGCATTGCATGACGACGACGGTGCGTCTCGTCGCGCGCGCGCCTCTTCGCGCGCGCGCGCGCGTCGCGCCGTCGCGTCGTCGGCGATGCGCGGCGCGCGCGTCCGAGCGCGCGGCGCGGTGGGCGATCGCGGCGGTCGAACCCGAGTCGCCCGACGCGTCGCTGACGAATGATGATTTAAAACCCGTGCTGGCGAGCGCGCGGACGTTCGCGCTGCGCGACGTGGCGTCGCTGTGGGTCGGATTGGTCGTGTGCGTGCCCGCGTGGACGCTCGTGGCGCAGGTGGTGGACGTGGGATTCGCGGCGGGGGAGGCGATGGCGGTGGTGGCGAGCGCGAACGCGCTCGTGCTGGCGCCGATGATCGCGAACGGCGCGGCGGGGACGAAATACGGGATAGGATTCCCGGTGTACTGCCGCAGCGCGTTCGGGGTGCGAGGAGCGAGCGTGGCGACGTTCGCGCGCGCGATCGTGGGGTGCGGGTGGTTCGGAATACAGACCAACGTGGGCGGACAGGCGCTGGCGACGATGACGCGAGCGATGGGATTCGCGGCGAACGGGACGGTTTTACCGTGGCTCGGGTTGAGCGTCGAGGCGTTGGTGTGTTACTTGACGTTTCTCGCGGCGCAATTGTGGGTGGTGTATCACGGGATAGAGTCGATCAGACGCGTCGAGGAGTACGCGGCGCCGGTGTTGATTTCGCTCTCGCTCGCGTTGTTCGCGTGGGCGGTGACGGCGGCGGGAGGCGTGGGGCCGATATTCGACGCACCGAGCGCGTTCGCGGTCGGAGGCGCGCGAGCGGGCGAGTTTTGGAGCGCGTTGCTCCCCGTTCTCACCGCGACGGTCGGGTTTTGGTCGACGCTTTCTCTCAATATTTCAGACTTTACCAGGTACGCGAAATCGCAACGCGATCAAATCGTCGGGCAAGCCGTCGGTTTGCCGGCGTTCATGACGATGTTTTCATTCATAGCGCTGGCGGTGACGTCATGCACCGTCGTCATCTTCGGTGGCGCGATCAGCGATCCGATCGAACTGGTTTCGCGCATAAACACCGGACCGCTCACGACGTTTCTCGCGATGGGCGGTCTGTCGTTAGCGACGCTCTCGACGAACATCGCGGCCAACGTCGTGGCGCCGGCGAACGCGTTGGTGAACGCATGTCCCCGTTCAATGAGCTTCCGAAAAGCCGGCTTCATCACCGCCGCGCTCGGGACGTTGTGCATGCCTTGGAAGCTCGCCGCGGGCGACGGGTTCATCTTCGTCTGGTTGATTGGATACGCCGCGTTGCTCGGCCCGATCACGGGCATCATGATCGCCGACTACTTCTTCGTTCGCGAGCAAACCCTGGACATCGACGCGCTGTATAGCATGGACGCGAAATCGCAGTACTGGTACGCCAACGGCTTCAACGTGCGCGCGTTGGCGAGTTTCGTCGTCGGCGCCGGCGTCTGCGTGCCCGGCTTCTTGCACGCCGTCGGCGCCAATCCCGCGTGCTCCGCCTTCTTCCGCGGGCTTTACGCCAACGCCTGGTTCGTGAGTTTCTTTCTCGGCGGTGGTCTGTACTTGCTCCTCGAGCGCGCGGCGCGCGCGACGAATAAAGCTAAAATGTAAATCGATTAGACGCATAGTACGCGCCGCGGGCGGCGACGACGACTACTCGTCGCGCCGTTTCCCCAACATCGCCGCGGGCGGCGACGACGACTACTCGTCGCGCCGTTTCCCCAACATCGCCGCCCACCGCCGCGCCTCCTCGCCGTCGTCCTCCTCCTCTTCCTCCGCCTCCTCGACGTCCTCGTATTCATCCACCGCGCGCATGAACGCGTCGTACCTGCGTTCCGTCGTCTCGTCCGCGTCGTCCGTCTCCCCGCGCCTCGTCGCCGCGTCGCCTCCCGCGTCGTCCCGCGCGCGCGTCCTCCACCTCCCGCGCTTCGCGCCGCGCGTCGACGCGAACCGCGCTTCGCTCACCGCTCGTATGCGCCCGCGCGCGAGCCCCGCTTCCGGCGTCGCGCGCCGCGCGGCTTCGCTCAGTCGCGCGTTCAACACCCTTTCGGACGACCCGAGCGCCGCCGCCGCGACCGCGCACGCCGCGCCGAGCGCGGCGCAGGCGCACAGCGCGCGCCGCAGACGCGCGGCGCGCGTTCGCGCGCGTTCGCCCGCGCTCGCGCGGTCGCGCGGTCGCGCGCGCGTCATGTCGTGCCGTCGGCACATCGCGCCGCGATGGCGTCGCGACGCGACGTCGTCGTCGTCGCGTTCGACGACGACATCGCGCCCGCGCGCGAGGGCGAGACGCACGAGAAAGTCCTCGCGTCGTCGTCGCGCGCGGCGCGCGCGCGCGACGGCGCGGAGGGCGCGGCGGCGTCGCGCGCGCTGAGCGAACTCGTCGGTTTCGTGTTGGCGTCGCGGTCGATCGCGCGCGCGTTCGCGCCGCGCGACGCGAGCGACGAGGACGCGCTGGAGTTTAGCGTCGCGCGAACGCGCGGCGCGCGCGTGGCGAGCGTGCGGGCGCGCGGGACGAATTCGTACGCGTGCGCGCGCGTCGACGAAGGCGCGGCGCCGCGGTGGTCGACGAGCGACGGCGAACTCAGGGCGATGCTCGCGCGCGTGGTCGAGGCGTACGAAGAGGGCGTGCGAACGAACGGGGCGGCGGCGGACGATCGGATCGCGCGACGGGAGGCGTGGACGCGGGCGGTGGCGACGGCGACGGCGCCGCGACGGGCGGCGAACGCGAACGCGAACGCGAGCGGCGCGGCGGCGGCGGCGGCGGCCGAAGACGAGGGGGCGACGTCGCGTGGATTAGATAAATACGCGGTTTTTTACGGTCGCGAGCGCGCGCGGAACGAGGGAGGTTTGGAATTGACGACGGCGGCGCCGGCGGGCGCGAGGACGGAGATGGATCCGCGCACGGCGTCCACGCTCGCGCTGTTGCGACGAGACGTCGAGCGCGCGAGCGATGGTGACGCGATAGAGCACGCGTACGTCAAGCCAGGTCACGAGGCGTGGGTGTGCGTGAGCGCGACGGCGGACGAGCGACGGTACGTGGCGATCGAGGACACGAGCGATACGCTGTTGCGATGCGCTCGACGCGTGAAGACGTTCGCGCAAAAGTCGTTTCCGGATGCGAGCGGCGCGTTCGACGTCATCGAAGATTCGTGATGCGTGCGCGCCTGAAGATGGTTCGAACAATTAGCGGTAGTCTAGGTAGTGTTACAACAACAACAACATTCAACATTCTCGCGTCGATTCACGGCGCCGTTTCGACGCGGCGGTACCAATTCTCGCGTACGAGCGCGCACACCTCGCGCAATCTTCGAATGAATTCGGCTGGATTACGATCGTACGTATCATCGTGGCCGGCGCCTCGAATCCAGTACGGTTCGAGAAGCGATTCGTTCGTTTTCGCGCTCTTGCGAATGGTTTCCCAAAGCGTCTCGCCGTGAGACACGTGTACGACGTTGTCTTGATCGCCGTGAATCAACAGAATCGGACACTGGATGTTCTTCACGACTTGATAATTCTTGTACACGTCCATCTTTCTGAACACCTTGGCCGGCGTGCACCACGCTTGCGGCGAGCTCACGACGTTCAAGGCACTTAGAAGCGGAGAAACCAAAACGACCGCGCCGAATCCCGCGTTTTCGCGCTTGCCCGCGTGAAAACACGTCGGCCCGCTTCCAATGGACTGTCCGAGCAAAATAATTTCCTCGCGCGACACTCCGAAGCGTTCGATGACGTGCGCGACGACGGCATCGATGTCCGCGTACGTATCAGCCACGCTCGGCTCGCCGCGACTCTGCCCGTATCCCGAGTAATCGTACGTCACCACTCGACAATTCAATTGCTGCGACAACTTCCGCGCGAACGGCGCCACCTCCCCCGCATCAACCGCATTGCCGTGCGAGTAAATCAACGTCAGGTTCGCGCCGTCTTGCATCGCTCGAGCGTCGTCCTCGCTCGCCGCCGATATCCTCGTCGGCGGCGCTTCGCACGTCATCGCCACCACCTCGTTCCCTCTCGCCGTCGTCACCAAATCCACGCGAAAATCGTCCAACACGCGTTGAAACGCTGCCGCGTACGTCGCCGGCACGTGTTCCTCGTTCGCGATCGCTCTGAGCTCTCCACTATCGCTCGTCCCCGCGCGCTCGCCGTCCCCGTCGTCGCTCGCCTCTCGCTCTCCGAGCGCGTAGCTCGGCGGTTCCGGCGGGAAAAACGCCAAATCTCGCGCCAGACGCTCGCTCGAGCATCGTTTCACGCAAAACGCCGTCCCAATCACCGCCGTGCTCACGCACTGCGTCGGCATCGTCGCTCCGACCGCGTCCGGTCCAACCGCTCGAGCTCGAGTTCAAATCGAGCGTCTTCGCGCGCGCTTTTCGCCGCGCTTCGCCGCCCGAATCGCGCGTTCGCGCGCGTGTTCGCGCGCCGCGTTCGCGTCGCCCGTTTCACCGCGCCGCGGCGTCGCTCGCGCGCCGCGCGCGTCGCGTCGCGACGTTTTTTGACGCGCGCGCGACGAAAACTCGAGGGTTTACTCGCCGACGCCACTCATCGACGCGTCGCGACGCGCGCGCGCGACGAAACCGCGCCCGACGCGCGCCATCGACGCGCGCCGCACCGCCCGGCCTCGCGCCGCACCGCGCGCGCCGTCGACGACGAGACCGCGGCGACGTCGGCGCTCGAACGCGATCGCCGTCACGACGATCGAGACGACGCGTTATCGCGCCGCATGACGCCCTCGGACGCGCTCGAGCGCGCCGCGCGGGCGTCGTCGAGCGCGACGACGGCGCGCGCGTCCGTCGACGGCGCGTGCGTCGCGCATTCGCCCGCGGAGACGGCGTTTTACGCGCACATGGCTTCGGGCGCGCTCGCGGGCGCCGTCGAGCACACGGCGATGTTCCCGGTGGATACGATTAAAACGCGCCTGCAGGTGGCGGCGAGCGGGACGTCGTACGCGCAAGCGATCGGGACGCTCACGGCGCGCGCGTCCGCGGCGAACGCGGCGAACGCGGTGCGGTCGCTGTATCGAGGGGTGTCCGCCGCGGGGTTGGGCGCGGGGCCGGCGCACGCGGTGTACTTCGCGACGTACGAAAAGTGCAAGGTGGCGTTCGGGGGTGGGAACGTGAACGAACACGCCCCCGTCGCGCACGCGCTCGCGGGAGTGTGCGCGACGGTGCTCGCGGATGGGTTGCAAAACCCCGTGGATACGGTGAAGCAACGACTGCAAATCTCGGATTCGCCGTACAAGGGGGCGCTGGATTGCGTGGCGAAGACGTTTCGGAACGAAGGCGTGCGGGCGTTTTATAGAAGTTACCCCACGACGTTAGCGATGAATGTCCCTTTCACGGCGATCCACTTCGCGGCGTACGAAAGCGCGAAGACGGCGCTGTTCAAGGCGAGCGAGGCGGAGAAGGAGGGGTTCGCCGTGCAATTCGCCGCCGGGGGCGTCGCCGGGGGTCTAGCGGCGGCGGCGACGACGCCCATGGACGTCGTCAAGACTCGCATGCAAACGCAATGTGTTTTACTCGATTGCGACGTCGCCAAGACGGTGGAAACGACGTACAACAGCGTGTGCACGGCGCGAGGCGCGCCCAAGATTTGTCCGCAAGAGCTCGCCGCGCAACGCGCGCGAAGCGCCGCCGTGCGTTCCGCCAGCCCGATGGACGTCGCGCGCGCCATCGTTCGCGACGAAGGCGCGCTCGCCCTCACTCGCGGCATGAGCGCGCGCGTGCTCTTCCACATCCCAGCCGCCGCCATCTGTTGGACGACGTACGAAGCCGCCAAGCGCGCCTTCGGTTTGGACGGCGACGACGCCTTCGGCCACCGTTAATCCCCCGACGCGCGTCGTCGTCGTCGCGCGCGCGCGCGGCGCCGCGAGCGCTCACTCGCGCGCTCGCGCGCGCCTCGTTCGATCTGCCGCGAGCGCGTCTTAGCCAGCCATTCTTCTTTCAATCCCAGCCCGCCTTTGTTCGTCGTCGCGTCATCCGAATCGACGTCATCGCGCCGAAAAGCGTCCCGAGGGAGCCTGCGTCGTCATCGCGCCGCGCGCGCCCCGACGCCGACGCGAGAGCGACGCGAGAGCGACGATGCATCGCGCGCGTGACCTCGCGCGCGCGCTCGCGCGCGCTCGCGCGCCTCAGCGCACCGCCGCGCGACGCGACGTCGACGGCGCGGCGACGACGGCGCTGGCGACGCAAAAGCGCCTCGTGCAGTGGCGCGCGGAAGATTTCGAAGTCGACGCGACGACGGACGCGCCGACGCCGCGAAAGTTTGAAAAACCGAAACCGAAGAGCGCGATACGCGGCGCGGCGCCGCCCGGGATCACGCCGACGCTGGCGAAGACGGGACCGGCGGCTGGGAACGCGAACACGGTGCCCGAGCAAGACGAGAGCGAAAAGCACAGCTCGCAGGCGCACCTGGCGCGAATGATGCGAGATGGAAGCTCGTTCGTCGAACACGGCGTGGGAGGATTGGATAAGGAGTTTGCGAATATATTCAGACGAGTGTTCGCGTCGAGGATGGTGGACGCGAACATCGCGAGAAGGTTGAAATTGCAACACGTGCGAGGGGTGCTGCTGTACGGGCCGCCGGGGACGGGGAAGACGCTCGTGGCGAGACAGTTGGGGAACATGCTGAACGCGCACAAGCCGAAGATCGTGAATGGACCGGAAATTTTGCAAAAGTTTGTCGGTCAAAGCGAGGAGAACGTGCGGATGTTGTTCGAAGATGCGGAGAAGGAGGCAAAGTTGAGGGGCGACAAGAGCAAGTTGCACATCATCGTCTTCGACGAAATCGACGCGGTGATGAAGGCGAGAGGCACGGGAGGGGAGACGGCGAGCATCGTGCACGACAACGTCGTGAATCAGCTTTTGACCAAGCTCGACGGTATGCACGCGCTGAATAACATTTTGATCGTGGGTATCACCAACCGAAGAGACTTGCTCGATCCCGCGCTTTTGCGCCCGGGTCGTTTAGAGTTGCAAGTCGAAGTCGGCTTGCCGGACGCCACCGGTCGACAGCAAATTTTGAAAATTCACACCGACTCTATGGCTAGCGAAGGCTTGCTCGGACCTTGCGTGAACTTGGAAGAATTGGCGAAGAGCACGGTCAACTACAGCGGCGCCGAGTTGAAGGGCCTCGTCACCGCGGCAACGTCGTATTCGTTGACGAGACACATTAAGAAGAGCGCGGAATTCGACCAAGCAGAGAGCGCGGAAGCGCCGGTAGTGCTCATGGAGGACTTCCTGAACGCACTCGAGGAAGTGCCGCCGGCGATGGGCGCCGACGCCGCGACACTCGAAGCGATGCGCCCGGATGGGTACGTTACGCTCGAATCGCAATCGGAGCACGTCGTCGCAGAAAATCAATTGAAGTCGTTCGTCAAGGCGTTACAGGACGGCGCGACCGATCACATGACGTGCATGGTCAGTGGACCCACGGGGAGCGGGAAGACCGCGCTCGCCGCCACGGTGGCGTTGGCGAGCGAGTTCCCGTACGTCAAAGTAGTCAAGCCGGACACCGTCATCGCCAACGCGCCGGGTGGTTCCGGCTCCACAGACGACGTGCTCACCGCCGCGCTCAAGGCCTCGTTCGAAGATGCGCTCAAGTCTACGCTGAGTTGCTTGGTCGTCGACTCCGTGGAGACGCTCGTCGGCGTCGCCCCGGCGGATGGAAGCGAGTCTCTCAACGTCGCGCACCCGAAGGCGCTCGCGACGCTCAGCGCTTTGCTACAGCGTAAGCCACCTCCAGGCCGACACTTGCTCGTGATGCTCACGACGTCGTCACCAAAGACGCTCAAACGTCTCGGTCTCGGCGCCGGCGGCGTCATCGACGCCGCCGTGGAAATTCCCGCGCTTTCGCTCGAGCAAGCGTCGAGCGTGTTGCTCTCCACCGGCGCCTTCAAGGACGAATCCGCCGCGCGCGAAGCGGTGGATTTCTTGAAGCGCCCGTCGGTGCCGATCAAACCTTTACTATCCACGGCCAGACTCGCGCGCGCGACGTCCCCGAACGCCGAATCCGGCGTCGCCGCCGACGTCTGGCGCCGTTGCGCCGAGCGCACCGAGCTCCTCGCCGCGTGATCAAACCGACCAACCTCACCGTCTGTTGTTGTTGTTGTTCTTGTACCCTGACATCGCTCGCTCGCGGATTACGCCTGATCTAGTCAGCGCTGATTACAGTATTTTTTATTTCAACCCAAACGAACGCGTTTACGTCGCTCGCTCGCTCGCCGCGACTCGTCGTCGGCGCGGCTCGCGTCTGCGGCGTCTCGTGACTTTATTCGTCGACGCCGCGCCGCGCGCGCCGCCGATGGCGCGCGCGACCCGCATCGTCGCCTTCGTAATCTTCCTCTGCGTCGTCCACGGCGCGAGCGGCGCGCTCGACGCGCGTGACGTTTCGAAATCTTCCTTCTTTGATGTCGACGCGCGAGCGCTCGAACGCGCCGCGCACAACGCGCTCTGGCGCATAGACGGGCGTCGAATCGTCGCCCGGTCGAGGGTGTTATCGTCGACCGATCTCGGATTCACGCTGACGACGAACGCGACGACGACGCGGTCGGGCGGACGCGTTCGCGCGACGGTTTCGACGACGGCGACGGCGAACGCGACGTTCGCGGAGCATTGGATCGGAGCGTACTCGCCGGCGGGCGCGGACCCGACGAAGACGGCGCCGGTAAAATACGCGGTGTTGGGACGCGTGGACGGTTACGCGACGACGGGGTCGGCGAGCGTGGTGTTTGAGACGTTGACGCATCGCGCGGCGACGTACGATTTCGTATTGTTCGCGAACGCGCCGAACGCGACGACTATGATGGAGGTGGCGAGGAGCGCGCCGGTTCACGTCGAGGACGCACTGGCGCCGGTGTGGCCGCGGGTGACGCTCCCGACGGGTTGGGGGGGATCGACGACCGAACGCGGCGCGTCGGCTCGCGTGACGTGGCAAAGCGGACGAAACGCCAGTCACGGCGCGCGATTGACGTATCGCGTGGGTAACGGCGCGTACGCGCACGTTCCGGCGACGACGACGACGTACGACGCGCGCGATTTGTGCGGGGCGCCGGCGAACAGTTTTGGATACAGACATCCGGGGTACGTGCACACCGCGGCCATCGTAGCGCGCCCAGGCGACTCGATCGAGTACTTCGCGCGCGACGCTCACGGCGAGAGCGATCGGTTCACGATGCGCATGCCTCCGGCAGAAAGCAAAGATGCGAAGACAACGCTCGCGTTGTTCGCGGATATGGGTCGTGGATCGAACGACGACGCCGAAACGTGGCGCGCGTACGGTCAACCTTCGCTCAACGTCAGCGCCGCCTTGGAGCGCGACGCGCGCGATGATGCCATCGACGCCGTGTTTCTCTTCGGCGACTTGTCCTACGCCACGGGATACGCCAGCGTTTGGGACGAATGGGCGGCACAAATCACGCCGTGGGCGTCTCGCGTGCCGTTCATCTCCAATCTCGGCAACCACGAAGCTGACAGCTCGAATTGGCCAGAGTCTCGCGTTGCGGACGAGTACGGCGTCGACGACAGCGGCGGCGAATGCGCGGTGCCGGCGACGCGCTTGTACCCTACGCCTCGCGCCGGCCCAGACGCCGATTGGTTCGCGGTGACTTTCGGATCGATTCGCGTCGTGTCGATGAATACCGAAGTCAACTTTTCGCCCGCTTCGGCGCAAGGCGAGTGGCTCAAGCGCGAACTTTCGAGCATCGATCGCGCAAAGACGCCGTGGGTCGTGCTCGGCGGACACCGACCGGGTTTGGTCGACAGCACCGACGGTCCCGAAGATCGCGAGACGAAACCAGGGATGAAAAACCCGAGTGACTTGAGCGTAATGCGAGAGATCCAAACGCACGTCTGGCCGCTGTTGGTCGAGTACGATGTCAACGCGGTGTTTTGGGGACACAATCATGCCTACCAGCGCTCGTGCGCGTGGAGAGGATCGACCTCGTTCAATGTCTCCGCGGACGAAGGGTGCGCGGCGTTTAGTAGACTCGTTGACGGCGTGGCGACGTATTCCCATCCCGGCGGCGCACCAGTGAGCGTACTCGTCGGCACAGGCGGCGCACCTCACACGAAAAACGCGATCGGCGCATCGTTTATGGAGAAGGAGCTCTATGAGTACGGCTACGTTCGGCTCACCGCGTTCAATCGCACGCACTTGTACGGCGAATATCAAGACGCCAGCGCGGATGGCGGCGTGCTCGACGCCTTCTTCATCGTTCGCGATCGAATCGAGAGCGATGACGATCTGTCGTCGCTGGCGGGAAAGCTCGCGCATCTGACGGATGATTTGCGCACGTGGCGAGACACGACGTACGTCATGGCGACGTTCGTGTGCGCGACGCTCGCCATCGGCGCCTGGTTGGCGCACCGCCACTGGGCTTTGAAGGCGTCGCAGCGAAAGTATAACATTCTCGAGTACGACGACGACGGCGACGTCGACGGGGTTTAGAACATTCTGTACAATACACGATTCATTTCACGCACGCATCGAAATTGTTCAACCGCGCGAACGTCTCGTCCAGTCAAAAATACGAGCCTTCTTCGTTACATCACGAGCGTACTAGAATTTACCCATCCCGGAATCCGCCGAGAGGACGCGCGCGAGGAATTGCAGAACCATGAAACCGAGGATGGGCGTGAAGTCAATCTGCCCCATCACGGGTGGAATCAGGTTCCTGAACAAGTTCAGGTACGGATCGGTGACTTGACGAAGCATCGTCCACGGCTGGCGCATCCAGTTGACGTTTGGAAACCACGTCAGCAACACCCGCACGAAGAGCAACAAGAGATACAACTTGATGAACGACGCCACAGACTGCGTCACTAACTGTATCATTTTCCTGTCCACCATCGTCACCGCCGCGAGCGTGAACAACGGCGCGACGGCGGACATCTTCGTCGTCGACTTCGCGCTCACCATCTCCCGGCCGAGCGCGCGTTGGCGTCGCGCCGCGTCGCTCGCCACCGCCATCACCTCCCGCGCGCGCACGAATCCAGTCAACGCGACGAAAGACGACGTCGTCGATTCATCGTTCGACGCCGAGTCCCGCGTCGCGCTCGCGCTCGCGTTCGCTCGACGCGCCGTCCTCGAGCGTCCCGTTCGCGTCCCTGTCGCCGCGTCGCCTTCGTCAGTCTCCGAGTTCGCGCGCGCTTCGTCCGCGCGCGCGACGTCGCCCGCCGCGCGCGCGCGTCGCCTTCGCGCCGTCCCTCCCTCGCGCCGTCTCTCCCGCGCGCCGCGCGTCCCGCCGTCGCGTCGGACGTCGCGCGCGGAAACCCTCAACGGACGTCGGCGAATCGAATCGTCGTCGCGTCGCGCGCGGCGCGAATCGTCCCGTCGCGCGCGCGCGTCGCGCGCACCTTTCGCGCTCGCGCGATGCACCGCCGCCGAAGCGCCGCGCGCGAGCATGCCTCGCGTCGGCGTCGCGCGATGCGGCGCGCGCGAGGGACGCGCGGCCCGGGAGGGACTCTCGACGAGTCATGACTCGACGAGGTTATCCGGGCGCGCGAACGACGCGCCGGCGGCGTCACACGCGCGCGCGAACGACCGGCGACGCGCTCGATGTCCGCCGCGACGGGACGCGCGACGCTCGCGACGGGCGCGCGACGGGACGCGCGACGCGCGCGACGCGCGACGCGCCCGCGCGCGAGCGCGCCCTCGGGCGTGGACGACGGCGCGGTGAGCATCCGACGACGACCGCCGAACGGACCGTCCAAGCACGACCTGGGCGTCGGACAGTTTGAGTTCGTGATCGAGGAAGTCGCGCCGACGGGCGAGCGGGTGACGAACGAGAACAACAAGCCGAAGAACATCTTGGAGGAGATCGTGTGGTATAAAGACGTGGAACTCGCGGAACGCAAGGAGAAATTCCCGTTGCAGTTGGTGCGAACGGCGCTGGTGAACGCGCCGCCGACGAGGGATTTTGTGAAGGCGATCACGGATCAGTTGGCGGCGACGAAACAGCCGGGACTGATCGCGGAGGTGAAGAAGGCGTCGCCGTCGAAGGGGGTGATTCAGCCGAATTTTGATCCGGTGAAAATCGCGAAGGCGTACGAGGAGGGTGGGGCGGCGTGTTTGAGCGTGTTGACGGATGAAAAGTTCTTTCAGGGTGGATTTGAAAACTTGGCGCTCATTCGCGAGGCTGGGGTGACGTGCCCGTTGCTCTGCAAGGAGTTCATCGTGGACGCGTATCAAATTTATCTCGCGCGCAAGTACGGCGCCGACGCGATTTTGTTGATCGCCGCGGTTTTGCCCAACCAAGATTTGAAGTACTTCATTAAGATTGCGCACTCGCTGGGCATGAAGTGCTTGATCGAGGTGCACACGTACGGGGAGATGAAGCGCGTGTTGGACGGAGACTTTCCCATCGATTTGCTCGGCATCAACAACCGGGATTTGGGAACGTTTGAGGTCAGCTTGAGCGTCACCACCGATCTCATGAACGGGCCGCTCGGCGAGGAGGTTAAGAGACGCGGCATCACCATGGTTGGCGAGTCTGGAATCTTCACCATCGACGACGTCAACTTGTTGCAAGATTCCGGCGTCGGCGCGGTCTTGGTCGGCGAGTCCCTCGTCAAGCAGGACACCCCGGACGTCGGCATCAAGAAATTGTTCGGCCGCCCGGTGTGATTCGATCACGCGCGATTTCCATCGACTCGACACGATTTTTAACCCGCCCCGCGCGAGTACCGCTGATTTAATGACAACCACTATCCATCCGGAATGCGCCGCTACCATGCGAAATTTCTAGACTTGAGATTACACGTCGACATTCTTATCGATCATCTTCATGCTCATACTCCCCATTCGTCGTCGTCGTTGCCGTACTGCGCGTGCCCGCCTGATTGCGGGGCGTTATTCCAACCTGGCGGCGGCGGCATCATGTGGTTGCCGCCGCCAGCGTATCCTCCGTGAACGACGCCGATCGGCGTGGGCGTGTAGCCCGGCGGCGCCTCTGGCGCATGTTGCGCCGCATAGGCAGGAAGCTGCACGTACGTCACGTTCGGCGTGGCTTGCTGAGGCTGTGCCGGCCGCGGTTGGGCCCCTATGTCGTAAATATCGCCAAGCGTGTACTGGCCTCTGCCTGTCAGACGCCTCACGAGCCCACGCGGTTTCTGCTGCTGCTGCACCACGTGCGGCTGCTGCTGCTGCTGCTGCACCAAGTACGCCGGCTGCTGCTGTTGCTGCTGCACCACGTACGCCGGCTGCTGCTGCTGCTGCTGTACCACGTACGCCGGCTGCTGCTGCTGCTGCTGCACCACGTACGAACCGCTCGGCGTAAACGTCAGCACCAAGTTAATCACTCCCGCCGCTCTTCCCTTCGTATCAAACACCTCTACATCCACATCATCGGTCTCATTCTTAAACACCGCATCTAGCTTCACCGTCGCGCTTCCGATGCACTTATCGCTCGTCATCGTGTTCCTATTCCAAATTCTCAAGTTCAGCTCATTCCCCTCCGTGCCCGCGAGCGCGAACGTGAATCGTTCGTTCCACTTCGGCGCCGTGCCTCCGTCTCGGCACACCTTGGTTCGGAACGTATCCGCGTGACCGCCGCATTTCAGCACGACGTACGGGTCTTGTTTCCCGAACGTTTGCGTGTCTCGCAGTCGGATCGCGCTTAAAACTGCCACGCGGAGACATTAATCAACTCATCTTGTCAGTCACCGTCGCGCGTTCGTTCGTCGCGCGCGCGTTTCGCGAGCGTCGCGAGCGTCGCGCGTTTCGCTATTTCTCGCGCTCGCGCGCGCACCATTGACTTCGAGTTTGCCTCGCATCGCGCGCGCGCAAGTGACGCGGGCGACGCGTTTCTGTGTGGTGCAGTCGCCTCGACGAGGCGGAGTCGTCTCGCGCGACGCGACGCGAGGCGATCGGGCGTGCGGAGGCGAATTCGACGCTAAGACGGTGGTGAATGAGATACAATGCACGCGCCGTGACGATCACGACGCGGCGGCGCCTAGGCTGGCTAAGGTGCTGAGAAAGGTTTCGCTGTGACACAGCGAAGTGGAGCCGTAGACGACGGAACGCACGTTGGCGCGCTCGCGCGACTTGAGCTCGACGAGGGATCGGTACTCGAGGTAGTTACCGCCACCGATGACGAAAACGATGCCATCGTGAAACGCGGGATCGCCCTCGCGAGGCCCGACGGGTTTGCCGTGCGGGGCTTTGGGGTCGAGGTACGCGTAATCCGCCGTCTCCGGACCGGGCTGGTTCGCCATGAGCGCGTCAAAAGCGACAGCGATGGGGAGCACGCGCTCGCCGCTGAGCAAGTTCTTCACACCCTTGGTGATGGTGTTGATACTTTGACCGTAAAGCTTATCGGCCCACTCTAAGATGTTGCCTTGGCTCGAGTTGGAGCGTCGATGACCGGCGTCGCCGCCGCCAGACATATTCTTCAGACTTGCATTCAAGCTCATCATGCGCTTGACGTACGCTAACGCCGATGTATTGGCTCCGCTCGCGCGTAGCGCGCCTTCAATTTCCTCGGCGTCTTGCGGCAAGATGCCTTCCGTCGCCGAAAGCGTGTACACGATTGCGAGTCTAACCTTGTCCTCGGCGCTTCCGCGACCTGTAGCTTGCAATAGACTCATCACCGACGGCCTATCACCTTTACCGACGAGCAAATCTTCTTCTATGGCGTAATACTCATCTAATCCACGTTGCTTGATGCTTCCAAGCAAGGCGGTGGCGATGTTGGTGTGCTTGTCGATGACGCGCTTCTTCTCTTGAAGCTCGGGGAGCGACTGCACCGCGTCCGCGAGCTTCGCCGTGCTATTCCCCAGTGCATCAGCGTCGCCGTCGGCCATCGCAGCTTGTGCATTCACACGCTTGATCGCCTCTTTATACTTCGCCAGCTCTGCCTCGACTTCCTCGGCAACCTTCGGAAACTGCGCGCTAGCGTTTTCCGCCCAAAACGGATCGCTGTGCTCCAACGTGTAACTTTTAGGCTTGGCACCGGTGGTGACCCCGGTCGGGGCGTCGGCATCGACGTCCACGCGGTTCAAGCGCATTCGCAAAACGTCGTGCACGAGGGGCTGATACGTCCAAGCGTGCTGCAACATTGCCGTCAAGTCAAAATTTCGATCAAACAGGCACAACAACGGTCGCTGCACCGAGCTCCCGCCGTACTGCGCGCGAAGTCCGCCCTCGAAGGGATTGTCTCTCTGCGCCAAAGCATCTCTAATTCGCGATTCCAACTCTTTCGCCACCATCTCAGCAGCGCCACCGCGCTGCGATCGAATCACCGGCACTTGCCCGAGCGTGACGCACGCGCTAAACAAGCCCGTCGTCACGTTCGCGATCAATCGCTCTACATCCTTCTCCGCCACGCGCGGATCGTGCAACAACCGATATCCATCATCAATCGCGAGGTCAAACAAGTCATCCTCCAACGACACATACCCCAAGTACTGATCTCGCACGCACTTGACTCGTCCGTCCACGCCGCCGCGCACCGCGCTCGTCGCCAATTCCTCCAACGCGCTCGCCGGCAGCGCGCTCGCGAAGTTCAGGTGATACGCATCGTACAGAGAGTTTGCAAAATCACCCGAGATCGCCTTGACGTTCTCGGGCGTGGGCGAGACAAAGTACACCGCCGGCACGTCTGGTATCTGCTCGCGCTCCTGTCGCAGCCGCAGGTGCAGCGTCACCCCGTGATCGCGCAGGTCCTTCACCGTCACCAGAGGCGCGATGACGTCGTGCGTAAACGCGTCTAGGATCAGAAGCTTGTAGTTGTTCGCTTCGTCCGCGTCCGCGTCGGCGTTGGCGCCGAACGAAGCCGCGATCGATGATTTGTTTGAATTCTTCGTCAAGTTGAGCAGCTCTATCACCGCGTGGCGCTGCCGCGGCCGGAGCGAGAGCACCATGACGACGACCGATGCACGCGCGTCGGTCGAGCGATGATGAATCGAGCGCGACGGGCGTTGACGCGAGAGGTTGGTTCGAGCGCGGGAGTGCGGATTTGGCGAATCGCCGAGCGCGAGGAAGCCTCGCGCGCGGCGAAGAATGCGGCACGCGGCCGTCGGTGCGCCGCGCGTTCATCATTCATCACGCGGTCATATTACATTATCGATATCGTCGTCCGATCACGGTGCTACAGATCCAAGTCCATGTGGTCGCCGGCGCCGATGTCGATGTCGATTGCGTCTCCGTCGACGTCGAGAGGCACGCCGTTGAGGAGGTCGTTGAACGCGGATGGATCGAAATCGAACTCATCCTGCATGTGATCGATGGACCGTATGCCTAAACCACTCGTCGCGTCGTCTAAAGGTTGGCCGATGACGAAGTTGACGGTGTCCGCGGAGACGTCTTGTTCCTGCTTTAACTTTTCGAGCAAGTGCTCGGGCGTGGCGTTACCGCACCATCCTGCGACCACAGCTAGTCTATTTCTATTCATCGTCTTCGTGTATCGGGCCAAGAGATGTAACGTGATTTCGTTGTGGGCGTCGATGTCTTCTAAGTGCGCCTGCGCGCTCCATCCGGTGGTGTTTGCGGCGATGATGTCCTTGGCGCCAGAGCGCAAGCTCTCCGGCAAACATCGCAAATCGGAAGCCAAATCGAGACGATCTTCGCGCTGCAACGGGCGCATGAGCGCCAATACCTGCGTTTCGACTTCTCGAAGCTGCATACTTACGAGATCGAGCGCTTCAGAGGCCTTGGCGCACTCCTTCTCCTTGCTCACCACGTCGGCGCGTCGCTGCGCGGCTTCATTCTTCGCCACCGCCATGTCTCGCTCGACTAAAACGCACGCTTCGACGTCGGCGATTCGTTGCTTAATCGCCTCCCACTTCGGTTCCCACTCGTCCAAGAGCCCGCAAGCCATGGTGTGGACGTCTGTGCCTTCATTGTTGAACTTCATCGCGTTCGCAAACGTCAGACGCACGTCGGCGTCAACCTCCTCCGCCATGACGTACTTGCCGCCGTTCTCTATGAGCTTTTTGATCGTCCCCAAGTCCATGGGCTCGGTGATGATTTCCCTGTACGTCGGTAAACCTAACGCATCCGGGTCCACGGGCGCGGAGAACGGAAACCCCCACTTGTGGGCCATCAATTGCCGCACCGCGGACAAGCACTGCTTGTGCACGATTTCCAATAAGCATCGGTATCGAAGCGTGTTGAACCCGTGCTGTTGGTCCGGTTTGCACGCTAACTTCTGCCGAATCGCCGAGACCCCTCGAGAGACCGATGACACCTTTCGCTTCGCGTCGATCTCGTTCACGCTGGCGTTGGCGGTTTGGGCGATGAGGCTCAACTCGTCTCGCCGCTCGACCAAATCCGTCGCGCGTTTGCCGAGATTATTCACCAAGTTCTCGAGCTCTATCAGACGCTTTCGCAGCGCGACGCGCTTCGAGCGATCCTCCGCCCTCGCGCGCTTACTCTGCGACGTCGTACCGCCGCCAACACCGATCCCACCGATCCCGCGCGAGGGAGGACGCACCGGATCCTCGACGTCGACGACGAGCGCCGCAAACGGATCCGCCGCGAGCGCCGCGTGCGCGCGCGCCGCCATCCCCACCCCATTCGCCTTGCCCTTCTTCGTCATCCCGCGCTTCGACGTCGAGGGCCCGACGCCAACCACACCCAACCCAAAGTCCGGTAAAAAATCATCCCCAGTCGGCCCCAACGCGACCGCCGCGCGCGCCGACCACCGCCGCGCCTCCTCCTCGCTCGTCCCGTACAGCGCGCCCTCCCGCGACACGTGCCCGATCGGTCCATCCACGCCCAAGAACTCCAACCCGTACGGCAGCTTCCCCGCCAACTTCGCCACCTGCGTCTTCGTCAGGATCGTCTCTCCCCGCCTCGCTCGCGCGCTCGCGATCCAATTCGTCTCCCGCGCTCGCGCGTTCGCCTCGCCGCTCGCCTCGCCGTCGCCGTCGCCGTCCCTCGCCTTCTTCCCGCGCTCCGCCCGCGCGTGCCCGCGCGCCATGTCCCTGTACCCCACCGACGGTTTCTTCCGCTTCCCGCCGATCGCCGTCGTCGTCGTCGTCGTCGTCGTCGCCGTCGTCGCGTCGTCGTCGCGCGTTCGCGCGCCTCCATCCTCCGCGTCGCGTCGCGTCGCGTCGCCGTCGACGTCGCGCGCCGTCGACGTCGCGCGCGCGTCGCGCGACGCGTCGGCGTCGTCGTCGCGCGTCGCGGCGTCGTCGTCGCGCATCGCGCGTCGGTCGCGCGACGCCGAGTGGCGACGCATCGGTCGGCGAATGCGAGACTCGAGCATCGCGCACAACACGGATCATCGACGCCGCGTTTCGGCGCCGCGACGCGCGCGCGCGTCGACGCGCGCGCGCCGTCTCTCACGGACGCGCGACGACATGGTGCGCGCGAACGACGCGACGCGACGACGCGAACGATGGCGACGATGGCGGCGACGCGAACGACGGCGCGCGCGCGGCGCGACGGCGCGCGCGCGACGACGACGGCGCGACGATGGGACGCCGCGGGTAGGGTCGCGGGCGCGACGGACGCGCGGGCGATCGCGCGGGCGAACGGCGTCGCGGTCGGGCGCGCGCGCGCGGCGCGCGGGCGGATGGATGAAATCGACGCGATCGATCGCGCGGCGCGACGCGGCGGGCGCGCGGTCGATCGCGGGCGACGGGAGGACGGACGCGGGGGGGCGGGGGATCGGGAAAGCCCTAGGCGCGAACGCGGCGGGGGTGGACGCGAGTGGACGCGGCGACGCGGGCGACGCATCGCGCGAACGGTGGACTGACGCGCGCGCACACTTTTTCTGTTTTCGCAGGCTCCGAGCAAGAAGCCCGCGCCCGCGCCGGCCGCGATCAAGGCGAAGCAACCGAAGAAGGAACCGAAGGGCCCGACGAACCCGTTGTTCGAGCGCCGGCCGAAGAATTTCGGCATCGGGAACTCGCTGCCGGTGAAGACGCCGCTGAACCGTTACGTGAAGTGGCCGAAGTATGTGCGCATTCAACGTCAGCGACGGGTGCTGCAAAAGCGATTGAAGGTGCCGCCGGCTGTGAACCAGTTCAACAATACGTTGGATAAAAACTTGGCGACGAATTTGTTCAAGCTGCTCATGAAGTACCGACCGGAGGACGCGGCGCAAAAGAAGGAACGCCTCGCGGGTATGGCGCAAGCCGAGGCCGCGGGTGCCGATGTTGAGAGTAAGAAGCCGGTCGTGGTGAAGTTTGGTATCAACCACATCACCTACCTCATCGAGCAAGGCAAGGCGCAACTCGTCGTCATCGCGCACGACGTCGACCCGGTCGAACTCGTCGTGTGGTTGCCGGCTTTGTGCAAGCAAATGAACGTGCCGTACTGCATCGTCAAGGGTAAGGCTCGTCTCGGTGCGGTCGTTCACAAGAAGACCGCCACCGCCTTGGCGCTCACCGCGATCAAGAATGAAGACAAGCTCGAGTTCTCCAAGCTCGTCGAAGCCATCAAGGCTTCCTACAACGATGTCTTCCAAAAGACGTCCAGAACGTGGGGTGGTGGTATCATGGGTGTGAAGTCGCAAGCGAAGACCGCCGCTCGCGAGCGTATCATCGCGCGCGAGCTCGCCCAGCGCGCCACGGTTAAGATTTAAACGTTTTTTCCGTCGGAATCTGGGGGTGTTTTGTCGGCGCGCGCGCTGGTCAGCGCGCGCTCGCGACTTTGAGGTGGTGAAGGCGTCGTTTGATGGTGCGTCAGCAGCACTTAGTGAGCTTTCGCATTGTAATTCGAGAACGAATTAGTTCTTTATTCACTCGTTCGCGCGTGCGCCTCTTCGAGCCGCGCTCGCGCGCTCTCGAGTCGTCTCGTCTAGCGCGAATCCTCGCGTCCCGCCGTCCGCACACCTCGACGCGCGACGCGCACGCGTCTCGCTCGCGACTCTCCCACCGCACGCGCGTTCGCATCGCTCGAACTCGACCGAACGCGCGATGAGCGACATCGCGTCTCCGAACAGCGCGACGAAACCGTCCGCCGCGAGATCGAACGCCAACGGCGATGACGCCGCGACGAGCGCGGGCGCGGCGCAGAGCGGCGACGCGCCGTGGTGGCGCACGATAAAGGTGCCGCGCGTGAGTTTACACGATGTTCCGGTGTGGGGGCTGAAAGTCTCAAAGGTGCGCGACGACGCGACGCGACGCGACGCGCGCGCGATGAATTTCAACTTCAATTCCCACGCGAGACGCGAGACGCGAGACGCGAGACGCGAACGAACGAGCGACGCGAACGAACGACGGACTGACGAAACGAACGATGCGTGATGGTAGACGTTCAATCTGCGCGGACACGAAAAGGTGGACGATAAGACGTCCGTCACCGTCGGCGCCATGGCGGATTACACTTCCAAGCAGGCGCACGTGTTCGCCAAGCTCGAGCACGAGCTCGGGGAGCCTGGGAAGATCGCGGTCGACGTCACGGGCGTTGAGTTGCAAAAAAAGTTTGACGTTTTAGAGGGCATCGCGCGCACGGAGGTGAACGTCGGGGTCGGAGTGAGTTGGGACGGAAGGCCGTATATTAATTTTGACGCCATGCCCCAGAGCGCGGCGATGAAGGGGGTCGGGTTGGCGGCGGCGATTCAGCAAGGACGATCGATCGATCTGCGACCGACGCGACCGATTGCGGATAACCTGTCCATCGAGGCTCCGTTTTCGTTGTACCGGGATGGGACCGAGTTGAACTTGCAAGTGCACGGCGTCATCGGCGCGTTGACGCTTCCGAAGACGGATTTCTTCGTCGTCAAGGAGGAGACCGCGCTGGTGCGAAAGTAGTCACGCCCTCTGTTTTGTTCTCAAAATCCAGCGACGCGCGACGCGCGCGATGAAATGCAACGCACATGTACCGTTTTACCGCTTCGCGTCAACCGCTCCGCGTCTCGTCCCGCCCCAACCGCCGTCCGCACTTCGCGCGCGTCAGTCCGCTTCGACCATGGCGCAGAACTTGCGAGACCAGGGCGGTTTAGCGGAGATCGCCCGCATGCTTCAGGTGCGCCGGCTCGCGCGCGCGCGACGACGCTGACGAGCGCCCGGCGACGCGTCCCGACGAGCCGCCGTTCTGACCAACTTTTTGCTTCACGACGACGCAGGCGGCGCGACAGACGGGCGACGAGGGCGTGGTGAAGGAGACGACGCCGATCGCGATGACGCGCACGCGCGAGCGCGCGAGCGAGGCGCTGCCGTCGCGCGAACCGAAGGCGAAAAAGGCGAAAAAGGAAAAGAAGAGCAAAAAGGAAAAGGAGAAAAAGGAGAAGAGTAAAAAGGCGCGGAGGAAGACGCCGAGCGCGAGCGACGATGACGATGACGACGACGACGACGAAAAAGAAGCGATGGATACGGTCATGTCGACGCGTGAGAGGTCGGCTTCGGCGGGGACGACGAGCGAAGAGGAGGAGTCGAGCGCGGACGAGTCGTCGGACGCGAGCGAAGACGAAGCGACGGTCGGAGAGGACGACGCGAGCGAAGAGTTCAGGCGCGCGAGAGAGGCTCTGAGAGCCGCTGTTGATAGATACACGACGACGGAGTGCTTAAGCGCGAGCTCGAGGGCGAAGTTAGAGAAAGATGGGAAGGAAGAGGTGATGGAAAAGGCGTGCAAGGAACTCAGTATGCGCGTCGGCGCGGTTATTAAAAAGGCGCTGCGAAAGAATTTATCCCTCATGGGCGCGCGAGATACGTTGCTGGAGACGAGCTTGTCCTTAGAAGATGATTTACGCGCGCGAAAGTCGTCGAACGTCATGGTTGATCACATGGATCCGGCAAACTTTCAGTGTCGAATGTGGGACTCGATCGCCAAACACGACAACGTGGTCTTTGGGCGCGCGCAGGCGGCGATGGATGCCTTGGAGAAGCAGGAATCTACCGCGGGTGCGACTGGTGGTGACGACGACGACGACGCCACAGAGTTTGCAAAGATGTATCGTGAGGCGTTCATCGAGGCGTACGGCGAAGATATAGAGGCGCTACGGAAAGACGAAAAGACAAACGTTTCAGTGATTTTGCGCGCCATCCAAACCGGAGTCGACATCGTCCCCGAGCTGCAAAAGCAGCTTCACTTGCAATGGGCCACGCTTAAGGCGAAATCGGCGTCAAATAGCTAGTGTGTTTTAATGTGCACAACAATTCTAACGATCAGGGTGACTCCCGAGAAGCGGTTTCGTAATCGAAGTAATCAAGCCGCATCGTGCGCCGCCACGACCGCAACAAAGCCTCGTCATCAGGCCGCAACGACCGCACGCTGTCCCGCGCAGACATCGCCGTGAGCCATGCGGCAAAGTACTCCGCGCCTTCCGCGATGTCGTACCCTTGAAACTCGCGCATCGCGAGCTGAAACCGCTCGGCGAACGGCCAAATGCTTATATCCGCGAGACTCACGTCGGCGCCGAATAAATAATTTCCCTCGCTCCCCCGTAGACGATCGTCGAGCGCGCGCACGCTCCGCTGAAACGTTTCAATCTGCCCCTGACGCGGCATGCCGCGACGAATGCCCCACCCACCGCCGACGAAGCTCAATCCCGAGCTCACGAAGCCGCCGCCCGCCGCGTCGGCGTCGCGCGCAAACTCCAAAATCTCATCCCTCGGCCCGCGCGTCAGCGATCGTCGCTCGCCGAAGCGCTCGTCCACGACGACGATGATCCTCGAGCTCTCCGTGACGATCTCACCGTCCTCGCACTCGAGCGCGGGCACTAAACCGCGCGGGTTCACTCGAAACAAATCTTTGGGCTTGTCCGACAGGTCGACGTGTCGCTCGAACGCGCGCGGTCGCAGGCCCTTTTCGCACAGCGCGAGCGACGCGCGATGCGCGTACGGGCACAGGGTGTGCGTCCAGAGCGTCGGCGGCATGCGCGCGCCGCGCGCGCGGCGGGATGCGGCCGCATCTCGAAACTCGGCACCACGCGCTCGACGCGTGCGCGCCGCACAGGCGGTCGCGCCCGACGCGCGCGCGTCTCGATGACGCGCGACGGCGACGGGTCGTCGTCGGCGTCGATGGCGCACGCGCGCGACGCCATCATCGGCGCGGGCGAACGAGAGATCGAAACGATCGTGCGCGAGTTGTCGATCTTAGCCATACCCGTGAACGACGCGATCGAGGACGACGACGCGCTGCGAGACCTGGATGACGCGCAGAAACGATGCGTCGAACTCGCGTTGCGCGGGGAAAACGTGTTCGTGTCGGGCGTGGGCGGGACGGGGAAGTCGAAGGTGCTGCGGGCGATTCGTACGAGTTTGAAGCGCGCGGGGAAAATGACGGCGACGACGGCGTCGACGGCGATAGCGGCAGAGGCCGTGAATGGGACGACGCTGTTCGCGTTCTGTGGCTTGGGATTATCGAAGACCGTCGATGGGTTTGGATTTGCTAGCGATTTGACGAAGCAGCGGGTGCGCGAATGCGACGCCTTGCTCGTCGACGAAGTCTCGATGCTCAGCGGCGAGCTTTTCGATAGACTCAGCTACCATTTGAAGCGAATTCGAAGCGATCCTCGTCCCTGTGGTGGGATCCAAATGATACTTTTCGGTGACTTTTTGCAACTCGGTCCGGTGGATAATACGGATGAGCGAATGGCGACTGGGCGAGGGTTCTGTCCGGCGCTGTTTCTGAATCGCGGGTGGATGTTTGAGTCGTGGACTTGGCGAGAATCGAACATCAAAACTGTGTACCTCGAGACTGTGTATCGACAGCAGGGTGATATGGCATTTGTCAATGCATTAAAAAACATTCGCACCGGCGAACCAGGCGCGGTGGAGGAATTCCAAGCGCTGTACACGCAGAATGAGCGCGAGGTGCAAGTCGGAGCCTCGGCGCTGAGGATAGTAGGCACAAACGACAAAGCCGAGAGCGTGAACAAAAAGGCATTGATGACTCTACAATCTAAGTGTTATACGTTCACTGCTGTTGATAGAGTCCAGGTACCCGATATTGATAACGAGCAAGAGAGAGCCAGGCGCATGAGCGAGCTTCATCGTTTATGGGTATCCCTGAGCGCCAAGAAGAAGTGCCGTATCGCTCAAAAATTGGAGTTGAAAACGGGAGCAAAAGTAATGATGCTGAAGAATTTGGACGTATGCCTCGTTGTCGATGGTATCGTCACGCGGAAGCGGCTGGTGAACGGAGCGCGTGGTTTCATCGCGCGAATGGAGTCAGCAGTCATATGTCTTGACGAAATAAGAAAGATGAAGGCGAACATGGAAAAGGCGTGCGACATCCCATCCGAGAGTTTAGAGCACGGAATAAAGGCTCTCGATGATCAAGTCGAGTGGTTAGAAGGACAATTGAAACGAGACGACAAGATCGCTGTTCCGTACGTCTTTTTCAACAACTTTCACGAGAAGGCCATACCAATACTTCCGTACGATTTCGAGTTTGAAACAGCTGGGCTCGGCTCAAACATACGAAAGCAGATTCCTCTCGCGCTTGCTTGGGGGGTAACGGCTCACAAGTCCCAAGGCATGTCACTCGACGAGGCATATGTAGATTGTTCAAACTTCTTCGCCGCGGGACAAGCCTACGTGGCGTTGTCTCGCCTCCGTAGTCTCTCCGGATTGAAGATGACAGGATTCAACCAGCAAGCAGTGAGAACGTCTCCCGTAGCGAAGAGTTTCTACGACGGAACGAGTCAAACTACACCAGATGCGCCTCGAGGCTGGTGGAACTACAACTCGGCGAACTATCGCAATGACCAGCAAGGGAAGATACTTGAAACGTTGATTCGTAGTAGAGCACCATTTCCGCCAGAGCACACGCTCGAAGTTCATGACCTGGCGCTTAAACAAAATGACAGAACTTGGAGGTGCCAATCGTGTGGTAAAGGTCTACGCGTCTGTGCGGATATGCAAGACGTGATTAAGTCCACCATCCCGAGGTGCAGTCCCTCAACAACGATCGCAGGCGTGCAAGAGCCGCGATCAGGCTCGGCTCGACGAGCATCCCTGAGGGGCGACGACGTTCCCCTTCCATCACCCACGCGTGCACGTCGTCTCGATTTCGATGAAAGCGATACGATATCACAGATTCCTTTAGCAGAACGCGCGCGGCGATTAAACAGTTAGTCTGTAAGTATTTCCCCGCGTACTTATTCAATAAATCGCTACTTTCCTATGCAAAACCTTTCGAATATCGTATCGAGCACGTCCTCGGTGACGTCGTCGCCCGTGACGCTACCGAGCGCGAACGCGGCCTCGCGCAGATCTATGGTCCAAAAGTCGAGCGGCATGTCGGCGGCGATGGTGTCGCGAAGACGATCGAGCGAATCCAACGCGTTTTGCAGCGCCTCGGCCTGACGTTGATTGGCGGCCCACGCGCCACCCTCGGCGTCGACTTCACCGCCGCTCACCGTGCGCACGATGGCGTGCTCTAAATGTTCTAAATTGTCGCCCGTCGCCGCGCTCACGTGAACGACGGTGCTGAAGCTTTCGAGAACTTCCGGCGGCGGCGTCGCGTTCGACGCGTCGGCGATGTCCGTCTTGTTCACCACGAGCACGGATGAACCGCGCGCGCGGGCGTTATTCGCGATTTCACTCTGCCAAATAGCGCTGTCCTCACTCACCCATCCGCGCTCGGCGTCGACGACGAGCACGACGATGTCAGCGCCCGCGGCGGCGGCGCGAGAACGTTCCACGCCGATTTTCTCGACTTCGTCGTCGGTTTCGCTTCGTATGCCCGCCGTGTCCAAGAGCGTGGCGGGAAGTCCACCAATGTTCACCGACGCCTCGACGACATCTCGAGTCGTGCCTTCGCGCGAGGTCACGATCGAGCGTTCACTTCGAGTGAGCGCGTTCAATAAGCGCGACTTGCCCACATTTGGGCGCCCGACGATGGCCACGGTGACGCCCGTCTCCAGGAGCGCGCCGCGTTTGGCCGTCGTCAGCACCTTTCGAATCGTCTCTCGCGCGCCCGCGGCTTTGGCTTCGATCGCCCGCACGTCCAAAGGCACCATTTCGTCGTCAAAGTCCAATCTCGCCTCGAGCTCGGCTAATAAATCTACGCACGCGCGTCTCGCCTCGCTCACGGGCGTCGTCAACCCGCCTCGCATCGCCGCCAACGCGCTATCCGCCGCCGCCGTCGTCTTCGCGCTCACCAGCGCGTGAACCGCCTCCGCCTGCGTCAAATCCAACCGCCCATTCAAAAACGCTCGCAACGTAAACTCCCCATTCCTCGCCAACCGCGCGCCCTCGTCCAAACACCGCGCCATCGCGCGTTGCACGCACACCGCGCCGCCGTGACAGTGCAACTCCACCACGTCCTCCGCCGTGTAACTCCGCGGCGCTATGAACGCCAACGCGATCACCTCATCGATTATCTCCCCATCACCGTCCACGACGACCCCGTACGTCGCCTTATGACTCTCGTCGAACGCGTTCGCCGCGTTCGCGCTCGCGCTCGCCCGCGTCGCTCCGCCCGCGCGTCGAAACACCCGCCCCCCGATCGCCCGCGCGTCCGATCCGCTCAGCCGCACGATCGCCACGCCTCCCACCGCGCCCACGACCGCCGTCGCGACGCCGACGATCGTGTCGTCGTCCGTCGTCGCCGCGCGTCGCTCGCGTCCCCGTCCCCGTCCTAGTCCCGGTGCGCTTTTCGTCGCGCCTCTCGCCCGTTCGCGTCGCCCGCGCGCGTCGAGCGCGCCGCGCGACGCCGCGGTTCGACCGCGCGCCGTTCGCGCCGCCATTCGGCCGCGCGAAGCGTCGCCCGCGATCCGCGTCGCGATCTCGCGCGACGACACGGACGCGCGACGAATTCGTGCGTCGATGGGTTCGTTAATAAACTCCCTCCTGCGTCGCGCACACGAATCGACCGGCGGCGCGCGCGCGACGGCGCCGCACTGCCGAGCTCGCGACGGACGTCGTCGAGCAGTGAAGCCGAACGAGGTGCGCGAGCGACGACGACGACGACGACGCGGAGAGAGCGAAGGCGACGACGGCGCGCGACGACGACGACGCGACGACGGGAGGAGGCGAAAGACGCGAAAGACGCGATCGGACGAATGCGCGAACGACTAGGGATGGCACGCGAAGGGCGACGACGACGCGCGAGACTGACGGACGACGCGCGCGCGGTGGCGAATCGCGCGGGTGAACAGGTTGCCGCATCGAAACGCGTCATGGCTGAGGGTAACCCGAAGGCGTATCCGCTCGCGGACGCGCAATTGACGATCACCATTCTGGACATCGTGCAACAGGCGAGCAATTACAAGCAGCTGAAGAAGGGCGCGAACGAGGCGACGAAGACGCTGAACCGAGGGATATCGGAGTTCGTCGTGCTGGCGGCGGACACGGAGCCGTTGGAGATTCTGCTGCACCTGCCGCTGTTGGCGGAGGATAAAAACGTGCCGTACGTCTTCGTGCCGAGCAAGCAGGCGCTCGGACGCGCGTGCGGGGTGTCGAGACCGGTGATTTCTTGCTCGGTGACCACGAACGAGGGGTCGCAGTTGAAGCAGCAGATTCAAAACTTGAAGGATGCCATCGAAAAGTTGCTCATCTAATAACTGCGGTCGTCCGGTGGGCTCGAGACGAGCGCGCGCGAATCGCGTCGACTCCGTCGCTCTACGACGAGCGGCGCGTTCGCGTCGGCGTCTCGGCGTCCTTGTACCGATATAAACCTAGCGAAATAAGCTTCTAGAGCAAATAAACGCCCCTACGCACCCGTATTTTCAATATAACGGATCTAGGATGTACGCGAACGCGCGCGCTCCCGTCGCCTCAGAGTTCGCCTCTCGCGCATGCTCCCGACGCTCGCGCGCGCGCTCGCGTCTCGCGTTCCCGCGACCGTCTCCGCGCGTCGACGCGGCGCGAAAGTCGCCAGAGCGCTCTCCGGGACGCGCGCGGAAGCCATGAATCGCGCGGACAAAATCGATCCCGCGAGTCCGAGGTTGCACGTGTGGGTGTGCGATATTCAAGAAAAGTTTTCGAGCGCCGTCGCCGGATTCGATCACGTCGCGCACAACACGTCGACGATGTTGCGCGCGATCGACGCCATGCAAAGTGGATGGGGAACGAGAGTCATCATGACTGAACAAGTGCCGGAGAAGCTCGGGCCGACGGTGGCGTCGGTGCGGGACGCGGCCCGAGCCGTCGCGGGCGCGAGGCGTCACCGCGTGTCCAAGACGGCGTTCAGCATGTACGATGTCGGTAAGGCATTCGTTGGACGGAATTCACTCGACGAGGCGCCTGTTCGTCACGTCGTCGTGGGACTCGAGGCGCACGTTTGCGTGGTGCAAACGGTGCTCGATTTATTGGCGAACGAGCCCAACGGCGTCGTTTACGTGTGCGTGGACGCGGTGTCGAGCATTCGATTGGAGGACCGCGCGGTGGCGTTGCGACGGATGGAGCGGGCTGGGGCGATCTTGACGTGCACGGAGAGCGTGGTTTTCGAAATGATGGGTGACGCGAACCACCCTCAGTTCCGAGCCGTGAGTAAAATCGTACGCGAAGGGGCGACGAATAAACCAACCGACTGTGCGCCGTTACCTAGCATTTAGTTATACTACAAAGAATCGTGTATTTTACCGTCGTCCGAGAACTCAAACGATCTTCGGAAGCGTGTCTGGGAAGGTGGCGTACTCGTAAACTTTTTCGAGATCACCGTTCCACTCGCGCGCGTTCATCTCGGACATGCGCGCCGCGACGCTCTTACCGTCGTCGACGATGTCTTGCAAGTAACGCAAGTACACTTCTTCGCCTAAACCGCGCTCTTGCAGGCCCTGTACAGAAAGTTCGACCATTTTCTTGGCGATATCGTTCGCCGTGCCGCCTCTAAACTTGGCCGACAATCCATCCTTGGTGACGTCGACGCGAAGCGCGTCGCGCTCGACTTGCGTCCAGTCGCTCACCATCGCCTCGGCCGCGTCCAAGGCTTTGTCGGAATACAACAATCCAACCCAAAGCGCGGGAAGGGCCATGATGGCTTCGTAAGAGCCACCGTCGGCACCTCGCATCTCCATGTACTTCTTGAGACGAACCTCCGGAAACACAGTCGTGAGGTGTTGCTCCCAGTCGTCGATCGTCGGCTTGTCGCCCGGAAGTTGAGGAAGCTTTCCCTCCATAAAATCGAGCCAGGATTCCCCCGAAACGTCCACGTACGTGCCGTTTCTGTACACAAAGTACATCGGTACGTTCATGACGTAGTCGCAGTACTTTTCAAACCCGAAATCGTCGTCGAAAACCCACGCGAGCGTGCCCGTGCGATCGTCGTCCGTGTCCCGCCACACGTCGGAGCGCATGGATTGATACCCGGTGTCCGCGCCGTCCACGAACGCGGAGTTGGCGAACATCGCCGTCGCGAGAGGTTGCAGCGCGAGGGACGTCCTGAACTTGCGCACCATGTCTTGCTCGCTCTCGAAATCCAAGTTGACTTGAATCGTGCACGTGCGAAACATCATGTCGTGTCCGCGAGTGCCCTTCTTCGGCATGTACGCGCGCATAATCTTATACCTCCCTTTCGGCATCATCGGCACCTCGGCCACCGACCACTTCGGGTCAAACCCGATTCCCAAGAATCTGTGCCCCTTTTCCCGCGCCAGCGCGTTCACGGTCTCGATGTGCCATCGCACCTCCTCGTCCGTCTGCGTCAGGTTCTCCAGCGGCGCGCCCGAGAGTTCAAACTGTCCACCCGGCTCGAGCGTCACGCTTTGCTTGTCCTTCGTGCACCCGATGATGTTATCCGCTTCGTTTATCGGCGTCCACCCGTGTCGCTCGACGAGCGAGCTCAGGACGTGCCGCACGACTGGATAATCCATCCTTCGCTTGGTCGCCTCGTCGTACCCAAACTTTTCGTGCTCCGTCCCGATCCTGCGTCGTCGTCCGTCGCGTCGTCAGTCCTCGCGCTCGCCCCCCCCCGCGTCGATATCGAACGCGCGCGCATCGCGCGCGTCTCCTTCTCGTCCCCCGCGCGTCCTCGGCGCCATCCGCGCGCGCCGTCCCGCGCCGTCCCGCGCGTCTGGATAAAGCGTCATCCCCCGTTCGCCCATCGCGCGTCGCGCGCGCGCCCGCCTCCGCGCTTTGCGCGCCTCCCGGTGTCGCGTCGTTTTCCTCGCCGCACCTGAACGCCTCTCTCGGTTTACACCCCCGCCTGACGAACGCCACGCACTCCTCGCGCGTGACCGCGCGCGCCGGCGCCGTCGCCGCCGCGCGAATCGTCGTCGTCGTCGCGCGTCGCGTCGCGCGTCTCCCGCGCCGCGTCGCGGTGCCGACGCGGAGCGCGTCGCCGCGCGCCGTCGTCGCCGTCATCGCCGTCGTCGCGCGCGTCGCGCGATGGCGCGCGCGCGTCGACGCGCGACGCGGCGCGAAGAAACCCGAACGCGTCGACGTCGCGCGCCCGTGACCTCGCGCGCGTCGACGCGAACGTCGCCGTCGATGGAGACGTGAAAACCGTCCCTTTTTTGTTTCAAATTTCGGCCGTGCACCCCAGGTGCGACGTTTTTCACCTTCCGAGTCCCCCATCTTGAGTCATGACTCGCCGTTCGGAGAAAAAAACGCGTCCCACGGGAATTGGTCTATGCATCTCTGGGAACGGTCGCGTTCGACGAAGATTTATACATTTATACTTTTTGGGTTTTGTTCGGACATTCGGCGCGTAGACGACGCGCGATCGCGCCCGCGCGCGCGACCGCGGCATCGCGATGCCGTTGCGATTCCGGGACCGCGGATCGACGCGCGATTCCGACGCGAGACGCCGACGACGGGCGTGTCGCGCGACGACGGCGATGCAGGACGCGCGATCGACGGACGACGTCGCGCGGGCGTCGCGGAATCGTCGAAGACGCGCGCGCGCGCGCGACGCGCGATGGGCGATGACGCTCGCGGTGATGACGACGATCGCGACGGCGACGGCGGGCGGGCGCGGACGCGGGACGGCGCTCGCGCGCGACGGTGCGACGTGGGGACGCGCGACGGCGACGGACGGCGGCGCGCCGTCGGCGGGCGGGGGGAGGGAGGCGCGCGCGGCGGGACGCGGCGCGCGAGGATTGCCGGCGGGTCCGTGCCCGCTCGCGCCGCTGGCGATCTGCGAGAGGTTGAATTACGTCGTGATCGAGGAGGAGCTGCGGGCGAAGAACGCGGCGGAGGCGTGCGCGAGGCTGCCGGCGGGGCGGAGGTTTTTGTGCGCGGCGGCGCGAGACGCGGCGGCGACGCTGCGTCGGGCGGCGAACTGGGGCGACGCGGCGTTCGCGCGGGAGGCGCGCGTGGTGCCGCTGGGAGGTGGGAAGGGACGACGGGCGTCTCGCGCGGCGTCGTACGATCACGCGTTGGCGTCGCTTTGCGATTTGAGGATGAACAAGTTGTGCGGGAGCGTCGTCGAGCAGCGATTCGAGCACGCGGCCAAGCACGCCGAACTGCAGAACGAGTGCGAGATCGCGTCGACGTTGGGCGAGCAGTGGGAAACGTCCAAGGAAATTTGCGAGGCGATGCAAGTGGACGCTAAACTCGCGCGAGAGGCGATGGCGCGCGAGGTTACCGCGCTCGAAGCAGAGTTCGCCAAGAAGTTTGGCGCCAAGCCGAGCGAAACGTCGACTCAAAAGCCCAACTCCAGAGAGGCTCGAAAAGACAAGAAGAAGGCGCAAAAGGACGACGATAAGCGGCGAAAAGAAATGGCGAGACATAAAGCGGAGATTACGCGCAAGCGCGTCGCGCACGAAAAGAAGCAGGTCGCCATGATGGAGCAGCTTCGCGAGCAGTGCACGACGCGATTGAACGACGCGCAGAGGGCTCATTCGGAAGCGCTCGTGAAGTGCGAAGCGCACGGACCGCGCCTTCGCGTGCTCCGCGAAGACATCATAGCTACCGAAGCGAAGGTTGAGCACATCGTCCCCGCCCTCGATCGGACCATCTCCGCGGTGGCCATTCTCGGCGCCACGCCGGAATCCGCAGAGCAGTTGGCGAGCGCTGTGAGCATCTCCGAACTCGCTGGAATGACCGCAGATAAAACCATCGACGACGTGAGTCGCGTGCTCGGCGCCGAACCGTTGCAGAGGCTGAGGAATTTGTGCACCGAGAGCGCGATTTTGGGCGCGGGAGGCGGCAAGCGCGGAGCGCCAAAGGCGTGTCCAGATTACCACCCCCCTGGTCCGGTGTCGTGCGCGCAGTCGTGCGCCGCGATGGAAGACGCAGCTATCGGGCGAGTCGCGCGCAGAGATAAACCGTTCGCTCTCGGCGTGATCGCCGGCATCGCGATCGGGTACATATTGTTCGCTAAATTTAACGCGCACGAAGTCGCGCTCGCCGACGCGTCGAAGACAAAGCGCGAGTGAGACTCTTAAAGTGTCATAGTACGCATGTAACGTATTTTCGTCTTAATCATCAACTACTATCTCGGGCGCTCCTCGCGCGGCGCCGCCCATTCAACGCGAAGAATGAGGTTGTCGTAACCGTAGCCGTCGAGCTTGGCGATGGCGCGTTCGCCGTCTTCTTTGCTTACCATATTAACGAACGCAAAACCACGCGCCTCGCCAGTCTCGCGGTTGATGGCGACGTAAATGCGCGTAACAGGGCCGAACGGTCGGAACAACTCTTGCAAATCTTGCTCGCGCGTATCCTCCGACAAGTTGGACACGCGAATAGAGTTTTCGTCCCGACGTCGATCCATCGACGCCCCAGCCCCGGACGCGCCTGCGCGCATCGACGGCGGCACGTACCCCCCGGGCTTTCTCGCCCCAAGTCCGCCTTCCTCATCCGGCGGTTTACTCCCATCGTTGGCTAAATCCTTATACGGACACTTCGAAGTCCAGTGGTCGCCCTTCTTTCCGCACGTTCGGCACACCAACAGCGACGTCTGCGCGCTCGCCATCGCCGCAAGCGGATCCTCAGCCTTCTCAAGCTCACTCTTCGGCTGCGCGCGAGTCTTCTCCAAAAATATCTCTTCTAACGACACCGCCGTCATGCTCTCATCTCCCGGTTTATACCGCTTCGCGTCGCCGAATTTTTCCCAGGTTTTTCGCTCCAACATCCCCGGCGTCACCTTCTTCGTCACCTCGTGCTCCTTGTACTTTTTCACCGTCCTCGTCCGCATCCCCGCCTCGTTGAGTTGATACGTGATGGACGTCCACACGCCCTCCGCGTCCGGGCCGTGCTTTTCGCTCGGCGGTAACTCGCCGGCCGCGGTCGCGGAGGCGCCGCCGATCGAGATCGACTTGACGCCTTCGATCGCGCCGTCGACGTCGCTCGAGCCCGCGTGCGAGGCGTTCACGGACGCCGTGGACGCGTCGGCGTCGATCTCTTCCCATCGCGGCTTGCGCACCATGGCGATCGCGCGTCGTCCGCGACGGGCGCGTCGAGATGTGGCGCCGAGAGGTAGGGTCAAATACAACGTCAACCCTAGCGTCTAACAGGTTTAGGGTGTACTAAAATCTGGCGTCGAAACTACAACTCAAACGGGGCGCTAACTAGGCGTAGTAAAACAAGTCAGCCTTCTTCTTAGCCTGAACTTGGATGATACCCTCGTTAAAATCTTCGTGCGTGATCTCCGTGCCGTCGCGACGGAGGGCGAGCATGCCGGCTTCGACGCACACGGCTTTGAGCTGGGCGCCGTTGAAATCTTCGGTGCCGCGAGCGAGCTCGTCAAAGTTCACCTCGGGGTTAACGTTCATCTTGCGGGAGTGGATCTTCATGATTTGCGCTCGAGCATCTTCGTTCGGATGAGGGAACTCGATCTTACGGTCGAGTCGACCGGAGCGCATGAGCGCGGGATCGAGAATATCGGCTCGGTTCGTGGCGGCGATGATTTTGATTCTATCGTCGCTCGAGAACCCATCGAGCTGATTAAGGAGCTCTAACATCGTGCGCTGGACTTCGCGATCACCGTTGGTGTCGGAATCGAAACGCTTGGTCCCGATGGCGTCGATCTCATCGATGAAGATGATGGCTGGCGACTTTTCCTTGGCCAACGCGAACGCGTCTCGCACCAACTTTGCGCCGTCGCCGATGAACATTTGCACCAACAGCGGCCCCGCGAGCTTGAGATACGCCGCGTTCGTCTGCGCCGCGCACGCTCGCGCGATCAACGTCTTTCCCGTCCCGGGCGGTCCGTACAAAAGCACCCCTTTCGGCGGTCGAATACCGAGTTTCGCGAACTTGGCCGCGTGCGTCATCGGCAACACGATGGCTTCCCGCATCTCCCGAATTTGTTTCTCAAGCCCCCCTATGTCGGTGTAATCATCCGTCGGCTTCTCGTCCACCTCCATCGCCTTCACTCGCGAATCGTACTCCGCCGGAAGCGTGTCCAAAATCAAATACGAATCCTTATTCACCCCCACCAAGTCCCCCGGTTTCAGCGTCTCCGCGTCCACCAACCCGACCACGGGCAAGAATATCGTCTGCCTCGTCGTCGTCTTCAGCACCACCGCCTTCCCTCGTCGCTGCGCGTCCACGTCCGCCGTCGCTTGATCCTCCAGCTCCTCTTCCTCCGGCGCCAAGTCCAAGAGTTCCACCACGTTCCCCACCAAGTACGGCAGCTGCTTATTCAGCTTGATCTTCTCCTCGTTGTCCTTCACCCGCTCTCGCTCGCCCTGGCACTCCAGGTTCAGGCGATTGCTCTCATCGCGCAGCACGCGGAGCTCGTGCTCGAGCATGCGCGCCCGCGCCAGGACGTCGTCGAGCGGCGCGTTTTCGAGCTCCGCGAGCGCGCGCGTTTGATCGTCATCGAACGCGGCGTCCAGGTCCATCGCGCGTCGTTCGCCGCGCGCGCGATCGCCTCGCGCGCGTCGTTCGTTTCGCGTCTCCCGCGCGCGCGTCGCGCGCGCGTCGACGACGGGCGCGCTTCACCGACGCGCGGCGTCGAGTGGCGTCAGATCGTCGTTGACCGTTCGGCGCGTCGCGACGGTAAAACGCGTCGCGCGTCGCGTCGCGTCGCCGACCGCGCGCGCCGCGACGACCCGCGCGCGGGACGACGTCTCGGCGTCTCGGGATGGCCACCGCGGGCCTGCGCGCGCTTCCGATCGCGGTGTCGCGCGACGCGAGCGTGACGATCGATTTCTGGGCACCGACGAGCGCGACGAACGTGCGCGCGCACTTTTGCACGCACGCGCACGCGGATCACGTCGTCGGATTGGGACGCCGAGGATGGTCGCCGGCGCGCGCGGGGGGGAAGATCTTCTGCACGGAGATCACGCGAGAGGTGCTGGTGAGGCGATGGCCGACGCTGGGGCGACACGCGCGCGCGCTCGAAGTCGGCGAACCGACGGCGATACGATTGACGGCGAACACGACGGTCACGGTGACGCTGATCGACGCGGGACACTGCCCGGGGAGCGCGATGGTGCTGATCGATGGACCGCGCGGACGCGTGCTGCACACGGGAGATTTTAGACGGGAAGATTTCGGGACGAGGGCGGCGCTGCCGAGATGCGTGACGCGGGCGCCGATCGACGCGTTGTACCTGGATAACACGTACGCGCATCCGACGTGCGTGTTTCCCGATCGCGGAAGCGCGACGGCGGAGGTGATCGCGCTGTGCGAGGCGAACATGGATCGGCCGATCGTATTAGGCGTGGATTCGCTCGGGAAGGAGGATTTGGCGTGCGCGGTGAGCGAAGCCGTGGGGTGTCCGGTGGAGTTGGCGGACAATAGGTATTTGGTGTCGTCGTACGCGCGTTTCATGCACGGCACGAGGGCGTGCGAAAAGGCGCTTTTGATCACGCGATCGGCGAACGAGGCTTTGGACGCGCGCGCGCGCACAAACATACGATGCGTACCGAAACAGCACGTTCGGCCGTCGACGCTGCGCTCGCTCGCCGCGGGACTGCGGCACGAGGACGCGCCGCCGCTCGCGATTTTGCCCACCGGATGGAGCGCGGTGCGCGATAGAAGTGGCACTGCGACTGGAACGGGGCGTGTCGACGACGACGGCGCCAACGCGCACGGCATGGACGTGCCGATCGATGAGAACGCCGCCGCGGGGCGCATCGTCTCGGTGGCGTACTCTCTGCACGCGCCGTACAACGAGCTCGAAGCGTTCGTGCGCGCCGTGCGCCCCGGGTGCGTCATGGGTAACACGCGCGTAAATGGCGACGCCGAAGAAGTTCACGATCCTTTGATTCATTTCGGGCATTTGTGCACGGGCGAGTTCTCCGAAGGGTTCTATCCGCGCGACGCCGACGCGCCGATCCCGCTCGACGAACTCGGCGGCAGAGCGCTCACGGACTTTTGGAGCAAAGTCAAGGACGAACACGGGGTGTTGAAATCGCGCGTGAACGTGGAAGACGTCACGATCAAGCCTCCCAAGGTACCCGACAAACCGAGCGTGCGTTTAGCCGCGGCGGAGAACGGCGTCGTCTTCGAACCGCCGAAGAAGATGACGTGGCTCGAGCGCGAAGCGAAGATTCGACAAGACTGGGACGCGCGGTGTCAGCGCGCGTTCGACATCATCACCGCGCCTTTGCCGAGGAAAAAGGCGACGATCGCGTCGACCGACGACGATAACGCGAGATCGACCAAGAAACGGCGCGCATTCGTGCCCGATTGGATGGCGGCGCGCCGATAGAAGACCGTAGAAGACGCGCGCGCGACTGCATTGTAATTTGAATTAAACGACGCATAAGCAGCTTTGCTAACCTACCTCGCGGCACAAACGTCTCGTTTGCACACCGGACACAACCTACTTCGTTCGAGCCATCGATCGATGCACGCGGGATGATACACGTGCTTACACCCGAGCCTCTTCGCCTCCTCGCCGGTTTCCATTTGCGAAAGGCACACGCTGCACGTTTCGTTCTCGTTTTCATCGGCGCCTCGCGCGTACGTCTCCGTCGGCATCGCCGCGCGCTCGTTTTCGCGCATTCCACCCCCTCCCCCGCGCCCGCCCCAATTCATCCCTTGCATCGCGTTCAACATGTCCAAGATGCTCCCCGGCGCGCCCAACCTCCGAAACGCGTCGTCGAACCCGTCGAAACCGCCGAACCCTGCGACCCCCCCGCCCGCGTCCTCGTCCCCGAACATCGCCGCGGGATCGATCCTGAGCGTCTCCCCACCGCTCCCGATCGGGATTTCGAGCGTGAATCGCCCTCGTCCGTCGCCGTCGTCGCCGCGCGCGTCGTCTCGCCTCGCGTCGCCGTCGCCCGCCCGCGCGCGTCTCCCCGTCCCCCTCTCGACCTCGCCGTCCACCGCGCCGCGCACCGCGCCCAGAACGTCCTCCATGAATCCCGCGAACGGATTCGTGCCCGCCTGCGCGGCTCGGACGTCGCGCCGCGCCGCTTCTTCCGCGTACGCCTCGTCCTCCTCGCGCTGTAATCTTCGCGCGAGCGCCTCGTCCGCGTCCAGCCGCGCGCGCGCGTCGCGTCGCGCCTGTCGGTTCGTCCCGAGCACGCGCGCGATGTCGTCCTCGCGCGCGCGCGTCGCGCGCTCGAGCGCGTCGTCGTCGCTCGACGCCATGGCGTCGCGGTGTGATGCCGCGTCAGCATCACTCCACCGCGCGCGAGACGTCGCCGCGCGCGCGCGCTCGAGACGCGAACGCGCGCGCGCGATGCTGACGACGACGCGCGCCGTCGCGCGCGGCGCGCGATGGCGCGCGGACGCGCGCGCGCGTCGGAATTCGACGGGACGCGAATCGGCGACGGCGCGATGCGCGACGCGCGCGCGCGTCGCGACGCGCGCGGATCGACGCGCGCGCGCGATCGAGAGCGCGGCGGCGACGACGCGCGACGACGCGCGCGATCGCGAGGCGCGCGCGCGAGGCGCGCGCGCGAAGACGCGGGCGACGCACGAGAGCGATAGGGAGAGCGGGTTCTTCGTGGACACGCCGAAGACGACGCGCGAGCGCGCGATCGACGCGTGCGCGACGGCGACGGGGTATTTCCCGGTGTTCGTCGCGCTCGGGGCGCTGGCGGGGATGTGCGCGCCGGGAACGGTGAGCTGGTTTCGAGGCGACGCGGTGACGTACGCGCTCGCGGGGACGATGCTGGGGATGGGGATCACGCTCGATTTGAGCGATTTCCGCGCGGTGTTCGGGCAGCCGTGGAAGATTGGGATGGGCGTCGCGCTGCAGTACACGGTGATGCCGACGCTGGCGTTTTTGGTCGGGAAAATGTTTCTGGCGAATCAATCGCTCGCGGCGGGGTTGATTTTGGTCGGGTGCTGTCCGGGAGGGACGGCGTCGAACGTCGTGACGTTTCTGGCCGGTGCGAGCGTGCCGCTGAGCGTGGTGTTGACCACGGTGAGCACGTTCATGGCGACGGTGATGACGCCGACGTTGACGCAGCATCTCGCGGGAACGATGATCCCCGTCGACGGCGGCGGGTTATTCGTCAGCACGTGCAAAGTCGTGTTGCTTCCAGTCGTCGCTGGTTTGGTGTTGAAGAAGTACGCGCCCAAGTTCAGCGAGACGCTCGAGCCATTCGCGCCGATCACTGCGGTTCTCACGGTGGCGCTGATTTGCGCGTCCATCATCGGTCGCACGTCGACTCAGATTCTCGCCGCGGGACCGACGCTCATCGCCGCCGTCGCCTTGCTGCATACGCTCGGGTTCGGTTTGGGATACTTCCTGTCCCGCTCCGCTGGATTCTCGAGTAAGACCTCGCGAACGATGAGCATCGAAGTTGGCATGCAAAACTCGGCGCTCGGCGTCGTTCTCGCCTCCGCACACTTTGCCGATCCGTTGGTCGCGGTGCCGTGCGCGATTTCCGCGACGGTGCACTCCGTCCTCGGCAGCATGCTCGCTGCGTTTTGGAGGCACCGAGACAACACGAAAGAAGAACGCAAACAAAGTAAGAACGAAGTATGGCGAAATGATCCCAATTACACCGCGTATAACGACGCGTTTAGAGCGGCGACCGGGTTGAGCAACATCTGATTCGAGCGACTTCGCATTTTTCAATCTTTAGCGAACAATCAATATTGCAAACTGTGTAACGCTACGACATTTGTAAGCTGGCTTCTTCTATCTTAACTATCTAATTCGCCACATCCATATCTAATTCGCCACACCGAAGCGCTCGCTCAATCGTCTCTTCGCAACCATTCGTTGTTGAACTTGTCTTTGAGCTTGCGTTTGCGCTCCTTGAGTCGCGCGATTTGCTTTGGGGTCAACTTGACGTGCTTGCGATTCTTCATCTCGTGCAGCGCCGCGTCGAGCGTGGTCGTGTCCACGTAATTGTCTAATCCTATGTCGCTATAAACCGACGTCGATTTCGCAATCGTCGATGCGTCTGTAATTCTATGCAGCATGGTGTTGTACACGCCCGTGGAAGCGTACGACGCTTCCAAATCGGCGGCGCGTTTTTCGATCACTTTTCGCGCCACTTCGGCGGGATCGGCGCCGCTCATGATCGCTCGCTCGGGAGGTAAGCCTTCCATGACGGCCCGTTCCCAATCGTTTCGCGCTCGAGGCTCCTCTTCTGCTTCGTCCTCTGGAAGCGCCGCCGAGCCCTTGGCCTCGCGAAGCGCGGCTTGGGCGTGCGCCGCCGTCGACCGCGGGGGTAAAACAACCCCGAGCGCGGCGCACTGCGCGAGCAGGGGCGCGTCACCGAGCACATTCGCGAGCGTCGTCTCGGCCTCTTCGTCACCGTGCTCGAAGAGACGAAGCTCCATGGGAAGCATCGCTCGCCACGCCATCAACTCGGTCGCGGCGAACGGCCCCTGCCAATTCCCCGAATCATCTTCGTAATACCAACTCTTCAGTCCCGGCAACTTGACGCGCGCGACGTCCACGGACGTGTGCTTCTTCAACGCGTCCAACGCGTCGGTCGTGACGTCGGCGTCCGCGCGCGCTTCCGCGAACGCGCGTTCTCGCGCCTCCTTCGCCTTCGTCTCCTTCGCCTTCGCCTCCGCCGCCATCTTCGCCGCCGCCGTCTCGTCCGGCACGATCTCCACCCCACTCGGCCGTTCCCACGTCGTCTCGTGCGTCACCGAGTGAAAATAATAAAACGCGTCGCTCTCCGCGTCGTGCGACTGCACCCACCTCCCGTCGCGCGCCGCGCCCTCCCCCCCCCCCTCCTCGCCCGCGCGCCCATTCTCCGGCACGATCACCGCCGCCACCGTCCACGCGTCGTCCGCGTCGTCCTCTCCCGCTTCGCCCTCGCGCGCGCGCAATTTTTTCTCGACATTCGCCGCGCGTCTCGCCGCGTCGCCGTCGCCGAGCGTCAGCAGCAATTCCTCGTACTCCTCCCTCGACCCCGGAAAGTTGATCTCCGTGCGCCTCGCGCCCGGCGCCGCCGCGCCGTCGCATCGTTCGTCCGTCCACGTCGTTTCCCGTCGCGCGAGCGACGCCGCGCGCGCGCCGGCGATCGCCCGCGCGAGATTCGCGTCGTCGTTCGACGCCGCATCGCCTCGCGACGCCGCCTCGCGCGCGCGTTTCGCCGGCATTCGCGCGCGGCGCGTCGGACGCGCGCGTCGCCGCGTCGGCCGTCGCGCTCGAGCGCGCGCGCGTCGACGCTCGCCGCGTCGCGTCGATCGCGCGGTTCGTTTTGACGCCGCGCGTCGTCGTCGTCGCGCGTCGCGCGCACACCGCGACGCGCTCGACGACGCGCGACGGACGCGACCGCCGACGCGAGACGGACGCGGTGCAGCGCGCGGGTCGTCTCGGCGACGCGCGAAGAGCGACGCGAGGCGCGGCGAAGGACGCGCGCGGGGCGACGCGAGGGTTTCCGATCGGTCGACGCGCGAGGACGCGCGAGCGCGCGCTGAAGCGCTCGAAAGCGCGATGGTGTACGCGTGCGGTGACGATGGATTGAGCGTGCAAGACCTGGCGACGCTGGACGTCGGGTCGCTGACGCCGCTGTCGCCGGAGGTGATCTCGAGGCAAGCCACCATCAACATCGGCACCATCGGACACGTCGCGCACGGGAAATCGACGGTGGTGAAGGCGATCTCCGGCGTGCAGACGGTGCGGTTTAAGAATGAGCTGGAGAGAAACATTACGATTAAGCTAGGATACGCGAACGCGAAGATATACAAGTGCGAGGATGAGAAATGCCCGAGACCGGATTGCTATCGAGCGTACTCGTCGACGAAGGAGGACGCGCCGGCGTGCGAGGTGAAGGGATTCGAGGATAAAAAGATGCAGTTGGTGCGACACGTGTCGTTTGTGGATTGCCCTGGACACGATATTTTGATGGCGACCATGTTGAACGGGGCGGCCGTGATGGATGGGGCGTTGTTGTTGATCGCCGGGAACGAGACGTGTCCGCAGCCGCAGACGAGCGAGCACTTGGCGGCGGTGGAGATTATGCGACTGAAGCACATCATCATTTTGCAAAATAAGATTGATTTGGTGCAAGAGAACGCGGCGGCGAACCAGTACGATACGATCTGCAAATTCATTCAAGGCACGATCGCGGATGGTGCGCCCGTGATTCCGATCTCGGCGCAGTTAAAGTACAACATCGACGTCGTGTGCGAGTACATCATCAAAAAGATTCCGGTGCCGGAGAGGAATTTCATCTCCCCGCCGAACATGATCGTCATTCGATCGTTCGACGTGAACAAACCCGGCGCAGAGGTTGAAGAAATTCAAGGCGGCGTCGCCGGTGGATCGATTCTCCAAGGCGTGTTGAAGGTTGGTCAAGACATCGAGGTTCGCCCCGGCATCGTCACCAAGGACGCGGATGGGAAAATTCAGTGCAAGCCCATCATGACTCGCATCGTTTCGCTGTTTGCGGAGCAAAACCTGCTTCAGTACGCCGTCCCGGGTGGTTTAATCGGCGTCGGTACGACGTGCGACCCGACGCTCACGCGCGCCGATCGCCTCGTCGGTCAAGTGCTCGGCGAAGTCGGCAAGCTCCCCGAGGTTTTCACCGAACTCGAAGTCAACTTTTTCCTCCTCCGTCGTCTCCTCGGCGTTCGCACCCAAGGCAGCGAGCGCCAAGGGAAGGTATCGAAGCTCGCCAAGAGCGAAGTTTTGATGTTGAACATAGGTTCCATGTGCACCGGCGCGCGCGTCGTCGCCGTCAAGTCGGATCTCGCCAAGCTTCAGCTCACGTCGCCCGTGTGCACCAAGGTTGGCGAAAAAGTCGCGTTGAGTCGTCGCGTCGAGAAGCATTGGCGCTTGATCGGCTGGGGGTCCATTCAGGCCGGCACCGAGCTCAGCGAATAATAGCACATTACCATCACGCGTCTTTCGTTTTGTAATCCAAACCTCCGACGCTTTCACCGTCGCTCGTCCCGCGTTCGCGCGTCCCGCGCGCCTCCCTCGCCCGGCCGACGCCACTTCGCCTCGCGCGTCCTTCGCCCATCGCGCGCGGCTCGACGTCGCGCGCGTCGACGCCGCGTCGACGCCATGTCCGCGTGGTCCAAAATCGTGCGCGACGATCCCGCACCGGCGCCGGTCGACGCCGCCGAAGCGTCCGCGGCGGCGGCGGCTGAGGCGACGCTCGAGAGCAAACTGCGCGACGCCGCGACGCTGAAGGCGGTCGTCGACGCCAACGCCGTGTTCAAGGGCTACGCGCTGACCGACCCGAACGTGCTGTGCGTGACGATCGCGGAGGTGCTGGATGAGATTCGGGACGCCAAGGGACGAGACGCGGTGGCGGCGAGCGCGGGCGCGCTCGAAGTCGCCGAACCGAGCGAAGAAGCGATCGAAGCGGTGAAACGGTTCGCGAGTAAGACCGGAGACGTGCACGCGCTGTCGAGGGTAGACATGAAGCTCATCGCGCTGGCGTATGACTTGGAGGGAAGATGTCACGGGGTGGAACATTTGAGGACGGAGCCGGCGCCGCCGAGGACGCACGCTAAAAAGACGAATCGGTTCGAGAAGCAGCCGGGATGGGATTACGTGCCGAACGCGGACGATTGGGCGGAGTTGGACGATATGAATAAGCTCCAGGAGGAAGCCGAACGCGAGATGCGGGAAAAGATGGCCAAGGTTTCGATCGAGCAGGCGGCGGAGGAGGAATTGCGAAAGGAGCGCGAGGCGGAGACGGCGGTGGCGAGGGAACGACGCGCCGCCGAGGAGGAACGCGTGCGAGCGTTGAAGGAGAAGGCTGCGGAGGCGTTGGTGGCGCAGGAACATATAGTTAAGGACGTCGAGGGCGATACCGACGAATGGGCGCCGGTCATTTGTCGAACGACGCGCGTGCGTCGCCAAAAGCGAGAGGAGCGCGCGCGTTTAGCGGCGGAGGAAGCCGAACGTCGAGCGACGGCGAACGCGGAAGTTGAGGGAGCCACGCCCGAGGAACTCGAAGAGCAAAGCAAACGAGCGACGGACTTCTTCACCTCTCGTGGTGAAATCGAGGCGAATGTGGAGGAGGAAGAGGACGACGACGCGTCCACTCGTAGCGACGACGACGAGGAAGTCGAACTCGAATCGTGCGTCTCCTCCGTAACGGCTGATTACGCCATGCAAAACGTCATTCTGCAGATGGGCCTTAAACTCGTCGCGCCCGACGGCATGCGCATCGAGCACCTACGGCGATGGGTTCTTCGCTGCCACGCGTGCAACGAAATCACCCGCAATCTCACTCGTATGTTTTGTCCCAAGTGCGGCAATCAAACGTTGCAAAAAGTCGAGCACACCGTCACTCGCGACGGCGTCGAACAATTCGGCGTTCGTAAAAAGTTTGTTTTACGCGGCAGCAAGTACACCTTGCCCGCGCCCAAGGGTGGTCGCAACGCAAAGAAAATAATCTTACGCGAAGACCAACTCATGAGCGTGCGGCTGACTAAGAAACAAGTAGGCGAAGACGTCTTCGCCGCCGAGTACAACGAGGAATCGTACGCCGACGCCAAGCACTTCGCCAGTCAGAAGACGGCGTACGAAATCGGCGGCGGCGACGTCCGTCGCAACCCGAACGAACGTCGTCACGTCGCCACGAACAGGCGTCGAAAGTAGCTTAGCCTCGCGACGATACAATATACAAGCATCACCACCCGCGTCCCGCTCGTCGTCCCGCTCGCGTTTGAATCCATCCCAGCTGGCGCTGGGCGCCACACATCGCCCCTCGCGCGCGTCGCGCGCGATGTCGCGCGCCGCCGACGCGCCGCCGATGGACGAAAACCCATCGAGCGCGCCCCCGCGAGGCATCAAACGAATCGACGACGTCGTCGTGCATCGTATATGCTCCGGCCAAGTCGTCCTCAGCCTCGCGAGCTGCGTCAAGGAGCTCGTCGAAAACGCGCTGGACGCCGGCGCGACGAACGTGGAGATTCGACTGAAAGACCACGGCGCGGACGTCGTCGAAGTGTCCGATAACGGCTCGGGCGTGCCCAAGGCGTCGTTCGAGGCGCTGACGACCAAGTACGCGACGAGCAAGTTGAAGGCGTTCGAAGACTTGGAGACGCTGCGAACGTTTGGATTTCGCGGCGAGGCGCTGTCGAGTTTATGTGGGATATCGGGGGAGTTTAGCGTCACCACGCGGACGGCAGACGATGCGAGTGGGACGAAAATCGTGTACGACGCGAAGGGGGCGATCGTGAGCGAGAGTGTGGTGCCGAGATCAGTGGGGACGACGGCGACGGTGTGTCGGTTGTTCGAGCCGCTCGCGGTGCGGAGGAAGGAATTTTTGAGAAACGTGAAGCGCGAGTACGGGAGAGCGTTGCACGTCGTGCAGGCGTATGCGTTGATGTCGAAGTCAGTGAGGATATTGTGCACGCATCAGAGCGGAAAGTACGGACGGACGAATGTGTTGCACACGCGCGGGGGCGAGGAAGCGTCAGTGCGGGAAAACGTCGTGACTGTGTTCGGCGCGAAGATGGTCGCGGCGATGCAAGAAATCGACTTTGATTTGAGTGATGCCGATGGTGATGGGTCGTCATCGTTGACGTGTCGCATCGTTGGGTACGTCTCCAAGGCGCAAAATGGATGTGGTCGCGCGGGCACGGATAGGCAATTTTATTACGTCAACGGCAGACCGGTGGATTTACCGCGTGTGGCCAAGGTTCTTAACGAGACTTACCGTTCGTTTAACCCCAACCAAGCGCCCATGGCGGTGTTAGACGTTCAACTCCCCACGGACTCGTATGACGTGAATGTGACGCCAGACAAGCGCAAAGTGATGCTACACCAAGAGCAAGAATTGCTAACCAAGATGAAGGAAAAGCTCACGGAGGCATTCGCGCCGAGTCGATACACGTACGCCGTATCGCAGGCGCCACTAAGTAACACGAAGAAACGTCCCTCACTTTCGACATCGTTTGAAGGCGATGACGGTGACGACGTTATGGAGGATGAGCACGACGACGAAGAGTTGACGCCAACCGAGTGCATGGACGAAGAAACATTTGAAACACTCTTGCTCACGGCAAAGGAGCCTGCCGCGAACGATACTCGTGGAAGAGGAAAGAAGCGTGACGCGAGCTCTGCGCAGAAGGGTTTACAAAATTTCGGCTTCACGCGCGAAACCACGGCGGTGGCAATCGGTGGCGGTTGGACGATGGCCACGGCGGACGGCGCAGGCGGCGAGACCGAGATGCGCGATGCTCCGGCGATTGTCGCGTTCGAGGAAGACGTCGTAAAGAAACCAAAGGTTGGGGACAGTCAATCCGACGACACGCGAACGAAAGAACCCGATACCGAGGACGAACGCGCCAACGTGGGACACGAGCAAGTGACGTTTGACGACGTCGTGGTCGCCGCAGTGGTGGAAGAACCTCGAGGACCAGATTCAACGCGCGAAGACTCCAGTGGCGGCGCTTTGGCGTTTTCGATGGAGACGATGCGTGCGCGAAGGCGAAACGTGCGCAGCGAGGTCGTCACGACGGTGGACGAAGCGTCCAAATCGAAGTCGGAAATCGCGTTCGCCGCCGCGCGAATTCCCGCCGTGGATGGCGAAACGGAACCGTCTCACGCGACGCACGCGGCGGCGGCGAGCGAACTTGAGCGCGTGTTCAACAAAGCCGATTTCGCCAAAATGCGAATCGTGGGCCAGTTCAATCTTGGTTTCATCCTCGCCGTGCTCGGCGACGACTTGTTCATCGTCGACCAGCACGCGAGCGACGAGATTTACAACTTTGAGCGCTTGCAACGCACATCGACACTGACGCGGCAGCCGCTCATACACCCGGTTCCGCTCGACTTGACCGCGAGCGAGGAACAGACGGTGTTGCAAAACATGCCCGTATTCTTGCAAAATGGCTTTGGGTTTTGCGACGTCGCCGAGACCGTTCCCGGCGCGGACATGAACAACTCCTCCATCGATCCCACGGCGAGATGCGGCGCGCTGCGACTGAACGCGGTTCCATTTCTCAAGAACGTCGCGTTCGACAAGTCCGACGTCCAAGAGCTCGTGTCCATGCTCGACCAAGGCCAACATTCTCTTCCCTCCAAGAGCCAACTCTCCATCGGCCTCGCGCGAGAGGACGCCGCCGCCGCGCGGTCGCGACGGGACGCCTCACCGCGCGTGCTCCGCCCCTCCAAAACCCGCGCCGCGCTCGCCATGAAGGCCTGTCGCTCGTCCATCATGATCGGCGACGCCCTGGACGCGCGTTCGATGCGCCGAGTCTTGCGCAACCTCGGCGCGCTCGACGCGCCGTGGAACTGCCCGCACGGCCGCCCGACGATGCGCCACGTCCGCTGTCTGCGCTCGCGCCGCGCCGCGAACGACGCGCGGTGACCGCGATGACTCGCGGTCGCGCGCGCGCCGCCCGCGCGTCGCGCGCGCGCACCGCGTCGCGCGTCGCGCGTCCACGTGTAACATCACTGTTTGCCCATACGCGCCAATCTCGGTCGGTCGCCCGCGCCGCCGCCGCCGCCGCCGCCATTCGCCGCGACGCCACACGCGCGCGCCGACGCCGACGAGCGCGAGCCATGGGCGACAAAACGCCGAAGAGCCCGAAGGAAAAGAAGGAGAAGAAGGAGAAGAAGGAGAAGAAGGAGAAGAAGGAGAAGCGCGAGCGCGATGAATCGTCCGGAGGCGATCAATCGGGAAGCGAGGAAAAAGCCGAAAAAAAGAAAAAGGTGGACGACGCCGACGACGGCGAGGACAGCGACTCGGGATTCAAGGTGCACGCGAAAAAGTCCGCGGATGAATTGAAGCCGGGTAAGGTGTCGACGGGGAACTACGAGGACGTGACGCTGAACTGCCGGGATTGTAACGGGGAGTTCGTGTTCACCGTCGGCGAACAAGAGTTTTACGCGACGAAGGGCTGGACGAACCAACCGACGCGGTGCGAACCGTGTAAAAAGGCGAAAAAGGAACGATTCGGAGAGGACGTGCCGAAGTGCTACGCGTTTGAACGCGGCGAGTGCGATCGGGGCGATTCGTGCCGATTCTCGCACGGGCCGGGGAGCGCGGCGGGACGCGGCGGCGGCGGCGGTCGCGGCGGCGGCGGCGGCGGCGTGTGCTACGCCTTCCAAAACGGTAACTGCTCGTACGGTGACTCGTGTCGATTCTCGCACGATCCGAACGCGCCGCCGTCTCGTCCGGGCTCTCGCGGTCCCGCTGGCAAGTGCTACGCCTTCGCCGAAGGAAACTGCACCCGCGGCGATTCGTGCCGGTTTTCGCACGCCTAGGTCGCCGTCTCGCGTCCGAGCGCGTCCGCGTTCGCCGCGGCGTGACTACTGCTTAATTGATCGATTCTACTCTACAATCCTAGTGTCATCTTGTAGTTACTTTTACCAAACGAAAACGAAGAAACCGTCGCCGTTCGCGCGCGCGGCGTCCCGTCCCGACGCCAGTCGTCGACGCGCGCGCGTCGCGCGCGCGAACGCCTCGAGCGATGCAACGCGAACGCGGCGCGACCACACCGAGCGCGACCGCGACCGCCGACGCGCTGCGCCGCGAGCTGCGCGAGACACAGCGCGAGCTACCGAGCGCGACGACGGCGCGCGATGTCGACGCCGCGACGCGAAGGATGGACGCGCGCGCGACGTGCGCGTTGAAAGCGTTCGAGTTACGCGCGATCGACGACGTGCCGCTCTGAGCGCGAGGACGGCGGGACGCGAGGCTCGGGCGATGCGATTACACGGTCGCGAGGGGTCACCGGGCGCTAGAGTCGGCGGACATCGCGGTCATGAACTCTTCAAAGTCGATGACGCCGTCGCCGTTGGCGTCAGCGGTGGCGATGAGCTCGGTGACGTCGCCGAGATTCGCACGCTCGACGGGGGACATCGTGTCGAGCGCGCTTTGGAATTCCTCGGCGGTGATGGAACCGTCGTGGTCGGTGTCGAAGTAATCAAACGCGCGCTGGATCGCGGCTTTAGATTCACGCTTCGACCGCGCGAGAGTGGCGACGATGAACTCCTCCCAGTGAATTTCGCCGGTGCCGTCGAGATCGACTACTTTGAAGATCTCTTCGAGCTCCGCCGCGGCGTCGGAGGATTGGAGCTTTAATCCTTCTCGTAACTCATCGATGGAAACAGTTCCCGATTTATCCTTGTCCAGCTCCTTGAACATGACGCTCAGTCCAGCGATCTCTTCCGCGGGCATCGCGCGCGCCATGGCGTGCAGCCCCAGCTTCTTGAACTTGCTCATGGCGGCGAAGTTTTTGAAGCGCTTGTAGACGATGTTGTCGAGCGCCGTCTTTGGAGCGACGCTCGGATCGGCCAGCCAGGGATGCTGGAGTACGTCTTCGATCGTCATGCGCTTCGTCGGATCCACCGTGAGCATGCCTTGTATGAGCTCTTTCGCCGCATCGCTGACTGACGGCCACGGCTCGCTCACCAAATCGAGCGGCTCGGCGCCCGTCTTATATCGCTTGATGGCGTCGAACACTTGCTTCTCGCTCGATCCCCAAAACGGCGGCACGCCGGAGAGTAGAATGTATAAAATAACGCCACACGACCACACATCGGCTCCGTTGGAGTACTTGTAAGCCATGACTTCTGGAGCGACGTAATACGGGGAGCCCACGAAGTCGGTGAACACTTGGTCTCGCGTCGCAAACGTCGACAGCCCGAAATCGATGGCGCACACGGGCGAATCCTTCGCGCCGCTCTTCAACACGAAATTCTCCGGCTTCAAGTCGCGATGCATGACGTCCATTATATGACAGTACTCCACCGTGTGCGCCACATTTCGAAACTGCGCCGCGGCTTCGGCTTCGCTATAGGGCGCCGTCTCAAACTGCTCCGCCATCGCGTCGAACCACTCGTCGCCGTCCAATTTTTCCATCACCAAGTGCACGTGCGTCGCATCCTCGTGCGTCGCGACGAGTTCAACGACCTTCGCGTTCCCATTCAAGTGATGCATGATTTTTACTTCGTTCCGCACCATCTCTTTCGACCGTTCGCTCGAGAGTCCTCGCTTGCTGATGGATTTGCACGCGAGCGCGCGTCCGCTCTCCTTGTCCGTCACCGCGCGCACCTCGCCGAATTGTCCGCGTCCGAGCTCGGCGCCGAACTCGTACGCATCTTTCACGTCGACGCTCGACGCCGCGTCGCCCAGGATCGTCGTCTTCGTCTTCGCCTTCGTCTTCGCCGATTCGCTTCGCGTCGCATCGCCAAAGCCGAAGAGACCGGCGCGCGGCGCGCGGCGTCGACGCGTCGCGCGCGCGCGGCGCGGCGACGCGCTCGGAACGCGATCGATCGCGCGCGACGCGAGCCGCATCGCGCGCGTCGCGAGGTGCGGCGCGCGATCGACGATTAACGGTCGGTCGCGCGGTCGGTCGCCCATTGCGCGGTCGGTCGCCCATTTCACAGCGCACGGCGCGCCGGCGCGCTCGCTCGGTTCCGCGCGAACCGCTCGACGCGACCGCCGATCTCGAGCGGAAAACGAGTGAATATCTCTAGAACTGTACTGTTGGTTTACTAAGGTTTACTGGTGAACTCTTCGTGGCGCCGTCAGCATTCGTCCAACACGACGAGTTCGCCTTCGCTCGCGAGCGACTCCACGTCGACCTCTCGTTCAATTTTCGCGTCTGAAAATAGCAAGTCCGCCTCCGCGTGGGTGTCTAGGTCGCGCACCTTGATTACTTTCGCCGCCCACCAGCTTTTATCGCCAGCGCATTCGCGAAACACGCAGACGTACTTGCCCACTAAGCCTTTGAAGTCCATGTTTTCGTCCGCCACCGTCCCGGCGTACGGCTCTGGCGCGCCGAATTCGCATCCTGGAAACTTTACCGTCCACGACATGTCGTCCGCGGATGCCGTAACGACGCCGGCTGCTTTGCGTTTACGAGTAGCGCGAGGCGAATCCGCGGCTCCACCGGCTGCCTTTGCCGCCGACGCTTCCGCCGTGAGCGTTCGCGACGCCTCCTCCACTTGCACCTCCAACCCCGCCAACTTCAACTGATTGATTCTCGCGTACTCCCCTTTCACTTGATCTAAAGTCGGTCCATCGGGATCGCCGTACCGTGCGCTCTTCCATCCGTCGTCAGCCTTCTTCGTCGGGTTCGTTAAACGTTTGGCGAAAATCGCCCACGCGCTCGGACTCGTGAACCGCTGCCCTTGAAACGTGATCACCCCGTCCTCCCCGAGATCGCCCTTCCACACGTTATCTTGATACACGATGAACATTTTCTCCGCACCACTCTTCAACAGCCCCGACTGGATCAAATCCACCAGCGAGCACGATATCTTTCCGATGCCCGCCTTGCCGCGTTCGCCCAGTTGCACCAACGGTTCGCCCGCCGCGCGATTCTTCCTCGTCGTCTTCACCGTCGAGCTCGACGTCCCTCCCTGCGCTCGCGACGCGTGTCCCGTCGTGCTCGGATTCGCCACGCCCATGGCCTTCTGTTTCGCGTACACGCTCGCTCGATGTCTCGCGCTCCACTGCGTCTTGCTTCGCTCGAGCCACGTCGCCGGGTCGTCGTGCCAAAGCTTGCTCATCTCCTCCGCCTCTTCCTCGCGATCGAGCCTGGTTTGCATGATTTGCCAATCGCGAAGGATATCACCGGGCCCGTCGTCGCCGTCGCGCGCGCCGTCGGCGCCGTCGCGCGTCGCGAGCGCGCCGTCGGGGGAGGTTTTGAGCGGGACACCGATGCGCGTGATTCGAGCCGCGGTGGCGCTCACGGCGAGGAAACGCAGGTCGGCGACGGCGGTCATGTCGAGCGTTCGGTCACGTCGCGTTCGGACGCGTCGTCGCGCGCGCGCGGGGTCGCGAAGTGCGGGATGGTGCATTGACGAATAAAGTTCTATTGAATGCGACGACGACGCTCACGAGCGTTCGTCGGCCAACGCGGATTTTAAGCGCTCGACGAGGGCAGCCTTCAAGCCCGCGGTGCTCAACTCGCGCTCGGTGAGGAGCTTCTTCAAAACGACGACGGTGAGCTTGGCGGGATCGCCTTCGACGGGGGTCAAACCGTCGGCGCTCGGCGGCGGATTCGTCGAGCGGCGCTCCACGGAGACGGAACGTCTGGACGATCGACGAGGAGGATCGGCGTCGCGCTCGGGCGACGTCGAACGCCTCGAGGATCGACGCGGGGCGTCGGCTTTTGGTTTATCCGGAATCTCGACCTCGATTTCGACCACCTTGGGAGCGGCGGGCTTCGTCGCCGCGGCTTTGACGGCTCTGGCGGCTTTGGCGGCGGCTTGGATGGCTTCGATATCGTCGTCGTCCTCGTCGTCGTCGGCCGCGGGCGCCGGCGACGGTTCTTTCGGCGGCGGCGCTGGGACCGGCGCGGGCGCGACGACCGCGCGCGGCGGACTCTTCGGCTTCACCGGCGGCGGCGCCGGGACGGGAACCGTTCGAGGCGCGGGAATCGTCTTCGGCCTCGGCGCCGCGTCCGCGTCCTCGAATCGTCCTCGAGGTTCCACCGGCGCGCGTCCCGGCGCCTCCGTCCCGGGACCGCCGCCGAGCGACGACGGTTTCTGACCGCCGCCGCCGCCCTCGACCGCGCGTCCGCGTCCGACGCCGACCGAGCGGTGCCCGAACCCGCGTTCGCCCGGCACCGGCAGCTTCGGCCGCGCCGCCTTCTCTCCCTCTCGCCTTCGCCAATCCCCCGCGTCCGCGCGTCCGTCCGCGCGTCGCCAATCGTCTCGTCCGTCGTTTTTCTCGCCCGATCCGCCTCGATCGCGCGCGTGCGGCGGCACGTACCCTCGCGCGACTTTCGCGGGCGGCGGCGCGTCGCGCGCGTCGCCCGGAATCTGTCCCTCTTCCTCGTCGCTCGCCTCCTCGCGCGCGCGCTTGAGCGTCGTCTCGGCGCGACGCGCGATCTCGCGCTCGACGTCGATGCGCTCGAGCAGCCGTCGGCGTCGCGCGAGCAGCGCGTCGTCGCTCAGCGCGGCGACGCGACGCGCGAGGTCGCGCGAGCGCGAGCGCGACGACGACGACGACGACGACGCGCTCGAGCGCGAGCGCGAGCGCGAGCGCGAGCGCGATCGACTCATGTCGGTCGCGCCGCCGGTGCGCGGGCGCGGGCGCGCGGCGAGCACTGCGGCGCTCGGGACGGCGCGCGCGAGTTAGTTGCGGCGGCGGGACGCGGCGTTCGAACGCGACGGATGGAAATCGTGTCGCGGTGAGGGAAGGGAAGCGGCAGTCGTCGCGCGGCGAGTCGTGGTGTTAAGCATAAATGTTTCTATGGGGTTGGTGCGCGAAGTGCTCGTTGGGTGGACGCGCCGCGCGGCGGTCGCGCGCGTAGACGCGAGGACGCGCGGATTCGCGCGCCGACTCGGCTTGGATTTTGGCGAGCTTGGCGGCGTCGCGCGCGGCTTGGCGCTGAGTCCTGGCTAATGCTCGCGCTTTTTCGCCGCTCGCTTTGGCGGCGGCGCGTCGCGCTTTGGCGGCGGCGCGCGCGGCGGCGCGCGCGGACCCGGTTTGCCGGTTCGTCTCCGGCGTGGTGACGGCGGCCCACGCGGCGACCGCGACGGCGCAGGCGATGGTGAACAGTGGACTGTCGAAACCTCGCCATCGTTTGCGCTTGATCACGGTGGTCATGTAAATCTTCTCGTACTCGTCGCGCGCGAGTAAGACGCGCTCGATCTTAACCGGAGCGGGCGAGCGCAGCGAAGTCACCGCTGAGATGTCTCTGCGCAACGAGCGTTCGAGCTCTTCGAGCGAGCACGTGCGACGGCGGTGGAACAAGCCCTTCATACCATCCACAGTAGGATGTGAAGCTCCGTTGCTCAGTTGCGGCACCGCGCGACGGATAACGGTCGGAAACTTGCTCGGATGCGACACCGCGAGCGCCACACACGGAACGTCCTCGGCGATGTCCTCGACCAACTCCAGCGCCGCGATCGCGATCGCAGTTTGAGGACAGGGTAAGTACCCCATGCGCTCCTCGCGCTGTATCGTGCTATACATGAGTTCGTCGCTCACGACCGCGCTCTTGAACACGGCGTTTAACTCACTCGTCATCTTCGGTGGCAATTCAACTTCGCCGTCTTCGTCGAAATCGTCTTGCAGCTCGCTCAAAATCAGCGGATTTGATCCAGTGGCGTAGTACAGCGACCGCCACATGTTTTCAGCCACGACGACATCCAACGCGCTCGACGACGTGTGCACCATATCAGTCTTGTACAATTCACCGAGCGAGATGGCGCGGTGCGCCGCGCCGTTGGCGTTGCACGCGGCGACGACGGTGATCGGCAACCCCATCAAACGCGCCAGGTGACCGGCGTACTCCAGCGCGAACGTGGAGCTCGGTATACTGAACACCACGGGTCTCCCCCACTCTTCGCGCTTCGCGCGCACTTGTCCGTAGGCGTGAAAAAATAACGGCACAAAGCACAACACGCGCGCCACGTTGGCGCTATTCGCGCTCACCATCCCGTTCGCCAACCGAAACGCCTCATCGTTCAGCACATCGATCACGACCGCGTCCACATCGCTCATTCCATCCGGGCATTCGCTCACCTTAACCGGATGCACGTGATCCTCCACGTGACACGTCATCTCTCGTTCCTGAGGCTCGGTCACGTCGCCGTCGTCGCCCGGGTACACGATCCACGCGTCCATATTCTTCATCTCCGCCGCCACGCGCGCGAACGCCCCCCCCTCTTCCCCCGTCGTCGAGCACATCACATTTCCTCGCTTCCCACGTAGTTTCAACGCCCGATCCATCATCCGCACCGCCATCTGCATGCTCGCGTCCTCCGCGCTCAGCGTCGGTCCGCGATGCAATTCGCACGCGTGCACCCATCCTCTCGCGCCTCTTCGCCCGAGCGTCTTCACCGGCGCGATCGCGTCGTCCGCGAACGTCTTACACGCCTCGTGCGCGATCTCTCGCAGCGTTTCCTTCGTGAACTCCTCGCCATTCGCGCAAAACACCGACAGGATTTCCACGCACAGCGTCTCGTAGCTCGAATTTAAAATCTTTTTGAAATCGATCGTCGGGACGCGCTCCGGGACGTACGCGCCGCCGTCCAGCGGCGAGCCCGTGAGCAGGGCGTCGACGAACGTCGTCGGCGGCGCGCCGCCGCGCGTGCTCACGTACTTCATCGCCGCCGTGTGACGCGCGCGCCGAATGCCGAATTGCCGAATTCGACGGACGACGCGCGTCGCGCCGCACCGACGCGCGCGCCGACGCGCCGGCGCGATGGACGGTCGCGCGCACGCGCCGGCGTCGCCGCCGCGCGAGCGCGCGTCGTCGCCGCCGCGCGCGACGACGATTCGACCGCTCGACCGACCGGACGACGCGACGCTCGCGGCGTGCGCGCGCGCGCTCGAGGACGCGCTGGCGACGAGCGAGGCGCAGTGCGAGGAAGACTTTCGCCTGATCGACGCGCTGGCGACGCCGGTGGCGATGACGTGCGACAGGGATCTGTTGGAGTCGCTGGCGACGGACGAGACGAGCGCGGCGGTGGAGGCGTTGGCGCGCGCGCTGGTGAGCGACGGCGACGCGAACGAGGAAGGCGAGGGAGAGGGAGAGGACGGCGACGACGATCTGAGGAGGGCGTATGAACGAGCGAGAGGGAAGATGGCGGCGAGAGTGGCGGCGCTGACGGAGGCGCACGCGGCGAATAGGGCGGATAGGATAAAATTGTTGACGAATCTCGTCACGGCGAGTCGGATGGAGTCGTGGCAAAATCAGTCGTCGCTGCCGAATCGCGAGTGATTTGATCTATAGCGTCTAGCTCGTGTAACAACAAAACTACTAATTAGGTGTACAGAATGACTAATGCGCTAGCGTTTTTTGGTTTGCGGTCGCGGCGGCGCCGGGTCGCGCGAACGCGGCGGTAAGTTATTGAAGGGGGCGAAGCGGTTTCCGCCGGGGGCGTACGAGGCGGGCGGACCGCGTCCGGGAGGTCCGGGATGCGGCGCGCCGGGCTGAAACCCACCGAGTGGTACGCCTCGACCGGCGCCGTACGCTTGCGGATACCCTTGCGGTAGCGCAGGACCCCCCGGCGGCGGCGGCGGCGGCGTACGAGTCGGGAGTCTCTGCTGATAATTCATCCCGAGCGGCACGCCTCGACCGAGACTTTGGTGCATCAACGCGTGTGCGTCTTGATTTGATCCTTGAAAACCACCTCGGCCGCCGGCCAAGGGATGGCCCGCCATCCCGCGTCCGTAATCGATTCGAGGCGCGTTGTTGTTGTTGTTGCGCCCGTAGTTGTCCGTCTGATGAAACAACTGCGGCGGCGGCGGCAAGTCAGCCTCCGTCACCATAGGCGTCGGTAACACCGCACCGGGCATCAGCACCGGCGGCACAAATCTATCGGTCGGCAAACGCATCGACGCCACGACTACTTTGTTGTTCGAGATGTCTTGGCGACTCGACATCGGCGACGGTATCATCGTGGGCTGCGCGTCGCGTTTCACCGACACGAGCGTGGCGTTCATGCCTTTACTAAGCTTCGGATCCATCTTGAGCGTTTTTTCCACGTCTTCGTCTTCCCGCTCTTCGAGCTCGAGAAACTGTTTTGCGAGCGGATGCGCGGCATTGACGTATATTTCCTCCTCGTTGATGGAGTTTCGGCGCTTTTCCTCGGCGGTGAGCGTGTATTCGAGCATCTCCGTTTGTTCTAGCAGACGGTTGGCGTCGATCCAAGGGAGCAGTGCCACGGCCTGCCACGTAAAACGCTTCCCGTTCATATCGAGCGCGAAGTCTTCGGGATAAAAGTCGATGATAGGAGAGTCTTTGTCCGACATCAACGGCGCGAACGCTGCGGGCAACGCGTGCGAAGACGCCGCCGGCAACACGCCCATGAGCTGCGAAAACGGCTTGAACGGTTTGCCGAGATCAAAATCGGTAGAGATCGTACTCAAGTCATATAAATCACTCGCGAACGGGGCGTAATGGTATGGGTAGAACCAACTCCAAGAGCAACACCCTTCGAAGTAATATCGACACACCCAAATTAAGCCGCGCACGTACTCAATGACCATGCCCCGAATGATCTCATCTCGCGTTTGTGGCGTTGCCTGCATCTTTGCTTCGTAATAGCGATCTTTCCAGCCACTTTCTCCGAGCCGAATGTTGTCCGTTTCTTCCTCGCGCTCACCCATGGCCTTGACGATGCCTTCAAGTTGCTTCAAGAAGGATTTACTGTCCATCACCTCGCCCGCTTTGAACTCTCGCACCTCGCTCGGACGTGGGCATCCGCACCTGAAGCACGAACCTTTAGATGCGTACATGCTTCCGCACCCTGTGGGACACATCCAATCGCCGGGCTGCGCGTCGGGTGCCGTCGATTGTACAAAAGGGTGCGACGGCACTTCATCGCTTTCGACGGTGTCGATGGTTTCAACCGTCGTGGCTGATTCAGATTCAGCCTTCTCCGCGAGCTGATTCCAAAACTCCTTTGCTTTTTCGTCCTTTTCAGCCTTATCCGCGTCCGATACTTTAGCCTTCTTGGCGTCGGTATCGGCTTCCGGCGCGACGTCAGCCGTCGCTTCGGCGGCGCGCTTACCTCGCGTCTTTAATCGTTCGCGCAGCGCATCCGCGGCGCTCTTGTTCTCCGCCGCCGTCTTCGGCGCGCTCGGAGGTGGCGTCGGTTTTCCGCGACCGAGCGCGACGAGCTGTTCTGTCGGCGCTGCGGGCGCGCGATCACTCGCGTTTCTCGATCCACCGAGCACGCGGTGTTGCGGCACGTTGGTACCGCTCCCTTTGCGCTGGCGCTCGTAGTAATCCTTCGCCTTTTGTTTATCGCGTTGTCTTGAACTCCGCATTCGCGCCTCCTTCTTGGCACGCTTCTGAAAGATGGCGTCCTCGTGCTCACTCACGAGCCGCACAAACTTTTCGACGATGGAGAGATTGGGACGGCCGTCCGCGCACAGGTATCCACCGAGCGTCGGAAGACAGTTTCGGTAGAGCGTCATCAACAAGTCGATGGCGCCCTCACGGATTTCCAACGTCGGCGAATGCGGTAAGAAATCGTTTCCGACGAAGAAACACATGAAGATAAAGTCGTCAAACATCCGCTCTGGGTCGAGCTTGAACGGCGTCGGTGCGACAGGGCGCATGTCCAACGCCAAGTATTCGCGCAAGACGCTCACGCTGAGCAACTGGTACGGCTTACGCGCGATGGCCACCTTTTTCTTCGTCTCCTCCGTCCCGAGCCCCAGCGTCTGCGGCGCCTCGTTATCCTTCTTCTGAAACACAATCTCGCGCAAGATCCAAAAGTGGGGCTCGTGCGTCGCGAGCGCCAACATGATCAAATCCGCGTCCAAACCGTAGACGACGTGCCGCGTGTTCGGATTCGCCCCCGGCAGCCCCCTTTGTTGCCGTATGTAGTGCATCGCCTTGTGCTCTCCCTCCCCCGGTACGCTCGCATCGCTAAAGATAACCTCAATTCCCCGCCATCCCGGATCGTTGTTCAACTTATCGTGCACGTAGTACTTTAACGCCTCGCTCAGCCGTCCCATGAACGGCGTCCCCGGCGTGATTACGTTCGAATCAAACACCCCCGACTCTTGTTTCGGCTGCACCTTCACCCCCTCCCTGATCAACTTCTCCCTCAACTTTTCTTCCTCCTCCGCTTTCTCTCTCGCCTCCTGCGCGCTTCGAAACCGTCGACTTCGCTGTTGATTCATCTTCGCTCGCGGCGCCACCCCGTCGATCGCCATGTACAGCACCTTCCTCGGTCGTATCATCAAGAACAACCGATCGATGTAATCGAATATGCACTCAAACACCTCCTCCTCCGTCGTCGGCGCCGGTCGGTCCTCCGGGTGAAAGCACGGGTGTATGATGCCATTCATGTCCAGGTACAGGTTGTCGAACTCGATGCCGTTCGGGTTCGCCTCGGCGCTGTTCAGCTCCACCCGGCGTCCGAGCGCGTCGACGGGCTCGTCCTCGACGACGTCGGCGACGATCTTCGGGTACTTCTGCGCGATCCAGCGGTAGAAGCTCGGGACGCCCATGGCGCGCGCGCGACGCGCGGCGCGAAGTGCGGCGGCGCGCGCGCGGCGGTGCGCCGTCGATGGCGTTTCGACCGCATTAAGTACGATCGAATATACATGTTTTAGTGTCTAAAACCTGCATGTATGTATGCGTTTGTCGATCGACCGCCGCGGTCGTCGGCGCGTCGCCGCGCGTCGCGCGCGCGGGCGCGACTCGACGACGCCGATGTCGACGCCGGCGCCGAGCGACGGCGCGACCGCCGTCGCGCCGCGGGCGGCGCCCGCGAGCGCGAGCGAGGTCGTCGTGCACCCGCTCGTGCTGCTCAGCGTCGTCGATCACTTTCGACGATGCGACGAGGTGCGACGACGACGACGACGCGCGACGACGACGACGACGACGACGACGACGACGCGGGACGCGGGATCGCGCGCGCGCGACGCGGGACGACGCGGGACGACGCGGGACGCGCGAGACGCGCGCGATCGCGGATCGCTTCCTTCGCGCGAGTTTTGACTGACTCCGACGGTTCGACGCGCAGGGCGACGAGGAGAACAAGCGCGTCGTCGGCGTGCTGCTCGGGGAACAGCGCAAGGGACGGTTGGACGTCACGAGCTCGTTCGCGGTGCCGTTCGAGGAGGACGACGGGGATAACGGGATTTGGTTTCTCGATCACAGTTACTTGGAAAACATGTATCGAATGTCGAAGAAGATTAGCGCGAAGGAGAAGATTGTGGGGTGGTACAGCACCGGACCGAAACTGCGGGAGAGTGATATCGACATACACGAGTTGTTTTACGCGTACACGCCCGAGCCGGTGCTCGTGATCGTGGACGTGCGGGCGGAGAACGCGAACATTCCGACGAGCGCGTTCGCGGCGCAAATCGAAGTCAAGGAGGATGGAACGGAAAAGCAACAGAAGACGTTCGTGCACGTGCCGAACTCGATTGAGGCGTTCGAGGCGGAAGAGATCGGGGTCGAGCACTTGCTGCGCGATGTGAAGGATAACACGGTGTCGACGCTGAGCACCAAGGTGAGCGAAAAAGTGCAGTCTTTGCGCGGTTTGAAGGCGCGATTAGAAGAAATCAAGAGTTACATGGATAAGGTTGTCGACGGCTCGTTGCCGATGAATCACGAGATCATGGGTCATCTGCAAGACGCGTTTAACCTGTTGCCGAACCTGAACTTGGAGGATTACGTCAAGGGATTCAACGTCTCCACGAACGACGCCATGCTCGTCGTGTACCTCAGCTCGTTGATTCGTTCAGTCATCGCTCTGCACGACTTGATCAACAACAAGGCGACGAACAAGGAACGCGAGCGCGCCCTGGATGCCCCGGGAGCGAGTGACGCGGAGAAGGATACGGACAAGGAGAACGAAAAACCGAAGGATTCGGGAAAGGCCGACGCCGCAAAGTGAGCGCCGAGAATCGTAGATGATTGATTTCGTGTACTAGTCGCGCCGACACCGCATATTTTATCTTAGTAGTCGTTGTGAGTGAGCGTCAATTCAAAGAAACGCGCCGTCACCGCTCGCGTTCGCCGTCGCGAAACTCGGCAACCAACCTCGCGTTAGTTCTCGCGCCACAACCAACCTCGCTCGTCCGCGACCGCGCCGTCGCGCGTCCTTCTCGCGCGAGCCCGCGCGCGTTTTAGGGCGCGCAGACGCGCAATCGCGCTCGTCGTCGCTCACGGCGCGGCGTTCGCGCGCGATGGGCGCGCGCGCAGCCGCCACCGGCGCGCCGCCGGCGCGTTCAAAACCGCCGCGCGACGACGCGCGAGGCGCCGAGACGACGAGCAAGGGCAAGAAACCGAAAGCCAAGGCACCGCGTGGCGCGTCGGACGCGGACGCGAAGGCGGAGGAGGGCATCGCCGCGGATGGGCACGTGGACTTTGGATTCGAGCGCGTGGAGGCGCTGACGGGACGTCGGAAAGCCGCTGAGGCGAAGAAGAAGAAGTCTTCCGGGGGATTTGAATCGATGGACATACTACCAGATGTGTTTCGAGCCGTCAAGCGCAAGGGTTATCGCGTGCCGACGCCGATTCAGCGAAAGGCAATACCGCCGGCGTTGGAGGGACGGGACGTCGTCGCCATGGCGCGCACGGGGAGCGGGAAAACGGCGGCGTTTTTGATACCAGTGTTGAGTAAACTCAGGACGCATAGCTTGAAAGCTGGCGCGCGGTGCGTGATATTGGCACCCACGCGCGAGCTGGCGTTGCAGACGTTCAAGTTTGCGAAAGAGTTGGCCAAGTTTACGGATTTGCGCGTCGCGGCGCTCGTCGGGGGAGATTCCATGGAGGCCCAATTCGCAGATTTGAGCAACAACCCAGATGTCATCGTCGCAACGCCCGGTCGTCTGTTGCATCATATCGATGAAGTTAAGGCGTTCACTCTTCGAACGGTGTGTCACGTCGTCCTCGATGAAGCAGACCGACTTTTAGAGATGGGTTTCGCAGACCAGTTGAAACAAATCATGAACTCTGTGGCGGATGTCAGGCAGACACTTTTGTTCTCGGCGACGCTACCGAGCGCGTTAGCAGAGTTTGTGCGCGTGGGACTGCGCGAGCCCGAAGTCGTGCGCCTCGACGCTGAGATGAAAATTTCATCTGATTTGCGCATGTCCTTTGTGTTGATGCGAAGCGACGAAAAGGTCGCTGCTTTGTTGTACATGCTTCGCGAAGTCATCCCGAAACGGCAACAGACTGTGGTTTTTGCGTCGACAAGACACCACGTTGAGTGGTTGCAGAACGTACTCGAATTCGAAGGCGTTAAAGTTTCGAGCATTTATGGGTCGATGGACATGATGGCGCGTAAAATGGCGCTGGGCAGGTTTCGCGCGAAGAAGGCTGATGTTCTCGTGGTCACTGACGTCGCTGCGCGCGGTATAGACATTCCTTTGCTCGACAACGTCATTAATTACGACTTCCCCGCAAAGGGCAAGTTATTCGTCCACAGAGTTGGTCGCGTCGCGCGCGCCGGTCGAACCGGTAACGCGCACAGCTTCCTCGTCAAGGAAGAGCTCGGTTTTTTAGTTGACTTGCACTTGTTTCTCGGTCGCAAAATAGCGGCTGCGTCGAAAGCACCGCCGAGTTCGACTGAGGAGGCGCTTGAAATCGCGCGCAAAGCGGAAGAATCTGCTACGTCAATAATAGGTACCTGCCCCATCGGCGCGCTTGACATGCTCACCGATCGCCTGCGGGAGGTGATGAAGGCGAAGGATGAATTTGAAGGTTTGGAACGCACGGCGAATAACGCTTATAGACTGTACCAAAAGACGCGTGGGACTGCATCAAGCGAATCGATGAGTCGCGCGCAGCCTCTCGTGCTTGCGGGACCGCATCCACTGTTGTGCGCAAGCGGTGGCGTAGACGAGCACACGCAAAAGCTCGCCGAAATCACGGCGAGCATAAAAGCATATCGCCCTCAAGCCACTGTTCTTGAAGCCGAAGTCGCGAGCGCGTCGAAGACATCAACGATCAAAATCACCGAGACGAGCAGCGCGATGCGTCAGAAGCGCTTGAAGGATGAAAAGTTTATTCGCGCGAAACGCGAAGGCAAGGATGGTTCGGCTCGCGCGTTGCGCCCGCTAGGGGAAGATGATCCCATTCTTGACGTAGACGCGCAAGAGGAATCCGACGATGATGGCGGCGCGGATTACGAGACCCTCGCCACAGCAGGTGACGATGCTTTCAACACCGGGAAATTCCGCGACCAAGAGTTTTTCCTGGACTCTGCGCCGCGCGCCGTAAATCACACCGAACTTGGGCTCACTACGCGCGAAGGCGGCGATCGAGGCTTAGAAGGCGCGCTGAACGACGCCACACTAGATTTAGTCGAAGAAGACGGCGAGGGAATATCTCGTCAAAAGAAGCTTTTCCACTGGGACGCCCGAAAGAAGCGTTACATCCACATCAACAGAGACGAAATCGATCTCAAGCGCGGCGGAAAGCGTCTGAAAAACGAAGCCGGACAGCGCGTCAACGCGGCGGAAGCTGGCGCGACGTACAAGAAGTGGGCAGCGCGGACACACAAATCCATAACCGCGACTGGTTCAATGGAAGACGAAGCGACGGTGAACAAGCGCTCTTTTGTGGATTCTACGCGCTTCAAGAAGGGTTGGCACACGAAGGGATCCGAGGCAAAGGAATCGAAGAGCGTCTTTGGCGTCGACGCCGCGGCGCCCGCGTACAACGAACTCAAATCTGCGGAACAAATCAGAAAAGAACGGAAAGAAACTAAAAAGAAAGGCGGTCGCGGCGGCGCCGGTCGCGGCGGTGGTGATCGCGGTGGCGGACGCGGAGGAGGACGCGGCGGAGGTCGCGGAGGAGGACGCGGCGGTGGTCGCGGAGGAGGACGTAGCGGAGGACGTAGCGGAGGACGCAGCGGCGGCGGAGGGCGTGGAAGAGGACGAGGAAGGCGCTAGTTTACTTTTAATACACTTCACCGCTACTTGTGTGACAATCGACTCGACTCCCGCCGTCTACTTGGGCGGTGGGCGCTTTCTATACCGAATCACTCGAGCCGGATTTCCGGCGACGACGGCGTAGGGTTCCACGTCTCGAGTCACCACGGAACCCATGCCCACGACCGAATGATCTCCAATGTGCACTCCATCAGTCACGCACACGCTCGCACCTATCCAAACATCTTTTCCTATCGTTATCCCCTGACTCGTCACGCCCTGCTCGCGAATATTCGTCTCAGGGTCGTCGAAGACGTGATTAAACGCGAACGCCGAAAACCTCGGCCCGATCCGCGTGTCGTCCCCGATCGTCACCCCGACGGCTCCTCCCTCGATATGCGCGTTCGCGTTCAACGACGCGCGCGCCCCGATCGCGCACGGTCCGTGAATGAAGCAGCGCGCCGCCACCCGCGCGCCGTCCCCGAGCGCCACGTCCCGCCCGGGTTCGGCGAATATTTCCGTGCCTTCCCCGACGAAGCAATCGTCGCCGAACCGCACCGTCTCCACGGCGCTGATATCGCGCTGCACGTTCCGCTGCCACGTCTGGATGTCTGACGTGAGATGCTTCGCGCGGTTGTTGTCGAGAAGTCGAGGCATGAAGCTGACGCGCTTGCGCTTTTGTGCGGTGAAATCGGGCGTTTTCTCGAGCGACGCGCGCGCGAACGACGCGCGCGATGCGTGCGTCGCGCGCGGGGCGCGCGGCGCGGCCGCGCGCGCGGCGAACATCGCGCGAGGCGGTGTGAGGGCCGTAACTAACTCGATGCAGCGTCTTCGTTTCGTTAAAAAAGCGTTTTTGTGGTGCTCGATTTGTCTAATCATGATCTAAAGTCGCCGCCGTCGAAACCGGAGAAACCGGCGAGCTTGAAAACCGGGTAGTATGACTTCTTTTCTATTTTCGAGCACCAGTTCCACGCCGACGTGAGACGGCCGTCGATGCACGAGCCGGCGTCGAAGAAGTTATCGCTGCCACTGCCGTCGAAACCGTGCCTGAAGAAATCGGCGAGAATGGTTTTTTGACACGCCTCGACGCTACCGAATTGAGTATCGATGTATGCCTTGAGACCCGGGTCTTTGGCTAGGTTCGGAAGCTCTTGGATGACGAGGACGATCGGGTTGAGAATCCGCGAGACTTGACTGTACTTGTCGATGAAGACCAAGGCGTTAGGCACGTTGTGGTCCCCGAGGTGCACGACCGAGCTCCCGACCCATCCGCCACACTTTTGCTGGCACGTCGCCAAGACGCCATACATCGCCTTGCCGACTCGCGGGCAGTGTTGAACTCGGTTCAAGCCTTGGCCGGTATTGGAGAGCGAATAACGATTACCTTCGCATAGTAAATCGCTCTCTGCGAGGTACCAAAGTCTAAACATGTCGTTTAAAACTTCGCGCCAAAGCGTCATCGACTGCGCGCAATACGTGTATTGACGCTGGTGATTGTGACTTAAACGCGCGCCGCCCATGCCCATCGTGATGCCCAAACCGTATCCTTTTTCCGGAGTTGACGGATCAAAGTGCGTCGTCAACATCTCAAGCATTCGATCAACGGGATCGCGATTGAATCGCAAATACGCGTTGTTATCACTGACGGAGTACAAACACTGTAGGACGTCTTCCTTGCTCAGCGAGACCGAGGAGTACTTGCTCGCGATGACTTCTCTCGCGCGTTCTTTCTTCTTGATCATCTTTTGCACCTCGTGACGCGGCAAACCTTCGTGCATGATCTCCGACGTTGCCGTTTCCATGAGGCTATCGGCAAGCAAACTTTCACCCCCGCGCTCCTTCAAAAACGTGTAAACCGTCTTCAAAGGTTTGACGAGCTTGAAATCGAGCAACTCTTGAACGTCTGGACTCTGAGAATCTTGTAACAAGAATACGAGCTTCCCGTATTCGGTTCGCATCTTCTCTGGATTCATAACCTTGTGTCGCCGTCCGATCTCGAACACGTACTGAAAGAACTCTTCGTTATCCTTGAATTCCTTGTCTATGATGAGCTTTTGTCCCGCACGATAGTCCGTGGCGACAACTAGGCCGCACATGATCGCGCAAATCTCCTTCAGCTGTCTCGTGATGCGCTGCGTTTTCGATTTATAAGAAAACACATCAACCACGTCTGTGTACTCGCTCACGTGCAACGCTGCTTCTAACAATCGCAACGCCTTCCTCTCCTCGGGCGTCAATCGCATCGGGATGTACTTGGCGCGTTCCGTGAAATCCGACGTCTTCGGCGCTCCCGTCGCCGTCGCCGTCGCCGTCGTCTCGCCCGCGTCCTCCACCGTCGCGTCATCCATGTCCTCGTCCCGCGTCACCGTTACCACACTCTTCTTCTCCCCCTCCAACTCCGACTCTATCGCGTTCGCCGTCGCCGCGGCGTCGACCTTCGCTTGCTCGAGCGCTCGCGCGGTTCGCGCCAGCCCTTTCGCCACGTCCTCAAACGCGCCGTCTTTTCCCGTCTTTAACCGCTCGCACGCCTCCACGGCAGCCGTGACGCCGTCGGACGAGATGTCATCCAGCTCTTCCGCGCGCGCGCGACAGTACTCGGCGAACTGCGTGCGCGACACGCGCAGTTTCGTCGCGATTTGTTGCAGCGAGCTCAAAAGCGCCTCATCGTTCGACGCCGTCGCGCGCGCGGCACTCGCGTCGTCCGAATCGCTGTCGCCGTCGAGCGCGCGCGTGAGTGCCTTCGCGGTCATCCGCGATGGCGCGCGCGCGCGGTGCGAGGTGGTGTGGCGCGGCGACGCGAGGCGTCGCGGTCGCGACGCGACGGCTGCGGCGCTCGGCGACTTCGCGAAGTCAATGTTACAACAACAAGAGGGAAGAGCTCGTTCGCTCGAGATGGTCTTGAATTCTTGATTTAATGTACACGCGCTCCGTTCGCGCTGACGCTCGGCGTCAGTGCGGCGCGATCGCGAATTGATGGGCGAACGCGAGCGCGTAGGCGACGCCGACGGGCGCGCCGAAAGTCAGAAGCGCGAACCACGCCTGGCACCACATCCGCCATCCGCGATTCCATCGCTCGAGGTGCCACTTTTTCACGAGCTCGTCTCGATTCTTCGGCGAAAACATCACCTTTTCCTCCCACGCGCTCGCTTTGACTTTCGTCTTCTTCCGTCGACGTCGACGCTCGCGCGCCGCGGCGGTTGACTTTTTCAAAGGCGCCCCCGAGCGCTTCGCGTAATCCAACGACGTGCGAATCTCTCCCTCGACGAACGAGAACCCATGACACGTATCCACGATTCCATCGTCGATCATGCTTCTTCGCACGTCATCCGTGAGCACCTCATACGCGGCGTGCGCGCGTCGAAACGCCGTCCCGCTCGCGTCCGCGTCGCCGCTCGAATCCGGATGCGTCGCCTTGGCCATCTTTCGAAACGCAATCTTCAGCTCCGTCGTCGTCGCGTCCCGCGGCACGTTCAGCACGACGTACGGCGACAGCACCTCCGTCGGCGCCGTCGTCGCGCGTCGCGCGTCGTCGCGCGCGCGTCGTTTCTTCGTATCGTTTGAATGTGCTGATGACGTGGCATCGCGTCTCCGGTCACCGAACGCGTCCTCGCGCGACGCGCGCGCGCGCACGCATCGCGCGCGCGCGCCGAGCGCGTGGCTCGCGATCGCGCGCATGCCGCCTCGACGCGCGCGACGCGACGCGACGCGCGACGCGACGCGGCGCGACGTCGGTGCGTCGCGATGTGCTGCGTAACGGTCTCGCTCGCGCCGCGCTTCACATGCGCGCGTGCGCGCGGTTCGCGTGCGCGAGCGCGCGCGGGGGCGCGAGCGAAGGTCGCGCGCGCGCCGCGCCGCGCGGCATGGCGACGTACGTGGACGTCGGGGCGAACTTGACGGATGGGATGTTTCGCGGTGTGTACCGCGGAAAACGCGCGCACGAGGACGATTTGGGCGCCGTGCTGCGACGCGCGCGCGAGGCGGGGGTGAGCGATATCATCGTCACCGCGGGCACGCTCGAGGAAGCGCGCGAGGCGGTGGCGCTGGCGAGGGAAACGCGGGAGGATGGCGCGGCGCCGAGGCTGTACGCGACGTGCGGCGTGCACCCGACGAGGTGCGGCGCGTTCGCGGACGACGTCGACGGCGCGGACGCGCACTTGGAAAAGTTGAAGCGAGTCGCGCTCGACGGTAAGGCGAGCGGGACGATCGTGGCGATCGGGGAGATGGGATTGGATTACGACAGGCTCGAGTTTTGCGACGCGGCGACGCAAAAGGAAATGTTTGAAAAACAGTTTGCCCTCGCCGAGGCGACGTCGTTGCCGCTGTTCTTGCACATGCGCGCCGCGTGCGACGATTTCTTGGAGATTATCGATCGCAACGCGCACAGATTCACCGCGGGAGTCGTGCACTCTTTCACCGGCGGCGCGCGCGAAGCCGCCGCGGTGCTCGCGCGCGAAAATCTCCTCATAGGTCTCAACGGCTGCTCGCTCAAGACCCAAGAAAACCTCGACGTGGTGAAGACGATTCCACTCGATCGAATCGTTCTCGAAACCGACGCCCCGTGGTGCGGGATCAAGCCCACGCACGCCGGTTTCGCCGCCGTCGCGCCGCCGCTCTCGTGGCCGAAACCCGTCAAGAAGGAAAAGTGGTTCGCGGGCGCTCTGATCAAGGACCGTTGCGAGCCAGCGCACATCGTGTGCGTCGCTCAAATCATCGCCTGCGCGCACGGCGTCGGCGTGGACGTCGTCGCCGAAGCGTGCGCGCGCAACGCGCGTCGCGTCTTCTGCATCGATAAATCTCATTACCCGACCGTCGGTTCGTAGTGTGTATATTTAAACCCCGTGTGCGCGAATCAACGACAGCCACGCTCAGCCAGGCTGGAAATATCTGATTTTAATCCGACCGCGCCGCGCGCGCCGCGCCACTTCCGCACGCGCGCGCGACCGACGCGCACGACCCGAGCGAACGCCGCCGTGAGCGGTGATAACACGCGCGTCTTCAAGTACGATGTACGCCGCGCCGCGATGCGCGCTGCGCGCGACGAACGCGACGAAATCGTTCGCGAAGGCTGAAAAGAGATCCGGCGTCGTCGCGCGCGCGTCGACGAGCGACAAGCGCGCGGTGACGACGACGACGACGACGCTGACGGCGTTGACGATGATGACCCACGCCGGGGCGGCGCACGCCGGACAGGTGAGCGATAGACTCGCGGCGGTGTTGGACGCGGCGGATAGCGCGGCGGACGCGGCCACGGCGGTTTTCTCGCAAGCCGCGGATCTCGTCGCGCAAGGCGTTGAACTCGCGCAAGAGGCGGCGCCGGTTGTTTTGCCCGTGGCGGAACGCGCGGTGAAGGCGGTGACGCCGGTCGGTGAGGCGGTCGGCGCGTACGCGGGACGGGCGATCGTTCCGGCGGCGGACGAGGCGCTGAAGCAAGCGTCGAGCGCGAGCGGCCAAGCTCTCTCTTCCGCGGACAGCGCGTTGAAGGCGCAAGGCGTCGATATCGCGCCCGCCGCTAAGGTTTTCGAGGAGGGTGCGCAAATCGTGTTCGACGCCACGGTGCCGATCGCGCAACAAGTCGCGGATTATTTGGCAGACGCCTCTGGAGAGGAGTTGGCGACGACGGCTGGCGAACTCTTTTTGGCCTACCTCCTCGCGCCCGTGGTGTTCAAGTTGGTGGCAGACATCGCGCGCGGTTATCGCGGTGACTTGCGTCCGATCGAAGCGTACGACATGCTTCTTTCCGAGAACGCCGTCATCGTCGATACTCGCGGATCCGAAGTCACCGTTCAGCTTCCGGGAGGCGCCAACAAGCGCGTTCTCGTGTGTGGCATCGAGAAGAGCGGCGCGTTCTCCAACGCCGCCGCCGGAAAGGTCGCGGCACTCAAGATTGCTTCTCTTCGTGGCGTGAGCCGCGGTAAAAAGGTCATCTTGCTCGACCAAAACGGCGGCTCCGCCAAGGCGCTCGCCAAGGCGCTCGCCAAACAGGGCTTCAGCAAGGTTTTCACCGTGCGAGGGGGCTACAACTCGTGGTCTCGCTCTGGTCTCGCGACTACCGACCGATAGACGCATTCTAATTTTCAAGATTCACTTCAAGATTCAACATTACAACAAAAATCGCGAGGGTGTTACCACACTCGCGCGCGCGCGCTTCGAAATGCGCTCGACGGCGCTCGAGCGATGCGCGCGCGACGTCGTCGACGCGAACGCGGCGCTTGAAACGCTCGCGGCGTCGACGTCCGGTCGCGTCGACGCGGTCGACGACGCGCTGGACGCCGTGCGACGATGCGCGAGGAGCCTCGCGCGGTGCTGCGCGAACGACGACGACGACGACGACGACGACGACGCGCGCGAGGCGCGGTATTTGCGACGACGGACGACGGCGCTCGAGCGCGCGCTGCGGGAGTCGCGCGCTCGAGGCGCGACGCTCGAGGCGGAGATTTTGGAGGGGCGGAGCGCGTGGACGCGAGACGCGAAGCGCGAGCTGGAGCGCGCGCTCGAGGCGACGGGGACGCGCGCGGAATCGACGAGGGAGTTGAAGCGGTTGAACGCGATCGTCGACGGGTTGGAGAAGGAGTTGGCGCGCGCGGAGCGCGAGTCGGCGCGATTGCGAAGGGAGAACGCGCTGTTGATTGACGCGACGCGGGCGGCGAGGAAAGAGTTTGAGCGACGCGATCGAGCGCGAGACGGGTCGGGGATGGCGGTGACGACGCCGCGCGTTCGACGCGAGACGCGAGCGGGCGAGGGACCGGTGCCATCGCCGTCGCGATTGCCCGCGTTTCTAGGTTCACCGTTCGGCGGCGTGCGGTCGCCGTCGTAGTCGCCGCGAGGAGTCGTCGGTTACGCGCGCGTAGATTTTGTGAACCACAGCCAAACTTGGATATTACATCGGTCATAGTCGTAAAAGATGCGAGTAAACGGACAATAACTTCGGACGATAACTTACTTACCGTTCTCGGCGGCCCATTTTTGGGCGTTTTGGAACATTTGTAACCAAGGGCCCGGGCCGTACGGGTCGACGCCGGCGTCCGCCGGAGCCCACGGAACTTGCCAACCGATGAAGGCGCGTTCGGGGTGAGGCATCATCGCTAAGTGACGACCATCTTTCGAGCACAAACCGGCGATACCATGCGGCGAACCGTTGGGGTTGAGCGGGTACTGTTCCGTCGGCGATCCGTCGGCGTCGACGTATCGTACAGCGGCTTGGCCGTTCTTCAACACGTCGGGCAGCATGCTCTCATCTGGGAACTTGACTTTGCCTTCACCGTGCGCGCACCAAACGCCCATGCGAGATCCCCCCATGCCCTTCAACATCATCGCTGGTGTGTTTTCGTCGATGCCGACAGTGGTCCATCGAGATTCAAAGCGACCGCTGTCGTTGTGAATGAAACGCGGTTGCCTGGAATCCGGAAGCGCGCCGACGCCGCCGTCGGACGGGATGAAGCCCAAGAGCGCCATGAGCTGGCAACCGTTGCACACACCCAACGAGAACGTGTCCGATCTGTTGTAAAAGTCTTGGAACTGCTGCTTCAGCGACGCGTTGTAACGAATACCGCCCGACCATCCCTTGGCGCTATCGAGGACGTCGGCGTAAGAGAAACCGCCGACGAAGACGACGCCGCGGAAATCGCTCAAGTTGGCGCGACCGCTAAGAAGGTCGCTCATGGTGACATCCCAAGCCTCCATACCGGCGGCGGTGACAGCAGCGGCCATCTCTCGATCGCCGTTAGACCCTTCTTCTCTGATAATGGCAACTTTGGCCTTGTTCGCCGCGTTGAGCACTTCCGGCGGCGTCGGAGTCGGCGTGTACGTCAGCTTCCACGTCGGCGCCTTGCGCGATTTCAGGCCTTCCTTCTCGATAGCCACTGTGGCGTTGGAGGATTGAAGCTTTTCAAACTCAAAACTCATTTCCTCCCACTTATCGCGAAGAGACGCTGTGGAATCGCTGACGCACTGCGCGCCGCCAGCGGATACCGTGCACTTGCCGTCGTTAGTAGTTTGCCCAATCGCACGAGCGGTGACTCCCGCGGAGGCGTACGTCGCCATGACTTCGGAAATGTTTTCAGGCGAGACTTCGAGAATAATGGCGAGTTCTTCGGCGAAACACGCAGAAATAGCGTCACTTCCGGGAAGCGTCACATTCACACCCGCGGTGGTGGACGGGAAAGCCATCTCGAGCACGGCGGTGATGAAGCCGCCGTCGGAGACGTCGTGACCAGCGCTAATCTTTCGCCCGTCGACGAGCTTTTGCGTCGCGCTCCACGCCGCCTTGAAATAGGCGGTGTCATCTAAGTCGGGGCTTTCGTCACCAACCTGGGCGTACGCTTGCGCGAGTGCAGAACCTCCGATGCGTCGCTTGCCATCCTTGCTACCAAATTCGACGAGAATGAGCTTGCCCGTGCCCGGAAGCTTCAAATCCGGCGTCACCGTCTTGGTGATATCCGGGACGCCGACGTAGCCAGACATGACGAGCGTGCCGGGCGTCTTGACGACCTCACCACCAGCCTTGGCGGCCATAGACAAGGAATCTTTACCACCATCGATAGCCACGCCAAGCTTCTTCATAGTTTCGCAAAGCGCTTCGCACGCGTCGTACATGTGCGCGCCGTCGCCTCCGAGCTTGGCGGCGTACATCCAGTTGCCGGAATATTTGACATAGTCCATGCCTTGTGTATTCGCGAAGACCATGTTGGTGAGCGACTCACCGAGCGAGACACGGGCCATCGACCGCGGGTCAACCAAGCCCTTGAGCGGGGCTTCGCCGATGGACGTGGCGCCGCCCGTTATGCCAAAGTGCGTCTGGGAGATGACACCGACGTCGGAGAGTGGGATTTGCAGAGGACCGACGCATTGCTGCTGCGCAATCAAACCAGTGACTGAACGATCGACCTTCGTGGTCAAGAAACGTTTTGAGCACACGGACGGAAGTAAGAGTACGCGGTCGAGGGCGGAACCGACGGTTTCGCCCGCCGGCATGACGAACTTCGAGCTGAGCGGCGCGTCGCGCTTGAGATCGTACTTCTTCTTCGGAACATCACCCAGTACGGCCTCGAGATCGAGATCTTCCGGAGTCGGCGTACCCGGCGGGGCATCCGGATCGCGCACGGTGACGCGTCCGCTACCGTTGATGCTACCGAGCACAGAGAACGGGCAGCGTTCTCGGGCGCAAATTTTCTCAATAATAGGGAGGGATTCGGGTTTGATCAGCATCGCAGAGTTCTCTTGATATTCGGCGCCCCAAATCTCGAGCACGCTCATCGTGTTATCACCAAGCTTGACCTCGCGAATATTGATTTCCCCACCCTTCGGGTAGATGAGTTCCTTGACGACGTTGCAGTTACCGCCTGCGCCTTGGTCGTGGATGCTCAAAATCGGATTCTCCCCCATGAGTTCGACGCACGCCTTCACGACGCGGTTGAGTTTGTTGGACATTTCTGCATCACCGCGTTGAACGGCATTGAAGTCAAGACTCGCGTTGGCTTCATCTTCGCCACCAGCCTTGGACGATGCGGCTCCGCCACCCATGCCGATTCGGTACGCGGGACCGCCGATTTTCACGACGAGCATACCAATGTCGCCCTCTTGCTTTTCCAAGTTCGTGTGATCGATTTGACCGAAACCGGCGGAGAACATGATCGGCTTGATGTATTCACGACGCTCACCGTTCGGCATGCGTTGACCGAAAGTACGGCAGAAGCCCAAAATCACCGGCTCGCCGAACTTGTTCCCGTAATCGGAGGCGCCGTTGGAGGCGTCGATGAGAATTTGCAACGGGGACGCCAAGTTGGACGGGTAGACCGCCGTGGTGTCTTCGTGAGGAAGGATCTTACCGTCCAAGCGCAAGTTACCCGTCATGTAACCGGCAGTACCGGCGACGAGAGTGGAACCGCAGCCCGTGGCGTGCGTGTCGCGAATGCGCCCACCGGTGCCCGTTTCCGCGCCCGGATACGGCGCAACGCCCGAGGGAAAGTTGTGCGTCTCCGCGGTGAGAAGAAGATCGAGATCGGTCTCCTTCTTCACCATTGCCGACGGCCCTCCGGCGTTGGCCGGTCGCAGCGGCGTGTTGACGAAACCGCGAATGGCGGACGAGTTGTCCTTGAACTGGATCACGCTGTTGTGCGCGCGATCGCCCTCGATGGTTTCCTTCACCATCTTGAACAACGTCTTGTCGATCTTTTGCCCGTCAACGGTGAGCTCGCCGGAGAAGAACCAGTGACGGGAGTGTTCAGAGTTACTCTGCGCCATGTCGAAGAGCTCGACGTTCGTCGGGTCTCGACCGATTTCGTCGCAGAACAAACGCATGTAAAAGTCGAAATCTTGGTCATCAAACGCCAAACCCATCTCTTTGTCAACCCTTTCGAGCGCCGCGCGTCCTTCCGTGGTGATCGGCACCGTGTACACTTGCTCAGGCGTGACGTTGGATTCAAACGTCTTCAAAGGTTCGTCGTACACGCACTCCGTCATGCGATCGTGCACCATAGCCGAGAACACTCGCACAGCCTCTTCGTCCACGCTCGCCCCGTTCGCCGCAAACAACTTAAACCTCCGACTCCGTTCCAACCTCGTCACGTTCTCCAACCCGCACGATCGACACACCGACACCGCGTTCGTCGACCACGCGCTCTGAAACGCCAACCTCGGTCCCACCTCCACCACCGGCGATCCACTCTCGCCCACCAGCGCGCTCGTCGCCCCGAACAGCTCCGGTTCGTACGTCTCCCTCAGCAACCACGTCAGCGTCTCCTTCGCCGCGTCGCTCAGCCCTCCCTCGCACTCCACGTTGAAGCACTGCTCCGTCTCCGCGCGCGCCACCGCGTCTCGCCCCAGCCTCGCGTTCACCTTCCTCACCAGCGTCTCGCACGCCTCGTCCGACACGAACGGTCGCCTAAAAAAGTGTTCCACGACTTTGCTCGCCGTCGCGTGCCCCGTCGCGCGTCCCGTCGTCTCCCTCGCGCGTCGCGAGACGATCGCGCGTCGCCGCGCGCCCATCGGCGCCGCCGTCCATCGTCGCGCGCGCGTCGTCTTCGCGCCGCGCGTCGTCGCGCGTCCCGTCGCGCGCGTCGACGCGACCGCTCGCGGCGTCATCGCGCGGCGCGTCGTCGCGCGTCCCGTCGCTCGCGCGTCGCTCGCGCGCGCGTGTGGCGACGCGCGCGTCGTCGTCGCGGTGGTTTTTGAATTTCGTATGGGCGTCAGTGCGCGGTCGATTATACCGACCGCCGTCGCCGCGTCGGCGTCGCGTCGCGTCGTCAGCGCGCGTCGCGAGCGGCGACGCGCGAGGCGACGACGTCGGCCATGCACGCGCTGCGACACGCGGTGCACGGCGCGTACAAGACGACGATGGAGGCGGTGACGCCGATTCGGTCGTCGAGCGCGTTCGCGAGCGAGGGCGTGCTGACGCCCGAGGAGTTCGTCGCCGCGGGGGACGCGCTGACGCGCGCGTGCCCGACGTGGACGTGGACGACGGGACAGGGCGCGCGCGCGAGGACGTACCTGCCGCGGGAGAAGCAGTACCTGACGACGCGACGCGTGCCGTGCGCGCGAAGAGCGCGAGACGTCGAGGCGTACGCGGGCGCGGAGGAGGCGCTGACGGGCGAGGACGAGGGATGGATCGCGACGGGGGCGGGCGGGAGGAGCGATGGCGCGACGATGGAGGCGATCCCGGATTTGGGGGCGATGACGCTCGAGGCGGACGCGGAGGACGACGCGGAGGACGAATACGAAGACGAAGACGACGACGCGGTGGTCTTACCGACGGCGACGGCGATCGCGAAAGAGGCGGCGGGGGCGAACGGGGAGAGGGACGATGAAAATATCGTCAAGACGCGAACGTACGACGTGTCGATCACGTACGATAAATACTATCAAACGCCGCGCGTGTGGTTGAACGGATACGACGAAAACAGACTGGTGTTGAAACCTTCGAAAACGTTGGAAGACATCAGCGCCGATCACGCGCAAAAGACGGTGACGATCGATCCGCATCCGCACACCGGCGTGCCGTCGGCGTCGATTCATCCGTGCAAGCACGCGAGCGTGATGAAAAAGCTCGTGAATTCCGCGCGGGCGCAAAGCGGCGAAGCGCCGAGCGTCGATTCCTACATGTTCGTCTTTCTCAAATTCATCGCGTCCGTCGTTCCGACGATCGAGTACGATTACACTCTGTAACACTCGGATTGTACTCTGTAAACTACGCATTTCCAGCACACTTCACGACGCCGCGCGTCGCCCGCGCGCCGCCGAGATCGCCACCGCCGACGACGCCGCCGACGACGCGCCGCCGACCGCACACGCGCCCTCGCGCCATGCCGCTCGAATCCTTCGAAGGCGATTCGTCGTTCGACATTCGCGTGGAGGGACAGTTTCACTACGTGTGCTCGTACGCATAGCGGTCGACTACGGTCTAGCGTCTAGCGATGTCTACAGAGCTAACTAAGATCTAGAGCTAAAGGGCGTTCGCTTCTTCGGTCGATTCGCTCTCGAGTAATACGTACGCGACGGCGTTCGCGCGATCGCTCCTGAGCTTGAGTGCGGTGAAAAACACGCCCAGGCACAAGTTTATTAAACCGACGCCGAGGAACAGACCGCCGCCGCCGAAGGCGTCGTACGCCATGCCGCCGAGCACGGCGCCGCTGAAGCCTCCGGCGGAGTTGACGGCGCTGAAAAGCCCAGTCATGGACGCGCTCAACCCGAACGGACTTATGTCTTGGATGAAATCATTCGCCGTGCTCCAGTACAACCCAAACGTGACGCCGTGTAAAAATTGCACCGGCAAAACGGCCCAGGGATTGCCGAACGCGGGTAAAAGCCAGTAGTAAAACTGTCTGATGAAGTAACAAAACGGCACGAGGGCCAGGCACCAATCCAGCGTGAGCGCCTTCTTGATCTTGGCGCCGTTGTAAAAGACGGCGACTTCGCACACGCACGTACAAAAGAGCGCCGCGCCCATCGTCGCGGGAGTGCCTCCTAAATCTTCCAGCCATAAAAACAAATACAAATCCGTGATCGTCATCGACGCGCCCGACATGAGAAACAAAAAGAATCGCAGCGCCACCGCGGGGTCTCGCACGACGCGCCACAACCGCACGGCGATTGAATCTTGCGACGCGTGCAAGTCGTTCGCCGACGCGATTCTTCGCGACATCTTCGTCCCGACGACTTCATCCGCGGCGACCTCACCCATCTCGTGCTCATTTTTCGCCGCGTCCGCGTTTTCGCTCACCACGGGATCGTGTCTCAACCTCGTCGAGATCATCGCGGAGACGAGCAAAAAAATCAACCATCCCGAGAACGGCGCGCGCGCTCTCGCCCTCGGCCCGCCGACGCTCATGATGACGCCCATCGTCGGCGCGGCGACTAATCCCCAGCTCACCGCCCCCCAGAGCCGCTGTTTCCCGTACGACGCCCCTCCCGCGTCGTCCTCTCCGACGCCTCGCTCGAGATTCCATCGCTTCACCATCAAGCACGTCGCGTTATCGCCCAGCGACCCGACGCAGCACGCCGCGCTCTCCGCCAACACGACGCGCCACCATATCCCCGGCCACGCGTGGTTCGCGCGCGCCAGCGCGAAGTACGCCAGCGCCTGCGCGACGATGCACGCGAAGTGCACCGCGTTGTGCGCCTTCGTCGCGTCCGCGAGCGCGTTCCAGCACGGCGTCAAGACGGCGCCGACGCAGTGCCGCGTCGCGCCCATCCATCCGACGCGCGACTTGCTGAGCCCCCACGACGCGTAAAACAGCGGCAAGAACGGCAGCAAACACGCGAGGCCGAAGCTGTTGCAGAAGTAATACGCCTTGCACCACGACAGGGTCGACGTCGCGACGCGCGGCGACATTTCGCGACGCTTTGTGTCGCATCATGGGACGCCGCGGACGACTCGTCGCGCTCGTCGCGCTCGTCGCGCTCGCGCGATGGCGCGGCGCGGCGGCGACGTCGTGCGTCGCGGACGGCTCGACGAACCACGCGCAGATGGCGCCGCAGGCGACGTGGGAGTGCTGCGCCGACGACGTCGAAAAGATCGAGTACGAAGCGCGTGTGCCGAGCGGGTTCGACGACCCCGTGCGGTGGGTCGCGCGCGACGATCCGTCGGGCGTCGAGCACGCGTCGACGGCGTGCGACGTGACGCAGGCGGTGGGGGGCGGGATGGCGTGCGCGGGCGCGGCGTGCGATGGGAGCGATCCCGAGAAGTGCGACGGGGAGAAGCGGTTTTCGGAGCGGGGACGCCGGTGTTTGCGAGGAAAGTGCACGATGCCGATCGGTGGAATCGGGAGTAATGCGATGTGTAATTCGAACGTGAAGGTGACGTTTGAACGAGGTGGGGGGTCTGGGAAGGAGGACGCGGCTGAAGAAGTCGCGATGCCGATCGGGCTCTCGGTGGCGTTCGGCGCGTGCGCGATGTTTTGTCGGGTGTTCGCGATCGCGAGGGCTTCGAAGGTTTCCATGCGCCATGCGATGTTTGTTAATCCGTTTCAGCGACAGGCGACGATTCAGCGTCAGTTGACGATGCGACAGCAACAACGAGGTGAGGTGTGCCAAGAAAATCCGCCGGCGTCTCGGGCGCCTCTGGCGATGCAGCCGACGGCGCCGTCGCAAATTCACGTTCCAGGGCGCGGCGGGCAGCGCGATACGGTCATCATGTTTCAGCAATCGGCGCCCGCGGTCCAGGCGTCTGCGGCGCAGTCGCATTACGCGACTCCGGCCAATCAGTACTATCCTGATATTTGATTGAAATCGCGCCGACGGAGCGTGCGTGTTGTTATATTCTTGTTATTTCCTCGACGAAAGACTCTCTAATGTAAGTTCTGTTGTTTATCCAAGCCGCTCGCGAAGGTCGCGATCCTGTTCCATCGGCGCTTCGCCGCCCATATCCGCGTCGACGTCACCGCCACGTTCGCGCGCTCTCGCTTGGACGTTCTCAATCGCCTCGCTCACCAGCCGTTTCGCGAGTTCGACCATCTCCGGCGCGCCGCGAACGAGGACGGTTTCAGAATTTCGATCAACTTGGAACAAGCAGCGGGGCAACTGTGACTTGATGCGCTTCACCGTGTTTCCCTGTTTGCCCACGACGGCGCCTACGTTGCCGGTGATGGAGATGGTCTCTTCCACGTCGTCGCGTTCGCGAGTCGCGTTTCGAGCGTCTCGCACCGCGTTCGTCAACTCAATCACCTCGCGAATCAACGCCAGACCTCGCCCGACGTTCGCGGCCGGTCCCTTGAAAGTCACGGTCTCGTCTTCCTTGTTGATCGTCATGGGGATGTCCACGATGCGTTGAATCTCAGAGTGCATGCGACCTTGCTTACCGATGATGAGCCCGACGTAGTTGGTGATGCTCGCCGTTTCCTCGACGTTACCTTGTTCGTCCGCGTTTGATTCGTCGACGAAGTCTGGCGGAAACTCCTTCGAAACCCCGAGTTCAACCGCGGATGAACGAAGGTAGTCTAAAAGTGAATCATTTTGCGCCCCCCTAGGGCGTTTATTGTCGTCGCCGAACCTGTCGTCGTCGCGACGACGCTTTTCACCAGGACGATCTCGCGAGCCGCCACTCTTCGCTTCGAGCAAATCGATTATTTTGTCCGTCGCGCGGCGCACGGCCTCGGGCGAGCCGTAAATTTCCACGGTGGTCTTATCTTTCAAGCACTTTACTCTCGCCCCTGTCTCGTCCTCGATGCGTTTCACGTTCGAACCTTGAGGCCCGACGACGAGACCGTTATTGCCTCTCGTGTTCATGACGTACCCCGGCTCGTCATCTCGCGGCGGCGGTGGTCCACGGGAATCGTAACGGTCATCACGTCTATCGCGGTCGCGGTCGTCGTAGCGCCCCGGCGGAGGCCCGCGCGATGGCGACCGTCGATAGTATCCGTCGTCGCGCCTGTCGCGGTCGTCGTAATACCCCGAACGCGGCGGACCTCTCGAGTCGTACCGATCGCGATCGTCGTAGTACCCCGAACGCGGAGGCCCGTAGTCATCGTGTCGCCGCGGCACGCCGCCGCGACCCCACGAATCCTCGCGCCTATCGCGATCGTCGTAATATCCCGACGGCGGCGGACCTCTCGGCGGCGGCGGTCCCCACGAGTCTCTCGGCGGCCCGCGCCTGTCGTCGCCCCATCCATCCCGCGCCGGCGGCGGCGGCGCGCCTCGATCCCCGGGCGGCGGTCCCCATCGATCCCCGCGTCCATCTCTCGGCGGCGGTCCGCGACCGTACCGTCCGTCTCTCGCCGGCGGCGGTCCTCGCGAGTCGTCCCGACGCGCCCCGTCGTCTCCTCCCCTTCCGCGTCCTCCCCCGCCGCGTCCTCCCCCGTGTCGCCCATCGCCTCGTACACCCGTCCTCGCGTCTCGCCGCGATTCATCGCGTCTCGCGCCGTCGTCTCGCGTCGTCTCCCGTCTCGCGTTCGCGTTCGCGTTCGCGTTCGCCTTCTCGCTCGCCTTCTCCTCCTCCGCCGACGGCGCCCACGCGTCGGCCTCGGGACTCGGATCGCGGATCGGCGAGTCCATCTTCAACAAATCTTCCGCCGCGTTGGACATCGCGAGCGCTCGGCGCGCGCGCGGCGGCGTCGAATCGATCGGTCGTCGCGTCCGTCAGATCGCCGACGACGTCGACTTTACGCGCGCGCGACGGCGCGCGCGCGACGGTGCGCGCGCGCGGCTCGCGGGCGTCGCGACGGTGGTTCGTCGCGCGTCGGACGGGCGCGTCGGCGGTCGCGCGCGACGATGAATGGCGCGGCGCGCGATGGGGCGTGGGGCGATCGGTGGTCGGCGCGACTGGAGGTTGACTGGACGGGGCGGCGACGACGGCGCGGCGAATCGATCCGAGCGGCGTGGAACGCGGAGGGAAGACGATTACAGCGAAAAGAATGACAGTGAAAATATTAATGATGGAATGTGGCGTCGAGCGTGGCGTCGAGTCGCGGCGCGGCGTCGACGACCCGAGCGTTTAATCCGCGGCGCCGTCGACGCTCAAGACGGCTAAAAACGCGTCTTGAGGAACTTCCACCTTGCCGAATTGCTTCATGCGCTTTTTACCCGCGGCTTGCTTTTTGAGCAGCTTTTTCTTGCGCGAGATGTCGCCGCCGTAACACTTGGCGGTGACGTCCTTGCGCATCGCGGAGATGGAAGTGGCGGCGATGACTTTGTTGCCGATGGCGGCTTGAATCGGAATGCGAAACATTTGGCGGGGAATGAGCTCTTTGAGCTTGTCGACGAGCTGACGTCCGATGCTGTATGCCCTGTCGCGGTGCGTGATCACCGCTAACGGATCGGCCGGCTCTTGATTGATCAAGACGTCCAAGCGCACGAGATCGCTCTGGCGGTACCCCGTGATGGCGTACTCCATCGAGGCGTACCCGCGAGAACGCGACTTCATGTCGTCGAAGTAATTCGTGACGACCTCGGCCAAAGGTATGTCGTACTTGATTGAGGTACGCGTCTCGGAAAGGTACGTCATGTCGATGAACTCTCCACGCCGTTGGCTCGCAAGTTCCATGAGCGTGCCCACGTAATCCGAAGGGGCGATCATGTCCAATCTGCAGTACGGTTCCTCGATTCGTTCGCGAAGCTCTGGCGGGCACAAGTCCGCCGGATTGGATATCGAATCCATCGTTCCATCTGTTCTATACACGTTGTAAACCACCGAAGGTGCGGTGGTGATCAAATCTAAATCATACTCGCGCTCGAGTCGTTCTTGGATGATTTCCATGTGAAGCAACCCGAGGAAACCGCAGCGAAAGCCCGTGCCCATGGCGCTGTTTTGCTCGGGTTCAAACGACAGCGAGCAGTCGTTGATTTGCAGCCGTTGGAGAGATTCGCGCAAGTCATCGTATCGATCGGTATCGGTGGGGAAGATTCCCGCGAACACCATCGGCACCGACTTTGAGTAACCCGGCAGCGCCTCGGCGGCGGGATTCTTTGAGAGCGTGATCGTGTCCCCGACGCGCGCATCCGCGACTGACTTGATGCCACCGATGATGTAGCCGACCTCACCAGGGCCGAGCTCTTTCACCGGCACCTTGTCTGGACGCATGATGCCGATCTCATCCGCAGCGAAAGTCGCGCCCGTGGCCATCATCTTCATCGCGTCCCCCGTCTTCATCGTCCCGTCCATGACTCGGAACACGGCGACGACACCGCGATAGGGATCGAAATACGAATCGAAGATTAACGCCCGAAGCGGTTCGTTCGCGGTGTCGCGAGGCGGTGGCACCACCTGCACGATGCGTTCCAAGATGTCGTCCATCCCGATGTTTGCCTTCGCGCTCGCCAAAATCGCGTCGCTCGCGTCCAACCCCAACACGTCCTCGATCTCCTGTTTCACCCGATCCGGTTCGCTCCCCGCCAAATCAATCTTATTCAGCACCGTGAAAATCTCCAAATCATTCTCCAGCGCCAAGTACACGTTCGCCACCGTCTGCGCCTCCACGCCCTGGCTCGAGTCCACCACGAGCAACGCCCCCTCGCACGCCGCCAACGATCTCGACACCTCGTACGAAAAATCCACGTGTCCCGGCGTATCGATCAAATTCAGCACGTACAGCTCCCCGTCGCTCGCCACGTAATCCATCCGCGCGCTGTTCAGCTTGATCGTGATCCCCCGCTCGCGCTCCAAGTCCATGCTATCCAAAACCTGCTTCACCATGTCCCGCTCCTTCACCGTCTTCGTCCGCATCAGCAGCGTGTCCGCCAGCGTGGACTTCCCGTGATCGATGTGCGCGATGATGCTAAAGTTTCGTATGCGACTCGGCGGCACCTGGCGCACCTGACCGGGCGTCGGCGGCGCGACTTCGTTTTTGGGCGGCGCCTTGGGCGGCGTCGCGCTGGGCGTCACGCGCGACGCCCGGCGCGCGCGCGCGCGCCTCGAGACGCGCGCGGTGGGCGAGGTGGGCGCGCGCGAGACGCACGGCGCGCGCGCGGCGCGCGGCGACGCCGTGCGCGACGCCATGCGCGTCGATTTCTGCGGTTAGACGCGTCGACGTATGGGTAAACAGTGAGAGCGAGTGGCGACCCGAACGTTCGGTGCCGCGACGCGCGGCGTCCGAGCGTCACACGACGCCGCGCGAACGCCCGCGCGCGCGCGCGACGCGAGAGCGATGCGCGCGAGTGTCGTCGGCGCGAACGCGCCGCGCGCGCGCGCGACGCCCGCGCGCGCGCGATGCGCGAGGGAGAATCGCGCGCGCGAACGACCGCGGGCTGGATTCGCGCGCGCGCGAATCGGCGATGGACGGCGCGACGTGCGCGCGCGCAGCGAGTTCGAGGAGCGCAAAGGACGCGGGAAGGGATTCGTCGGTGGATTGCTCGTCGGTGGCGCGGTGTTCGGCGCGCTGGGGTTCTTGTTCGCGCCGCAACTGAGCAAGACGCTGCTGGGGGGGAAGCGCGCGCTGAACAAGGCGCTGGACGACGAGAGCGAGGACGAGCTGGAGGTGACGAGACAGAATTTGAACGATAAGATCGCGGCGTTGAACGCGGCGATCGATAATTTCAGCGATCAAGCGGAGAGTGGGGTGGAGAAGAACGTGAAGAAGTTGAACGAGGAGTTGAACGGGTTGGCGGAGACCGGCGCGGGCTCCAAGCCGAAAACGAGCGAGGCGTAGGCTTTGCTCTCAGCGCGCGCGCGACATCGGTCGGTCGAACACCGTCGGTTGATTGGTGACTAACTGATGTTTTGATTAAAAATAACGCGCTGTGTATACCATCATCGCCGCTACTGTCGTTTCTTCGTCGCCGCGTTGACTCTTCGTTGCGCCGCCGCGCGCGTATCGCGCGTCTCCGCCGGCGCGCACAAAAACGCAAAAACGTAGCTACTAAACATAATCTTCAACCAGTGTCGCTGGAAGAACGTCATTTGCGTCGGTATTTCTTTGGCGCCGTCACTTTTCCCGTCGCCGCCTTCGCGCGCCTTTCGTCGCTGTTCCGCCTCGCGTTTACTTCGATCCGTCGCCGGCGAGCCGTGGCCGCGCACGTCCGTCGGCGCGTCCGGATTTAGCCCTGGCGCATCTTTCCCCACGCGCACGTACACCGTCGTCCTAAACTTCGAACCCGCGCTCGCGCGTTTCGTCGTCGCCGCCTCGTCGCGCGCGTCGCATTCCCCGTTCGCCGCCGCGTATTCAATCCCGTACGCGTTCCCTCGATCGTCCGCGTGCACCGTCAGCGCGTCCGCCAAATTTGCCGCCAACACGCACCGCGCCGGTAGGGACGCCATGACGTACGATCCAGGTCTACCGCTCGCGAAGTTGCTCGGCGCTCGTATCCTGTACGCGCCGCCGCTCGCCGCCAGCGCGTTCAGCGCCGCCGCCGCGCTCGCGTCGAGCGGTTCCCGCGTCGCCTTCGGCGCGCTCAGCCTAAAGTTCCTCGCGTCGTTCCGATCGACCGCGAGCTTGCCCGTGACGACGCCCGCGTGGACGAACGCGACGCCGTCGAGGGAGTGTTCGAGCGGGAAAGAGATCTCTTCGCCGCCGCGTCGTCGCGCATCGGCGGTGAACGAAACGTCGGAGGCGCGCGCGAGGTTGAGCGCGCACGCGAGCGCGCACGCGAGCGCGGCGAGGACGTGCGCGCGCGCGCGAGGACGCGTCGGCATGTCGGCGTGTGCGGCGCGTCACGCGAGTGGTATCACAACGCGCGTGAATCGAGTGGTATCACAACGCGCGGAGACGAGACGAATCGACGCTCAAGGCGTGTAGGGGCGATACGTCGGGTCGAACATCCACGATTTCGCCAAGCGAAGCCAGTCCATGGGCTTGCCCGGGAGCGCGGACAAACCGCTCGCGAACGCCTTACCGGCGACGCGCGCGGCGACGCGCGCGGAGACGTCGGGAATGTGGCGCTTTCGCGGGAACACGGCGCCGCGAGCGATATCGCCCGGAGTGGCGCTGTTGGCCACGACTTCGGCGGCTTCCATGAGTAAAGAGTCTCGCACGCGCGTGCCTTCGGCGATGGTCAAGCCGAGTCCCAATCCCGGAAAGACGTATTCGGTGCTGCATTCGGACGGCGCGATTTCTCTACCCGCGTACTCGAACGGCGTCGACTTGCACCCGCCGACGAAGATGCACTTCCCGTTCGTCGCCTCGTACGCTTCCTTGGCCGTGCACTCGCGCAGCGCGCTCGGTCGCGAAAGCGCCATGATGAGCGGTTTCTCGCTATGTTTCGCCATCGCGCGCAACACGTCCTCGGTGAAGAGCTTTTCATCCTTCAGCACTGAGCCTTCGAAGAAGGAAAATCGGTGTCGACGGACGCCAATCAACGCCGTCGGTTTGATGAGCTCGACGGATTCGCGCACGGACGCCGCACCTTCCATGTCGTGCGCGTAGGGTAGTTTGTGAATTTCCAAATCGTCCTCGCGTTGCGCCCGATCGCGCGTCACCAAACCTTTTCTATCTATGAAATAAATGTTCTCTCGCGCCTCGGGCAACGATATGCCGTGTTGTTGCGAAATATACGTCGCCAATAAATCTGCGGTGTGTGCACCGGTCTCCCCGGCGCCGGCGAAAAGAAACCGCTGCTCTCTCAATGATCCGCCCATTTGCGGCAGCGCCGAGATAATCGCCGCCAACGTCGTCGCAGCGATGCCCTGCAAATCATCGCAATACGCGACAGAATTGCTGTTGTATCGATCAAGCAATCGCTTTGCGTTCTTGTTGGAAAATTCTTCGAAGCATAGCAACACGCGCGGGCCGAAACGCCGCTTCAACCCGTAGACGACTTCGTCGAGCAAGTCGTCGTATTCCTCGCCGCCGGTTCGCTTTTGCCTCAGACCGATGTAAAACTTATCCTCGAGCAACGCCTGGTTGTCCGTACCCACATCGATACAAATTGGCAACACGTCCGCCGGGTCGAGGCCGCCGAGCGCGGTGAATAACGTCGACTTGCCCACCGCCGTGCCCATGCCTTGGACGCCCAAATCGCCGAGTCCCGTGACGCGTTGCCCGTCCGTGAGCACGATCGCCTTGACGTCGCGCACGGGCCAATTTTTCAACAGCCTATACACGGACCCGCGGTCTTTGATGGAGATGTACAACCCGCGCGGTCGTCTGTACATCAAACCAAACTCGGCGCACACTTGCCAAACCGTCGGCGCCGATAAAATCGGCAACAACTCCTCCAAATGGTCCTTCACCACGCGATAAAACAGCCGCTCGTTTCGTTCGTACAGCGACGCGAGCCACGCATGTTTTTCGACGTCGTTCGTCACCCGACGCAAGCGCTCGATCACGCGCTCGACCTGCACGCTCTGATCGAACACCGCCGGCGGCAACAACCCGCGCAAGTTCAACCTATCGCGTTCGTCCCGCGTGAAGCTCATCCCTTTGTTATACTTCCCCGACCGCAGCAGTTCCACCCCAGACACCACCTGTCGCGTCCACGGCACCATCGGACGTCGCGTCGCCGACTCACCGCGCGCGTCCTCGAGCTCGACCTCGTCCCGCTCGCCGCGCGCCGTCGCGCGAAACGCCCGCGTCGTCCCTCGCGCGTCCTCGCGTCCCGCCTCGCCCGCGCCTCGCGTCACCGTCATCGCGCCGCACATCGCGCGACTTCGCACCGCGCGCGCCACCGCCCGCGCGACGCCGTCGCGTCGCGTCGCCATCGCCGTCGCGTCGCGCGTCGCCGCGCCGCGACGCGTTTTCGGTAAAAATCGCGCCGCGCCGCGTCCGTCGACCGCGCGCCCGCGCGCGTCCGGTCGCGACGGGACGTCGCGATCGTCCCGCGGGCGCGCGCGTCGCGGTCGCGTCGCGGTGCGCGGTCGACGGCGCGCGCGGGCGACGCGGCGGGCGACGCCGCACACGCGGGTGTGCCGACCCACGCCGATCGACGGGTCGTGACTCAACACTCACTCTTTTTGTATGGGTAAACAGTCACGAGCCGTCCTCGACGCAACGCCGTTCGTTGGCCCGTGCCCTCGCGCGCGTCGGCCGCACACGCGACCGCGCGCGCGCGCGCGACCGCGAACGGCGCGCGCGAGAGAGAGCGCGTCGACTCGAGCGCCCGCGCGGCGCGCGCGCGACCCGGACGCGCGCGCGTCTCGAGACGCGTCGTAATTTTATTCTCGCGCGAGGCGCGTCGATCGGCGCGCGCGACGCGCGAACGCGAACGCGCGCGACCGCGCGACGACGCGTGACGCGAGCGACGGTCGCGCGCGACGCGAGCGCGACGCGAGCGCGCGCTCGGACGGACGCGCGACGGAGGCGCGATGGAGGGCGGGGAGGACAGCGGGACGCACGCGAGCGGGGGGGCGTCGCGAGGGCAAGCGGAGATTTACCTGCCGAACTATCGCATCGGGAAGACGCTCGGGATCGGGTCGTTCGGGAAGGTGAAAGTGGCGGAACACGTGCTGACGGGACACAAGGTGGCGATCAAGATTTTGAATCGGAAGAAGATCAAGGCGATCGACATGGAGGAAAAGGTGCGACGGGAGATTAAGATTTTGCGGCTGTTCATGCATCCGCACATCATTCGGTTGTACGAGATATTGGAGACGCCGCACGACATCTTTTTGGTGATGGAGTACGTGAAGTCGGGCGAGTTGTTCGATTACATCGTGGAGAAGGGACGATTGGGGGAAAACGAGGCGAGGCATTTCTTTCAACAAATCATATCGGGGGTGGAGTATTGCCATCGGAATATGGTCGTGCATCGCGACTTGAAGCCGGAAAACTTGTTGCTGGATTCGCGGAATAACGTCAAGATTGCGGATTTCGGGTTGTCGAACGTCATGCGGGACGGTCACTTTTTGAAGACGTCGTGCGGGAGTCCCAACTACGCCGCGCCAGAGGTGATTAGCGGCAAGCTGTACAGCGGCCCCGAGGTGGACGTGTGGAGTTGCGGGGTGATTTTGTACGCGCTTCTGTGTGGATCGTTGCCTTTCGACGATGAAAGCATCCCAAACTTGTTTAAAAAGATCAAGGGTGGGGTATATAGCTTACCAAGCCATCTGAGCCCGGGGGCGCGAGACTTAATATCGCGCATGCTCTTCGTAGACCCGCTCAAGCGAATCACCATGGCGGAGATTCGTCACCATCAGTGGTTCGTCGTGCATCTACCGCGCTATCTCGTGGTACCGCCGCAAACGCAGATATCGCAAACATCCAATCTCGATGGGGAGACTTTGGATATGGTGATCAACTTAGGCTTTGAGCGCGAACCGTTGATTGACGCTCTAAGGCATCAAATCCGTAACAAGGCGACGGTGACGTATTACTTGCTACTGGACAATAGGCGAAACATATACGGTGGGTACTTAGGCGCCGAATACGACGATGCAGAGATCATGGCGGAACACAACAACATGCGACACGGCGTCGCGTCTGCACTAGGCGTGCGACGACCGAGTCAAGTGCACGCGCACATGATGCAACAGCGTCTCGTCGCCGAGCAGCGTTGGATGCTTGGAACGGCTTCAAAGATGGGCGCACTAGACGTTTTCAACGAGTTGATTCGCGTATTACGCGTGATGGACGTGTCTTGGAAGAAGAACGGACCGTATAACATGAAGTGCATGTGCGTTCTCCACTGCCACGGCGACGCTATGGACAACGACATGGCGGACGGTGACGTCGCGGCGGGCGATCAAGACGCGATGGACGAAGACCTCGGCGTCACGACACCACCAATGAGCGAAGACGGTCGCTCAACCATGCGCCCAGGTCGACAGCGTGAGCCTACGGTGTTGAAGTTTGAACTCCAAGTGTACAAGATGCCAAACGATAGGCTAATGGTGGATTTCCAGCGCGTGGATGGAGGTGTGATGATTTCGCTCGATATCGCCGCAAAGCTCATGAAATTGCTCGAATTGCATTAGTGCGTGTAAAAGATCAACAATGTCAGTAGATTTCTCGTCCCATCTCTCATTTCATGGTATTACATTATTCCGAATCTTCGGCGCACGCGATCGCCGCAAACGCGGCGTCGTAAAGATGTTCGAGCTTGAACTCTGCTAAGTATCGTCGAGCCGCCGCATCCGATCGAAACGTCTCGAAACAGAAGCGTCTCAGAGCGTGTGATGTCGAGGTCCCTCTCCACACGCGAGTGCACTTGTTCTTCTTCGCGTCGTCGGCGTCCATTTCGTCGTTATCATCGTTCAGCTTGGCGTTCCAATCGATTCGGCGCATCATGAGTTTGTCGTAACGGCGAACGGCTTTCGCCGTTCCCTCGACGATCACAATCGTGAATGCTTCAGCGATTAAACCGACGCCTGCGTGTGATCGAATTTCTTCTGGTCAGTCATCAGTCGCGCGCGGCCCCGCGACGTCGTCAGCGTTCTCACAACAGAGCGTCTCAGGGATAGCGTTTGTCTCGATCAAAGCCCGGAGGCTCTGAGGCTTTCAGTACTAGTAATGGTTTCGCGAATTCATCAAAGACGAAATATCGATGTCGAGTGAAGTTACGAACGTGAAACGTACCCGTCAAGTGATTCTCTTGCGCGTTCACGTCAACCTTGAACTTATTCTTTGTGTTGGACATGTCTTCGACGCGGTACACGTGCATGTGTACCTCGCCCGCCGCATCGTTCCCTAGCAACTTGCGCATCTTCTTCTCACGTCGTTCCGCCGGCGTGAGCATGCGCGCTAAATTTCTATCTTGGTGAGCTTGCTCGCGCTCAGCCATCTGCTCTCGCACTTCCTTCTCCATAGCTGTGGGATCGAGCACGGCTTCGTCCTTCAACACGCGCATCAAATTGGAGATTTTCACCTTTGGTTTCGGGGGCTCAATCAACCCTTGCCTGATCATCTCTTGCTTTTCCTTTTCTCGTGCGACGCGACGCTGCGTGCGCAGTTTCTTCTGCTCCGCTTTAGTGAGCATCAGAGGTTGCGGCGCCGGCGCAGGCGCGTTCAGAGGCGGTTTGATCGGCACGGGGTGCTCGACGTACACGTTAAACTTGTCCATATTCACGTTCCATTTTCCACCCGTGACGTCGTCGTACGTCCCGTTACGCAAAATATCCCGGTCCCACCATTCGACGTCGGGTATTTCATCCAAAGGCGCTAACGGCCTCGCCGCGCTCGCACCCTTCGCCGCCGAAGGGCGCTCGCCTACCGGAACCAAGTTGGGATCCATCGTCGCCTCCTTTTCCAACTTTTCCATGCGTTCGGCGTGTTTGCGCTCGCGCTCAGATCGCTCCTTCATCCTTTCCGCCTTTTCGTCGCCGAATTGCATGCGAAGCCTGTGCATGTCGGCTTCTTTCTGAAACTTACCGTCCTCGACGAACTGCAAACGAAAACGCGCGCAAAACGAGGTCAGTCGGCGAAAAGCCGAGAAAAACGTTTCTCGTCGAAACCAAAAAAATGTGGTTCGGATGGTAAGGAGATGACGCCCACTATGATAAGAGCGCCCCGCCAGCTGTCCAATCCGCTATTTACTATCGCAAGCATAAAAATTGCAACGTGACATGAGAAGGTCTCGCGACAGAGTGTAACTTGCTTTCGTGGAAAATGTACCGACGCAGCGTAACCCTCCTGAGTGGAAACCTCAGAGGAGTATTAGAGCGCCAGCCTTTCAATTTTGCAATCTTGTAGTCTCCAAGGGGCATGTCGTGAGATTACCACGGAGCTTTGAAAGATGCAATGACGAAGAAAAAATCACGAGGCGGTTGGAAATCGCGTCGATTCAAACGCACCTGTAAAGCCGAACGCTTTTTCCGAGTCTTTCCCGCGAAAGCCCGCATTCTGGGATCGTCAAAATCCGCCCCGGCCTGACTCGCGATCTCCGCTTGCGCTTCCGCCTGCGCCTGCGCGAAAGCGTTCGCGCGTTGCTGCTTCAAATTCACGCTCAGCGTCGACGTCTCGATAACCTTGTTCACCACCAATTCGCCGCGTTCGTCAATCTCTCGACCTTGCGCGTCGAGTCGCAGCGCCATCGGACGCGCGCTCGGACGCGACCCCGCAGCCGCCTTCGCTTTCTCGTCCGCCACCTTCTTCGCCTTGAGCTTCGCCGCGAGTTCTTTCTGCTTCAACAACGCCTGCTTTTGCTTCAACAGCGCCGCCTTGTCCAAACCGCCCGCCGCCTTGGGTTTCGCCACCACCGCCTCCGGTTTCGCCTCCCCCGCCCCCTCCGCACCGTCGCCATCCTCCCACCGCCTTCGTTTCGTCGCTCGCGTCGCCGTCGTCCCCCCGTCGCCGTCGCCGTCGCCGTCGCCGTCGCCGTCGCCGCCGCCGTCGCCGTCGCCGTCGCCGTCGCGCGCCGCCCCCCCCTCCCGCGCCCGCTTCGTCCCTCCCTCCGAACCGCCCGCGCTCTCGAGCAACCGCGCCGCCAGCGTCGCCTTGACCCCGTCCGTGGCCATCCCTCGCGCGCGCAGCGCGTCCCGCAGCGCGCGCACCGTCATCCCGTCCACGCGCGCCCGGTCCGACGCCGCCGTCCCTCGCGCGCCGTCGCCGTCGCGCGCGCTCGCGCGCGCCGTCGACCGATCGGTCGACCGCGACCGCGACCGCGACCGCGACGCGCGCATGCCGTCGTCGCGGTCCGTCGCGGTGTGCGCGCGCGGTCGTCGACGCCGCGCGCGGCGACCGACGCGTTGGACGCGCAAACAGTGCGAACGCAGAATACGACCACGTCAAGCGTCATGCATAGCGTTAACGTACGCAGAATACGTTACGTATGCGTAAACAGTACATACGACCACGTCAAGCGTCATTCATAGCGTAAACGTACGCAGAATACGTTACGTATGCGTAAACAGTGAAAACTAGAGATTTGGACGATTATCCGATTCGATTCGCGACGCCGCGGCGATCGCGCGCGCACACGCGCGCGCGCACGGCTCGCGAACGACATGTCCCTCGCGGCGGCGACGATCCCGAGCGCGCCCGCGCGGCGACGCGACGCGACGACGCGACGCGCGACGCGCGATGCGCGACGCGGGAAGGCGACGATCGCGCGACGCGCGACGACGCGACGCGACGACGGCGACGCGCGAAGCGACGACGACGACGACGCGAAGCGACGGTCGACGGCGATGGCGGCGACGGCGGTGGCGGTGAGCGCGATCGTGGGGATGACGGACGTCGCGGAGGCGTACGAGGCGAAGCGAGCGTCGACGGTGAACGGGAGAGGGACGCCGTACGAACGGACGACGAAGCGGCGAGCGACGACGACGACGGCGAAGTCGACGGCGTCGCGCGTCGCGCCGAAGGTCAAGGCGGGGAAGAAGGAATTTAAGGCGAAAACGACGAGCGGGGGGGCGCGAAAGGGCGTGAGGAAGGTGCGCGCGCGAACGGCGACCAAGGCGACGGCGACGGCGGTGCCGGCGACGAAGCGTCCGGTGAAGCGCGTCGCGTCGAAGGCGGCGCCCGGTAAGGCGACGCCGACGACGAAGCGCGCGGTGAAGCGCGTGGCGTCTAAGACCGCGCCCGCGGTCAAGGCGGCGGCGACGACGAAGCGTCCGGTGAAGCGCGTCGTGTCTAAGCGCACCGTGAAGGGTGTGGCGGCGGCGACGACGAAGCGTCCGGTGAAGCGCGTCGTGTCTAAGCGCACCGTGAAGGGTGTGGCGGCGCCGCCGACGAAGCGTCCGGTGAAGCGCGTGGCGTCTAAGGCTGCGCCAGCGCCGGCAGCCACGGCAGCGCCGACGACGAAGCGTCCGGTCAAGCGTGTCGCTTCCAAGGCCACCGCGCCGGTGGCTGAAGCGCCTGCCGTCGCGGAAATGCCGACGAAGTCCGCGGATAAGCCATCCGCGGCGAAGCGCGAAGCCGCCAAGGAGGCTCGCGAAGCGGAATTGGCCAAGATCAAGGCGGCGCGCGACGCGGAAGCGGAGAAGGCTGCCGCCGCCGCGCAAAAGGCTGCCACCGAACGCGCAGAAGCTGCCGCCAAAGCTAAGGCTGCGAACGCGGCCAAGCTTGAAGCCGCGAAGAAGGCGCGTCTTGCGAAGAAGGCGCCGGTAAAGGCGGAGAAGCCCGTCGTCGTCGAACCCGTCGTCGAAGCTCCGGTTGTTCAAGCTCCGGTCATCCAAGCGCCGAAGAAGACCCCGGGCGCCATCAAGCAAGCTGAGAAGGCTGCTGCGGCCTCCAAGCTTGCGGCTAAAAAGCAAGCCGAACGCAAGGCTGCCGCCGACGCGCGAGCGAAGCTCATCGCGGAGAAATCGGAATCGAGCAGAAAGCGCGTCAGCGCAGCGACGTCGAGCGCCGATAAGCAAGTGGCCGCCAGAAAGGCTGCGCAAGCTGCCAGAGCGAACGCCGCTAAGGCCGCCGCTACCGAAAAAGTTGCCGCCCGAGCCGCCGCCAAGGCGAAGATGGAAGCGGCGATGACCAACGACAAGGCCACTCGCGCCGCCGCCGCCAAGGCGCAAGCCGCGGAACGCGAAGCGCTTCGCGCCGAGCAAGCCGCGGAAAGAGAAGTTGCCGCCGCAGAGAAGGCCGTCGAAGCCGCCGTGCCGAAGGTTGAAGCCGCCGCGCCGAAGCCCGCCGCGCCGAAGCCCGCAGCTTCCAAGCCCGCCGCTTCCAAGCCCGCCGCGAAGAAGGTTGACGCCAAGGCTGCCGCCGCCGCGAAGAAGAAGGCTCTCGCGGACAAGAAGGCTAAAGAAGTCAAGGCCAAGACTGCGAAGGCGCGCGCGGACGCCACTGCGCGCAACAACAGCAGCAAGAGCCTTGACTTCGTCGGCGCCACGTTCAGTGACGTCGCCGCCGTAAGCTTGGCCACCGCCGTCGCGCTCGCGTTGGCCGTGCCGGGCGTCAGAGATTCGCTCCTCGAGGGCGACCTTGAAGGTGCGGCGGATGGAGTTTTCGAGACGATTGATGGTATCGACAACTTTAACGTAAAGGCTGCCACCGTCGGTGCTGTCGTGGCTACCGACGCCGTCGCGCACTTGCCCGTTCTCGGCTCGCTCGTGCCGGGTCCGCTCGAATTCATCGGCACCCTGACCGCCGTCTTGCTCTTGGAGCGTTACCTCCTCGTCGGCGAAGACGATATCGCGGACGACATCGAAGATCTCGCCGCCAACTTGCCGCGCGAGTTGCCAGGCGATGTCGGCGAAGTCATCGATCAACTGGCCCCGATCGGTAAGACCGCCTCCAAGACGGTGTCTGCGGTGCAAGACGTCGACATTTCCGAAGTGACCGACACGCTCAAGGAGGTCCCGGAATGGTTCGGTGACAGCGAAAACCCCGTGGTCGACATCGCGGGCCCGGCCACCGCCCTCGCGGGCACGTACGTGCTCGGCAACGTCGCCCGCTGGCCGCTCGTCGCCATCGCGGCGCCGCGATTGTTAGAGCTTCTCGGCGCCGGCGTGTTGGTTTACTCGTTCCAACGCTACGGCACCTCGGACGCCAACCTCAAGGATGACCTCGAGTCCGTCGTCGACGAGTCCAAGCGCGTCGTCAAAAAGTTCCTCTGATCATCCAATAATCGAATGAAAGCGGCTTCGCGGCATTATTCTTTGTAAAGAGCACACGAGCGAGCTCGCGCGACGACTTTACTCCCGTCCCGCGCGCTATCCACTTCGCCACTCCGCGGCGCGATGGCGTCCATCGCGTCCGCGTCCGCGCGCGTCCGCCCGCGCGGGCGCGACTTCGCGCGCCATCACTCGTCCGCGCGCGCGCATCCGCGTCCGCGTCCGCCTCGCGCGTCCAGCGCGTCGCGTCGTCGCCGCGACGCACGGCGACCGACCACCATCGCGCGCGCGCAATCGGTCGTCGACGCCCTCGCCGCGGTCGACGCGTGGTCCGTGACGAGCGCGAGCGGCACCGCGCTGCGATTCATCCCGCCCGGGATCGAGACGCAGCTGTTTCAAGTCGGACTCGCGCCGTACCTGGCGTACCTGTGGTTTCTGCGGGACGCGCGCGCGACGCCGCGAGCGTCAAACTTCGGCGCGCGATTCTTGTTGTTGTTCGTCGCGGCGACGATACCGGCGGGAATCGTGGCCAAGATGCGGTATGGAGATATATTAGCCAACGTAGACGCGCTGCACGGGAGCTCGGAATCGCTGTTGACGGTGTCGAACGCGTTGTTCGCGTACGGGTTCGGCGCGGCGGCGGGGCGCGGGGACGACGGGGAGAAAGACGAGGATGGTGAGGAGCGCGCGACGACGCCGGCGTACGTCGTGCTGGGGGTTTTGTTTTTAACGTGCGCGGCGAGCACGCTCGCGATCGGGGCGGTCGCGCCGTCGATCGTGGATGGTGAGTTGCTGGCGAGCGAGCCGGGCAACGCGCTGAGTTTGCCGACGTGGGCGGTGCACGTCTCGAGCGTCACCGAATGGGCGTTAGCGATGAAATACGTCGCCGGGCACGCGGATAGGACCGGAAACGCGAGTTGGCGGAACCTCACGGTGGCCATGTCTCCGTTTCTGGCGTCTGGTATAACGGCGTGCACGTTTCATGCGTTTTACAATCCCGCGTCCATCAACGCGCTCGTGCCTTTGCAGGCGCTGTTGACGTTGATGGGTAACACAGGGTGCGCGGTAGCGGCGTACACGATAGCGACAAACGAAAAAGACGGCGCCGATAGCGAGACGCCCGTTTTAGAGGGTGCGGCGCCGATCGAAGACGGATTAGGATTCGCGCTCAAGTTGGCGTTGTGGACGTCGCTCGCGAGCACCGCTGTCAAGTACGGCGAACTCGCCTCGCCTTTCGGAGCGTTCTTCGCTGAACCGTCGTATGGTAAAGCGCTCGGCATGATAGCTCTACCCAGCGTCGTGTGGACGTACTACGCGCTCAACTCTGGGGCGAACGCGCCGAAACTGACGATGCAAGACGTAAAATCGTTCGGCGTCGCCGGCACCGTTTCCTACGTCATCATCGAACTCGCATTTTGGGCCGTCGCCGCCCCCGTGGCGTTCACGTGGTACAAAGTCGCAGAGGGCACGTGGCTCGATCTTTCCGATCCCACCGACAAGGCCAAGCTATTCGGCGCCGGCGCCGTCTTCATCAACGTCGTGCGTCTCTTCGTGCCGCTTCGCTTAGCCGCCGCGCTCGCGCTCGCCCCGGTCGTCGCCAAATTCGTCGCCGACAACGACGACGATTAAATCGATTAGCTCATTAGTTCACATTACATCGGCGCGCGTCTCACACCATCACCCCGTCCTTCGCCTTCGCGTTCGCCTTCGCCGCGCGTCCCTCGTCCGCGCTCTCCTCCGCCCGCGTCGTCCTCCCGAACGGTCTCCATCGCTCCAAGTACCGCACCCTCGCCTCGTACGTCGCCCTCGCGCGCCGTTCGCGCTCGAGTTCGTCTCGCAGCGCGTCGACCGCGTCGTCGTGCGCGCGCTTGTCCATCAACAACCGCGCGCTCAGCGCGAGCGCGAGCGCGGCGACGACCGCCGCGCGCGCGTTCGGCGACGTCGTCGTCGTCGCCGCGCTCGCCGCGCGCGCCGCGCCGCGTCGCGCGTCCATCGCGTCGCGCGCGACGCGATGGCACCGCGACGATGTGCCGTCACTGCACCGCGCGCGCGCTCGCGCGCGCGACGCGACGCGATCGACCGTCGGCGCGGCGCGGCGCGCGCGACGACGTCGGTCGCGCGATGGCGCGCGAGCGCGCGCGCGAGAGCGCGACGCGCGCGCGCGATGACGACGTCCTCGCGCGGGACGACGACGGAGGCTGGGCGCCGGTGAAACGGCGCGACGCGGCGGCGACGACGCGCGAGGGCGCGGTGGCGACGATGTTCGAGCGCGCGCCGCGCGCGCCCGTGGTGCTCGTGCTCGTCGGACCGAGCGGGGCGGGAAAGTCGACGTTTTCGGCGCGGTTGCCGCGCGAGCGGTGGACGACGGCGAACCAAGACACGGTGTCGAACGGGAAGCGTGGGACGAGGCAACAGTGCGTGCGAGTGGCGAAACGAGCGCTGGAGGAGGGTAAGCACGTGGTGATCGATCGGTGCGGGCTGAGTCGGCAGCAGAGAGCGGATTTCGTGGCGCTCGCGCGCGAGGCGCGGCCGCCGTGCGAGCTGCGAGCGGTTTGGTTTAATCAGCCGGTGTCGGTGTATCAGCAGCGCGTGCGGATGCGGACGAATCATCCGGGAGGCGTGCAGGGGGAGAGCTCGGTGCGCGTGGTGCAGTTGCAGATGCGTGGGAAGGATAACGCGCCGCCGACGAAGGAGGAAGGATTTCGAATAGTGCGGCGATGTCGATTTCAAGACGACGTGGATGCCGCGTGCGCGGCTTTCTGCGCGCTTCCCGCGGCCGAGACGGCGGTCGAGTTTCCGAAGAAATCTAAACCGGAGCGAACCCTCGATTCGGTGCGCGAACCGTCGGTGGTTGAAGACGCCGTCGCGGACGCCGCGACGTGAAATCAGCGAAGCCGCGCGCGCGCGCGGCGATTAGTTTATAGACTAGCGTTCGTTGAAACGACGACAAAATTGATGACGAATTACATTATTTCGCGTCCGTTTCCTTTCGATCGGCGCTCTCTAGAGCAAATCCTTCAATAAGAACGCGATGCCGCCGAGACCGATGACGGTGGACGCGACGGTGATCAAGGGCGTGGATAAGCCCCCACCCTTCGCGCGTCCCGTCTCGACGTCGTACGGCGCGAACCGACTCTTCGGCGCGTTGCACTGCGGGCAAATATAGCTCTTCGGTTGCTCGCTAAACGCCGTCGGCAGCGTGTACACGTACCCGCAATCCACGCAAATGTGCGACGCTCTTTCCTTTTGCGCCGCCGTCAACTTGCGGCCAAACTTCGGCGGCGCCGGTCGCTTCGGCAACCGCTTCACGTCAAAGTCCGCCCCTTGACCGCCTCGCACGACGACAAAATCAACCGTGTTCGGGCACGCCGAGATCGCGCTTCGCGAGAACGCCAGCGCGTCCGCCGGCCACAGCTCGTCGCCGAAAAACGACGAGTGGTACTTGACGATGTCCCCCGCCTTCAGCCCCGCCTTCGACGCGTTCCCCTTGCACTGCGCGATCTGCACCCCCGGTCGACCGTCGCCGCGCTCCTTCAGCGTCAATCCCAGCGGCTTATCGACGCTCGCGCTGATCTCTTGCGCGCGGACGACGAGCGCGCCGCGTCGCGTCGTCGCGCGTCGCGTCGTCGCGTTTCGCGCGAGCGGCGCGCGCGCGCCCGCGGCGCTCGCGGCGTGGCGTTGGGCGAGCATGGCGCGCGCGGTGGTCGTTCGCGCGGTCGAGCGCGGCGTTCGTCGGCGCGCGTCGCGTCGGCGTGTGGCGCGCGTCGCCGTCGCCGTCGCCGTCGGATAACGATGGCGCTGACGTCAGTCTTTATCTTCGCGCCGCGTTAGGGTTTCGAGTGATGGCGGTTCGTCGCGTTCGTATACGACGCGCGCCGCAGACCGCGACGCGCGCCGCCCGACGACGCTCGACGCGCGCGCGCGCGCCGCATGCTCCCGGGACGCGCGCTGTTCGGCCGCGCGTCGCGCGGCGGCGGGATCGGCCCGCCGCTCGTCGCCGCGTGCGTGGGCGTCGCGAGCGGGTTTTACATTTTTAACGAACCGCTGAAGCGACGCGCGGCGGCGCGGACGCTCGAGCGCGCGCGCGATGACGAAGCGAACGCGCGCGAGAGACGATGAAGACGACGGGACGCGCGACGGCGCGACGGCGAGGACGCGGAGGGGCGGGAAATTGCGAGTGCTGGAGATGTACTGCGGCGTCGGCGTCATGCACGCGGCGCTGCGACGCGCGCGAGGCGACGAAGCGGAGGTGTGCGGCGCGTACGACGTGAATCCGAACGCGTGCGACGCGTACGCGATGAATTATGGGACGCGACCGTCGCAGAAGAGCTTGGTGAGCGTGGCGATGGAGACGCTGGTGAAGACGAAGGCGGAGGCGTGGGCGATGTCGCCGCCGTGTCAACCGTTCACGCGCGCGGGGTTAAAGTTGGACGTCGACGATGGGCGCGCGGAGAGCTTCATGCGGTTGGTGGACGAGATGGTGAAGATGGATGCGAGCGCGCGGCCGAAGTACGTGTTCGTCGAGAACGTGGTGGGATTCGAGACGAGTCGCATGCGAGACGCGCTGCGAGACGCGCTCTCCGCGTCGGCGTTCCACGCGCAAGAGTTCATACTCACACCGACCATGTTCGGCGTGCCTTACAGTCGGCCGAGATATTTCATGCTCGCCCGTTCGACGCGCGCGTTTGAGGACGGCGTGGACGAGATACGACGCTCGCCTCCGCCGAGCAAGCTGTCGCATCGCAGGGAGTGGATTCCGGATTTCGACGACGTCAGGGACGCCGACGTCGTCGTCGCGCCGCTCTCGAGGTTTCTGGATCGTGCAACCGATGATATTTGGCGCGCGAACGCGGTCAAGCAGGATGACGTGGATCGCGCCAAGGGTAGCATAGACATAGTCACCGCTGAAGACACGACGTGCAACTGCTTCACAAAGAGTTACTACAAATACGTCAAAGGCACGGGATCCGTCGTGGCAAATCAAAGCGTCGACAAGGCTACGTGGGACGGGCGCATGGGCGATGGCGCGAGCGACGTACGTTTAAGATATTTTACCGTCGATGAGGTCGCACGGTTGCACTCACTTCCGAATGATTTCGCGTGGCCGTCGAACTTGACCACTCGTCAAAAGTACACGCTTTTGGGCAACTCGATGAGCGTGGCGTGCGTCGCGCCCCTGCTCGACTATCTCTTCGCTGATTAGAGGACACGGTGGTGTCAAACATGCAACTAGTCGTATAATGTACAAATGATTCATATATCACACTCGCCGACGTCGCCAAAGCTTCTTATGAGGCGTCACGATGGGCGACTGCGCGGTTTCTTCGCCGTCGGTCGGGGCGTCGCCCGTCGACGTCTTACTCGTATCTTTACTCGTATCTTCGCCCGTGCGTCCGGAGTTCGTGCGCGTGGGCGAAGGCGGCGGACTATATCGACCGCGACTGCGCGTGCTTTGACCACCGTCATCGATCATGGTAGGGAACTTGACAACTTTTTTCGTTGTTAGCTTTTGCCCGAGACCGCCGCCGGTGACTTCGTCCTCGACGTCCGCTAGCTTCATCGAGTGCTGCGCATCGGAGACGACTTCGCTCGCGGAAGGTTCGCTCACCGACATTGCTTTACGCAAATTACTGTCGTGCACGTTCATGCCCGTTCGCGCCGCTTTGGTCTCTGCCCACATCTCGCGAACGAGTTGCGTCAAAAAGTCGCAGGCGTCGTTCGCAGAGCCAGACAGGATGCTCGTGTGCCCTTTCGCCGCGGCGAGTGTCTTCGGGTCTTCGCTCACTAAAAACACAGCCCGACACATAGATACGTGACGCGAAGCTATTTTGACCGCATCGCGCACCGCTTGCGGTGGATCTTCCACGGGCTGGTGCGACGCTTCCTCCCACGTAATACCCATCACTCTCGCGCCTCTTCCAGCTCGATCGCCAGCGTGCTTGTACGCGTGCAAGGCCTTGATCATAGTCTCAATCTTCCACGCCTTCTCCGTGTTAGTTTGCATCGTACGTAGCTTGGTCATCATGAGCTTCTGGATCGTGCTGTTGGCGACTTTAATAGCCCACGGCCAAGGTGGATTCTCGCGATTCCCGTCTTGTCCGTAGTGAAATATGCCTTTCGCCGCGGCAGCGGCAGCGCTTGCCGCGGCAGCTTGCGCGAGTAGGCGTACAACTCGATGTAAAGCGTCTTCGTCATTCGTCAACGCACTATCGTCCATGACAACCAGGACACCTTCGGGGAAAACCTCTGCGGTTTCAAGTCGCGGATCAAGCCTGCGCTTGTACTCCAAGCAAAGTTCCAGATGGCGCAAGCCGAGCGCAAACCGAGTGTGCCTGGTTCTAATGAAATCTGAAACGTGCACTGGAAACTGAGGCGCGGATAAGAGCTGCAAAAATGGCGGGTGAACGACGATCAAGTCGACTTCTTCTGGCTTTGCGTCGCTCACGTACACGGCGCCCTCGTCGGCGAGTGACTTGATCAAGAAAACCACATGCGGGTGATTGACTTCGAATCCTAGGAGCATATAACGCAAGCCAGTGAGAGGAATGCACGGTACGCGTTGTTCGGGCGAGATGACTTGCGCGATCGCTGCCGCGCTCGTCGGAATCTCGTGTTGACCCTCCATCGGAACTCTGTCTTCTTCGCCTTCAGACGAGCTCGGCGACGCCGTCGGCGACGTCGCTGTGCGTTTCAGTTTGGCAAATTCGCGCCCGGATGAGTCGTCAGAGTTTTCGCCATCAGACCCAGATCCAGACGATGGGCCGGCGATAGACTTACGTTTACGCCGCGCGAGCGGCGGCGAAAGCCAGTCGTCTAGTTCGTCATCGCCGCCAATCTTGATCGTCACTCTATCTATCTCAGATGTGCCCGACGTTAACTCGCTCGTTTCTTCGCTCACAACCGGAGTCACGGTGCCCATACCCTCGCGTTCGACTCCACTCGTCATCTCGTGCGCCGAACTCAAAGATTTCTCTTCGTCCGTTGTCTCCGCGGCTGGGTGTACACCCGAGAGTTCCTCGGGCATACGCACGCCCTCCTGCTCTTCCGCCGCGTGCCCGAGACCCATGTTGTTCGTTTCGTCAATCGCCGGTTCTTTCGGCGGCGGTACCCAACCCCGAAGGATCCCACGCGTCGGTTTCAAGTCTGGCGTGGGCACCGAAGCCGGCGGCTGCGGCGCGACGAGCGGAACGATGCTTTGAATGATCGCCCACAACGGCTTTGGTTTCTTCGACTCATCCGTCTTACGTTTCGTGCTCCCACTCGTCGGCCCCACGGCATCGCGCACGATATCTGGCAAGCCCGTGTCGGAAACGATAAAGACGACGTAACCATCCGGAAGGTCCATGCGCGCCGCCGCTGGCACGGGTTCTCCGCCCTCGGCGTCCTTCGCCGCATCATCTCTGCAATCCGTCAACGTAGCGTGTATCTGATGAAACGGCGTCACGTGATGCGCTGAGAGTGGATACAGTCGCAACAACGCTATGGGATCCCAAACATCCGGCCAATCATCGTCCCCGGGCGCCACGCACTCGGCGTGCACTATTTCTGGCAGCGCGTTCCCCGCCGCGCTCGCCCGCGCGAATCCCTCGCCCCGCGCCGTCCCTGGAATATTCGCCCCCGTAGGTGGCGCTTGCGCCACTAACTGGCATGTGATCGTCCTCGACTGCACTAAATTACTTAAATCATCGATCGTTTGACTCGTCCGTCCCGCCAGTCTCGTCGACGTCGAAGGCACTCGCTCTTCCCCATCAGACACATCCGCATCGCTCGCCTGCGCCGAGCTCGCTCCTATGTATTCTAGATTTCCGCTTCCAAACGTCGATTTCATCGCCGTGCCGACGGTTTCGTCCACTGTTTCGTTCGGTCGCGTCTCGTTCGCCAGCGGTCGACCTCGTCGACTCATCGACAGCGACCCCGTCCACACAGACTTCGTCGAGTCATCCCTCGACTCGCGTCCGACGCGTTCGCGCGCGATGTAATGATCACCACCGCGCTCGTTCCGTCGCGTGACCCACTCGGCGTTGCTCAAGATGCTCGTCAGGCGTTCGCTCGCGCGTTCGGAGGATGGAATCATGGCGCGAACGATTCACGTCGTTCGACGCGCGCGACGCGTTCGTGCGCGTCAGGACGCGCGGAGAACGCGCGCGCGATAGATATCGAGCGTTCGCGCGGCGCGCGGACGAAACACGGGCGATCGCGGCGCGCGCGGTTGTGAAGACTCGAACGAGGCGCCGCGGCGACGCCACGCGCGGAGACGAGCGGCGCGAAACGGGCCGATGCGCGACGCGATGGCGCGGGACTATTTACGAATGGCTATTTAACACACAGTGAATACTCGGGTAAGCCGCGTGGGGTGGTCTTGTACGCGACGGTGTTGAGACAGTGACGCATCGAGTGTTGGGTCACGACGTACGTCTTCGCGTACAGAGGCCGACCGGGCTGGACGATGAATTTGACGTGGCTCGCGGCGATGGCGAGCATGGGAAGCAATCCCGAGCCGTCGGGTTTGCGCAATTCACGCTTATCCGCGGCCGTGCGGCGCTTGACGACACACGGACGACGTAGTACGGAGAATGCGTTTGCCGCGTCGGTAGGCGGTCTGCCTTTGGCACATAGAGCGCCGGTGAAGTTTTGCCACCACGCGTCATCGGCTAAGCCCTCGCTGACGAGCGTACCGAGCCTAGGCATGATGTTCTTGTTCTTACCGTGGACGGTACCGACGGTGATTTCGACGCCCACGCGCGAGCCTATGATGGAGGGCGCGTTATCCGTCGGCGCTCGAGAGAGAACGTCGACTTGCAGGACGGATCCGACGCCGCCGTCGTCCAAGAAATAATCGTCGATGCGATCGAACTCGTCGAAGTCTCCGTCCCAATGCAAAATCTCGAGGAACTGCACCATTTGACGAGTCTTCTCGCTCCTGTACCCGTCGTCATCATCTTCATCGCCCTCCTTCGTCGCTTCTTTGTCGTGGCGATTGAAATGAATCAACAACCGCACGCTGTCAATTTTGCCATCATCTTTTGCCGCGACTGAACGACTGAACATTATCCCTGCCGCCCAGATAGAAGTGTCAAACCCTTCTCCCGTCACCAAATCGATCACACGCTGCACGTTGTCATACAACCTCGGCGGCACGCGCGCTTCGATGGCTTTAAAGTATTCGCGCAACGCCGGGACGTACTCGTCGTGACGCCCCGTGTTCTCCGGCAAGTGCTCCAGAAACACGCTCGCCGTCGGATCGATCTCCCCCTTGCTCATATCAAACTCCATGTACTCACTCAACCAATACGGATGTCGCCCATCCTCGTATTCCTCGCTCAACCTTCGCCACCATCGCCGATGTCTTGCGAACGCGCTCGACCGTTCCAATCCCATGCACCACGCATCACCGCCTCCTCGTCCCGCCGCCGCGTCGCACATCGCCAACCTCCGCAGATTTCCATTCTTCGCGCTCGCGTGATAATCCATCCGCAGGCTCACGTCCAGGTGCTTCACCGTCGGTAAATCGTTAAACTCGTGCAGCACGTTCGCGTTGCCGTCGTCCCCCGCCAGCGCCCAATCGAGCGACGAGAGAAACCGTCCCGCCGCGTCCCACGCCTCGGTCGGCGCGCACGCGTGCAGATATCGACGCGCGTGGTTATTATACCGTATCAGCGACGTCACGTCGGCGCTCCCGGTGCGCCAATCGTCGTCGTCGAACGTCGATGCGCGCATGTAATCCATCGTCGTCGCGCGCGCGGCGTCGTCGATGGCGCGCGCGCGCGCGAACGTGGCGCACGCGAAGCACGCGAAGCACGCGTAGAGCCGCGCCGCCGCGCGTGGGTGACGCATCGCGCGCGCGCGCGGCGCAGTGCGGTGCGTAACTGAATGGTGAATTTACAGCAGGCGGCGTCGGTTACGCGGCGACGGCGAAGGCGGAGTCGAGCGCGCCAGCGGTGCCGGAAACGACGCACGCGGTGCCGATGGCTAATATCGCGTAGTTGATGAGTTTCTCGGCGTCGTCGATGTCGTCGTCGAACATGCGGAGATAGCACAGCGATGGAAACAGTACAGAGACGGTGAGCGTCAACACGCTGCCGATGAGCGACATGCCGACGCCAAAAAATGGAAGCTTGACGGCGATACCGAGCGCAGTGACGCCGAGCGTGGTACGAACAAGCCGAGAGATGAATGCATCTTTGCTGGACTCCTTGACGCGGAGCTTGAGTTTTTCTTCGGCGCCCTTGGCGACGGGATCCAAAGTCAGCGCGAATTTCGCCAACGGGTTCACAGTAATCAACGCGAACGCGAGTGTGGCGAGCGATCCCGCTGGAAGGTTCAGGGTGACTTGATCAGCAACGTTGTCGCCATATAAGCAGTATCCCGCAACGCCGAGCGCGAGACAGTTCAAGGCCACGATGGCGTAAGAATTGTCGAGCATCTCCTCGTACTCTTCCGGCTTCTCCATGCTCGCGTAAATCGCGGGAAACACCGCGTGACCGGCGAACACGAAAGCCAAAAGGCCAAAGCTCACGGGAAACGTAGAGTAATGTATCATCGCCGTCTCGGCTGCCGCCCGAGGCAACTCTCCGGTCGATATGACTTGGCTAAATAATTCGTACAGCATCACGCCGGTGACGCTCACCGAAGCGCACAAGCCGAGCGCGCCGACGTACGACAGGCTGGATAAATCTAACAGCCACGTCGTTGGCACCATCGCGAGCGCCGCGCATGCGGAAAAGAGTTCCTCTTTACCTTGCATGTGGAAAAGCTTCGCCAGATGATCGCCCTCGAGAATGAAAAACAAGCCTGCGGTGCCAATCAGCTCCGTGTACAAGACGAACGTGATGAAATTCCGCCCGTTCACCCCGAACGCGGCCTCTCCGATGTCCTCGTACGACATCAACGCCCGACGAGGCGATCGCATCGCCCGAAACCGCGCGTCGTCGTAGTCCACATCCGCGCAAAATTCATCGCCGCACACTCCGGTGTTCATCGCGAGCTCCGCCGCGTTTCTCACGTCGACCGACCGTTCATTCGCCGGCAGGCTCCCTCGCCGCTGACACTTGATCAAAATCTTCCCCGTATAATTCGTCACCACCCCCAAAGTCATCAGCACCCCCAATCCGCTCCATCCCGCCTCGCGCAGCGCGTACGGCACGCTCAGCGTCCCCACGCCGAGCAAGATATTCACCGCGTTCGCGCGCGCCTGCGCCGTCGTGCTCGTCCCGACCTCTCGCGTCGCGTCCGCGTCGTCCCACGTTCGCGCGCCGCGCCCCGCGCCCCGCGGTCGTTCGCGCGCGTCGACGACCGCGCGCGTCTTCGGTCGTCGTCGCGATGGCGTCTTCGGTCGCCGTCGCGCGTCGCGTTCGCGCGCGTCGCGCGCGGGTCGCGTCGGCGCCGCGCGTCCGAGTCGCGCGCGCGCCGCGGACGTCGCGCGCGCGGCGGGCGCGCGCGGCGTCGCGCGCGCGCGCATCGCGCGACGGCGAGTGCCGTCGCCTCGCGACGTCGACGCGCGCGAAACGACGGTTCGCGCGCGCGCGCGATATGGGCGTGCGTGTACACACAATACGTACACTGGTGTACATTCGTGGTATATATGTCTTCACTGTTTGTACATACGTTTGTACACGCGCCGAATGTCCGACTCTCAGACGCGATTTCAAATTCGATTCGCGTCGCGTCGCACACGACGACGCATGAATCCGCCGTTCGAGGCGTTCGCGTACGACGCGCGCGACGCGATCGATGAACGCGATGCCGCTGCCGTCCGTCGTCGTGTCGACGGTTCAGCGCGCGCGAAGACGTGGACGAGCGACGACGAAGACGCAGACGATGACGCGCGGTCGAGCGCGTCGGAACCGAGCGACGACGACGACGACGACGACGACGACGACGACGACGACGCGAGCGATGCGAGCGAAACGTCGGACGAATCGTTATCGTCGCTCGATGGCGATGACGTCGCGGAGGACGTCCGAGGACGACCGCGACGGGCGACGGCGCGCGCGGCGCGCGGCGCGTTCAAGGAGGTGGACTCGGACGACGACGACGAATTGATGACGAGCGCGAGCGAGGACGACGACGCGGACGCGGGCGGTGAAGACGACGACGAGATCGATCGGGACGTGGTGGAAAAAATAGTGTACTGTCGCGCGATGAAAGACGGAGATGGAACGGTGACGTCGACGTTGGAATTTTGCGTGAAGTGGGAAGGCGTGAGCCATAGACGATGCTCGTGGGAAATCGAGGAGACGCTCCAGCGGGAGGCGCCGCACAAGCTGAAGACGTTTCTGCGCAAGCATCACGGCGTCGAGGCGCAGGACGCGCCGTATCCGGCGATGTATGACGTCATCGATCGCGTCATCGCGCACAGAGACGGCGAATCGGAGGGTTCGGTGGAGTATTTGGTCAAGTGGTGCGGGCTCGGGTACGCGGCGGCGACGTGGGAAGCGAGCGAAAGTTTAGCGACTCCGGTGGACGAGGCGCAGGTGGCGCGGTATTGGCGATTTTCCAAGCCAGAATTTTTCGAACGCACGGAAATGCCACACGGCAAGCCGGTGCCACCGGAGTTTCAGAACAACATGGCGCTGCGCGAGTACCAAGTGACGAGCTTCGAGTGGATGGTGAATAATTATTGCCGCGGACGCAACGTCATTTTGGGCGACGAGATGGGTTTGGGAAAGACGGCGCAGTGTATCTCGGTGATTGAGTACGTGCGCAAGAACCTCATCCGTCGACGACAACCCGTGTGCGTCGTGGCCCCGCTCACCACGCTCGGACACTGGAAGCGCGAAATGGAAAAGTGGACCGACATGAACGCCGTCGTGTACGACGGCTCGGCGGCGGATCGCGAGATGTGCGCCGAGCACGAGTTCTTCATACCGGGGACGCGAAGGGTGAAGTTTGACGTCATGTTGGTGAGTTTTGAGAACGTGCGTCGGAACACGGAATTGTTCGAGCAGTTTTCTTGGGCGATGTGCGTCGTCGACGAGGCGCACAAACTCAAAGACGTCAACTCGCAGACGACGCTGTCGGTGACCGCGCTTCGATATGATTGGTTGCTTTTACTCACCGGAACGCCGATCCAGAATAATATTAAAGAACTCTACGGCATGCTGCACATTCTAGATCCTCGACAGTTTCATTCGTGGGAGGATTTCCAAGACGAGTTTTGTGACGAATCCGGCGACGTCGACGCCGAGCAAGTCATGCGTCTGCGCGAACTTTTGAAGCCTCGCATGTTGCGACGAATGAAGGAGGATGTGGAAAAGATCCCGGCGAAGGAAGAAGTTGTGGTCTGGGTAGAGCTCACGGCGCAGCAGCGAGGGTACTACCGCGCACTGTATGAGAACCAAATTCACGTCTTGTTGGAAGGATCCAAGGTGAAGAGCGTCCCGCAGCTTCGCAACTTGTCCATGGAGCTTCGCAAGGTGTGCAATCATCCATTCTTGTGCGACGGGTTGGAAGAAGACTACACGAATAAACGGTTGGCGGCGTGTGCGGAAAAGGGTGATCAACCGCCCAACGCGCTGCAGTTGCTCGTCGAGGGAAGCGGGAAGATGGGCTTGCTCGCCAAGCTTCTGGCCAAGCTCAAACGCGACGGACACAAGGTGTTGATTTTCTCGCAATTCACCATGGTTCTCGACCTTATTCAGGATTTCATGAACGCATCCGGTCATGAAACCGAACGTTTAGATGGTAACACGTCCGCGGAAAATCGCCAGGCGGGCATCGATCGATTCAACACTCCGGGCGCGGGATTCGCGTACTTGCTCTCGACTCGGGCGGGCGGCATGGGCATCACGCTCACGTCCGCGGATACCGCCATCATCTTCGATTCTGATTGGAATCCGCAGAATGACTTGCAAGCTATGGCGCGCTGTCATCGTATCGGTCAAACCAAAGAAGTGAAGGTGTATCGGTTCATCACCAAGGACACGTACGAGCAGTCGTTGTTTGAGACGGCTTCGAGAAAGTACGGTCTTGACGAGGCGATCCTGGGCGGCGGCGGCGACGATGAGTACGGCGGTGGCGAGGGGCGTCAATCTAAGAAGACGGCTAAAGAACAAGCGCAGAGAATAAACGAGTTGCTCAAATTCGGTGTTCACGGTGCCCTGAAGGACGGTTCAGGTGAAGAGGCGAACGCGTTCGAGGCGGAGGACATCGACGAGATTCTCGCGCGTCGCGCCGAGCACCGAGAGGTTGGTCCGCGCGTCGGTAACTCGTTCTCCGTGGCCACATTCGGCGCTGAGGCAGGTGATGACGTAGATGACGAAACGTTCTGGGCCGAGGCGTTCGGGAGCACCGCGATTCAAGCGGCGAAAGACAAGGCGGCTGAGCAAGTCGTGGACAAGCGTTTCGCCGTCGAAGGTCCGCGCAAGCGGCGCAAGGTCAACTACAAAGAAAGTGTTGCGCTCATACAAAACGCCGAAGCGCCTCCTCACGGTCGAAAGTCGTCGCGCGAGACGTACAACCAGCGCCGAGCCGAATCCAAGCGTCAGCGCGAGGAGGACAAGAAGCTCAGACACGAAGATCGTGAGGCGCGCCGAAAGGAGCGCGCGGCGGAGAAGGAGCGCGCGAGAGAGGAAGCGAAGCTAAACTGGTTGACGTACGAAGTTGAGCAAACTATCGATGCTGTCGTCGCTTTCGGCGCACCAGATGGGAACGTTTTTCGCGCCGTCACGTATGGGACCCTGGACGTGGACAAGCCGTTCGAGCAGAAGATGGAGGTAGCGAACGCGATTCTGGCCATGTTCGCCGCCATCGAAGCCGCTCGAGGGAAGTCGACGAGCGACGGCGTTTCGACGGTACAAACGCGCGCGAGTGATGTGCAAGACGGCGACAAGGACGATGATGGCGACAAGGATGATGACAAAGATGGCGACGAGGGCGAAGATACCGAGGAGACGAAAGCCGCCGTGTTTTCGGCTTTGGAGCGAGTCGTCGTTCCCGAACGAGCGACCAACGCGCTCGTGAGTCGCGTGTTGTGGACGAAGATGCTCCGCGCCATGCCGCGCCGCGCCAAACTGATGCGACAGCGCGCGGCGCTGGCGAAACTCGTGCAAGTAGACGAAGAACTGATCGACGTCGAGGGCGCGGATTCGGCGCAAACGGCCTTGAAGACTGGGTTGCCAAAGGAAAAGGCGGAGTTTAATGTTCCAACTCTCGGGCACAAAGCGACCGTCCCAGCGTCGTGGTGGACGACGGAGGATGACGCCGATCTTCTTCGCGGTTCTTTACGCTACGGCTACACGCCGGGGTACACGCCGGCGCTCGAGAAGCAGCTCGAGTGCGTGCGTAACGATCGATCGTTACGATTCGCCGCGAGAACCGGCGTGTACGACGACGGCGAGTACCGCGAGGTGGTGGATTGGCCGCCATTGTCGACGCTCAAAACGCGTCTCGCGCGATTGTTACAAGCTCTTCTGCGCCCGCCGAAGAAACCGTCCAAGGCTGAAATTCTCGCCGCACAAAAGAAAGCCGCAACCGAGGCGCGCCTGAAGCGCGACATGGAGGCGCTCCGAATGTGGCAGACAAAGCAAGCGCAACGTCGACGCTCGACTAGCCCGAAATCGAAGACGTCAACGCCTCGAAAGCGCAGTCCGCTGAAACAAGTCAACAGACAACAGGCGTCGCTGCACGCCTTTTTCACCGCTCCCGCGCCTCGATCGACGTAGCAGATACATTTTATAAAAGATTGGTTAATAACTGTGTATGATACGTGTGCGTAATTACAACGAGTCCCGTCCTCGCGCGCGGGCGTATTACATTCGGGTGGGTGTGTTGGTAACGGTGTAAAGATTATTCAGGTGCGACCGAAGAGCGCGGGGCGCGGTAAAGGAGAAGCCGCCGCGCGGTCGACGTGTGGCGAGGTATTGATTCTCTGTGCGATCGGTAGAGATGATTGACGCGACGATTAATCCTCGCCTTCGCCAAAGCCTTCCCATTCGCCGTCTTCGCTGTCGCTCACTTCTTCGCCGCGCGCGCGACGCTTCGCCTTGAGCTTGGCCTTTTTCTTCGCCTCCTTGCTGTTCTTGTCAACCTTTTTCTTGACTTCGACGACGTTGCCCAAAGCGTCGGTGAACTCTTCGAGCGCGGCGGCGGCGGTGACGTCCTTCTTGGCAGCCTTGGCCATCCATTCCGCGTCGCCCTTGCAGTTGCATCGCGCGATGCCGTCGTCCGCCTTCTCCATGAGCCAAGTCTCCGGGCAAAGCGCAGAGCAGAACTCGTTGTTGTGCGTAATCATGACGACACCGCCTTCGTAGACTTGAATCGCACCCGCGAGCGCGCCGAGGGAATCGCGATCCAAGTAGTTGGTCGGTTCGTCGAGAATGACGATGTGCGGGCAGTTCCACATGGACGCCGCGATGACGACCTTGACCTTTTGCCCGCCGGAAAGCGCACCCATGCGAGTGTGGGTGCCAAACTCCTTGTCCAAGCCGACGTCTTCGAGGTGCTTCTCGACGTTCGCCGTCGTTAACGGAGTGTGCATGGCGCCCGCGCGAGCGGCGACCTTTTCGTCCACAATTTTCATGTGCTTTTCGAAGCCCCACTTCGCGAGCTTGGACGCTTGCAAGTAGCGGTTCGAGTTGTAATCACGACCGACGAATTGCACTTCGTACTCGTACTCCTTCTTCACTTGCTTGCGACCGCCGGTGAGTTTTTCGATGGCCATCTTGAGCTTGATCGGGTTGCCCTTCTCATCGTTTCCGAGGTCAATCATGATCGGCTGCTTGCAGCGCTCGCGCTCTTCATCCGTGAGCGTCATCGTGTCCTTGACCAAAGCTTCCTTGTCGTCGCCGTGCTGGTAACGCCAGCGAATGTACTCATTCGGCGTCTTGTCCAAGTGCTGCTCGATGTGGTGGAACGCGTGCTGGGCGACGTACGCCACGCGCGCGTTCGGATGCTTCCAAACCGTGCCCTCTTGCGGGACGATTTCTCCGGTGAGAAGCTTAATCATCGTCGACTTGCCAACACCGTTCGGCCCGACGCACGCGACTCGCGAGGCGAGAGAGACTTGCACGGTGACATCTTTCACGGTTGGCGCGTTGTTCACCGGGTAAGTGTACGTGCAGTGCGCCATCTTCATCAGCGGCTTGCCCTTGGACTTGACGCCGTCGATGTAACCCGGTTGTGGGAAGCGCATGACGAAACCGGTCGAGCTCTTGAGCTCAAAGAAGGACTTCGCCTTGGGATTTTTCTCGACAAACTCGGTCAAGTTACCTCGGAACTGCTTCAACTTCAAGTTTTCGATGGAGATGATGTTGTTGCACACGCGGTCGACAAAGCCGGTGTCGTGCGAAACCAAAATCGCGGTGACGTCGGTGAGAGACTTCAAGTACTCTTCGACCCACTTCACGTTCATCACGTCCAAGTGGTTCGTGGGTTCGTCCATGAGCAAAATATCCGCGTTCAAGCACATCGCGCGCGCGAGCGCGAGTTTCATGCGCCAGCCGCCCGAAAGGAAGGTGACCAAGTTGCGCGCGCCGTTTTGCATCTCACCGAAGCCGACGTTGAGAAGCATCTTCTCCACCGTCTGTTCGGAAATGCCCGCCGCCTTGATGCGCGGATCGGCCAGAATGTAATCCACGCACGGCAAATCGGAAAGCTCGCCGATGATGTCGGCTTCGACGAAGACGGTGCGAAGCTCGGTGGCGGGCGGGAAGCCTTCAACTTGTTCGTTGGCGATGGCGCGCATGAGCGACGACTTACCGCTGTCGTTACCGCCGAGAAGGGCGTACTTGTGGCCACGCCTGAGCTTCAACTTGGTGTTGTGCAACAAAACCTTTGAACCGTACGCCAAGGTGAACTGACAATCGGCCAAGACGTCGGCGGTGTCGTCGTCGTCGTCGTCGACTTCGACGTCGCCGTAAATCTTGTCCAAGGCTTCGTGAAGCGCGCGAACTTCCTTGACGGCGTCGAACGACTTGAACGCTTCCTCGTAATCGTAGTCATGGCACTTCGCGTTCACCAACGCGCAGGCGATGGTGGTGTAATACGTGGACAACGAAGCGTCGAACTTGGCGCCGAGGTGCTTGTCCACCTCGCCCTTGACGACGTCGAAGACGGCTCGCTTGGACTTGAAAGACGCGTCCTTCAATCGGTCCTCGATCGATTGCAACTGCTCACAAGCCTTGCCACACACCGTGCGCGCCTCGGGATCGGAGATTTGGTCCGACGCCTTGGACACCGCGGGCAAGAGGTTGGGCAAGAAGGGCGCCGCGTCCTCGGGATCCTCCACGAGCTTGGACATGTTGTTCACGATGACGGCGGACATGCGCTTGGTCGCGGTCGTCCTGGCGCGGAACCCCAAGAGGAGAATCGGCGAGATCAACGCCAACGGCGCCGCCGTGACGGTTTGCACGAAGGTCGTCGACGCGAGCTTTTGCACGCACTCGTCGGTTTTCTCGTGATCAATCGTCGCCTCAACCATCGCCGAAATGAACGGTTCGACGTCGCGGTTGTCGATGGTGTGGCACAGACGCTCGAGAGCCTTTCTGGTCGCATCCGCGACCTCCTTCTTGGCGTCGTTCACCATGGACGTGACGACGGGCAAGATGGAGATCATGTTCGACGCGACGGCTTGCGGCGCGCAGTCGGAGAGCTTGGACAACACTTCGGCGGCGGCGACTTGCGTCTGCCAGCGCTCCTTCGGATCGAGCGCGGCGAGAGTCGCCGGAATGATCGCGGCGCCGACGACGAAATCGTGCGCTTTCGTCGCCAACGTTTGAAGCGTCGCCGAGGCGGCGGCGCACACGTCGCTCGACTTTTTGTCCGCCGACGCGGCGAGGAGCGCCGCGACGAGCGGTTCGCTCAGCGTGATCTCCGCGTGCGCCGAAACATCAGCCGAGGACGTCATCGCGGCACCGATGGCGTTTATCACCGAAATCTTCGTCGCTTCGTCATCGGAATTTCCGAGCGTCGCGACGGCCGAGGCGGCGTCTTTAAAAGTCATTCCGAATCTCGAGCGATCGGTCGGAGGGCTTTCTTCTGCGTGACGACGGAGACGCGGTCAGTACGCGCGATGCGCGAAACGCGTCGCGATCCATCGCGATCCATCGCGAACCGCGAACCGCGAACCGCGAACGAACGAACGAACGAACGAATCGTCCGTCCGTCCCCGCGAGATCTGGATTCCCCCATCTTATAAGATGGCGCGGCGGTCGTCCCCGCGATCGTCCGCTCGCGTCGTCGCTCGACCGCGCGCACCTCGTTCGCGCTCGGCGCGGAACTCTGTCTGGGATGGATTCGACGCGCGCGTCGCGACCGCGTGGACGCCGTGGGTCGGTCGCGGCGACGTCGGTCGCGCGTGCGGGGGAGTGCCGTCGCCGTCGGGCGAAGCGCTGACGCGGACGCGGGGAAAAAGTGCGGTGGCGTTCCGCGAGTCGCGACTCAACGACAGGGGGGGTCGCGCGCGATAGATTCGATTCGCGAAGATTCACGCGCCAGCGTTTTTTTTGTTTTTTTTCGGGGGGGGCGCGCGATGACGCACCTAAATCACGGTGTGAAGTGGCTCTCACGGGTATGTGCGCGCCGCGCGCGATCGAGAAACCCGTAACTTTGCGCACGCGTGCGCGCGCGGGTCGGTGGGCGGAATTTATCGTTGATGAGTATCGTATTATGAGGACTCTGTGGACTCTGTGGCCGAGTGGTCTAAGGCGCCAGATTAAGGAGAACACGAGGAGGAACTACGGGAAAAACAACGCGCGCGACGCGAGTCGCGCGCGCGCCCGCTTTCGTACCATGCGAGAACAATCGCAACGTAACATTCTGGTCCGAAAGGGCGTGGGTTCGAACCCCACCGGAGTCATCATCCCTCACTGTTAACTTTTGCTCATCACCCGTTACGTCATGCGATCGGATATGCTTTTTAGCCCATCATTACTGTACATCATATTATTTAGTTCACCTAAGCTATTCTCATACCCGATTTCCGACTCATCTAATCTAACGCCGCCAACGCCCCGCACCGAACGAGCTCGCACACGAGCTCGAGAAAGTTGTTCTCGCGAAAGTTCGTTTTTGCGATTTCGAGCGCGTCGCCCGACCGCACGGCGTCCAGAAGCTCGTCGAGACGCTCGTCGTCGACGTCGCTCGGCACGACGACGCGACCGAGTCGGTCTTCGTCGGCGCTATCGACGCCGAGCACGCGCACGTGCGCGCCGTCGCGGCGATTTTGAAATGGATGAAACAACGTCGTCGCCGGGCTCTCTCGTAAAATTGAAAACGGCGCGCCTTCGATTTGCGACGCCACTCGCGTTCTCGCGCCGCTCCGCAGCTCAGCCGCGGCGACGTCTCCGGTGCACCGCGCTTTCGATCGCAGCAAGTGTGAATCCGGCGGTGGGCACCGTTGCATCATGAACCGTGCCTCGAGCGACGCGTACGCGTGCTCTACGAGCGCCGCGCCGAAGTCGCCTTGGAGCTCGCTCGCAAACGCGCGCAACTCTTCTCCCAGTCCCTCCAACGCGGCGTCGCGACGACGCTCGTCGTTCAACGTGGAAACGAAACTCCTTCGTAACTCCGCGCGACCGTCGATCGTGGAAGCCAGCGCGTTGTTCAACGCGATTTCGAGCGCATCAGCCGGCGCGTTGGATTGATTCGTCGATAACGTCGCGTGCACGCTGTGCGTCGACGACGAGCACTCCGCCTGGTGAATCCAACCGCGCGGCAGGTACAAAAAGTCCCCAGCCTCGAGCACGTCGTCGAAAACCACGCGCTGCGTCGCGATCTCCTCTTGCGTGAAGTTCCTAGAGCTCGTCCTCGGGTGCGTCTCGTCCTCGAACGGCTCGTACACCCGCCACCGCTTCGCGCCTTCGATCTGCAACACGAACGCGTCGATGTCGTCGTAATGCGGCGCGAACCCTTGTGAACTCGCCGGCGTCACGTACACGTTGCACCCACACGCGCACTCGAAATACCGCTCCAGAGTCGCTAAAATCTTCCACGTCGCGTCGCACCGCGTCTGCGGATGCAACAACCGCACCGACCGTCGTTCCTCGCCGAACCTCCGCGTCAACACCGCGTCCGCGTCCACCAATTCCCCGACATCGTCGTCCTCGTCGTCGGCCTCGCGTCCCGCGTCGCTATTCCTATTATGCGTCCTTCGCACGCCGTCGACGTACGACGTCACGTCTAAATCCACGCCGTACCGCGCCTCGCCGTCGCGCGTCGCCCGCGTCACCGCCTCCATCGTCATCCACGACCCGTAGTGCGCCCGTCCGCCGCGCTTGACGCACACCGCGCGTCTATCGACGCACGTCGCGAACGTCGCCGCGTCGAGCGGCGCGATCGCGTGTTCGAACAGCGCGTCGGCGTCGCCGCGCTCGGCGTGTTCGTCCCAGAGCGCCGCGTCGGGCAGCGTCGCGTCGCGCGCGTCCACGACGAGCGGTCGTCGCGCGTCGCCGCCGCCGTCGTCGTCGCCGTCGTCGTCGTCGTCGTCGCGCGCGCCGGCGCCGTCGCCGGCGCGCGCGCGCTTGCGCGGCGTCGACATCGTTCGGACGCGCGATGATGTGGCGGCGTCGCGCCGCGCGTCGCCGCACACGCGCGCGCGTCGCCGCGCGCGCGCGCCGACGCGACGCGCGACGCGTTCGTCCGGATGGCGTGCCTCGGCTGCCGCGCCGCGCGCGCGTCGACGCCGGACGACGACGCGCGCGACGACGCGACGACGACGGCGACGACGACGACGACGACGACGACGACGACGACGACGACGACGACGCGCGAGGCGAGCGAGGCGAGGCGCGCGCGCGCGACGGCGTCGATGGAGCGCACGGACAGCGCGCGGTCGGAGGGCGGCGCGCGCGCGCGGCGGTCGTCGCTGTCGAGGTCTTCGAGCGCGCGCGACGGCGACGACGACGACGCGGACGCGCGTCGAGGACGGAAGAGCGTGTCGTTTTCGAAGAGAATATCGACGACGGTGATCGTGAATTCGAGCGGGGGGGATTCGAGCGGCGGCGGGAGCGGCGGCGAGGCGACGACGGGGACGGCGCGAGGGGGCGCGAAATCGAACGCGCGCGAACGCGAACGCGAACGCGCGCGGGGACGGGGACGCGAGCGGGGTGGGCCGATTCTCAGCGAGGATATATTTAACGTCGACGCGTACGTTCGAGGACGCGCGCGGTAGAGGCACGATGCGAATCGATCGTTCGACTCTCCGACGACGACGTGTAACGACGCGCGTCGACGCGGCACATCATGACGGACCATCTGACGCCCTTCGTGATCTCGCACTACGACGTCTTCGAGACGCACATCCTGAGCAGGCTCAACACGCCCGAGATCGCGCGCGCGCGTTGCCCTTGCGGCAACGAGGGCGCGATACCGGCGAGTTTCGTCGGCAACCTCGTGTGCTCGCAGCTGAACAGGACGTTTCGTAGTCTCGTGCCCAAGTATCAGGACGCGTGCGAATCCCACGAGCGCGACGAGGGTCGCGAATTACCGGGCGAAGACGCGAACACAGCGGTTCAGAACACAGCGTTTCAGATCTCGCTGCTGTTGCAGACTTCGGTGTCGATACGAAAATGGTTGGCCCCGTACGCGGGGCATCGCTGCGAGATGGACATCTCGCAGTGCGCGAATTGCAAGAAATTCCTGTGCGATTATCATCACTTGGCGCGATGTAAAAAGTGCGAAGCCGTGGCGTTGCTGTGTCGACGGTGCATGACGCTCACGGGGGGGACGGTGCTTCTCGATTGCCACGTCACGCCGAATTTACTTCGCGAGCATTGCTATCGTTGCGCGCACGGCGTGCTGAAGGCGTGCGCGAGGTGCCACGACACGTTCTTTTGCGATCGATGTCAACAACGAGTGGGATCGAAGCACGATCCAGATGAGTTGCGCTTGCGCACCGCGCACTGTGGACGCGCGGAAGCTGGCTTTTGCCGAAAATGCTCGTATCTTCTCGTCGTTTGCGACATCTGCCGCCGACGCGCGTACTGCGATAAATGTCTGGAAGAAGATGTCTCGATGTCGCGGTGTTCGCGTTGCGGCGAGTGGAACTGCTGCGAGGAATGTCTCGCGAACGAACCGACGGCGAAAGAATGGCGCGCGCACGTCGAATCGTGCGTTGGTCGTCGCGGCGGTGCTAAGATGACTTCCACGAAGACTACGACTACTTCCTAAGACGAAATTCGTCGAATCGCTCTCGCGTCGCTCGCTCGTCTTCGGCTCGATCGCGCTCGTCGAGCAAGCGCCAATGCGGCGATTGACTCGACTTGAGCCACAAAAAATCATCGACCTCTCTCCACATGTGATTCTCTTCAAATAACCCGTGCGCTTTCAACACCTCCTCTTCGTTCGGCGATTCGATCGAAAAACGCGGCGCAAAGGCGACTTCGCGCGAATCCTCCACGATCGGTCTCGACGTCGCGCGCACGTGAAAGTTCGTCCGTCTCGCCGCGTGCACGCGCAACTGTCGAGTCGCGACGCACACGACGCTGTCTACGATGTTTTCAACGAGCGCGCTGCCGGCGATCGCGAGCACGTACACGCGACACCGTCTCAAATCGTACGCCCGCAAAGCGCGAATCGCTCCGAGCACGAAAATGTCGCAATCCACCAGCCTCTCCAACGCGTAATCCTCACCATCATTCGTCGCGCGATCGATCACGATCGTCTCCCCGCGCCTATCTCGCGTCCCCGGCCCGTCGTCCGCGTCGCACAAATCCAGCGCCGCCATCGCGACAGCCGTTTGATTCGCCGGCGTCGCCGCGCTCGCCGCCGCGCCCCCGACCGTCGCGCGTCCCCCTCTCGATTTAAACCTAAACCTCTCTCTCGGCGTCACGCACGCCACCGCGCGCTCGAACTGCTCCCTGAGCTCCCCCATCTTCCGCATCATCACCCTCGCGTCGTACGCCGGCAAGAAATAACTCCACTCCGCCGTCGCGCGGTCCAAATCGACGACGCGCGCGTTGACCGCGCGCAGCGCCGCCTTCCCCGTCTCCCTCGCCTCGTTCGTCTCCGCGTCGTCCCGCGCGCTCGTCCGCGCGCGCGCGGCATCGCGCGCGACGTCTCGCAGCGCGTCCTCGATCTCGCGTCGCGCGCGTTCGAACGCGTCGACGCATTTCGCCGCGTCTTCGAGCGGATTCGCGTCGAGTTTCGCATCGTTTCGTCGCGCCTCGACGCGCGCGACGCGCGCGGCGGCGTTGGAGTCGAGCCGGGCGAACACGGACGGCGCGTCCGTCGCGGGCGCGCGATCCATCGCGCCGCGCGCGGTCGCGAGGCGTCGACTTTTGACGATGGCAGCGCCCGGCGCGCGGAGAGAGTTGGTTAAATTACACCTCGCGAACGGCGCGACGCAAGTCCTCGAACCAACCGCCGGCGCGACGAATCTCGTGCTCTAACGCGGCGAGACGATCGGATAAAATGTCCTCTTCGGTGTCGTCGCCGGAGACGTCGACGCGCGCGCGCGCGAGACGATCGGCGACGCCGAGTAATCCGGCGAGCTTGAGACGGAGCTCGGAGACGCGAGGCGCGTGGAGCACGGCGTCGGCTCGCGCGAGCGCGGTCTCGCCCTGAGACAAACACTCGAGAAGATGCTCGGCGGCGCCGTGGACTTCCTCGCGAAGGCGCGCGGTTCGGGCTCGGGAGGAGAGCTCGTCGTTGGACGTCGCGGCGTCGGCGCGACGGCGAGACGCCGCGGCGAACGAGTCGCTTCGTATGGACGCCTCGCGGCGGTCGAGGTCAGCCTTGGCCTTGGCGACGTACTCGAGTTGAGCGTCGAGTAAATCAATCTTGGCGTCGCGATCGAGCGCGACGACGGACGTAGAGGCTTGCTCGCGGCGGGCGCGTAATTCGTCGCCCTGTCGCTTCGCCGCCTGAATTGCCGAGGCCACGACGGCGGATACGCGCTTTATCGTCGCCGCGCCTTCTCTTTCGCTGGACTCGCATGCGTCGTTGATCGCCCGCGCGGCTTGTGCGGTAGCCGTAGCGGCCTCGAGGTGGGCGCGCGCGGTTCGGCGCACCTCCTCCGCGTCGGCGAGAATGGTCGCCGCGTGACGCTCGGCGTTGGCGACGGTCGCGTAGTCCGACGCGTCTTCTCGCCGTTTGCGCGGCTCACCGCCGATGCCGTGCATCTCGACCTCGAGCACGTCCTTCATTCGCTCGTTCACTTCGTCTTGTAGCGTCAACAGGCGCGCAGTATCGTGCTCGAGTCGTTCAAGCTCATCCGTCAACGCGAATTCGCGCTTGGCGAGCTCATTTTCTCTCGCATCTAGAAGCGCGTTCGCGCGTAAGAGCGCCGCCGTCTTAGACTCAAGGACTTGTTCTGCGCGCGCGCGCTCCTCTTGACGAATTTTCTCCTCACCGACCGCGGCAAAAGGGTCAGCGTCGCCGGCGGCGGCGCCGCTGGAAGATTCTTCTTCCTCGCGGCGTCGTCGCTCCATGTCCGCGTTCGCCATCACGGCGTTCGCTGCGGCTTTCGTGCGTTCGAGCTCCATCTTTAATTCGACCACTTCGCGTTCGAGCTCAGCGGCGATCAAGTTCGGCGCCATTTCTTGCAGCTTTTGCTCCAACTTGGCGTTTTCTTCATTCAAGATTACCTCCGCTTCAGCCGCGGCGCTCAACTGACGAGCCGCCGCCTCTTCGCGTCGCTCGAGCTGTAACTCTTTCTCTTCGAGCTCTTTCTCACGAGCGCTCAGCTCGACGAGTTGCGTCTTGGCTGTTTCGATCGCTGCCGCGTGCGCCTCGATGTCCACTCGTTTTGACTTGAACTCGTCAATTTGCGGCCTCCATTCGGCTACTTCCGCCTCTCGCGCCTCCACGTCGCGGAGTCGCTCGGCGATCTCCGCTTCGAGCGTCGAGACTTCGCGCGCCTTTGATTCGTTTTCGCTCGCTAATCGACGTAAAAACTCCTCGTGTTCGCGCAACTCATCGAGCTTTCGCTCGTTTTCCTCCTGACGCTCGCGCATCGCCGTGGCGTCGCGGTCAAACGCCTTGACGTTTTCTTCCAACTGTGCCGCCGTGTCTTCGATCATCTTTTCTTGACGCTCCAAGTCAGAGCGCATGCTTTCAATTTCGTCCCACGCAACGGCGATGGCTTCGCACTCGTTCGCCGCGATTTCCGCCGCGTCCGCAGTTTCGCGCTCGCGCTCGTCTAAATCGGAGCGTACGCTCTGGATGAATTGCACTTGTCGCGCCTTTTCAGCCGTAAGCGCGCTGAGTTCTCCGCGCAATATTTCGACGTCCTTCTTCAACGCATCCGTTTCGCGTTGCGCGCTCGCCTTGACGTCGACAGCGCGCCCCACATCGGCCTGCACCTCTCGCAAATTCGTCCGCACGCGCTGCTCGTCGTTTTCAAGTTCGTGAAGTCGCCTGGCGACGTCCGCCTCTCGCTTCTCTGCCGCGTCTGCGCGCTCTATCGCGCGCCTCAACCGCGCCTCTTCGTCCGAAGCGCGTTCCTTCAGCGCTCCTAAACGCCCCTCCACCACGCGCAACTCGTGCTCACGTTCCGTGGCGCTCTCCTCGCGCTTCAATACGCCCACCTCCCGATCCGTGAGCTCGCGGACAATCTCCTCGCGACGGCGTTCCATCGCCGCCGTCTCGCGACGCACAGCCTCATTTTCGCGCTCGAGCCCGACGATCGCTTCCGTGAGTTGATCGTCCCGTAAATCTAAATCATCCCTCGCGTTTCGCATCGCTCGCTCGCGTTCGTCCAAACGCGCCGCGCGTCTCTTCAAATTCGCCTCAAAAACCTCCGCGTCCTCCGTCGCCCGCGCCCGCGCGTCGACTTCCTCCTCTCTTAAGATCAGTTCACGCTCTCGCTGCGTCATCTCGAGCTCCTTCATAGCCAGCCTCTCCGCGTTTCTCGCGTCTCCCGCGTTCGCGCGCTGCTCCGCGTCCCGAGCGTCCCGCTCTCTCTGCGCCGCCCGCTCCTCGCTCGCCTCCCGCTCGATCTCCAGCTCTTTGACGTACCGACGCATCGCCGCTAGTTCTTTCGCCATCGCTTTCCGCTCCACGTTCAGCGCGTCGTCGCCTGCGTCGCGCGGCCCGGCGCCGGAAAGGATCGCGCTCGAGATTCTGTCCCATTGGTCTCGATCGGTGACGTTCAGCGTCGCCGTGCGCGGTATCGGCGCGTTCGGCGGCGGCTCGGGCGTCGCCATCGCGTACTTCATTCGTACCGCGACGCCTGCCAGCGCGATGTCGACCGCGCGCCGCGCGCGCCGGCCACTGCGGCGGTGCATTCGTCGAGAGTGAACATCTTGTGTCTGGCTCGCGCGGGCGACTGCTCGCTACAACGTCAATTTCCTACTTTCTACGAGTACACAATCTCGACCGTGGGTGAGAGAGGCTAATTCCGTGCGCTATCGCATCGGCGATCGGCGCGCGCTCAGCGCGCGCGCGTCGGCGCGGTCGTCTTGGTCTTCTTCTTCGGCGACTCGTCGCCGCTCGGAACGGAGCGCGCGGCGAGCGAGCGCTCGAGCGCTCGCAACGCTCGAATGAACCCGGAGTTCGGCTGCGCGCACGGCCGCACCTCACGAATGGCGGTCATCGCCTCGTCTAAATCCATGCCGAGCGCGCGCATCATGTACATGGCGCAAATCGTCGCGCTTCGACTCTTACCCTGAAAGCAGTGCACCAACACCTTTCCGTCTCGCGCGAGCGCGTCGCGAATGAAGTCGAAGCATCGGTCAAAGTGTTCATCGATCGCGGCGTCGGGCTTATCGTCCACCGCGCACGTGGCGTACTCGAAATCATCGGGATAGAACCCCTCGCGCGGCATTCCACCGCACGCGGTCAACACGTGCGTGACGCCGAGCTCGCGCAGCGCCTCGACGTTTTTCGCCGCGCCCACGCTCCCGATGTACACGCCCTTCGTCACCTCCACCGCGCGCGAGTCGTTCTTCACCGACCGCGCGGTGAGCAGCGCGGCGAACAGCGCCTTCACTCTCGCGTCTTGCGTCGATTTATCCATCGCGCGCGCGCGCGCGTCGCCGTCGCCGTCGCCGCGCGTGCCGCGGCTCAACACCCTCGACACGCCGTCGCCTCGACGCGCGCCGTCGCGGAGCACGAGCGCCTTGATCGCGTCGTACGCCGATCGCGCGTGCGCGACGTCGGCCAGCATCGACCGCGCGACGCGTTCGCGCGACGCGGTCGCGCGTCCGCGCGCGGGCGTCGCGAAGTGCCGCGCGAGCGTTTCGGAACGTTCTTGGATGTTAGCGCGTCCGACGCGCGTCGTCACGCCCGAGGCGCGCGTTTCTCTCGACGCCGCGCGCGCGCGACGCGCGATAGAAACGCGCGCGCGCGCGTTCGCGGCGTCCCGCGCGCGCGACGCGAGCTCGAGCGCGCCGCGCGTCGCGCGAGGGTGGTCGGAAGACGAAAGGACGTTCGGCGAGGGCGCGACGCGACGCGCGCGATGGGGGCGTGCGCGAGCGTCGAACGCGCGGTCGCGGACGACGACGGGGCGAACGAGCGCGTCGCGGATGCCGCGGACGCGGCGTCGACGAGACGCGACGTCGCGACGAAGGATCGAGTGCGTCGGTCGTCCACGAGGGACTCCGCGGAGGAGCTCGACGAGGGCGAGGGCGAACGCGAACGCGCGGAGGACGTCGCGGCGAAGTTTGATCCGTTGGAACTCACGAGAACGCGCGTCGACGGTGACGATCGCGATGGGACGAACGGTAAACGACGCGTGAAAAGGAAGCCGTCGAATGAGCTTCATCCGACGGTCGTGGAGGCGTTGAAATCCTCGAACGAAACCGTTCGCAACGCGGCCAAGTTTATGATCGAGCAAGGTTTGGACGAGGAGACGGAGAAGAAGTTTGCGTACTTGAAAAGCTTACCCGCGCTGATGCCGAAACCCTCGTCGGAAGCTACCACGCGGTTGACCGCGCGCGAGGAGCCGAAAGGGCCAAAGGCGCTGTCCAAAGCGTTCGGATTCGCAATCCAAAATCAAGACTTTGAGTGGGCGTCGGCGGAGGAAATCGGCGCGCTGTTCTCCGACGACGTAGATTACTTGAACGTGCACGGTGATTATTTCAAAGGGAAAGAAGAAGTTGTATTGAGTTTGAATGAATCCGTTCGCCGCATGTCGACGCGCATGCGAGGCGCGAGCACGCGTGGCGACGGAAGAACGCTCAAGTACATGAAATGCAGCGTCGACGGCCCGAATTACAAAGGCCGGGCGCCGAATGAGCGCGAGTGGTCGACTTGGCACATCAATTACACGTTCAAAATCTTGCTTCTCACGGTGAAGATTCGTGAAATTTATTTCGTCGACGACGAAACCGATCTGATTCGTCACATTGCGCGGTGTCGCGTGTAGTGAATGGTCTGCAACTCTTTCGCTCGTATTGTACAAGAAGTTCTAACGATAAAACATTAGTTCGCTGCCGCAGCTTCCTTCGCTTTGCGCTGTTTAATGACATTCGCTAAAAAGAATTCGCCAGCCTTGTACGACGATCGCACCATTGCGCCGGAGGCGACGTACAGAAAGCCCATTTCTTCGGCGATTTCCTGATACCGCTTGAACGCCTCCGGGGTGACGTATTCGACGACTGCCAAGTGTTTCTTCGTCGGTCGCATGTACTGACCAAACGTCACAACGTCCACGTCAGCCTCACGAAGTAATTTCAGCGCGTTGACGACTTGCTCATGCGTCTCTCCGAGACCAAGCATGATGGACGTCTTCGTGATTTTCGCCCCCGACTTTTTCGCGTGCTTCAAAACCTCGATGGATTGGTCCCAGTTCGCCCGTCGATCACGGACGTCGCGTTGAAGCTCGGGAACCGTCTCGACGTTGTGCGCGAAAACATCCAAGCCTGAAGTAGCCACGAGCTCGACCAAGTGCTTCTCGCCCCTGAAATCCGGCGTCAACGCCTCGACCAAGACGTCGCAAGACGCCTTGAGACGTTGCACCGTCTCCCGAAAATGCCCCGCTCCTTGATCCTCGATATCGTCCCGATCGACGCTCGTCAGCACGACGTAATCCAATCCCCACGCCGCGATTGCCTTGCTCACGTTCGCCGGTTCATCCTTATCCAAAGGTGGCGGCGCCTTCGCCGTCTTCACCGCGCAAAACCGGCACCCTCGCGTGCACGTGTCGCCCATGATCATGATCGTCGCCGTCGCCGTCTTCCCGTCCCCGCCCCCCCAGCACTCGCCCAAATTCGGGCACTTCGCTTCCTCGCACACCGTCGCCAGCTTCAGCTCGCGCAATTTGGACTTTATCTCCGTGTACCGCTCGCCCCCCGGCACCTCGCGCTTCAGCCACGCGGGCTTACGCGTCGTCTTATCCTTCAGGCTCTTCGGCGCCGGCACGCTGTACGCCACGTCGCCTCGCACGAAGTCATCGAATCCCGGTCCGTGCCTCAGCGCCTCGCGAAATCCCTCGAGCGTGTGCGCCGTCTCGCGCGCCTCCGCCGCCGTCGACGTCGCTTTATCCACGCTCGAGCCCCCCTTCGAGTCGTCCCGAAGCTCCTGCGCGTCCGCCGCGCGCGCTCTCGCGCCGACGACGGCGCGCGCGCGCGCGAAACGAGCGTTTCTCGCGCGTCTGCGCGTCAGCTCGAGCACCGCGCGCATGTCGACGGCGAGGCGAGGCGCGAAATGCGGCGCCGGTCGCACATCACGACGCATCATGGGCGGAGGGAACGCGCAAAAATCGGCGACGGCGCGGAAGAAGGCGATGGAGAAGGCGCAGAAAGCCGGGGCGGGGTCGCAGCTCGCGGCGAACGCCAAGGCGATGTCGACGGTGTGTCAAGTGTGCCGCGCGAGCTTCATGTGCACGCTCGCGCCGATTAAGCTGAAGGAGCACAGCGATAATAAACACCCGAAACAGACGTTCGAGCATTGCTTTCCGGGCGTGAGCCTGTGAGGACGACGATTAGGTCAGACGCGCGTCGCTCGAGATCGACCGCGAGCGCGCGCGACGCGGGTAGCGGACGCGAGCGGCGGTGGTGGTTCTTCAGGCGAGGGTTCCGCGGCGACGGCTGCAAAGTTCGACGGCGAGAGACTAGCGCAGGTTAGCGCATGTTAATGCAAAGAATAACATAAGTGTATCCCCGTTTCGATTTTACGAGCTCTCGAGTGCGTTTTCGAGGCGATGTGCGCCGGTCGTCGTGACGCCGGGACGTCGAACGCCGCGGCGCGAAGACTGTGTCGTAAAGGTGAGAAGAACGATTCGATTAAAAGCGAGCCTAGATGTCGACGTAACGACCGTTGGAGACGTTGTACTCGAGTTTTGGGTCGCCGATAGAGCCAGCGACTTTATTTCTAACTTTTTGAACGTTAATCGTCACCTCACGAAGCGATCCGAGCTTTTCGTCGCGATTACGGTGGACGACGATGCCATTGTCGCACTTGTTGATGAAGTGCGCCGAGCCGGAGATGTCGTACAGACCCGGGGCTTCGCCTTTCCAGTTGTGTAACTGACGCGGGTGGGCGACAAACCAGACGTGGACGTCGTAGTGCTGAGCGAACCGTTTGATTCGAGTGAGCATTTGCGACACGTACTCGGTTTCCGTTTGGCCCGTGGGACGCTTGTGATCAAGCTCGTTGTAAGGGTCGATCAAGAGCCCACGGATGCCGTGACGCAACACCGCGGCGCGCGCCAATCCTAAGATCCAATCCACACTAGGAAGTTCGTCGTCTTCGTGACGAATGAGCACGAAATGCTCGTTCAACCACTTCATCCCGGAGCGCATCGTATCCGGATTCATTCGCGGCGCTTTCGAATATTTTCCTTCGAACCAAGGTTCTCCCACGTATTTCTCCACCAACTTTCTCGCGTGTTCGTGCACTTTGTTTTCGAGAGAACAAAGCGCGAACGACCAGCCGTGCTGAACCGCTAAATTGCACATCAACGCATCCACCCACTCTGACTTACCGCTATTCGGCACGCCGGTGACGACTGTGAGCTCGCCCGGGACGATTCTGTAGTTGTTGTCGATGTTGCGCCACCCCGTAGACACGCCACGAAGCTCGTTCGCGGTGGTCATGTTGAAATACGACTCAATTTCGGGCGCGAATTCGGAAAATCTAAACAATCCTCGCAGAGGGAAGCCCTCAGCCGTGGTGAGGCACTCGCGCACGACGTCGGCGCCCTCTTTCTGAAGCGCTTCGTTGGCATCCTTGCAGCCTTCGGGCCAGGTGACGCGCCAGCAGCGCTCTTTCCCGAGGCGTCGCGCGAGCTCCTCCGAAAGCGCCTGACCTGGCCCATCGGAATCGGTGGCGATGACGAATCGAGAAATCGTGTCGAGCTGCGCGCGACAATTCCAAAGGTACTCGTACTTTTTGTCCTCCTCGGGCGCAGGCGTCGGGCCGTCCTTCACTTTGCCCGGCGCACCGTCCGGAACCGAGACCACATTCTTAAAGCCTGCCTCTTCGAGCGCCAGTTTATCCATCTCGCCTTCGACGAGAATAACTTCCTCTTCACCAGTCACGTCGTCCAAGCCGTACAAGATCTTTTCGGCGCCCTTGACTTGCCAAAACGTCTTGTCCGGACCGCGGTACTTGATGTTGATCAACTCTCCGTCACGCATGTACGGAAAGCACAAAGCATCGACGTAACCACTCGCGATGGGGGAGTACACACTCTGTACCGCCAAACCGTTGCGTTCGGCGGTTTCGAGCGAGATGCCGCGCGACTTGAGCATCTCCGCCCACTTCGTCGCCGCCGCCGTCATTTCTCCCGGTCCGATGCGCTGCAAGTCCTCCGGCGCCGGCAACTTGGGTTTCGCCACACGTCTGTTCGATGTCGCGCCGTCCGCGCCCTTGGACGCGCGCGTGCGCCCATCCATACCAGTGCCACCAGACCACTCGCAGTTGGCTCGATGGCACATCCACGCCGCGCTCTTCCCATCATCCTCTACGTGCACGGCCAGCGAGCGCTCGCCCGTGGACCCACCGTTGCACGTCGGGCAAATGATTCGATGCTGACCCGGGGTGTAGCTCTGCAGCACGATGCGGTGATCCATCAGCGCGTCGCGCAAACCGGGCGGTCCCGTGCTTCCTTGCTGCGCGTACTCGCCCTCGGCGTCCGGCTTCGATCGATGCACCACCGGCGCGGGCGTGCTGAAATGCGCCGTCGTCGCCGAACCTCCATTTACGTTACCCTGCGGCTTCTGTCCCGCGCTCTGCGGCCTCTGCGCCCCGCCGTTCGCCGGCGGACGTCCGCCGTTCGCCGGCGCCGCGCCTCTCGGCGGCGGCGGCGGTCCCGGCTGTCCCCGCTGCGCCGGCGGCGCCATCGGCTGCCCTCGCATCATCCCTTGCCCTTGCGTCGGTCGCGCGCCCCCAGATCCCGGCGTCGGCGCTTGTCCCGAGCGCAACCACTGCACGCTCGCGCCCTTTGGCTTCGCGTCGCCCGCGCCACCCGTCCCGTTCGCGCCGTCCCCGGGCCATCCGCTCGCCGCCGTCCGCACCTCGCGCGCCGCTCCCCCTCGACTCCGACTCGCCGTCGTCCCGCCGATCGTCCACGCCGCGTCGCACCGCGTCGTTCGCACCGCGCGCGCCACCGCGCGTCGCATCGGTCGCGCGCAATCGATGGATTGTTCGCTTCGAATCGTCGATCGTCCGCGCGCGCGCGCGCTCGCGCTCGCGCTCGCGCGTCCGGCGCTCGCGCGTCCAGCGATCGATTCGGTCGATCGCGGCGCGGCGCTTCGCATGCGCGCGTCGTCGCGTCGCGAACTGTCGCGCGCGCGGCACTTTCCCGCGCGAATTCAAATCATGCGCGCGACGCGCGCGACGGCGTCGAGCGGCGCGACCGCGACGCGGCGACGTTCGCGCGGTGCGCGCGCGACGCGCGACGGCGCGCGACGGCGCGCGCGCGCGAGGTGCGACGCGACGGGACGGCGCGAGACGATGATTGCGCTCGCGGGCGCGCTCGCGGTGACGGCGCCGCGGCGCGCCGACGCGGCGGGCCAGCCGATCGATTGGTTGATGCAGTCGACGTTCGACGAAGACGTCGATCTCGTGGAGATCATCAAGGCGTCGGCGAAGGGAGACGCGGCGGCGGGGTCGGAGTCGTGGCGACGCGAGGCGGCGGAGAAGAGACGCGAGACGGCGAAGGAAAAGGCGACGACGACGACGGACGAAGAGCGCGAACCGGCGGACGTGGGGAAGACGGCGACGAAGTTTGGGAAGCTTGGGGTGATTTTGGTGCTCGCGGACGTGGTGACGGCGGCGGTGATGGGGAAGAGCGTGCTCGGCGTGGCGAAGTCGTTGGAGCGCGAGATGGAGTTGGACGAAAACGGCGAAGTCGTGGAGGTGAAGAAGGTGGAGAGTGGAGATTGGAAGGACGGGATCGCGGATAAGCTCATGGATAGGATCAAGGAAAATCAACGCATCGCCGAAAAGGGCGCAGAGGAATCTGAAGATTGACGCGTCTACGGCGCATCCGTCGTCTTCGCGTGTAATATTTATCGAGTCGGCGAGTCTTATTTCGTGACATTAAAAATCAGCCGATGAACTCGACGCGCTCGGCTGGGGGTGGAGGGTCCATGGCGTACGACGCGATTAACTCCGCCTTGGACGCTCGTCCGAAAGCTACGTCTCGCGAACCGTCCGGCCGCCTCCGCCCTTTCGACCACATGACGAAGCCGCGCACGCGCTTGTACGGCATTCCTCGATCGCCCTTTTTCGTCGCGTAAAATGTGCGTATGATCACCGCCGTCTGTCCAAAATCTAATCTCCCGTAATCGCTCGCGAGCTTCAGGAAATTCCGTCTCGTAAAGTTTTGGATGACCAGCGCTCCGGTGGTAGCGTCTAGTGTGCAGTCGACCTTGAACGAACGCCCGACGCGCGGGTGCGGCACAAACTTGAACACCGTCAGAGTCACTAGCGCTCGATTCATGGCGACTCCTTTGGGGTGCACCGTGTCCATGAGCGCCTCGCGCACCGCAGACTCAAGCGCTTTTTCGGCGTCGTTCAATTCATAGCCGCTCATGTGATAATCCTCGTCGCGCGGCAACGCGACGTACGCGTCCTCGCGCGTGTTTTTCGCGCGTGTTTTTCGCGGACGAGGGATGTGCGAAATTTGTTCTCCGCAACACTCGCAGTACGTCATCAGGCGTGAGGTGGCGTCTTACGCGCGAGACGAAGGACCCTCGTTGACTCGAAAAAGTCAGTTCCTCTTCCCTTGTCGATGGTTGACTTTGGGCGCGAATGGTTAAACTACAACTTTTATTGATTGACCGCTATGACGACCGCGATCGACCGCCTCGACCGCCTCGACCGCCTCGACCGCCTCGACCGCCGCCGCCGCCGCCGCCGCCTCGACCGCGTTGCCGATTCGCGCGATCGTTCGGACGCTTGTTTGACGAATCGCCGCCGACGTTTTCAAAGGAAAAACCGGGCGACATTAAACTCTTGGCCATGTCGGGAACTAACGCTTCGCGAGTGACGACTTGCACGCCCTCGTGCGTCCAAATCTTGAACGAAGCGTTCCCATTGCACCCAACGCCGATCCAACAGAGCCCGGCGATGGAGATGTCTCGCGTCGACGCTTGCCAGTCTTCGCCATAGATGTTCACGACGCGTGACCCCCACGCGCCAAACTGTCTCATGCGAGCCTCTCCGATCGGAGGCGTCATCTTCGTCCCTCCGTGCTTCTCGAGAAACGTGTCCGCTCCCTTTGTCGTGCGCGCGTAGTGCGTGGCGACCTTGTTCGACGCCCACACGGTGAGGTATAGCGTGCGTTGCGGCGATTCCAAGACGTCGATGCGCGCTAAACCACCTATGTGAATCGTGCCACCGACTTCGATGCGATACGTGCGCGGCGTGACACGCTTGTTCGGTAAAACGACCTTCATCTCATCGCCGTTCAATCGCGAAGAGAGTTGAAACGGTTGCAACAATCCGGGCGTGTCGTAGACGTCTGAACTGTTCGGCAACAGCGCCGGGAGCTTCACCATCCCGAGCGTCGTCCCAGGAAGCGGACTCGCGATCGGGCCTCCGTCTTCTTCACCCGGGCCGCCGTACCTTTGACTCAAGCGGTTGATCAACGAACTCTTACCCGCGTTTTGCGCGCCGACGACGTACACCTCTTTCCCTCGATCGAGCATGTCTTCGAGCTGTTGCGCCAAAATCGCCACCCCCATCCCCGCTTTGGCGCTCACCAAGTGCACGCCCGCGCATCGCGAAAGCCCGAAATCCTTCGACCGCCGTCGCACGAACGAAGTCAAGCGCGTGCGCGTGCACTGCGTGGGCATCAAGTCCACCTTGTTCGCCACGAGCAAGACGTCCACCACGCCCTTCTCCACGTACGGCTCGATGACGTCGATGGCATCCACCGGAAACGATCCGTCGAAATCCAGTAAATCGACCATGAGTAAAACCACGGCGCGGCCTTCGCCCGTCAACCGCTCGAAACTATCGCCGACGACGCGCGCGAAATCGAACGACGGCAACAGTACCTCCGCCGCCGCGTTCTTCACCCGTCCGCTCGTTCGCAGCGCGAAGCACCGCGCGCACACCACCGTCGGCGGTCCACGCTTTTTCTTCGCCCGTCGTTTCGTCGCCTCGTCGTCCTCGTCGTCGTCAAACAAAGAATTCAACGCGTCCAACCGCGCCGCCGCCTCCTCGGCGTCCAACCCGCTCACGTTTTCTTCATCCATCAACTCGAACCCCGGCGGCACGTACGTCTCGTCGATCGCGTCGTCGTCCACATCGTCGTCGCCGTCCTCGAACTCGAACGCCTCGCTCGCTTCCTCCGCGTCGTCCTCGTCGTTCCTCTCTTCCGCCGCCGCCGCCGCCTCCAGCGCGCGTCTCGGCGTCACGTAGTACCCCGGCGCGTTCGCGTCCTCGCGCTGCAGCCCGACCCCGCACCCCGGGCACACGCTCGGCGTTCCCGTCCCCACCGCGCGCGCGCGCGCCGTCGCCGCGCGCCCCCGTCGCTGGCTCCCGCCCGTCCGTCCCCATCGCGTCCCCGCCGCCGTCGTCGTCGTCGTCGTCGTCCGCTGCGCGCGCGCCGCGACGCTCGCGCCGCTCGCGCGCGTCGTCGCCGTCGGCATCGCGCGCGTCGCGACGCGCGCGCACCGCCACGCGCGTCGCATGCGCGTCGCGCGATGCCGCGATGACCGCCGCCGACGCGTAAAAAAAACCGTAACAGCGACGACGACGACGACGATGACGACGACGATGACGACGACGATGACGACGACGACACACGGCGACGCGCGCGCGCGCGAAGGAACGAACGCGCGACGGACGAGGGACGAGCGACGCGAAGACGACGCCGAACGCGCGGTGCATGCTTCGAGCGGTCGCGCGACGGTCGACGACGACGGCGACGACGACGACGCGCGGATTCGCGAGGACGAGACTCGGCGAACGACGCGGGCGAAGAGGACGAGACGCGACGCGAGCGACGCGAGCGACGCGGCGAGAGGTGATGGTCGGGACGAGCGCGGCGTCGATGTCGGCGATCGGGGCGGGACGGGTCGGGGGGGCGAACGCGACGGCGACGGCGACGAAACGGGCGACGAGCGAGGACGCGAAGGCGACGCTCGACGCGCTGGAAAATTTGAAACCGGGGACGAGGCTCGCGGGAGGGGCGTTCGAGGTGACGTCGACGAAGCGAGTGATGCCGTACGACGTCGTGGCGGTGGAGCTGGAGCACGTGAAGACGGGGGCGAAGGTGCTGCACGTGGGCGCGGACGACTCGAACGCGGGATTCAACGTGGCGTTTCGGACGACGCCGCGGGATTCGACGGGCGTGGCGCACGTGTTGGAACACACGGTGTTGTGCGGAAGCGAAAAGTTTCCGGTGAGAGATCCGTTCTTTAACATGCTGCGACGATCGTTGAGCACGTTCATGAACGCGATGACGGCGAGCGATTTCACGTGCTACCCGTTTTCGACGATGAACCGCGTGGATTACAAAAACTTGCTCGACGTCTACTTGGACGCCGCGTTTTTCCCCAAGATCGCCGCGGAGGATTTCTCGCAAGAAGGTCACCGCTTCGAGTTCGCGAAGATGGACGACCCGACGAGCGATTTGATTTACAAGGGCATCGTGTTCAACGAGATGAAGGGCGCGATGGGGTCGCAGAGCGCGCGATACGGCAGAGCGCTCGGCGAGAACTTGTTCCCGACGTCCACGTACCATTGGAACAGCGGTGGAGATCCGGTCAACATTCCCGACTTGACGTACGAACAGCTCAAGGCGTTCCACGCGTTGCATTATCACCCGTCAAACGCGAAGTTTTACACGTACGGCGACTTGCCGCTCGAGGAGACTTTGCAGCAAATCGAAGACTCGGCGTTGCACCGCTTTGATAAACTCGACGTGAGCAAGTTGATCGTCGAAGACGAAAAGCGTTTCACCGCGCCGAAGCGCGTCGAAGCCACCGTACCCGCGGACGCGGTGGTGGCTGACGCGAACAAGCAGTCGCTCATCTCTCTCGCGTGGCTCATGGTGAACCAAATCGAGGATCCAGTTTCGTTGGACAACTTCGCCTTGGGCGTCGCCAGTGACTTGCTCACGAGCGGACCGCAATCGTACCTTTACGAAGCGCTCCTCGAGCCCGGCCTCGGGAGCGGTTTCGCCCCGGGCACTGGCTACGGTGGCTCTCGCCGAGAGACGTCCTTCGCCGTCGGCTTGAAGGATGTCGCCGACGCGGATATGGACAAGATTGAAAAGACTATTCTCGACGTTCTCGAGCGCATCTCTCGCGAAGGGTTCCCGCGCGAGCGCGTCGAAGCGGTGATGCACCAGCTCGAACTCGACTCCGCGGCGGTTACGACGCAGTTCGGATTGTACACCGGTTTCGGAGCCTTCTCGACGTGGGTGCACGACGGCGACTCGCTGCGCGCGTTGCGCACGCCCGAGCTCGCGGCCAAGCTCAACGCCGCGCTCGACGCGGATCCGCAGTACTGGCAAAAGCTCATCAAAAAGTGGTTCTTAGACAACACGCACCGTCTCACGATCACCGCGCGCACTGATCCTGATTACGACAAAAAGCTCGACGAAGCGGAGAAGGCAAAGCTGAAGAGCATCGAAAAGACGTTGACCGAGGACCAGAAGAAGAAGATCGTCGCCGACGCGCTCGTGCTCAAAGAGAATCAAGATAAGAAGGAAGACGTATCGGTGTTACCCACCCTGATCGTCGCCGAGGCCGTGCCGAAAGACATTAAGCGCTGGGGGTCGAAGAATATGAAAATCGCCGGTAACATTCCGCTTCAGTACGACGAGCAACCGACCAACGGTGTCGTCTACTTTAGCACGCACTTTGATCTGGATGGTCTTCCGCAGCGGTTGGTGCCTTATTTAGACATGTTCATGGATTTCATCGATCAGCTCGGCACGGAAAAGATGAAGTACAAGGATTTGGCGGAACAAATCAAGCTTCGCACAGGCGGCTTTTCCGTCGGCTCCGTCGTTCGTACTCCCACCGACGGCAAAGGTACGCCGACGATGTCGCTGTCCATCAGCGGTCACGCGCTCGAACGCAACGTCGACGCGATGTTCGATATTCTCACCGATTTGCAAACGGCGAAGTGGCGAGGGGAAGAAGAGCGCGTCAAGTTGTTGTTGACACGTCGTGCCGCCGCACTCGGCGCCTCCGTTGGACAGCAAGGCATGCAATACGCGAGAAACCTCGCAGGCGCTCAAATCAGCGCCACGAGTGCGTTGTCGAACGAAACGAGTGGATTGCCTCACGTCGGCCTCGTCTCGCGCTTGTCCAAGGAAGGCGCGATCGATGAAGTTGAAACCGCGATGGCCGAAATCGCCGCGTTCGCGCTTCGCCCCGAGCGCGTACAGCGATGCCGCATCGCGTGCCAAAAAGAAAGCTTTTCCGCCACCGAACGTCGATTCGCAAAGTTCTTGAAAGATATCAAGCCGGTTGCCGCCAGTCCGAGCGACAAGGACACCGTGGCGACGAAGTTGAAGACGTTCAAACCCGAGCTTTCCAAGGTGTTTGTCTCCATCCCGGGGCAAACCAATTACTGCTCCGCCGCGCTTCCGGCGTTGCCGTACAGCCACCCCGACGCTCCGGCATTATTCTTGCTCGCGCAAGCGTTGAGCGCGGGCTACCTTCACCGTGAAATTCGCGAAAAGGGCGGCGCTTACGGCGGTGGTTGTGCCTCGGACCCGATGTCCTCGCTCTTCACCTTCTTCTCCTACCGCGATCCGAACACGACGGAGACGTTGGACACTTTCACCAAATCCATCGAATGGGCCACGAACTCGGAGAACATCACCACAAAAGAGCTCGAAGAGGCTCAACTTCGCGCGTTCAAGCAACTCGACGCCCCGCTCGCTCCCAGCGCGCGCGGAAACTCCGGTTTCTTAACCGGCGTCACCGACGAAGAGCGTCAGCGTTTCCGCGACGGGTTGCTCGCCGCGTCGCCGGCGGATTTATCTCGCGTCGCCGCCGCCCACCTCCGCGGCGTCGCCCCCGCGATCGCCATCATCGGTTCATCCGAGAAGGCTCCGCTCGCGGACGCGAGCTGGGTGAATCTTGACGCCCAGGGCGCGCCTCGCGTCGCCTAGTCGTCGCCGCGCCCTCGCTTTCGTTGTAATCGCAGTCGCCAATTTAATTTTTCAAACCGGTTTTTTCGCGGTTCACGACTCGTCGAAGGCCCGGAGACTTCACAACCGCCCTCGCGCGTCGCGCGACGCGGCCGCACGCGCGCGAGACATCGCACCGTCGATCGATACCGACGTTGACTCGCGACGCGCATCCTCGACCCGAACGCGACGCGACGCGAGACGCATCGCGAGCGCGAACCGATCGAACGACCGATCGTTTCCAACCGCCAAAAATTGCTCGCGAGATCGCGCCGCGCACGCCCGCGCGCGAGGACGATCGCGCGGAAGATCGATCGCGCGGACGATGGCGCCGACGACCGCAGCGGCGGCGCTGGAGCGCAGGCCGACGATGGTCGAACGTTTGCGACGGAAAAGGGCAAAGCCGACGGCGCGCAAATTGGTGCTCGGCGCGGGCGAACCGAACGACGGGAAGGATTTGGCGAAGGAGTTTAAGTGTAAGGATAATTCCATCTGCACGGGGAAGTACAATGTCGTGACTTTCGCGCCGAAGGGGCTGTACGAACAGTTTCGTCGGGTGGCGAACCTGTATTTCTTGTCCGTGGCGGTGATTTCGCTCTTTCCGACCGTCTCGCCGATCCAGCCGTACACGACGTGGACGCCCTTGACTATGGTGATTGGGCTGTCGCTGGCTAAGGAAGCGGTAGAAGATTACAAGAGACACGTGCAAGATCGCGTCCAAAACACGTCGACGACTGAACGATTTAACGGGGAGTCGTTTGAGAACTGCGAGTGGCACGACTTGAAGGTCGGCAACATCGTGCGCGTGGTGCGAGACCAGTTTTTCCCTTGCGACCTCATCATGCTCGATAGCTCGAGTGACGAAAACGCGTGTTACGTCGAGACGAAGAACTTGGACGGGGAAACAAACTTGAAAACCAAGCGTTCGGTTGACGTCGCGGACTTGAAGTTTGATCGCGAAACGTTTGCGAAGATGTCCGAGGGAAAGACGTTCATCGAATGCGAGCATCCAAACAACTCTTTGTACACGTACTCTGGAAACTTGTCCATCGGCGCGCCGTTGTACCCGAACGGTAAGAAAGTCTCGCTTAATCCTTCAAATATGTTGCTGCGAGGTTCAAGTCTTCGCAACACGGAATGGATCGTCGGCGTGTGCGTGTACACTGGACACGATTCAAAGGTTATGATGAACGCCACGGATACCCCGTCTAAGCGCTCGCACCTCGAAAAGCAAATGGATGGGGTCGTCATCACCATGTTGATAGCGCTGTTCGTTATGAGCACGGCCTCGGCGATTTATTGCTCCGCCTGGATTGGTAGCGGCGCGAAGGACCATTGGTACTTGGCCGTGCACTTACAGGATGTTACGTTCAATCCGGATAACAGAACCAGCGTTGGTGTTATTGCCTTTTTCACGTCCTACGTCCTATACGGCTATCTTATTCCAATCTCTCTTTACGTTTCTTTGGAGTTGGTGAAGGTTTTCCAAGGATTTGTCTTCCTGAACAAGGATCGAGCGATGTACCACGAAGAGACGGACACTCCCGCGCTCGCGAGAACGACCAACCTGAATGAAGAGCTCGGTATGGTACACACCGTGCTGAGTGATAAGACTGGTACCCTGACGTGCAACACGATGGAGTTCTTCAAGTGCTCGATCGCTGGCGTCGCGTACGGCGAGGGTGTGACGGAGATAGAACGAGCCATCATGCAGCGCAAGGGCGAGCCGTTGCCACCAAAAAATGGTGACGCAATCGAGCCATCGTTCAATTTCCGCGATAAGCGACTTGAGAACGGAGCGTGGCATAAGAGATCAGACGCTGACATTTGTCGCGGTTTTTTCCGTGTACTCGGCATTTGTCAAACGGTTATTCCTGAAGGAAATCCTGTCCCGTCTGAAATCGTTTATCAGGCGGAGAGCCCGGATGAACTTGCGTTCGTCGTCGCGGCAAAGCGCTTCGGCTTCTTCTTCAAGCATCGTTCGGCAACGACAATCACGGTTGAGGAAGAAGCATTCAATGACGGGCGACCGGGGACGGAGGACGTGACGTACACCATTCTCAACACGCTGGAGTTCACGTCGGCTCGAAAGCGCATGAGCGTCATCGTGAAGAGCAAAAACGATGGACGTATCCTTCTCTTCACCAAGGGTGCCGACAACGTCATTTATGAGCGACTGTCTCAGAACGGCAATGAATTCAAGGATGCGACCCAGGAGCACATGGATGCGTGGGCAAAGTGCGGTTTGCGCACGTTGTGCCTCGCGCGTCGAGTCATCAACCCTTCTGAGTACGCTTCGTGGAATGAAAAGTTCATCGAGGCGAGCCAAGCTCTCCAAAATCGTGAAGAGAAACTGGAAGAGGTGGCGAATCTCATCGAGAAAGACCTCACGCTGTTGGGCTCGACTGCGATTGAAGACAAATTGCAAGTCGGCGTACCGCGTACCATTGAACAACTCATGAAGGCAAACATCGCAGTTTGGGTACTCACCGGTGACAAGCAAGATACTGCGATAAACATCGGGCAAGCGTGCTCGCTCATCACTCCGCAAATGAAGGTCCGCGTCATCAACGTCGAAGATTTGGTTAAACAAGAAAACAACGGCGAGATCGACAGCGCGACATTTCAACGCCTCGCCATGGCCTCAGTGAAGCAGCAGATTGAAGCTGGTTTAGTAGACGCCGAAGCCGCGATTCAGCTCGACGCCGACGTCGGTATGGTTATCGACGGTCGTTCGCTCACGCTGGCTCTCAAACCAGAGCTCGCCGGAAGCTTCCTAGCCCTGGGAACCAAGTGCAGCGCGGTTATTTGCTGCCGCGTGTCGCCTTTACAAAAGGCGCTCGTGACGACTCTCGTGAAGGATTCTGGACGCATCACGCTCGCTATCGGTGACGGTGCGAACGATGTCGGGATGATTCAAGCCGCTCACATCGGTGTCGGCATCAGTGGCCAAGAGGGTATGCAAGCAGTCATGGCGTCGGATTTCGCATTTGCCCAGTTCCGCTTCTTGGAGCGCCTTCTTCTCCTCCACGGTCGATACAATTACAAGCGAATTGCACGCATGGTGACGTACTTCTTCTTTAAGAACATCGCTTTTGGTTTGACTATTTTCATATTCAACATGCACACCAAAGCCAGCGGACAGACTGTGTACAACGATTGGCTGATGTCGTCGTTCAACATTTTCTTCACCAACTTTCCGGTACTAGCGCTCGGTATCCTTGACCAAGACGTGAAACCGCAGAGTTCGATGGAGGTTCCGGAACTGTACAGAGAAACACAGGCGAACTCACAGTTTACGTCGCGCCGTCGTTTGACTTGGTTTGCGTACGGTATTTACGTCGCGGTTGTGAGCTTCGTTATGGTCTTCTACGGCATCCACACGGGCGAAGCGGACGCGGAAAGCGGACAGCCGTTTGGGCTGTGGGAGGTCGGAACGACTTTGTACACTGCGCTCCTCATCGCTTTGAACGTACAACTCGGATTGTTGTGCAACTTTTGGACTTTATTTCATCACGTAGTCATATGGGGTTCCATCCTACTGTGGTTCATCTTGAACATGGCGTTAAGTGAGACGGAAGTGTACTACTCCACTTACAGTTACAAGACGTTTTTACCGATAACGTCTCAGGTGATGAAATACTGGCTCGGGTTTTGGCCGGTGGCGATCATCTCCATCTGGCCCTACATTGCGTCCATCATGTTCATGCGATATTTTAGGCCGACTTTAGCCGATGAGGTGCAAGATAGAGACGCAGCTATCCGGAGGTCGTCCGGCGGAAAGAGCGAAAAGGAGGGCGTCGAGCCTCGCCAAAAAGTGGACGTTGAACTCAAGTCGCCTCGAAGAAGTGGTACTTTACACGGCGTCGTCGTTGAAAGCTTAGGAATCGCTCCGGTGAAAGCGGAGGAGATCAAGGCGCCAAAACACCGTCGTAAACTGTCTTTCGCTGATGTTTGGGGCAAAGAAACGCAATTTCCCGACGTCCCAGGAGGTCGCCGGAGTAGCCAAGATCGCACTCCGACGCATTCGCGCGGCGTGAGTCTAGAGAGCTTGTCTTTACCCACGCTACCCGAGGATAGAAGTGCGCGCGATTTGTAAACTATTTTATCGGGAGGTGTGTTTCAGTAAACCTATCGCTATTACATCTTCTACTTTGTGACAGTTTGTTTCGCTTGTAGCTCGCGGACAAACAACCACGCGACCGCCACTACCCCTTGTCCGACAAAACGGCGACGGGATAGTCGTACTGTTGAATCAACCACGCCTCCGAGTTGTAGTAAAACCCTCCTGGCGCGAGTTTGTAATCCTCTGTCGAACATTGAAAGGTGAAGACGCTCCCATCATCGTTGATACGCGGGCACAGGTACTTGTGGAACTGATTACCAACGAGATAAATTGTCACCTTGTGCGCCATCATGGCGGTGATCCACAGAAAAACGACGAATTTATAGCTCACGGCGAGCCATCTTCCCTTGCGTAAAAAATACCCTTTAGGGAAAACATCGCCGTGTCGTATACCGTGGAACCGTTGCTGAACGTACATGATGAAGAACGAAAGCACCATTTCGATCGCTATCAAGTTTATCGCCTGCACACCGTACGCCTTCAAGTCGACGACGTCCTCGTTGCCTTCGCTCGCCATGCGAAAGACATACAAGTACAGAGAAATCACGATGATTGCACAAATCTCTGCGAATGAAGAGACGATTGAGTTTAAGGCAACGATATCGTGCTGCTTGCGCGACACGAGCAGAGCTTCCGCGGACTGTTTTCCGAGGAATAACTTAACCAAGTGCACGTCTCGATCCTTCTGCACGACGTTCATCATGAGTTCGTGTAAAGCCAGTATCGCCTGCACGGTTGCCATGCTTTTCACCGCACCGCCCGCAGAGAGCAGAAACATCACATACCTCGAGACGAAGGACTCCTGGAGCGTGCTAGAGATGAAATACGGAAGATTAAGGCACGGCCCAGGAGACGGATTCAACCTCGTGAAGTGCCTTTCAAAACCGCGAAAAGTTTCCCACAGTAAGGGCAGAAAAATGAACCGCACGGCGAGCTTGAGAGGCGCGCTAACGTTCGGATCGGCGACGATGACGAGGAAGAATTCAACCACTGGCCTACCGATGATGCCAGGTCCAAAAAAGTACGTCCAGAACCAACTCAAACCTTTTGTGTTCCAAAACTCCTTCGCCGTCGCACCGCAAAGGAAGAGCGCACTAAAGGAGTTCAGGACGACAATGTGAGAATATGTCGAGTGATACCCCAAAATCGATATCATGACAAAGTAAACGATGTACATTTGCGCGAACGATTGCACGGCGAACTTTGTGCGCCACTTACGATATTTTGAGACGTGCCACGCGCTCATCTGGTGAAAAATCACCTCGCCGTAAAATGTGATCGTCGACAGCCGCACGAAGAGCACGGAAAAGTCACCCATTCGCCACGGTCGATAGTTTTTACCTCGTTCGCGCGCGAAAGTGCAGCGTAGAAACGTTCGAATGACTTCTTCTCGCCCCGAAGCATCACGCAGGTCTACGTCGAGAGATTTCACGCACTTGCGCCACGTACCGGTGGATATGAAGGAAAAGTAGCCAGTTATCACGATGATGCCTGCGACGATGCATGCTTGTACGCTTATCCAGTCCCACGCAGCATCCCGAAGCGTCGGTGGCGTCTCCGCGCGCGCGTGTTTACGTGTATCTCCGCTTTTGAAAATCCCGTTGGTCAAAGCGTTTGACTCGCTCGTCGCCGTCGCGTCGTCCTCGCCCTCACCGTGCGACGCCGGTGTCATCGTCTCGTACGCCATCGATCCACCGACGTCAGCACGTTTCCGCATGGTCGCGCCGTTTTCGTCGCGCGCGCACGAATGACGTCTCGCGACGAGAAATTTACTCGGCGACGACGTAAATAGCAGCCGTCCCGTCCCGCCGCGTTCGCGTCGTCGATCCCATCACTCACCATCACCCCGCGCTGAACACGTTAAAGAAATGATACACGTCATCATCATCCTGCACCGCGACTACGGTCCCACACTGCGCGCACGTCACCTCCCTGTACCTTTCGTCCGCGCCGTCGCCGTCGTCGTCCGTCGGCCGCAGACAGCTCGTCGTCGACGTCTCCACCCCTCGCGCGAACACCGCGCGGTACTGCCCCTTGTACCGCTCGTGTCGCTGACACAGCACGCACACCAGCGCGAAGCACCCCGGGCAGGACAGGCGCGCGTCCGTCGTCGCCGCGTCGGCGCCACCGAGCGCGCGAACGACGGCGCGCTCGTCCGCCGCATCCGCGCCCTCGTCGAAGAATTCATCGCGCTCGCGCGCGCCCACGTCCCCGAGCGCGCCCGAGGACGAAGAGTCCGACTCTTCCGACGCGCTCGCGCCGTCGTCGCCGTCGCTCGCGGCGTCGGCGTCGCGCATCGCGGCGTCGAGTGACGACCGTTAGCGAACGACCGGGACGCGCGCGCGGTCGCACATCGGCGCGCGACGCCGCGCCCGCGCGTCCTCGCGCGCGCGCATGCGTCTCGCGCGCGTCGCGCGAGCGTCTCGAACGTCGCGCGCGCGCGCCGCGCGCGCGCGCGCGCGTCGCGGGTCGATGGCGACCGCGCGCGTCCCGCCGCCGGTCGGCGCGACGTCGCGGGCGAGCGACGCGAGCGACGCGAACGCGAGCGACGACGCGCGCGTCGCGACGCGACATCCGTGTCAAACCCTGGTCCTCGACGACGGCGCGACGGCCGGATGCGAGTTCAACGTCGGGCGCTGGGACCCGGTGCAGCAGAGCGCGTTCGCGGACGACAGGCCGTGGCGCGGCGTCGAGCGATTCTTCAGGCGGTGCGTGCGAGGCGACGCGTGCCTGCGCGAGCTCGGATTGAGCGCGGCGGAAATCGTGTTCGCGAGCGGCGACGACGCGGGCGCGAGCGGGGGGCGAAGACGCAGGGAAGGACGAAGGACGTTCGCGGCGAAGTGTACGTATCACGGGCCGTCGTTCGCGGGCTTCGCGTGGAACGCGTCGAGGGATTTCGCGTACGACGGGACGTTCGAGCCGGGGTGCGCGTCGGTGTCGGCGGCGTTGCAGTTGGCGCTGCGACCGGTGTTGGATAAGACGCGCCCGACGCCGTCGGCGGGGAGGACGGATCGCGGCGTGAGCGCGCTCGCCAGCTGCGTATCGCTTTGGAGCAAGTCGGACGCCATCTCCGCGGCGGAGATTGAGCGGTTGGTGAATGAGGATTCAGCGCCGGGCAAAGCGGGTCTGTTGCGCGTGTCGGACGTGCGCGAGACGGGCTCGGCGTTTCACGCGACATTCGCGGCGAAGAGTCGACGGTACGTGTATTGCTTGCCGAAGAATCAGGCGTTTCGCGAGTCGCGCACGCCGAAGGCTGATTTGGACGCGCGCATCATCGATCGAATCTTAGCCGCGCTCGTGCGCGAGTGCGCGAACGCGCCGATCGATATGCACGCCTTCGCGCGAGGCACGCCGCCTGGGAAGAGTTCCGTCGTCACGTTTCGCGTCGCGAGGGCGTTCGAGGCGAAATTGCCTTCGCCGCCCGGCGACGGCGCCGACAGCGACAACGACTCCAAAGTCACCGCCGGCGTTCGGCGCTCGAAAAGCCGAAACGACGCTCACGACGACACCATCGACATCACCGACATCGACGCCGACGAAGTCATCGTCATCGAGCTCGTCGCAGACCGTTTCTTGCGCAAGTTGATTCGCTGTCTCGTCGCCACGACGATTCGCGAAGCCGCCGTCTTCGCCGGCGACGACGACGTCCTGCTCAGAATCGCCCGGTCGCGCGAGCGTCGGGCCGCGGCTCCGCCCGCACCGGCTTTGGGCCTCGCGTTCGCCGGTGTGGAGTACGATTAAGCGCGGCGCTCGGGTCGCGCGCGCGTCGCCGATTCGGCGACGAGACAGCAAAGAGTCGGTTCGTCTCCCACGGCACACGGCGACGCGCGACGACCTCGTCGTCGCGAAAACGCGCTCGAACGTAACGACACGACGATGCACGACGTCTCGCTCGCGGGCGCGCCCGCGCGCGACGACGCGCGCGCGCGAACGACGACCGCCGCCGACGACGCGCTCTCGGTCCGTCTCGACGCGCTTCAACGCGCCGTCGACGACGCGCTCGAAACGTTCAGCACGCGCCTGCGTAACGTCAAAGACGCCGTTTCCGCGGACGCGAACAAGGCGACGCAGCTCGCGCGGGCGAGCCGACGCGAGCTCGAAGAGATGGCGAACGCGCTGGACGCGATGACGGAAAGGCACGAGCGACGCATCGAAGCGTTGGAACGCGCGGTCAAGGCGGAACGGAAAGCGCTCGTGACGCGCGATGCGGACGATCGCGTGGCGCGTCACGGCGACGGCGACATCGATAGCGCGGTGAAACGGTCGAAGACGACGTGGTCGACGCGGGAGAACGCGGCGTTCGAGGCGTCGCCAGAGGCGTGCGAAATCGCCGGTCGCGGGGCGAACGACGATGGCGACGCCGTCGCTGTCGCGAAGGGCGAACGCGGCGCGAACGTGAAACGATGGACGCCGGAGACGTTCGTGATGTGCGTCGGTGTGGTGGTGGGCGCGACCACGCGCGTGGCGCTCGCGCTCGCCGGGTTGTGGGCGGTATTTTGGATGGCGATCGCCGCGGCGGTCATGTATGACGACGCGCGCTTGACGCGCGACGTCGGGCGTGAAATCGCGGGGCAGTGGTTGCTTTTCAGAGACGAGATACTCGCGCTCATGAGCTGAGCGCGGTGTCGATTGATACTTGATTGACGTTTGACGCGCAAACGAACGAACAAACGAACGTGCTCGGTCGTCGCGCATTTTGTATTGTACACCACCACACTATTTCTACGCTAATCTACGCTAGTCGGGCCCGCCTCCGTACGAGCTTATTTGACGCAATCGCTCGAACGCGTCTGCGGCAGTTTTTGGCGCGTCGCTCCGCTTCGGTTTCTTCTTTTTCCCCGCCGTCGGCGGCTCCTCGCCGCCGCCCTTCTTCTTTCTTCGACGTTTTTTCGGCGCGAATGGGTTTAAAACAGCGGGAGCGGCGGTGAGCGCGCCGAATGGCGACGCCACACTCACAGTGCGCTCGTATTTTCGCGCCTTAGCCTGAGGCACTTGCGACTGCTTCGCCACCCTGATGACGTCGCGTTCGGCGACGTCGTCGCGATCGACGCGAACGCCGAGCTCGCTCAGCTCGTCGTCCGCCTCCACGTTCACATCTGCGCTCAGTTCTGCGCCCTCTCGCGCGTTCGATACGGCCGACGCCCAAAACACGTCCAATTCCTCGTCCGCGCGCACCTCGTCGTCGCCCACGGGCGTCGCGCGCACGCCGCCGTCCGCCGCCGTCGCCACGCGCAACTCCGCCGGCGGCCGTCGCCCGAACGCCGCGTCGTACCTTCCCGGCGGCGGTAAGTGTTCCCGAACGTCCACCACGACGTTATACGCGCCGACGAGCGCCCGCAACACCCGCGCGCTCTCGCACCGCACCCGACTCGCGCACGCCGTCGCCGTCGCGCTCAGCGCCATGAAGTACCCGCGACCGAGCTGCCCCGCGAACGCCTCCACGCAATCCTCTCCCGCTCCCTGCAGCTCGCTCAGGACCGCGCACGCCGCGCACGCCGCTCGCATCGCCTCGTCCGCGCGCGCGCGCGCCGGCACGACGAGCGCATCGTTTCCGTACGCCAACCGCGAGTCGCGCGCGCACGCGTCGACGTCTCGCGCCAACGCCTCGAGCTTCGCCACCGCCTCCTGCGCGTCGTACGTCCTCCCGCGCGCGCACGCGCGCGTCAGCGCGCCGTGATGCTTCGACGCCCGGTGCTGCGCGCGCGATTTCCTTCGCAGCGCGTCCAGGAGCGCGCGCTCGCGCGAGAACACGCGCGAGGCGTCGCGCGCGGCGCGCGCGGCGGCGTCGAGTCGCGGTCGCAATTCGTCGGCGAGGCGCGTCAGGACGTCGCGCGGCGCGCGCGCGAGGTCGACGTCGACGGCGGTGACGTCGCGGACGCGCTCGCGCGGCATCGCGCGGGCGTCGCGGACTGAGGCGCGCGAACGAAGCGGCGAATGTGGTGCGCTAAGGTTGAATAAATCAATGATTAAAGCAAAGGCGGACGCGAGGACGAGGATGCGTCAAAGACCCTCGATCGGAACCTGCAAAAACTTGGCCAAATCCGCCGCGCGCTGCTCCACCTCCGCCAGCGTCAGCGGTTGCCCGATGCGGGTGAGCGGGATGTCGCGCTTGCCCTTGCATCGAACGTACACCACGCGCCGCGGGTTGACGCCCTCGCTGATCTCCACGCGAACCGCCTGCACGTCGGCGAGATCGCTCACCAGATTCACCCGACGATTCTTCCCCGGGAACCCGTAGCGGAAAATTCGCATGATTCCCTCATCCTTGTTGAATTCGTTGTATCCGGCGCCGACGTCCCAGGAAATCGTCAACCAGAGATACGTCGCGAGCATCGCGCCGGCGACGCCGTAAAACGACATCACCAATCCCTGCGGGAAGAACTTGATGTCCGTCGCGTCGAGGAAAAACACCAGGTTGTGGTGCAGGTACGCCGACGCGCCGGTGAGCAGGAATCCCGTGCTGCCCGCGGTGACGACGCCCGCCCAGAAGTAGTTGCTGAAGCGTTTCGCGCCGACCACCGGGTCGATCATCACCGCGTCCGTGCTCACGCGCGCCGTCGCGGTGCCGCCTTCGTCCTTATCGCCGTCGAACAAGCCGCGCGAGACGACGGCGGTTCGGTCGGCGCGCGCGGTCGGCGCGCGCACCGCGCGAGGCGCGCGCGCGGCGACGCCGACGCGCGCGATCGATGACGACGACGGGCGCGCGGCGGCGGTGCGCGGCGCGGCGCGCGAAGCGCGAGGCGTCGCGCGCGCGAGGGCGGCGGGCGTGGACGTCGTGCGCGCGAACATCGCGTCGAGACCGCGAGCGACGCGAAGTGCGCGCGCGAAGCGGGCGACGGGCGACAAGATGCGATGATGGATAAGCGGGCAGCCAGCGAGGCCTAAACCCTCCGAGCGAGGACGGCGCGAGCGAGACGCGTACAGATCTACTACAAACGTGTTATACCGACGCCGTCGAGACGACGTCTCTACGAATCAAATCTCAGATCACGATTTACCGGTGCGAAGAAGGAAGCGGGGAACCATGCGGCGAGTCGCGGGCTTGGCTTCGGCTTCGGCTTCGGCTTCGGCTTCGGCGCTCGACGCGGGTTCGGACGCGTCGTTCGCGGCGGTTTTCGACAGCATGGCGGCGGATGGCATCGGTGGTGGGGTCGGAGGGAGCGGTGGCGTTGCGGCGGGCTCGGCGGCGACTGGTTTCTTCGTTCTCGGCTTGCGCGGAGGGTTGGGGGATTCGGTCGGTTTGGGGCCCGGCGGCGCGGGCGGCGCGTCGCCAGAGGCGGCGGCGGCCAAGATGCTCTCCTCCAACTCCTTGATGCTCATCGGCTTCTTTTTCAACCCATCCGCGGGCTTGGCCGGTGGTTTCGGAGGCGACATCATCTTGAGCATTTGCGCCTCGAGCTCGGCCACGCTCATCGGTGCCTTCTTCGGCTTGGCCGCCTTGGCTTCGACGGAGGCAATCTTGGCGTTGTTCAACATCGAGAGCATGCGCGCGTTACTCGGAATCATCGCTGGTGACGGAGCGGCGCTTGCTTTCGCCTTGCCCCGACCAGCGCCCTTCGCGCTGGCGAAGCCCTTGCTGTCCTTCTCGGGGAGTTTCGGCTGCACGACGACTTCGCGTTCGATCTTGGGCGCCCGCTCGCTCCACTGCGTCGGAGCGCTCATATCACCCTTGGCGTCTTTAACCACAACCTTGGGCGCCGCGCTGCCGAGGTTCGGCATTGCAGGCGGGTGCGACAAGTTGATGAGCTGCGCCACCGGAAGCATGGCGCCGCGTTTGTTTGGAATCATACCGTGAAGATCGTTACCGCCGACAAAGTCTTCGTCGAACAACACTTCCACAGATTCAGCGTGCGCGTCTTGCGTGTGCGCGTCCGTGTACGTGTGCACGGCGACGATCGCGCCGCGCGAACCAAACGCGGGTTGACCACTGTCTCCTACCATGATGACGCGATCGCCGAGTTCGAAATCACCACCGGCGTACAAGTCGACGATGGCACCTTCGGTCACCGGGCGCATGAGCAAGAGCGGAGACACGCCCTCGAGATCGACCACCTTGGGCTGCTTACCACCACCGGCGGTCGTGCTCACGAGCGTTCGAATCGCTTCCTCCGTCGCGACTTGTGACGAAGCTGGCACAAGCGGCCGGCGTGCGATGGGATGCGCCTTTAACCACGCCTTCACGCCCTTGACTGCGGCGAGACGTCCAGCCTCGGGCGTGTCCGCCATGAAGTCTTCGAGGTTGATTCCGTCGCGCATGTCATCAACGGCATCGACCGCGGCGAAAACCCAATGATGCGCACGCTTGTACTCTTGCAACACTCGCAACGCCTCTTGACTGTATTCCCAACCCGGCTTGTCGCCTTGTGTCGGGCGACAGTAGCCCGCGACGCACAACATTTTACCATTGTGCTTCAAGTTCAGACCGACGTCGACGCGATCGCCGCGAGACGCCTTGGCGCTCTCTTGCACCCAGACCGCGCCCGTGAGGCAACCGATAACTTTCGGGTTCACTCCTAGTTTACGTGCCATCTCACCGCTGGCCATGTAACGTTGTCCAACGCCTTTTAAAATGCGGCGCGACAAGCCAGTGTCCAGAGGCACGGGGTGAAGCGAGACGCCCAAACCAGCGGGGGAAACATCCGTGACGACAGCCAGCGCTCCAAAGTTTGAGCGACCCAGGAACAGCGCGACATCACCGTCGACGAAATCACCAGTAGACTCACCGACGTCGAGCGCGGGACGCTCGTCCATACGCGTCGAAGGGGCGTTGTGCTTGGCGATGACGAGCTGAATCGGCACCGTCATCTCTGTCTTGGAGAAACGCTTCTGCAAAGATCCGTCCGGATGTCTCACGAGCCCTTCGCACGCACGGCAATGTAGCGCAATGTTCGAACGCCCTGCACTAACACCGTACTTCTCGAGATACTCGCGGGTAACCTTTTCCATGTCCGCGCTCCATTCCGTGGCATTATTCGGCTTGCTTGCTAACTCGTTTGGCTTGCCGATAACGGGAACGATGCGTTCCTTCGAGTCGGAAACGCCCACGACGAGAGCTTCTTGGAGATATGGCCACTTAATTTGCACACGTTTATTCACGAGACTTGGAGCAATGTCCTTCGCACCGACTCCCGCCAAGTTTCCGACCAAGTTTACGTCTACGCCGTTGATTTGAATGATGAGCGATTCCTTCTTCGACGCGTTTCCAAACACTTTGACGCCTGCGGTTTTCAAAGACCCCGACACGGGGAGTGTGCGGATCGTCGGGAAGCCGCTTGGACTGTCTAAACCAAGCGTCGTTCCTGGAAACACGGAATCTTCGCCACCGAAGCACTTCATCTCATCCGGGAACTCGCCCGGCGGCATGCGCATGGTCATCTTACTCTTCGCCGGAAACAAGCCTGCAAAGGACTTTGGCAAAGTGCTCTGCACGTCTCCCGCGCCCGAGGGGGCGTGGTTGAAATATATAAGATTACCGGGCACATTTCGCGCGATTTGACCAGCAGTCAGCTGCGACGGTTCCACGGAAGCGACCGCAGCCTTCAAGCGATCGGCGTCCAAAAAGGGCAACAGCACGACGCCTTCCCAGTCGTTGCGCTTGCCTTCAAAGTCAACTTTGATGTCTTCCGGGAAGAACTCAGCCAAGGGCGACTGCGGATCTTCCATGAAGTGGCGGAATGGCTCGGGGAGTAACTTGGAGCTCGATGGTGGTTGTACAGCCATGAGCTGCTCGAAAGGTTTGAACGGTTCGCCGTAATCGAACTCAGACGTGAGACCGCCCATGCCGGCGCACAAGTCGCTCGCCATCGGCGCGTAATGGTAGGGATAGTACCAAGTCCAGGACGCAACACCACGATAGTAGTAACGCAAGACCCAGTTCAAACCATCGAAATAAGCTTGTCTAATTTCACCCAGCGGTGCAGCTTCGCCAATCTTCAAACCGAGCTTTTCGCGATAGTACGTATCCTTCCACGCTTGCAAGCCCTCCTCGCCACCTTCGAGAATCAGCGCCCGCTTCGCAGCGTTCATCATTGTCGGGTCGGCAGAAACTTGTGGCACGCCTTCGGTGTCGCTCATCTCACTCAAATCCTTGTCGAACTTCTCCTCGGGAGTGAGATCGGACGCGGAACCACCGTTGCGACCTTTTCGTCGAGACTTCTTCTCCTCTTCCTTCTCGACATCCATCGCGCGCTCTTCCAACACCTGTCGCTCGAACGTCGCCATGATGCTCATGATCTTCTCCAAACGTTCAGGGTTAAAAGTACCCCCCCCTTCATCGCCAGTGATATAACCTCCAAGCATCGGCAACGTGTCGTGGTACACTTTGAAGAGCGTGTTCAGCGCGCCCTCGGCGATGTTCAGCGTCGGCAGAGCGGGCAAGAAATCGTTCCCGACGAGCATGCACAGTAAGATGAAGTCATCGATGACGCGCTCGAGCTCGTATCCGAACGGAAGATTCTTTTCGCGGAATTCTAAATCCAAGTACTCGCGCAACAAGCCGATGTGCAACAAGATGAAGCCGTCGTCGGTGGGATTGGACAAAATCTCCCGGCTCGGCTGCCCTTTCTCGCCGCCGCCAAACTTCACGACCTCACGAAGCAAACAAAAGTGAGGTTCGTGCGTGACGAGAGCAAGCATGATAAGATCGGCGTCGAGGCCGTACAAACAGTGCGTTTGATTCGGCTCCCAGTCCGGCTGCGTTCGCGCCCATCGAATGTGCTCCATGATTTTATGCTCGCCCTCACCTCTGACTTCGTGCCCAGACAATATCACCGTCACCTTTGCCCAAAGTGGATCTTCCGTTTGCTTCTTACGCACGTAGAATTTCAAATGTTCCGTCAACCGCGCCATGAACTCCGTCCCCGGCGTGATACAGTTGGAATCAAACGGTTCGCCCTCCGGCTCCGGTTCGCCTCTCGCACGCGCTTCCTCGCGGTCCTTCGCCGCCTCCGCCGCGCTTCGAAATCGTCGACTCCGCTGTTGGTTCATCTTCGCTCGCGGTGCCACGCCATCGATCGCCATGTACAGCATCTTATTCGGTCGCGTCATTCGAAACAGATGATCCAAATACGCGAAAACCTTGGACATCATCTCGTCTTCAGTCATTCGCGTATTCACATCCGTCCCTGCGCCGTGCGAGCAGTTGTGAATGACACCATTCATGTCCAGGTACAAGTTATCGATCCCCGGGATCTGATTTCCCGCGATCTCTTGCTGGAGCAGCGGGTAGCGCTCGGCGAGCCATCGGAAAAACTTCGGGACGCCCATCGGCGATGGCGATTATAATCCGCGCGAGAGATTCGAAGAGCGCCGCGTCGGTGCGCGCGCGGGGCGAGTGAGCGCGCGTGCGAAGCGCGTGCGTGCAGTTGTACACGCGATGTGGTACGCTCGCGAGGTTATCGCGAGGTTTTGGTCGCGCCAGGCGCGGGATTCTGCCGATCTGACGCGGCGAGCGTGGCGCCCGAGGCGGAGGCGAGCCGCGAGAGAAACGTCGAGGCGAATATTAAACGGTTACTGTAATTACAGGGCGGCATCACACCGCGACGGCCTTCTTGGATGCGGCGTTTAAGTACGCCACGACTTCGTCCGCTTGCTCGATGCCGAACTCGACGCATCGACCCAACGCGACGCCCGCGGTGTAGTTGCCGCCGAGGAACAAGCCGTCTTTTTCGCCGCAGTCGGCGGCGGTTAACGCGTTCTCGGCTTCGGCGAGGACGTCCAAGTGGCCGAGGTTGAATTGCGGGATGGCCTTTTCCCAAACCTTGACGCCGACAACCTTGGGAAGCGGCGTACCGGGCTTCAAGATTGTCTTCAAGGCGTCCTCGTGGACTTGCTTCACGAGCTCCTCCTCGCTCAAGTCTTTAATCGCGACGTCGCGCGCGCCGCCGATGTAGTTCAAAATCATGAACTCGTCGTCCGGTTGACGCTTGTCGTCCTTGAACAGGCTCGAGCTATAAATCGTGCCGAGCGTGCGAATGCCTTGCGAGCGCGGGTGGAGCTGACCGAAGCCAGTGAGGCCGCCTTCGGGTAACGCGCTGGTGCCGTCGAGGCGGAACGAATCCTTCTTGTAGGAAATCGTCACCGACGCGACGGGTGGGTAGTAAAACTTGTTCAGCGCCGTCGCCGCCGCGGGAGCCATGTCCTTAACCATCTCGGCCGCGACGTAAGCCGGCGCGGTGAGCAACAAACACTTCGTTCTCACCGTTTGCGGCCCTTCTGGGGTGTCGTACGCGCACTCGTACCCGCCCTCGGCGGATTTCGAGACGCCGACGAGCTTCCAGTTGCACTTGACGACGTCGTCGCCGAGCTGCTTGGCCAAACCCTCCGGGAACGTCTTCAAACCACCGCGGAACGAGCCGACGGTTTGGCCCTTGACCTCGGGAAGGCGCGGATCGCGCGGTTTCTTGTTCTGCGCCGCCTCCTTTTGCGCCATGATGGCGCCGGCGACGAGCGACCCGCCGAGCGGTTCGAGTCGTTGCACGCGCCCCGTCGCCGCCACGGACGACAGCGCCGCGGGATCACCCGCGTACACGCCCGAGCAAAACGGTTCGATCAGACGTTCGAACGCCTCCGTCCCCAAGTTTCTGCTCACGAACTCCTTCACGCTCTCCTCCTTGCCCGGCGCCGGCGGCCTGATTCCGATCGCCCCCAATCCCGCCCGAATCTTCCCCGGCCACGTCAAAAAATCCCCCAACACCGCGCTCTCAATGCTGTGCGGTAAAATCCGCAGCTTCCCGTCCCACAGCACGTACCGATTGCTCGCCGGATCCGCCAGCAAGATGTCGTCGCGCATCCCCGCGTCGCACGCCAGCGTCAAGATCGCATCCCCCGGCTGATACGAGTTCGGTCCCTCCTCCCACGTGTACGTCCCATCCGATCGACTCGTGACGTTCCCTCCGACGCGTTCGCGCGCCTCCGTGACGAGCACCGTCGCCTCGCGCATCTTTTTCATCTTCAGCGTGTGCGCCGTGGACAGGCCGCTGACGCCCGCGCCGACGACGACGACGTCGACGTCGCGCGTCGCCGCCGCCGTCGTCGCGCGCGCGCGCGCGCGCGTCGCCGTCGTCGTCCCTCCCCGTCGCGCGCGCGCGTCGCGCGCGCACCGCGTCGCCGTCGTCGTCGCCGTCGTCGTCGTCGTCGTCGTCATCGCGCCGATGTGCGGGACGGATAAGACGCCCCGATCGATCGCGCGCGATCGCGGCCCTGGGACGCGAATCGTCGTTTTTGGGTTTGACGCGACGGCTCGGCGTCGACGCGACGGCTCGACGCGCGCGACGCGTCACCGCGCGACGCCGAGCGCGCGCGACGGCGCGCGACGGTGACCGCGACCCGACGACGCGCGATGGATCGCGACGACGGACCGCGGCGACGACGACGACGCGATCGGTTCGGGTGGACGGCGAACGCGCGGTGGTGCGCGGCGGCGGCGTGCGCGGCGACGTTGGCGCGGACGACGCGCGGCGGCGCGCGCGCGCGCGATGACGATCGGATCGGACGGCGGTGGACGTTTCACGCGCGCGTGTTCGAGTACGTCGAGGGCGGGCCGTTGGCGTGGGAGGTGGCGTCGACGGCGGCGTACGTCGGCGCGGGACGACGCGGACGACGCGCGGCGACGGCGATGGCGATCGCGGTCGCGATGATGGCGCACGGCGCGCGGTGGACGATCGGGGTGCTGGCGTTCGTGTGCGCGTTTTACGCGTTCGCGGTGGCGGTGCGCGCGGCACCGTTTAGCGCGCGGCGGAAACGCACGTACGTCTGGGTCGCGTGCGTCTTGGCGTATCTGGTCTTGGATGAATTGGAAAGCGAACCGGGGGACGTCGCGCGCGTCGGAATTATGAACGCGACGACGTTCAACTGTTACCGCGCGTGTCGCTTCGATTTGCTGCGCGTCATGTGTTTCGGCGTAGAGTGCGTCGAGGAGTCGGCGACGCCAGACCTCGGAAAATTCGTGAGATACGTGCTGTACCCGCCTCTGAGAGCGAAGGGACCTTTCTGCTTTTACAGAGAGTTCGAGCGACACCGGTGTGATCACGATCGACGGCGGTGGTTGTACGCGGCGTTGGAGACCGTAGACTCCTTGACGTGGTACGCGTTACTCGAGTTTGCGCATCGGACGTATTACGATCCTTTCGCCGACGTCGCCAACGCGTCGCTCTTTGAAAAGATATCACACGCGTGGACGCACACGACGGCGATGTGGGCCGGGCCAACGTTGATCTTCAATCTTAGTCACGCGCTGGCCGTCATCGACGGTCAGGTTGTCATTCGCGACGTCAGCGTCGATTGGCTAAAGTCGGGAACGTCGTTCGGTACGTTTTGGAGAAAGTTTCACTGCAGTCTGCACGAGGCGTTCGTGCGTTTACTCTACCGCCCACTGGGATCGAGCGTGATTTCCGTTGTCGTCGTCATGGCGTTTTCTCTGCTCTTTCACGGCTTGAAGTCCAAGGCATGGTTTGTTTTCTTCGGAGCGAACACCGCGGGCGTTGTCTTCGAGCGGTGTTGTCATCGACTTCGATCGAGCGATCGCACGGCGGCAGCGCTCTACCAGACCGCGCTTTTCGTGCTCTTCACAAAGTGTACGACGAACATTTCGATCGACGCGAGATACGTCGTCGCAAACTTTGTGCTGTTTTGGTGGAATCGACGCGCGAGAGACGAAGACGACGAAGGCGACGATTGACCCGCACTCCGCGCCGCGCCAGGCTTCATGGCGTTCGCCGCGCGAGTCGCCGCGGCGACGTCGCCGCGCGCGTCCACGTCCGGACGCACGTCGGGACGCTTCGCTCGGCGCGCTTCGACGCCGGCTCGCCTGGGGACGACGCCGACTCGAGGGGCTCGGGACGCCGACGCCGGCGCCGACGCGCCGTCGTGCGCGTGCAGGAAGTGTCGCGACACCGGCAGGTGCGACTGCAAGGATTGTAACGCATCAGGTTTCCTTCCTCCGGGGGGTTATCACCTGAAGAACGTGGTGGACATGAAGAACGCGGTCGGGACGCGTTGGACCGCCCACAAGCGCACGCGCGGATGGCGACACTTCGAGTGCGTGGGTGCGTCTCCCAAGGCGAAAACGCTCACGCTTCGCGCGACATGCGATACCTCGGTCACGGTGGACATTCCAGTGAAGTTTTTGAAGGATCGCATGGAGTGGAGCGCGGGTTGGAAGCAACGGGAAGAGCTCGACTGGGTCGGCGACGTCGACGCGCCGGGGGGTGCGGTCGCGTATCCGAAAGGTCGGACGACGTGCGCCAAGTGTCAAGGCGTCGGAACGTTACCTTGCGAAGCGAAAGGATGCCGCGAAGGCTTGGTGAAGATCGAAAAGCAACGCGCCGTGATCGAAAAGACGGAGAAAATTTTCAGACGCCAACTCGAAGCGCTTCGCGAAAACGACGACGAAGAGTCGAAGCGGCGCTCGGCGGCGATTAAAAAACAACTGAACACAAAATCGCAGATGAAAAAGGAGCGCGCGCGAGAGCTGGCCGATCGCAAGCGCGCGGAAAAGTTGACGTCGAGCGATTCTGGTGACGGATGGAGCGCGTATCGCAACGCGCGCCGAGACGAAGACTTAGAGCGCTGGCTCGCCGGCGCCGCAGTCGAGCGCGATCCCGACGAGCAGCAGTGAGGATTTCCTAGCTTTTTAGCCCGAGCATAGCCTGAAGATGTAGCAATCTCTCAGAAACTTCGCCGGTCGCGCGCTCTTTCGCGCCCGCGCGTCTTCGCGCGTCGTCCCCGGAACTTTTGAGAAAACTCATTCACCAACGCTCCGCACTTCGCCGCGCGCGCTCGTCCGCGTCGCGCGCGCAAAATGGCGCGTGGTATGGTGCGCTCGCACGCGCCGCTCGCACCGTCGCGCGTGCCGCGCGCGCGCGCGAACCACGGGCGACCGACGACGCACCGCAAGATGGTTCAAAGTCGACGACGAATCGCCGCCGTGCGCGCGCGAGCGACGACGAACGGCGACGCGCGATCGATCGGTGCGTCGGCGTCGGCGTCCTTCGACGATGACGAGCTCGAGCACGCGTCGACGTCGACGACGACGGCGATGATGTCGGTCGCACGCGACCGCGCCTGGCGAGACGGCGACGCTAGGCAAATCGCAGAACTGCAGACGCGCGTCGTCGATGCGGTTAGAGCGCTGGATCGTGACGTGCGGAGTCTCACAAATGATGAACTGCGCGGGAAGACGGACGCGTTTCGCGCGCGGCTGCGAGCTGGGGAGACGTTGGACGATATTTTAGTGGAGGCGTTCGCGGTGGTGCGAGAGGCGTCGACGCGCGAGCTCGGGTTGACACATTTCGACGTGCAATTGATCGGGGGGGCGCTTTTGCACGAGGGATGGGTGGCGGAGATGAGTACAGGGGAGGGAAAGACTTTGGTGGCGACTTTACCCGCGTATTTGAATGCGTTGGATGGCAAGGGCGTGCACGTGGTGACGGTGAACGATTACTTGGCAGCGCGCGACGCGACGGAGATGGGAAGGATATATCGTTTCTTAGGACTCACGGTGGGCGTGATTCAATCTGACATGACTTCAGAGGAGCGGCAGCGGGCGTACGCGTGTGACATCACGTATGTGACAAACACGGAGATTGGGTTCGATTACTTGCGCGACAACATGGCAAACGACGCGGAAGAATTGGTCGTGTTGACGCGTCCGTTCAATTTCGCCATCGTGGACGAGGTCGACAGCGTCTTAATCGATGAAGGACGCAATCCGCTATTGATCACTGGCACGGGCGACGTGAACGACGACGATCAGTACGTGACCGCGGCTAAAGTTGCGGAAAGCTTAATCCCCGGGCGCGACTTCAAAGTCGTCTTGAAGGAGAAAACAGCCGAACTCACCGACGAAGGCATGTTGCACGCGGAGCAGATCCTCGGTGTGAACGATCTGTGGGATGCAAAAAACCCTTGGGGCAAGTACATTCTGCTCGCCGTCAAGGCAAGGGCGCTCTTTATCAAGGACATCGATTACATTGTGCGAGACGGCAAAGTCATCATCGTCGATCCGTCCACCGGGCGAGTGCAGATGAATCGGCGATGGAATGATAACTTGCATCAAGCCGTCGAAGCGAAGGAAGGCGTAGAAATTAATGGCGAGAATTCAATCATCGCATCCATTTCTTACCAATGTCTATTCAAGCTATACAAGAAACTGAGCGGCATGACGGGCACGGCGTCGACGGAATCGGAAGAGTTCTTCACCACGTACAATCTCGGCGTGGCGCGCGTGCCGACGAACAAGCCCAATTTACGAATAGATAGCCAGACATCGCTCTTCTTAAACAGCATACCGAGATGGTACGCCGTCGTGGATTTGATTGAGAGGTGTCATGCCGAAGGCAGACCCGTACTCGTGGGTACGACGTCGGTGGAAAATTCCGAAATTTTGAGTGACTTGCTCTCGCGGCATCGATGGGTGACGAACGATGGGCGCAAAATTGCTGGCGTACCACACGAGCTGCTAAACGCGCGTCCGCAGTATGCGGCGAGAGAAGCCGAGATCATCGCACAGGCTGGGAGAAAGTACGCGGTGACAATCGCCACAAATATGGCTGGGCGCGGTACCGACATTCTACTCGGTGGTAGCCCTGTGGGCTTGGCGAAGCGTGCGTTGAAGGAGAAACTTTGGCCCGCTTTTGATCTAGGGGATATCGGTGACGCAGCTCTGCTCATGTACGTTGATCTGTCCCAAGAGGCCCAAATCACGCTCAATCAGGCGGAGCATGTGGCGACGCAATCCACTGCCTCGGCGGGATCGCTAAGCGAAGAACAAGCTGAAGAATTGTTGGTAGAAGCGTTGGTCAAGGCAGAGGAACTGCTACGTCGAGGGGAGAAGCCGGGTGCATGGGATAAGGATCGAGTGTTGATGCATTTCGTCAACGTTGCCGCGTACCACGTCTTGCGAGATTGCCAAAAGCAGTGCTCCGACGAACGAGAAGAAGTTCGAGAAGTCGGCGGATTGCAAGTCATCGGTACCTCCATTCACGACAGTCGACGCGTTGATAACCAACTCCGCGGTCGCGCCGCACGTCAGGGTGATCCGGGAAGTACGGTTTTCTGTGTGTCGGCCGAAGACGAGTTGTTACAAACGTACATGCCTGGTTGGGGAAACGATAAGTTGTGGATGTTCGCCGGCGTCGATGAGTACTCGCCCATCGTCTCGGATATCGTCGACGGTCAGCTTCGCATGGTTCAAAAGCAAATCGAAGACTACCTGTCATCGCACCGACAGTCCACGTTCGAATCCGATCGCGTGCTCGATGGTCAGCGCGAGGCGGTGTACAAGTTGCGGCGACAAATTCTGCTGAGCAGCCAGTCGGCGCTGCGTGAGCGCTTGTTCAAGTATATGGCCAGAGTCGTCGACGACGCGTGCGAACGTGCGGGTGTTTCGGGCAATGTTCACCCGAAAAAGTGGAATTACGAACAGCTCTTGAGTGAGCTGCGTTGCGTGTTTATCGGTCGAACAGATTTCATCGCCTTGACGCGCGGATTACCCACGGGCGACAGGCCGCATTACCTTCCGGGCGTGAATGCGGTCGGGGAGAATTCAATTCGCGACGCTATATTGAGCGGAGGTGATTTACCCATTCCGCACGAGATGCCACCCTTGAAAGTGGCCCCCGCTATCGTCCTCGCGGCCATCGCGGGCGTTGAAATCGTCATGCCGGAGGGCGTCGTCGGCCCACTCATGGAAGACACCGAACCAGAAGCTTCGGACGCCGCCATAAATGAACGTTTACGCAACCGTTTAGCTCCACCGTCCGATGTCCGCGACTCGCAGGAGTACATTCGTCGTTGGAGCAAGGGCTGGCACGCGGCGAAGGCTCGGCGTTTACGCTCATACCTGACTGAATCCGCCGTGCAACTGTACTTGGATCGATTCGCGCGTCTGGCTGCAAAAGACTACGATCGCGCCGAACTCGAAAGCGTCGAGCGACTTTGGGCTCTTCGCGCCATAGATGAACTATGGCAGCGGCATTTGGTGCAGATGGAGGTGTTGCGCAGTAGCGTACAAGTGCGAAGCTTCGGTCACTTGGACCCGAAAGATGAGTTTCGCATCGACGGCGCGCGAGCGTTTGTGTCATTGGTTGAATCCATTCGCGAAGCCATGGTTAAGAACATCTTCTTCTTCATTGGCGCGAGCGTTGAGCCGACTACTAATTTCGATGTCGACGAGAACGAAGACGCGCAGGAGCGGCAAACGCAAAATGAATAGGCTAGAATCTAGAACATTCTTGTTCAAATCAATCGCTAGTGTACGAACTCGACGACGACGACGACGACGAATCGTAGTTGCGTCTCGAACGCTTTCTATGTTTTTTGCGTCGTCTACGGCTATCTTTCGAACGCTTTTTCTCCTTCTTCTCCTTTTTCTCTTTCTTCTTTTTCGAGCGCTTGCGCTTCTCGGAATCCCGCTCGCTCGCCGCCGCGGGGTTTGTCATGACTGCCGACGACCACACAGGTCCCTCGGTCTGCCGAGCCTTCTCCTCGACGGGCGCCGGGTCCGATCGCGTCGAAAGCGCCGCCTTGATGGCGTCCAGGTCCGCTTCCGTTTCGTTCGCTTCCTCTTCAGCTTCCACGTCGTCGTCTGAGTTTTCGAAGATGGCTTTGAACAGCCCCATCGGCTTTTCGACAAACGGCGGCGGCGGGGGCACCTCGACCATCGTTGTCGCGGCGCGGGGCGGCGGCGGCGGCGGTGGGAGCGGCGCTGATGTCGACGATGGGGGAGGTGGCGGCGGAATAGCACGCGTCGTCGATTGTACAGCCGACGGCGGTGGGGGCACGTCCAGATACTTGGGCGCGTTCGCGAGCGCGGCGGCGCTCGTCGCGTCGAGCGCCAAGACGTCGGTGCGGAATTTATACTCTTGAGTATCCGGACGCGCTCTGTTGGCGAACGGATCTTGAATTCCGAATCGTTTGCACACCAGTGGTTCAGGTGCCCAGTCAATGGTGTTGCGCGCGGAAACGATGGGCATGCGCGAAACCATGTCCGCGCGCGCCGCCGCTTCCTCCTCGTTCGGCGCGGGCTTCGGCGCGCTCTTCTCGAGGACGTGCAGACCAACTTTCTCAACCTTGGCGGTTTGCACGACGCCACCTGACGTGAACGTTTTGCTCAACAGCTTTTGTATGCGCTCGCGATCGTCGGCAGCGATGCCGTCGATGCTCAACTTTTGCCTCGGCGCCGGCGCCGGCGCCGGCGCGTCCGTCGCCCCGCCGCCGGCGCGCGCGGGCAAGGGCGTCTCACCGAGAATTCTCGCGCGCTCCTCCATTCCGAGCGGTCGCGCGCGGCGTGCGGGTGGCGCCACGGCTTCGGAGTTTTGTTCGATCATCGCCGTGGCCAAACGCCATTTGTAATATCCCGAATCTCTACCGCCGAAGAGAAAGGAAAACTTTTCGTCGTCTTCGCCTTGCCGCGCCTTGGCCATGTCCTCGAAAGTTTTCCCGTGCCTGGCGACGAACGCGGCGAGAGTGTCGATGACTTTTTTACGCTCCTCGTTCGCCGGCGGCGGCGCTTTCGGTGGAAGTTCGGGCTGCGACGCCGCCATCGCGCTCGCCTTCATCGACGCCTTCAAAGTCGCCGCGGCGCGCGGCCGAAAGTCGCGAGGCACGACGGGCGGCGCGAACCATTTCGGCGGCGCGAGCGTGTCGCTCGACACGCGAAACCCGCGCACGAGACAATCGTTCGGTAACGCCGCGCCGAGCGCCAGCACGGCGCCCTTCCCGCGCGCCCTCGGATCGCGCGTCGACTCGTCTTCCTCCTCCTCCTCCTCCATCTCAAACGCGTACTCGTTCAATTTCGGCTCGTCCTCCGTGTACAGCGCCTCGTCCTCTTCCTCGAACACCCCCACGCCGAACGCCTCCCCCCGCGCGCGCCCGCGCGTCAACCCCGCGTTCTCCCGCTCCATCTCGCGCTTCCGCCGCGTCGCCGCGTCGCGAAACTCCTCCGCCCCCGCGAACGCGTCGTACCCGACGCCTCGCCTATCGTTCTTCGGATCCGCGACGTACGCCGGCGTCTCGTCCTCGTCCACCGCCACCCCACCGCCCGTCCCGCCGCCCACGCGCCCTCGTCGCCACCCCATGCACCGCAACAACCGCGCCCCGACCGCGTCCTCGCGCGGCGCGACGAACAAATCCGTCACCGCCGCCGACCGCGCCAGCGTCTCGCTCGCCGACCCCCCCGCCCCCCCCCGATCCCACGCCATCGCCCTGTGCGCCTCCCGCGCGCCCTCCCCGAACGTATCGTACCTCGCCCTCGCCCGCAGCGTCACGCTCTCGTATTCTTCGCGCTCGTCCTCGTCCATGTAATCCGTCGCCGCACCGTCGCCTCGCGTCGTCGTCGCGCGCGCCTCGCGCGTCGACCGAAACCTCCCCGGCTCGAACCCCGCCGCGGTGCCGACCGCGTCGACGCGCCCCCAGACGAACCCACCGGCGCGCGCGCCGCGAACCCGTCGTGTATCGGACGCCTCCGTCGCCGTCTCGCGGCGCGGCGCCGTCGCGTCGCGCGTCACCGCCGTCCCGCGCGTCACGTGCGAGACGTCGCCGTTCGCCGACGACGCCGCGGTCGACGCCGCGCGAGACGTGCGCACCATCGCGTCGCGCGTGCCCGCGTCCCGCGCGCGTCGCGCGCGTCCCGCGCGCGCGCGAGTGAAGACGTCGTCGCGCGCGTGCGCGCGCGCGGCGCGCGCCGTTCCATCGAATACGGTACATGGGTAGACGTACCGTCTTTATATGTACACCGAGAACGTATAGTACCTCCAATTGCGCTGTATATATGAAAACCAACCGATCGAATACGGTACATGGGTAGACGTACCGTCTTTATATACACACCGAGAACGTATAGTACCTCCAATTGAGCTATATATATGAAAACCAACCGATGGCCCCGTCGCGGCCGTCCGTCGTCGCGAGACGAACAGACGGAGTGAATGAATGCGCGCGCGCGAACGAATGCATGCGCGACGGCGAACTCGACGCGTCGGCGCGCTCGACCGCGCGCGAAAATAGAACGACATCGACGCAGTGCGCGCGCCCGCTGGATCGCGACGTCCCGACCGCGCGGTCGCCTCTCCGCCGACGCGAACGCCGATGATTTCGTTTTTGTTACGGGCGCGCGCGCGCTCGACCGCGAACGACCGAACGACCGCGCTTCCGAGGCGTGCATTCGCGCGCGCGCGAGCGCGTCGCGGCGAACGGCGTCGGACGCGCGATCGTTCGCGGGCGCGCGCGCGTCGCGATGTCGACGCGGCGTCGCGACGCGCGCGCGCGACGCGGGGACGACGCGACGACGCGCGACGACGACGGCGGCGGCGGCGAGAAGAGGCGCGACGACGACGACGCGCGACGCGACGACGCGCGCGGGGCGATCGACGCGTCGAGGGCGACGGACGCGGACGTCTTGGACGCGGTGCTGCGCCCGCGGACGACGATGGCGGCGGCGTCGGCGGCGCGAGCGCGGATGCTGGCCGCGGCGGGCGACGCGGGCGACGCGAGCGCGCGCGGCGAGCGGGACGCGGCGACGACGTGCGTGGCGCTGGGCGTCGCGTGCGAGCTGCTGCCGCACTGCGCGAGGGCGTGCGAGGAGATTTTGACGCGGGGGGCGTTCGATGGGGTCGTGGGCGCGGTGCACGCGAAGACGCGAGGGATGGAGGCGAGCGAGACGAGCGCGGCGACGCGAGCGTTGGAGGCGATTTGGCGCGCGTGTCCGTCGACGCGGGAGAGGTTCGATTGGTCGTCCGCGACGAGGTGGTTGCGCGCGGAGAGCGATGAGGTGAGGTATAACGCGTGCGCGCTCGTGGCGCTCGCGCTGGGGGTGAGCGCGAAGGGGTTGGACGCGATGCGTCGCGCGACGACGCGCGACGACGAGGCGTTTCACGAGTACGGAGCGCGGAGAGAGGCGCGAAATTTAGAGTTTGCGAACGCGCGCGCGATGTTTTGGTTACATCCGGGGCGCGTCCGAGCGAGCGGCGAGTCCGCAGGCGCGGACGACGAGGACTTTCTGGGCGCCGCGGATTTATCCCGAGTCGACGACTTCGCCGCGCCCGCGAAAGGATACGTGCGCGTCGGCGGCGTCGAGTTACGGCGGCGCGGCGCCGACGACGCGAGTTCGAGTGGGCGCGAACAAAAGCCGCCGATGATTTACACCGAAAGCGCACGCCGGAATCTCGCCGCCGTCGCGTTGGCGCTCTGCCGAAACCGACCCGTCTTGCTCGAAGGTCCCGCCGGTTGCGGAAAATCCGCCGCGCTCGAGGAGGTGGCGCGCGTGACAGGCAACGGCGATTTCGTCACCCTGCACTTGGACGCGCAAACTGATTCGAAGTCATTACTCGGCGCGTACGTGTGTGGCGCCGCCCCAGGCGAGTTCAAGTGGCAGCCCGGAGCGTTGACGCAGGCGGTGACGAGAGGGGTCTGGGTGCTCATCGAAGACGTCGATCTCGCGCCGTTCGAGGTGCTCTCCGCGCTGGTGCCGCTTTTAGAGAAGCGCAGGCTTTACGTCCCGGGGCGCGGCGAGAGCATTCAGGCCGCGCCTGGATTTCAACTGTTTGGTTCAATCACCACCGAGGCCGGACGGTCGACATCGGCGAGCGCGGACCCGCTTTCCGGACTGTGGACGCGCGTCGTCGTCGAGCCGCCGCGCGGCGACGAGGCGACGGCGATTCTTTGCGGCTTGTATCCAAACTTGGCGCCGCTCGCGCAATCAATGCTGGCGACAGTTCGTCAGGTGCAAAGTTTGTGCGGTCAAGGCGGCGCGGCCGCGGGCGAGGCCGCCGGTCTTGGGGAGATCTCCGAGCAAGACGTCACCATTCAGGAGGCGACGAGCGACGACGCGCGCTTCGATCGCGCGGCGTCTGGATTAGAAGCTCAAGCGAATGACGTCAACCATGCGTTAGCGCGCGTGCACGCTGGTCGTCCCTTTACGTTGAGAGATTTAATTCGTTGGGCGCGACGCATTCAGGCGCTTCGCAGGCACGAACTCGCGTTATTGCAGCCGGGCAAGGCGGCGCCGCCGCAACTTCGAGCGGCGGCTTACGAGGAAGCCGCGGATGTGCTCGCGGGCATGCTGCCCGCAGGTCCAGGTCGACGTCGAGTGTTGAAGATGATCGCTGCGACGTGGGGGCTTCCGGCGGAAGACACCGCAGACGCGACGGATCGGTTGCACAAGCCCACCATTCAAGAGAGCCACCAATCGGTGACGATTGGGCGGTGCGCGTTACCCGTCGGAAAAACGAACGCTCGCGGCGCCAAGTGGTCCAGGACTGGACATGCATCTCGCCTGTTGGAGCGCACGGCGGCGGCGGTCCAGCTCACCGAGCCCGTGTTACTCGTGGGCGAGACTGGGACTGGTAAAACGGCCCTAGTTCAGGAGCTCGCGCGTCTCACGGGCGCGCCGCTCACCGTCGTTAACTTGAGCAATCAGTCCGAGTCTGCGGATTTTCTCGGCGGTTTCAAACCGGTAAGCGCGCGACATTTGTGCCTTCCTTTGCTTCCGAAGTTTCATAACGCGTTCAACCGAACCTTCCCTTCGGCTTCCAACGCGGAATTTCTCACGCGCATATCGCGATACGCAGAAAAGAAAAAGTGGACGCACTTGTTGCATGCATTTAGAGCCGGCGTCGAACGCGTCGCAAAGCTTGCAGCGGAGGCCGCGCAGGACGCAAAATCTCGTGAGAATACCGATGATGGTAAAAAGGCAAATAAACGTCGGAAGACGACGAGCGTGTTGTCGGACGATCTCGTCGCGGCGTGGCGAGACTTTGAGCGTGATCTGAGCGTCGTGGAGCATTCCACGAACGCAAGCAAAAATGGTGGGCCAGTTTTCGCTTTCGTCGAAGGCGCACTCATCACCGCCCTTCGCGAAGGACATTGGATACTTCTTGATGAAATAAATTTAGCCCCAGCGGAGACTCTTGAACGTCTCGGAGGGATTTTAGAAAGCGAGTCCGGCAGCATTGTGCTGAGCGAGCGCGGCGACGGCGAGCCGATTCCACGCCACCCTCGATTCCGCCTCTTCGGCGCCATGAACCCCGCGACCGATGTAGGTAAGAGAGATCTACCAACAGCGTTGAAACACAGGTTTGTGGAAATTTACGCCGGAGAGACCGAGGGACGAGATGATCTGGCGATGATCGTCGACACGTACTTGCACGGCGTTCCAGGGGTGCAGGTTGACGACATTGTCGACTTTTACATCGCTGCCCGACAAGCGGCTCACACGACGTTGCTGGACAGTGCGGATCAAAAGCCACAGTACTCATTGCGTACGCTATCGCGCGCGTGCGAATACGTGCGCGCAGCGACTGGGATATACGGCTTACAAAGGGCTTTGTTCGACGGCTTCGCGATGTCTTTTCTGACGCTACTCAAAACCGAAAGTGGCGTCATTCTCGAAAAGCTCATGGTCAAGCATCTTCTCCGTGGAGCCGCTCTAAAGGTACGCCACTTTTACATTCAATCGATTGCGCGACTTTTCCGTCGCTCACGCTCTCGAGGCCCACTGCTTATGGGCTTAGCGAGATCGGGCGTATCACGCCAGCGACGGTACATTCACGAAAAACAATACCTATTCCATCTCTGATCTCCTGAGGTTTTGGAAGACGTTTTTCTACACTTACATATGTTTGCGCGCACTGATACTGACACTAACGTTTCGCATTCGCAGGCTATGAAAACGCCCCCTAACCCGCCGGCTGGGGACACGCACGTGCTGTTGGAACATTTCTGGGTGGAGGCGGGTGATCTTCCTCGTGTCAATCCCGAAGAGGGCAAATACGTCGTCACGGAGACCGTTCGCGGTCACTTATCGAATCTGGCTCGCGCGGTGTTGTTACGTCGGCATCCGATTCTCTTACAAGGACCCACGTCGAGTGGTAAAACGTCGCTCGTGGAGTACCTCGCGCACAGAACCGGGCATCGCTTCATGCGCATCAACAATCACGAGCATACGGATTTGCAAGAGTACCTCGGCACTTACGTTACCGACGAGACAGGTGCGTGCGCAAACTTTCTTCGTCCCGTTTTTCCGGCCACTAGTTCGTTAGCCGTCTTCCCTAATTCCGTGGGAACGGGGGCTCGGAAAGTGGCCGAACATCAACGCGGATATCTTACGTGTTTGCGTCGCCGAACGCTGGCGTAGAACCTGGCACCCAGGACGTGAACGGTTTGAGTCCCGAAATTCGCCGCGCGGAAACAAGCGGGCACGTTTGGTTGCATTTGTTTTGTCGACGCTGACGCCAACGACACTGACTCTGACGCTACTTTCTTCCACTCGCAGGTCAACTCGTGTTCCAGGAGGGAGCGCTCGTGCAAGCTGTTCGCAAAGGCTACTGGGTCGTGCTTGACGAGCTCAACTTGGCGCCTACGGACGTGCTTGAAGCGCTTAACCGACTTTTAGATGACAACAGAGAACTGTTTGTACCTGAGTTGCAGGAGACCATCCGTCCGCATCCGCACTTTATGCTATTTGCCACACAAAATCCACCCGGGGCGGTGTACGGCGGTCGTAAAGTGCTCAGCAAGGCGTTTAGAAACAGGTTCATGGAGCTTCATATAGGTGACATTCCCGACGAAGAGCTGAAAACAATTCTGCACA